ATGACGATAATCCCTTTGGGGAACCTAATTTAGGTGATCCCTTTTCGGTAAGTGGTTTTTATAAGTATTTTATATCGTGAATGACAGTCAAACTTCAACAATTATTGCTATAACAATATGACACACCAACATACCTATATATTCTTTTATCGTCAATTTATACTATCAGATTTGCAAAGTGGATAAAGAGAAATACCTTTGAGCTTATTTTCCACTGTAAAAAAAAGTAAAAATAATTTTCCTCTTATTTCCATTTTACGTCTTTTTCTAAATCCTAATTTCATTATAAAATTCTGATGAAATCGGATAATTTAAATTTTATCGTTTATCATAAACTGGGTTGAGATAAATCATAAATATTATCAGAAATTGTCAAATTGATTTAAATTAGGTAATTTAATTCTAAAATTTTGCAAATGTCTTTTAAATTAATAAAAATAGAGAAGAGATTACTCGTGTCAGCGATAAATGTTATATTACTTATTATAATATACAATCTGGAGATTTTAGTTTTCCTGTCATTCTTTCGCAGTAATCTAATATTATTTAATTATATTCGCAGAGATTATTACACCTTCTATTCTTTTACGCATATCGTTAGTATATAGATAAAAGGTTATCTTTCGTATTGATAACAAGCAATTAACTGTCACTTAAACACCAGATGTTTTCGACGATAGAAAAAGATTGCATTTCTTGATGCAAAAATTTTCTCATCTTCTATTTATAAATTTTCTGTATTACTAACTGCATATACGATGAAAATAAAAACTAAAATGAAAAATGGTAATTCCAGCCACCAGCTCGTCAACCAACAACGACAATGTCAAATTCTAATCGAGGTATGGAGGATTTTAATCCATTTGCTAGTCCAGTTGACACTCCGACAACTCAGGTTCGAGGTGCTTCAAATCCACCAATGTACGGAGGTGCTGGAACAACACCACAACCAGCGACACTTCAACCTTCAAATCAAGAAGTACCTCCTCCAAATTATTCTCGTAGTGCACAACAAACTGCACCTCAAACGTTCAGAAACACGTTTTCACCAACTGGAGATGTACGTCTTTTCCTTTCCTAAACCTTTGAAAATTCGTCTCAACATTTTAGTGTTATCATCTCAATTTAATAATCGAATTGAAAAAGAAATATTTAAAATATTTATGTGTAAATAAATATTTAACGTTCTCCTAAGAAACAAAAATATTTAGGTTATGTTTGTAATTTTTGGAGTAAAAATACAGAAAGAGAATCAATTTCCCCAACAAATTATTGACGCTCAATTCTTCTTTACACCGAAGAATAAAGACTGGTTTTAAATTTACATAATTAAAGAGGAACTTTTAATCAAGATAAATCTAACATAAACGAAACCTAAAATCGTTCTTGGGAGCATGTCACATATTTATTTATAAATAATATTTTTATTATTTATAAAGTTTATAAATAAGTCGTTCAAACATTTATTTATTTAAACATGAATATTTTATATATAAATAAAATAAAAACCCTTTTTATAGATGCGGGCTGAAGAGGAATTAAAAGCCAGAAGATCACAGGACATGCAAAATTCTCCTTATTACTGTAAGACTAATTATTGTCTTTTTAATGACTTTAGTGAAATTCACAAAGTTTATGATATAAAAATAAAATTTATCATTAATGTGTATAAAAACAAAAAAATGTTTTGATTTTAGCGAGGCGGAATAATTGGCCACCTCTGCCAGAGAAATGTTGTTTTCAACCCTGCTTCTATCAGGATATCGACGTTGAAATTGATGCAGATTTTCAAAAAATAGTGAGACAACTTTATCATTTGTGGTTGTGTAAGTTTACAACTTTATTCTATTATTTCAATCTCTCTAAATCTGAATAAGAGAAAATTAACTAGTCAAAAGTCGTCCAAGTGAGAAAATAAGATTTTCCAAATGTTATTTATTTTGGCTTCAAATTCATATTATGTTTGAGAACAATTTTTTTTAAGTAACAATTAGTTTTTTAAAAATCTTTAAAGAAAGAAAAAAATAAAATTAAAATTTTGATCATAAATGTATTTTCACAAATTAATGAATTAATGATTGTAATGAAAATTAGAAACCATTTAATGTTTAGAAACGTTATAGTTAATATTTTTTATACGTGTCGCAAAATTATTGTAACCAAATTTCAATTCGAAAAAAAAACGTTCATTAAACTTTTAGAACTTTAGGAACATTTTGAACTTAACTAACGTTTTAAAAATCAAATTATCAAAACAATGATGGTTCATTTGAATGTTCGAAACTTTAGAGCCATAAAATAAGTTAAATCACTTGAAATCGTACAAAAATAATTTTTTCTTTAATAATAATTGAAAAAATATTTAATAAAATAAATAAGTGAAAAATTTCACATATTTTTCGATGAAAATCACTTATTAAATGTCTAGACAGTCATTTTTTTTTATTTTAACGACTTTTGAAGTATTTTAAGTGAATTTTCACTGATTCAGATTTAGAGAGAATTTAAAACGAAAAAGCAAATTGCGAAGACAATATCTGATTTAAATTCTATTTCCCCTTTTCTTTTTACAGTTCATGGCCTCGTAATGGTATTAAATGTCTTTGGAGGATTCTTCTTGTTGTTGTCATTCTCAAAATTCTCCACATTTGGACTAAGCATTTTGTATCTAATTCTCTTTACTCCCTTTTCATTCCTCTGCTGGTTTAGACCCGCGTACAAGGCTTTCAAGTAAGAAAATTTAATAATTTCTTCTAATTTTATAATTTCTATATGCAACTATATTCGACAACTATATTCGACAATATTAAATTTAATTTTCTTTCAGAACGGACAGCTCGATCCATTTTATGGTCTTTTTCCTTGTTTTCTTCTCGCAGATAGTCGTCACGGTTATTCAAGCTATTGGCATTCCAGAAACTGGTTCTTGGTAATATTCATTTTCATGTTTATTTATCTTTTTTGTCTATACGAGTTTCGGATTCAATTTCGAATTGAAAAACAGTAGCAAAAGTATCATAATAAAATGTTCAAAAACAAAAAAAAAAAAAATCTACAAATAGACGCTCATTAAAAATTCTTGTCGTATAATACTCGTTTCAATTTCAGTGGTTTTTTCGAAGCTATTGGATGTTTTAATTCATCAGCGAAGGGTACATTAACTGGAATTTTCTTGCTATTAATTACTGCTGGTTTTATTCTGGCAGCGGTTGGAGACTGTCTTCTACTGTCGAAGGTATTTTAAATCTAAAAATCCCATTTCAATTTTTAAATAATTTAAGATTCTAAATTTAAATTTCTCGAAAGAATCTCGAAAGAAATGAATTATTTTAAATATAATTTTAATTAAATTCGTCGAAAAATTTTCAAGAATTGAATTATTTTCAATATAATTTTAATAAAATTTCTTGAAAGAATTGAATTATTTAAAAAAAATTTATAACATTCCCTTAAAATTCTTCAAAAAAAAAAAAAAAAAACTATTTCCAGAAAATTTTAATAAAATTCTATGCAAAAATTACAAAAATTAATATAAAAAGTTATCAAAAATGTTATCTTCAAAATTGAAAAAGTTTCAAATATTGACACAAAATTTCTCGAAAGAATTCAATTAATTTCTAAAATTTTAATAAAATTCTTCGCAAGAATACAATTATTTCCATAAATAATAAATTTTAACAAGAATTTAATCATTTTCACAAAATTTCTTCAAAATTCTTTAAGACAATAAATTATTTCCAAAGATTTTAATAAAATTCTATGCAAAAATACAATTTTTTCAGATTCAAAAATAATAAGAAGATTCCAAAATTAAGATAATACAAAAATTAATATAAAAAGTTATCAAAAATGTTATCTTTTAAAATTTTTATCAAAAATATTTTTGATAATAAATAAATTTGATTCTTTCTTTTAATAAATAATTAGATTCTTAAGGGATTTTCTTAAAAATTCTTACGAGAAATTTTATTGAATATTATGCAAGTAAATTTATCAAAAATTTTAAGAAGAATTGAATTCTGTTCAGAAATTTTATTCAAAATAATTGTACATATTTATGCGAAAAATTCTGTAATTGTATTGAAAATAATTGAATTCTTGCAAAGAATTTAAAATAACTGATATTCTGACAAGAAATTTATAATAAAAATTTTAAGAAATTCTTTCGAGATATTTTATTGAAACAATAATTAAATTCATGCTTAGCTGCATAAATTTAATTATTTTCAATAAAATATCTAATTAAATTCATTGAAAATTGAAATTTATTTTTCTCCAGTACTTTTAATAAAAATGACTGACATTTCCCTAACCAATTTTACTTTCCCTAACTTTTCACTGATTTCTGGCAACCCTGAATTAAATAAATTAATTAAATTTACTAAATAATAAAAATAATTCCCTAATTTACATTTCAGGTCCACCGTATTTATCGATCATCGTCGGCAAGCGTGCAGAAAGCGCAACAAGAATTCACGAGTACATTTTTACGAAATGAACATGTACAAAGTGCAGCGAGCAATGTTGCTGCGAGTGTTGTTCGATCACAAATGGATAACATTACCCAACAACAACCACGATACTAAATGAAACATGACTGAGAAGGTACATAAATTATAGCATCAAATTTATTAATTTTGCTTCGTTGTTATTATACTATTATTATTATTCATCATCCAACATTATACTTAAAAAATAGATTTATGCAGTGTGATAATGATTTACTTATTATATGAAAACAAAAATATGCAACTCTAGAGAGAATTCTATTTTCTCTCAAATTCCATTATCTACTACACAATCATATTTCTTATATTCTACAAAACCAAGAATATTTTTAAATACGAAAAAAAGTTAAATTCTGAATTTCATTGACACATTCTATATTTATATTATGTTTTATTCTTTTCAGAAATAGAAATGTATTATTCTTAATATTTAGAGTATAAAAAATTTAAGTTTTACATTTTCGTATAAAAATTAATAAATAAGAATTTAAGTTTTATTTATTTTTTTTATTTAAGAAGCCTATTTTTTTAATATAATTTTTTAAAAAATCTGACATGATAAAAACACAACTACTGACGTCAATTTTCGGAAGGACGCTATTTTGAATTTTATTAATTGAAAATCAAAGTGAGATTTGAAAAATTGTTTTTCATATAATTGTGAATACTTGTTATTTGTTCTTCTTTCTACTTTGATTCTTTAGTGTGAGCGTTTTCTAAATGTCATTGAATATTTTACTTTGATTTTAAAAAAGGAATATTCCAAATTTTCTAGTTTTAATGACCTTCAGTGACTAGAGTTTTAGGGTAAATAATTATTACGATAAAATTCTCAACGTTCCTAATCAATAATTAAAAGGCAGAAGTATTCCAGTCTAAAAAAGGGCAAAAATAAATTGAAGGAAAAATTCAATTAATTATTTACTTTAATAATAATTTATTAAATCTCATATTAAAAAAATGAGAATGTAAAAAGTTTTCTTTACAAAAAAAATTATTGATCATAAACATTGAGAACTTTAATCAAATATTACACGTACGTGACATAAATTAACTTTTCCCGGGAAAAATGAAATCTATTGCTATACTAAAGTCTGTAAATGAAATAAATGAGAATTTATAAATTATCATCCAGTTTTTAGTGATAAGCGAGAGGCACCAAGAAAAAGAAAATTTGCACAGCAAATATAAAAATAAATAACAGCCGTCCTTACATATAAACTGGAATGATTGGGAGAAACTAATGTTAATGTATTCAAGAAAAATTCAATATAAAAATATGATATTTATTATAAAAAAAAAGAAAATGTTACTATATTTAAAATTGTAATGATAATAATAAAATTCAACTAAATATGTTATAATTAACGTTACAAAAAAAAGCCATTGAATGTGAATCAAAATTATTACTATTTGTGTGACATGAACGTGTGTTTATTTATATTATAATGCTAGGCCTATATTGTTATCTCAATATAATGCGTCACCGTATCATTTATTTTTTAGGAGAAAACAAAATCTTTACCTCTTTGTTAAATCTGTTTAAATTTTTTTTTCTTTGAAAGAAAAATCCAATACTTATAGAAACGATCGTAATTCACCTAGACCAATATTATGCAAAAGTTCCAAACCTGTAAAATCATAGTTTTTTTTTATTATTTAAAAAAAGAATTATAAATCATGTTATATTTCTAATGTAAAATAACTTATGACCTAAAATAGAATGTAAAGAAAAGAAAATTATTCTTTATTTATAATTTTTACTTACCTTCTTCGTAATAATTGGCCATTGGATCATCGGGAAAAGGTGAACCAACTTCTTTACCTAAACCTGACGCTGAACCAACTAATTGAGCGGCGATAATTGCATCCATGAGAATGACTTCTGATCTGTACATTAGTCGTGCATGTCCTTCTGCTAATCTGAAAATATCTTTCAATTAATATTTTTCGCAGTTTTGTTTATTTTTTTTTTTAATTTCAGAATTTAGAAGAAAAAAATATGCTTTATTTTTTAATACCTAACTAGACTTTCCATCATACGAACAGTTTTACGTTCAGTTTCTCTTTTCGGATCATATCTATAATGTACAAATACCGCTTGTAAAACTTTTTCAGCCTCTTCTGTCATTAACGGTTTCAAAGAATGAATATGCGCTAAATATTCTCGAATGTCATCCTCCTTCCAGATATTCGATTCCGCACCTTCATTCGAATTTCTGAAAAGCAAAATATTTAAATTTAGTAAATTAATAAAGTCGATTAAAAATACAAAAAAAAGTAGAAAAAGTCATTTATTTGATTCAGTGTTGTCACAAAAATATAATTACAAAAATTTTTATTTAAAACCTTCTGAAATATAATCATTTCTAATAATTACAAAATTATTAGAAAAAATCTTTCCAATATCAAATTATTTTCTACAATTTTTAACGAAATTTCATTTCTAAATTAATTATTTTTCATAATTTTCGAAAAAGTTTTATGGAATTTTCAAATCCATTGTTTACAATTCAATTTGATAAAATTTCAGTGATTATTCGAAAATTCTTTAATAATTGTACATTTAGAAAATAAAAACATCAAACAATTTCAAAAGAAATTCAATTAAACTTTTTCAAAGAAATTAATTATGTAAAATTCAAATTTTCAAAGACTTTAATTTGAAACCTTTTCAAAATGCAATTATTTCTGAAAATTCATTAAATATTGAATTATTATCCAAAATTTTAATTAAAATTCATTTTTAAATCAATTTTTATTAGAAAATTCTACGAGAATTCAATTATTTAAATACAAAAATAAATAATTTATTGAATAACTGAATGTTTCTGAAAATTAAATTCTGATAAAGAATTTTATAAAAAAAAAATTTTAATAATTGAATTCTTTTGACGAATTTTAATAAAAAAATTCTAAAATAATTGAATTTTTGTGAAAATTTATTATTTATGAATTATGAAAATAATTTAAATTCTTGCAACGAATGTTATTGTTTACAAAAATAATTGAATCCTGGGGAAAAACTTTATTGATTTTTTAAAAATATTTAAATTCATGCGAAGAATTTTATAAAAATCTTTTTAAATAATTGTATTTTTGTGAAAAAGATTAAATTATTGCGAAGAAATTTAAAAAGAAATTGTAAACAATTGAATTCCTGTCGAATTTTTATTATCGAAGATAATTGAATCTTAAAAAATTATGATAAAAGTATTCTAAGAATTAGTTTTTTTTAAAAAAAGAAAAAAAATAATTTTTGTGTAATTTAAAAAAAACTAACTAATTTTTGTGTAATTTAAAAAATACTAACTAATTTTTTAAAGAATTTTACTTAAAAATTTTGAACATGATTCAAAATGTTAAAAATAATTCTAAAAAATTGTAATGTTATTATTTTTTGTGTGTATGAATTTTTGGAAATATATAATGGAAAATATTGCAAAAATTTGAATTAAAAAAAAATAGATTAAAAAAATTCTAAGAATTACTTTTTTCAAAAATATTTGAATATAATGAAAAAACTGAGTAATTAATAAAAAATACCGTCTGCTTGCATCATCAGGTGATCTGCCATAAGCCTTTAAAATATGTTTCGTACTCATACTGTCCCAAGATAAACTTCGCGAATCCTTCAATAGAAGAATGAGATCAAAACGTGAAATCAAAGGATTTCCAAGTCGTGTTTTATATTCTTCATCGCCCTTAAAATGACCACCTTCTGGATTAATAGCCGCAATTACGCTGCATCGTGAATTTAACGTACTGACAATTCCAGCTTTTGCTATTGATATTGTTTGTTGTTCCATTGCTTCATGAACACAAGCTCTATCGTGAGCACTCATTGTCGTGAATTCATCGATACAACAAATACCCCCGTCTGCCAAAACTAAAGCTCCTGCCTCCAAATGCCAACCATCTGAATCCTAAATCAAAATAAAGTCAAATTAATCTCTACTCTCAATCTTAATTAATTAATTTTGTCCCTAAAATTCTGAATTTTTGGAGCATTAACCGACTTATTGTTAAGTAAGAGAATAAAAAGATGCTAAAAAAATTGTAAAAAAAAATAAACCAACTTTAACAGCTGCTGCAGTCAGTCCAGCTGAAGTTGAACCAATTCCAGTTGTACGGATAGAAGGAACAACCAAACGCGTAGCTGTACGGAGAATTTGAGATTTTCCAGTTCCTGGATCACCCACCATTAATAAATGTGATTCACCTCGGATATTTATTCCTTGAAAAAATACAAAATTTGTCACTTAAAATAGAAGAAACATTTAGCAATGATAATTTAATAAATCTAAATGATCTAATAAATTAATTGAATAACTTATTTTTACCTGTAGCATTAGTTTTTGTTACTCCTCCAGCAAGAACAACAGCCAATGACAATTTTAAAACGTACATTCCATAAATCTGTAAATAAATTTGCCAAATAATTTTTTTCATCCTCTTTTTGCTCCCTGACGTCGACGATCAGCGTCAAAAACTACTTTTTGGAGATTTTAGCAACAAAAATTGCAATAATTTATTTACTTTTCAAATTTCAATTATTTCTAAAAATTCACACAATAATTCTATTAATATTCAATTATTATCTCAAATTTTAACCCTAAAATAAATTTTGTAATCAATTTTTATTAGAAAATTCTACGAGAATTCAATCCTTATTAATAAAATCAGACTTTTGTCTGTACATTGCATAGAATTCAAAATTTCTATTATATTCCTTCTTTTTACACTCTAAGGAATGCGAAAATACTATTAAGAAAATTATGTGTGTATGTGTATATGTGTGTATGTGTGTATGTGTGTATGTATGTCCGCAAATTTTCGACCGCGTATCACGGAAAAACGGTTCGATCGTTTGAAGTGAAACTTGGCAGTCTTTTAGGCATTAGCCTAACTTAAAATCCTAGCGATAGTAGATTAAAAAATATTAATATGGACGAAAGTTATGCCATTTTTTCAAAAATTCGAAAATTCGAAATTTTTAGTTTTTTCATATACTTTAGTGAATTGTACTTAAACTTAGTACAGGGTTAATTTTAGTGTTTCTTATGAAGATTTAATCGTCAGAATAATAAAATTTTGAATAACAAATAAAAAGTGTTAGATTTAAATATTGAAAAATTAAAAAGTTTAAAAATTGAAATTTTTTTGTAATTAATTTTTATACGGTTGTATTTCTTAGGTCAACAATAAAAATTTGTTGTTGAAATCATAAGTTTACTTTCTTAAAAGAATTCTATTAGGTCAGAATATTAACAATATCCATATAATTAATATGAGACTTTTGTCAGTATGTTGCACAGAATTCAAAATTGCTATTATATTTTATTAATTAATGATCAAAAAATGAAAAACTCAAATTTCATTCTGATGACTAAATTGTAATAAAAAATACTAAAATTAACCCTGTATAAAATTTAAGTAAAATTAATGACAATAATTATTTCAAAAGATAAATTTTGAATTTTAAAAATTTTGAAAATATATAGCACTAGCTGTCATGTCGTACCCGTCTTCGACGGGTTTTAGTTTCTACCAATACATTTAACAATGTTTCTACCAATCTGGAAAATCAAAAATACCCGGGATAAATTAATTAATAATTAATAATTAGTTAATTAATAATAATTAATAATTAGTTAATAATTAATTAATTAATAATTTGTTACCATTAGCTATTTCGGTAGTATAATTATACTATTTGAATAGTCTCCACCCTTTAGCAAAAAATTAAAAATTATCAAAAATTCGAGAAACCGAATTTCTTAAAATTTAACATTTTTTTCTTCTCTTTTATATCATTTAGCTTTATTATTTTTGGGCTCTTTGAAAAGATTTTACTTATTAAATAGTCTCCACCCTTTGGTAAAAAATCTAAAATTATGGAAAATTAGCAAAAATTCATAAAACCGAATTTATTAAAATTCAACATTTTTTCTTCTCTTTTATGGCTTTTGGCTTCATTATTTTTGGGCTCTTCAAAAATACTTTACCTAATTTGTTATCTCCACCCTTTGGTAAAAAATCTAAAATTATGGAAAAATAGCAAAAATGCAAAAAAATGAATTTCTTAAAATTAAACATTTTTCCTTCTTTTTATGGCATTTAGCTTTATTATTTTTGTGCTCTTAAAAAATACTTTACTTATTCAATAGTCTCCACCCTTCGGTAAAAAAGCTAAAATTATGGAAAATTATTAAAAATTCAAAAAACCGAATTTCTTAAAATTCAACATTTTTCCTTCTTTTTTATAGCATTTAGCTTTATTATTTTAGTGCTCTTAAAAAATACTTTACCTAATTTGTTATCTCCACCCTTCGGTAAAAAATCTAAAATTATGGAAAATTAGCAAAAATTCAAAAAACCGAATTTCTTAAAATTCAACATTTTTCCTTCTTTTTTATGGCATTTAGCTAATTATTTTTGTTTAATGTAGCAAATTTTTTACTTTACATACTGATCTTTAAATAAAAAACTTTAATAACTTTTCCTGAAAAGCTTGCTTAAAGATTAAAAATCACTATTTTCTTAGAAAAAAGTTGATCTAAAAAAACGAAAAAAAATTTCAAAATACATCTTTTTTAAAAATTTTATCGTAGAAATGGGTTGTATTTATCTGAAAAAGTTAGCTAAGGATAGTTTTTTCATTCATTTTACAAAAGATAAAAAATTTGCATTTTTTTGTTTTTTTGAATTTTTTGGAAAAATGTCATAACTTTTGTTCAAGTTAATATTTTTTAAGCGGATAAGGCTATGATTGTAAGTTACTTTAATACCTAATAGACTGCCAAATTTCACTTTAATTGGTTGAACCGTTTTCAATTGATGCGCGAACAAAGTTTTGCATACAGACAGAGACAGACAGACAGAAATTTTTTTTACATTTTTAGAATTCTAATGTCTCAAAACGAAAAAATATATAAAAATTTTCAAGTTTGGAGCAATGTACAGATAGTAATCTGATTTTATTAATATAGATAATGTTTGTTCACATTAATAACTTTTAGTTTACTATAGCTACACTAAAAAAAGTTATATGATTCAAGTAATTATAATTATTTGAAAAATAATATCTTATTTAAAAAGTTTTTATTTCGATCTAATAAGAATTTATTTCGTTTAAATAATTTTATTTAGTTGAATCAAATAAATCTTAATTGGATTAATTAAATAAATACTTGACTCTAATAAATAAATTTATTTAACACAAATCATTTCTAAATTTTATATTTTTTCATGGATTGCTTCTAAACTTTCTATAGTTGAGTATTACATGTTATTTAGTCACATTTTAGCATAATTTTTCAAAAATACTTTCTTATAACGAAGATGTAAGTATAAAAATGTTTTGAATATCAAAAAATTGAAAAAATTATAATTGATACCAATTGCTATGAAGCTTAATTCAGTAGTATTTGTGGACTCTCTGATTTAACTTTTAGAGATATCTTGATCAATGTAAAGACAAAAGTTAAACACGGTGTTTATTTTGGTTTAAAACAATTTCCGGCTTTGTCCAAATTTTTCCTGGTTTACTGGACGGGTTTTTTTTAATAATACATTTAACAGGGTGTTTACCAACCAGAAAAGACGTAAAATATCAGGGAATTTAATGTAACCGAGAAAAACTGGATCTACTTGCTATACAATTAGTTCGAATTAGACTGTACTATAACTCAAAAAACTGGAGGAAATTTTAGATTTATTTTAATACATTATATTGATTGAAGTACTACAAATTGAGAAATATTGTTTTCTGCATTTGAATTAGTTAAAAATAACTAATTTGATAATAAAAAGTCGGTCACTGTTTCAAATGGTATTATTTTCCTAATGAAATAGACAATAGTAACTAATTATTATTTTTTCCCTGTCAAATCAAATTCCCGGCTATTTTCCGGTTTTCTAGGTTGGTAGATACACTGTTAAGTGCATTATCAGAAACTACAACCCGTCGAAGACGGGTACGACAGCTAGTTATTTAAATATACAAAAACAAATAATTTATTGAATAATTGAATATTTCTTAAAATTGAATTCTTACAAATAATTTAATAAAAAAATGTTTAAATTAAATTATTTAGACGAATTTTAATAAAAGTTTTAAGAATTACATTTTTTGAGAAATTCGATTAAAAATGTATTAAAAATAATTGAAAATCTGCGATGAGTATTATTATTTTTAAAAATAATTGAATTCCTGAGAAGAATTTTATTATTTATGAAAATTCTTTGAATTATTGCGAAGAAATTTATAAAAAAAATTTGTAAATAATTAAATGTTTGCGTAGAATTTTATTAACATTTTTTTTAAATAATTAAATTCTTTTGGAAAATTTTTGAAAATAATTTAAATTTTGTCAAGAATTTTATTTAAAATTTTGAAAATAATTGAATTTCGGAGATGAATTTTATTATTTAAATTATTTATAAAGGTAATTGAAATTTTGACGAGAATTTTGTTTTTAATTTTGGAATATAATTGAATTTCTGACAAGAATTTTATTACTTTTGATATCAATTGAATTCCTGCAATTATTTGTAACTTCTCCAAAAATTCAATTTTTTTAGTGTTTTTAACTAAAATTCTTCTATAACCCATTATTTCTAATAAATAATTAAATTTATTAAAATTATTCAAAAATCTAAATTCTTTAAAATTTCTAATTCATTGAAAATTAAAATTATATTTAAAAATTTAAAATTACATAAAATCTTTTGAAGTTCATCTATTTATGAAAATTGTGAACGCAACTCTTGTAAAATTCAATCAATTTTGAAATTTATAAGTAAAATTGTTTAATTTTTGTTTGTTTCGCAGTTTAGAAAATTAGTAACATTTTTTTGACGCTTACTATCGACGCTAAATTTAGAGACCTCTTTTTGTTTATCGATATAATTAAAAATAGTTACTTGAGGACAAATTGAAGCGAGAATAATGTCTCTTCCAACAAGAGGATTTTCAGCGTGTGCTTCCCAGAAGTGACTAAAAGCTTCCTTCATTTCTTTCGTGGAAGATGTCAATTCAGATACTTTCCGATGAACAGAAACACTATTTGCTAACATAAACGTTGATCCCACTGTTTTCTCAGTTATTGATGTGATCCATCGTTTCACGAAAACACCACTGTCAAGAAATTTAATCATTTTAATTAATTTCATCAGTACATTTACTACTAACTTGACATTTAACAAAAACTACATTTTTAGTTCAATATCTGAATTTTAACATACTAATTACTTTTTATTATTTATTTATTATTTATTACCTACTTTATTTCAACTTGATCTCCTGGTTTACATTTATCGACTAAATCATCTAGTAAAACAACCTGCCATCCGGTTACACTGCTACTGTTCGAATCTGGCTGAGACTTGTCCTAATTCCAATAATAATTATTAATTAATTATTGTTTTTTTTCATTTCCGAATTTTTCAATAAATACGATAAGAAGATGTTGATTAAAATAATTGAATTTTTTTTAAATTTGTAATAAATGGTAACTTTTTAAGTACCTGATTGTAATGTCTTTATTTTAATCTTTCTCTTCTTAGCAAAAATTACAAGGAAATCATTTTTTTTTTATTCTTTTAAAATCAAAGGATTTAAAAATCTACCTGAACTTTGATTTCCTGATGATCTGAACAACTCTCTTGTCGTAGACTAGAAACTTGATCAATATTACTCGATTTACAAGCTTTACATTCTTTTAATAAAGGAACAACATTTCTCTCCCACAACATCTAGAAATTTTTTAAGTATAAGTAACTTATTAATAAAAAAAAATCCACAATAAAAATAAAATTATCCATAAGGTTTTAAATGTCCGAAATATTTTGAAAATATCTTTAAAAATTGCTGATTGCAATAAAAATTAAAAACTTGAATTTTAAGTAATTAGAAACTTTATGTATAAATAATTATTTTTGTAGTGTCGCAAAATAATTGTAGAAAGAATTTAATTAAGAAGAAAAAATTAATATATTTCGTTTATTTGAACATTCTGAACTTTAGGATCATAATAGTGATAAATAAAATAAAAAATAAATAAATAAATCAAAAAGTTAATAAATAAATAAATCAAAAAATTAATTATATAATTTTTAAAAATTGATATTTTGAAGTTCTACTCACATTCACTACACTTGTGTGTTTGCATTTTCGGCAATTGTACTGTTTCGATAATTTTGTAACAACAGGTTGTGACATTCGCACAACAATTCCGCAAATTGACACTAATTCCCCAATAGTTTCGGAATGTTCTTTCACCGGGACACCGATAATTCTCAAGTGAACCCTCGATTTTACCGTTTGTTTACCAGAAACCAATTTTTTCTGAACTGATACAATGGAAGCATTGCACAAAGGCAAATAATGTCTAGGATTATGTAAAACTTTTCGTCCCACATCAGGATTCTCTTTAATTAGATCTAGAAAACTGAATATTTCAAATAAAATTAACTCCAAATTTTGAACAATTATAAATAGTTAGTGAAACCTGTTAGTAAACTATTAGTAAACCACTTACTTTACATGTATACTATAATGAATACAATCCTCAGAATTATTCAATATTTTCTGTAGATCATCAAAATGATATTCTTCTAAAAATTCGTCAAGCATTTTGCGAAAATCCTGATGAATTTCAATCAAATTGACCGGCCGGTGTTGTATTATAATTTTGTTCAACTAAGTTTAACTGATAATAAAACTGAATTCTTAAATTGACAATCACATGTTTGAAAAATGACTGAAATAAGGATTAGTTTTATAATGATTTCTGAGAATAAAAATTCCTACATTTACAATTATTAAATTAAAATATAATAAAAAGGAAAGTGTGTAAAAAATCCTGTGCTTGCATTGTTTACGTTTTTAAATGAACGAAGTCGACATTTTCCTAAAGTCTTTGCCACATTGTAGAACGAGAATTTAAAGTTTGGTACACAAGACACTTTACACTTTGATAGTGGGAGTGACTCGTATTTGGAAGCAGATACTGCTTCCGGAAATATCCGCCAGAGTCTCACTCTATTATGAAAACACCTTTAAACACTTTGCCCGATTCAGAATTGTGTTTTTTCGTAAACACATATTTTATTAAAAAGGATTAAAAGTAAAAAAACCGAGTCATGAGTTTTTTTCTCCTTTCGCTTCGCAAGGTTACATTTATGTTACAATTTGCAGAAAAATTGCACAAAAACCGCGCAAAAGTAAGCAAAAGTTTAAGGGCCTGGCAATTAGATTAAACAGGGAAGGGGTTAATTGGAAATTTTTTTAAGGACTCACCGTTGCGTCCCACGTAGGAGGGCTTTTGGTGCTGCTACCTGAAGATCCTTGCCCTCTTCTGCAGAAATCAAAATCCCAACAGTGTATTGCGCTCAGGATCTCCACCTGGAGCTGCATCGGAGCATCCACTTCTTTTGCACCAAAAATAACTCACTTCTCACAATAATTTTCACACACTGGAATAAAAGGCCCTTTTAATTATAACTATTCACACCAATTTCACAATTTCGATTATGTTCGCTAATATTTTTCAACAATAAACCTAACCTTGATTACGCAATGTGCACAAAAGGCACATACGTTTATTAATTTCTCTACGAATATTAACAATTCCGACTTATAACAAGGGAGTTGAATGTTAAAAAACGGAATTAATCCGAAACTAAAAGAAATTTACCCGAAAAGAACAAATTTTTTACCGTTTCACACTTTTCATCACCACAATATTGTTTAGCAACACGATACTTATTTTACATTTATATATTTCGAAAATTGGAAAAATCAAGTCTTTTAGGACGGAAAATAGATTAAAATACACTCCCGACACGATCGCGATACTTCTACATTGCGAGAAGCAAAAAATTGCTCCGAATTGCTAATAAAAATATTAGCACTTACTCCTACGAAATCCGAGAGCATACTGACGCTCTGAGCGCCCCCCCGAACTACGTTCAGCTTAGCCGGCCTCTCATTGGTTGAGCGCTGATCGCGCCGGCCAATGAGCAACCGCGCCAGGGTTGGGTTACTGACATCCACTATTACTCCTCCTTATCGGGATTTCCCTTTCTACCGTAATTCACGTTGGCAGCACTGTGCCAACGTGAATGAACCTTTATTACAGCCTGTGAATGAACCTTTATATCAAAATTCGATTACCAATTCGTAAATATACGTAAGAATACGTAAATATTGTTAAATCTAAATTTTCTTAAAATTCTCCCTACGTTTCTTTACACGAAAGAAATTTAAAAACATCTGCAACCCTGCATCATTTCCCTTTAAAAAAAAAGAAAGAAGGAAAGAACGAAAACAAGATGTCTGAAAGTGTTAAATTGTGTGGAAATTTGAAAAATATATTTAAAAATAAGGAAAATTTCGCAATAGTGACAATGACGTGCTTATAGTATATCAGTATGCGCATAAAGATTAACATGCAAAAAGAGTTTTGGCGGAATGGTCCTCTCTTTTAATAAATATATTCCCAGTCTGCCGGGTAAGAAATATGCATACGATTGTATTTGTGAACCCGAGAACGTCTGTACAGACGAGATTTTTCTCCAAAATGAACACAGTGCTTCCGAAATTCCCACAAATCCAGTCACAGTTCCACTCTGTGTCCTTGGAGATGTGCAACTACGTTTTCTCTGTCCAGACGACCTCGAGGAAGTACGCACACTTTGTCAGGAATGGTTTCCAATAGGTGAGAGTGCTTTTTTTGGAAACAATGACCAAAAAAAAAAAATTGGGTCACGTTTGAGTACATGCCTGTCAATATTTCGTTGTCATGCTGATTTTCAGTTCATGACTATTTAAGGGAATGTTTATATTTATAGAAGTTTTTTTTCTAAATTAAATTAAATATAATTTGTTTTTAAATATAATTAATATAATTCGGGTTGTGAATTGTGATAAACAGCTGGTTAATTTGTAAACAATTTTCATTTTTTTTTTCTAGTCGGAAATAAGGGATTTTTTGTTCGAGTATTTGTTTCGTGCGTAATTTACAAACGAGAAGAAAATCAATTTACGAGATGATTGTTCAGACGAGTGTAAATATAATTGATTGCTTATGAAGTCATCTCAGTTTAACCTTGATTACAACATCTAAAATTAATTTATGAATCAGCATTTACGTGTTGAAGTGCCTTATTTTTTTACAAGTATTTTTATTGGACAATTTTTTAATTATGGAACATTTAAGGAATTGCTATTCCTTAAATGTTCTATAATGAAAAAATTCATTTTCTTTTGTTTAAAGTCGAACAAAATGTTTCCTAAAGTTTATTCTTTTCTTTCTTTCATTCAAGTGAACGAATTATTTTTTCGCTGTACTTAATTTCGAAAATTTCTTTTTTTCTGTTTTTCATTCAAATGAACGAAATATTTTTTTTCTATAAATATTTTCAAAAGATTTCTTTTTTTCTTTCTTTCGTTCATATTCGAGAGAAATATTTTTTCACTACTGATTTTTTCAAAAAACTGCTGACTGTTAAAAATGCTGCTGACATTAGAAATATGAAACGTAATTGAAGCGTCTTGAAAATTTAGGAATTAATTTTCAACACGTGACACAATATTATTACAAATAAAATTAATTTTGTAAAGTTCTTGATAAACGAAAAAATATTTTTCCGCGTAAATTTTTTTTTAATAATGTTGTTTTAAAGAAATTAGAAACAAAAATTTGTAGGCAAAATATATTATTTTCAGAGATGAAATTAGTTTTTGTTTTCAATAGTTGATCATAATTGTGAACTTAATCGACTTAAAAAATTCGAATTTCAAGAGAAAATAAATAAATTTCGTTGATTTGAACATTCAAAATTTTGAGGTTATAATTTTCTATGTACAAAATTAATATTTTATTTTATTTTATAGGGTTGCCACAGATCAGGGAATTCAGGGAAAAGTCAGGAATTTTTATTTCGAAATTCAATTATTTTCAAAAATTTTGAATTAAATTCTTGGCAAAATTTCAATTATTTTCGAAAATTTTCCTCAATTCAATTATTTTCAATATCTACAAAATTTTAATAAAATTCTTCTAAAGAATTCAATTATGAAAAGAAAATTTTGATAAAATTCTACTCAAACATTTAATTATTTTCATAAATAATAAAAATTCCACAGGAATTCAATTAATAACAAATTTTTTTTTATAAATTCTTCGTAATAATTCAATTATTTTCGAAAATAATAAAATTCTTCTCAGGAATTCAATTATTTAAAAATATTTTTATAAAATTCTTTGCAAGAATTCAACTAATTAAGAAAAATTTAATAAAGTTCTTCACAAGAATTCAATTATTTTTTCAAATTTTAACAAAATTCTTTGCAGGAATTCAATTATTTGCATTAATACTAAATCTTCACAGGAATTTAATTATTTACAAATTTTTTTTTATAAATTTCTTCGCAATAATTCAATTATTTTCATAAATAATAAAATTTTTCTTAGGAATTCAATTATTTTTTCAAAATTTTACTATAATTCTTTGCACAAATACTAAATTTTTACAAGAATTCAATTATTTAAAACACAATTTTTATAAAACTTTTCGAAAAAATCGATTACTTAAAAAAATGTTTATAAAATTCTTCACAAAAAATCAACTATGTAAAGAATAGTATATTAAGCAACAAGAGGAGAAAGGCAGCCATTTCTTTACGGTGATTTTTGTGACACGAGTGGAGGTCGAGGGCGCCGTAGGCGCCCCGAGACCGGAACGAGTGTCACAAAAATCATCGTAAAGTAATTGGCTGCCTTTATTCTCGTGTTACTTACGATATTTTTTATTCCTAATGCACAAAAGCGGCGATTTCAGTTAGCAGACGACAGGGAGTAAAAGTCATTCACTTGTTCGATTTGTATGAAAATGGCGGCCGATTTCTCCCTTGGGCAAGAAAAATGCATGTGAACAGCTAATTTTCTTGCCCTTGGGAGAACACGGCCGCCATTTTCATACGGTCGAAGAAATGAATGACTTTCCTCCCTGTCGGCTGCTATCAGAAAGCGCCGTTTTTGTGCATGTGGGATAAAAAATTTATTAAAGTTCTACGACAGAATTCAATTATTTTAATAAATAATAAAATTCTTCTCAGATTTGTTGCAAAAATTCAATTATTTTCATAAATCATAAAACTTTTCGTAGATTTTCAATTATTTTTAATACAATTTTCATAAAACTTTTCGAAAAATGCAAATTTTAAGAAGTTAATTTTAATTTTTAAGAATAATTTAATTCTTAAAAATTTTATTTAATTCGTAAAAAAGGATTTAATTATTTAAAAAAAATTTTTTGATAAAATTCTTTAAAAGAATTCAATTTTGAGGAACATTCAATTATTCAATAAATTATTTATTTTTGTATTTAAATAATTTAATTCTCGTAGAATTTTCTATTAAAAATTGATTTAAAAATAAATTGATGTTAAAATTTTATATAATAATTGAATATTAAAAGCATTATTGCTTGAATGTTTAGAAATAATTGAATTTTTGAAAGGTTTCAAATTAAAGTCTTTAAAAATTTGAATTTTTATTTGATTTTATTTCTAATTAATTTAATTAATTAATTATCTATACTTTTAACTAACAATTCTGTAGAATTAATTTTTTTGAATAGATTTAAAATTGAATTTTTTTTTTAAACTATTCTGAAGTTGTTATTTTCTAATCTAATTGAATTGTAAACAATGGATTTTAAAATTTATACGAACTTTTTCAGAAGTTATTAAAAACAATTGATTTGAAGAAGAATTTTAGTTAAAACTTCCAGAAAAATAAAAAATAATGATTAAATATTTTTTTATAAATGAAGTTATTGATGTTTTCGAATAATTTTATAATTAAAGAAATTCTTTAATAAATGTAATAGAACATTTTTTTTTGAGTATCTAATTACTTTTAGAGTGATTTAGAATATTCTTTAAGGTCAAAGAAAAAAGGGAAATTTTGTCTGGAAATCTGGGAAATAAATCATGAAAAAAGAAAATTTAATTTTTGTGGCAACTTTGTAATTAGATAAGTTTGTAAATTGATTGAAGAATAAAAATATCAAAATTATTCTTGCATTTTATTCGCTTAGTAATAAAATTGCTAAAAATTAACCAACTAACCAAAATTATTCTCGTTGGGCCAATCGAAAATCAGAAAAATGAAATTGAAAAAAATGTATTCGATAAATGTATTTGAAAAATGTATGAAAAATGTAATTGAAATTAACAGAAAATAATGGAAATATTTTATTTTGTAGATTATCCGTACACATGGTACAAGGACATAACCAGTTCCTCGAGATTTTACGCACTTGCAGCAGTATACAGAGGCGTTATTATTGGCTTGATAGTTGCCGAAATAAAGCCCTACATCAAATTAAATAAAGAAGATCGTGGAATTCTCTGCTCTAGTTTAGGAAAAGATTCTCTAGTTGGATATATATTGAGTTTGGGCGTGAGAAGAGCCTATCGACGAAATGGCATTGCTTCCCTTCTCCTAGAACAATTATTAGCACACGTTACTGCTCCCGAGAGATCGTCGGTGAAGGCTGTTTTTCTCCACGTTCTCTCCAGTAATTCACCGGCTATTCAATTTTATCAAAGATGTCACTTTCGACTGCATAGTTTTCTTCCATATTATTACTTGATACACGGTATTTGTCGCGATGGTTTTATGTACGTATTGTACGTGAACGGTGGCCACGCACCATGGGGCTTATGGGATTGGATGTGTCACGTGGCAGGAACAATGGCCAGTCTTGGTGCATGTCGAGTGCCAAGATGGATTTGGCAACGCCTTCTTTGGGCTTCAACGCTACTTTCCTATCATAGATGATATGTCGATTATTACCTTATGTTCAATTACCAAAGTATTGTTCTTTTTTGAACTTTAAAAAGCAAGAAAAAACAAAGATTTCATAACTTCCGTGATAACGCTGAATGTCAAAAAAAAAAAAAAATTCGTATCCAACAAAAATGACAACACAACAAAAATTTTACGATGTCTAACAATTTATTATTCTCTTTATTTTATAAGACAATTTTAATTCATCCGATATACATTTTATGTTTACCAAGAGAGATAAAGTCATATATTTACGCACATACAGGGTTATCTTAAATTAGTATCTTGAATTATAGATACGTTAGAAATTAAGAGTTTAACATTTTTTTAAAAAATATTCCATTCTCCGGGAATAGAAACTAAAAAGATTGTAAATTTGTAGAATAGGCTTTTATTAAAAAAAAAAAGCAGGGCTTTTAATATAATTTTCCTGGATACTAATAAAAAAAAAATATGTACAAATACAGTATTAAAATTAATATATAAAAAAAGTATATATATTATTAATCAATTAGTATTAAAGAAATAAAGTTATTTATTAAAACTGTAATTGTAAAATTAAAAAAATGAATAACACAGTAACGAGCAGTTATATTAGAATTTAATTTATACGAAAAAAAGGCTATGGAAAAATACACCGAGTATTTTACGCATTGAAAGTAGTAAAACTTATAATTGTTAATTAATAAAAAAAAAGCATTTAATGATAGTTTATAGTAAAATACGATTTTTGATAGTAAAATTTAAAAAAAAAAAGTTATGAAGAAAAATTGATAATGATTTTTATCAAGAAAAAAAATGGTTTTTCTTTTTAATAAGTTTTAAAGGCGATATTAATTGATAATTGATTAAAAGACGAATTTAAGATCACCCTGTAAATTGAATTTATTTACAATAAATTTTAATGTTAATAGCAAACTTTAACTTTAAAAAAAAAAATTCTTTATATTGTATATTCTTTATCGACAAAGTTAATCTTTATACATCTGCAACACCTGTTTTAACTTAAATATGCTTTTTTTACTCTTTCTTAACTAATTTTATTTTATTTATGTACATACCAAATAAAAACTAAAATTTATTATTAATATATTAAAAACAAGTCGTATTTTTGATATGAAAAAAAACCCTGAAATAAAAATTGTAATTTAATTTTAGTCGAATTGCACAAAAACTGTAATTTTTATAAATTTTATTAAAATTCGTCGAAGGATTTCAATTATTTAAAAATTTTATGATAAAATACTTTACTAGAATTCAATTTTGAGAAATATTCAATTATTCAATAAATTATTTTTGTTGTATTTAAATAATTCAATTCTCGTAGAATTTTCTATTAAAAAGTGATTTAAAAATTAATTTCAGTTATAAATTTAGATAATGTTCAAAATTAATAAAAAAAATTCTCTTCCAAATTTTAATTGTTTTAATAAATAATAAAATTCTTCTCCAAAATTCAATATTATTTTAAAGAATTTTCCAAAAGAATTCAATTACATATTTAAAAAATTTTCTGATAAAATTTTACTCAAATATTTAATTACTTTTATAAATAATATTAAAACTTTCTAAAAATTCAATTATTTACAAATTTTTTATAAATTTCTTCGCAATAATTCAATTACATATTTTTGTAAATAGGTAATTAATTTGTTAAAAAAAATTTAATTCAATTTTTGTTTAATTATTTAAAGTCTTTTAAATTTTGAATGATTTTACAGGTAAAAACGATAATTTTTGAAAATTGGAATTAAAAATTGCAAATATAAGTAGAGAAAATCTGATTCATCTAATTCTCTAATTGATTTTAATTTGTTTTCATTGTTGGTGATTAATTGTTGAAAAGCAATAATATTTAATTACTGTTACCAGTAGAAAAACTAATTAGAAACATTAAAAAGTCATTACGTACCTAATGACACTAATGACTATTATGACTATACCATACCTATATATTTTTGTTTACATTTTAAATAATATCTGCGAGCGGAGTTGAATGACACATGGCGGTGTGCGGGTGTGTTAACCTGTTCCATTTATTATTGATTTCTAACACCGATTTACTTTTGGAAAAATGACAAAAATTATTGAACTTCGTCCAAATAAATGTCTACTTAATACCAATTTTGAGAAATATCAATTTTGTACCGAAAATATTCCAATAGAAATCGAAAAAAAATTAGTTAATGGTAAGTTAACCTCAAAATATATTGTTTACTTTTTTCATTATATTTATAGAATTTGAAGGATCTAAAGTAAAATAATTTTTATTTTGTGGAAAAAACTGATTAATTCTACTTTTATTTATCAACAAGAATATTGTTGATATTTTGCGGTTTTTTCGTAGCAAATTGTAAATAATTTTGAATCGTATAACGAAATTGTAATTGTAATTTGTTAATTATTTAAAACACAATTTTCATAAAACTTTTCGAAAAAAATCAATTATTTAAAAGGATATTTATAAAATTCTTCACAAGAATTCAAAAATTTAAAGAAAATTTAATAAAGTTCTGCCCAAGAATTCAATATTATTTTTTCAAATTTTAATAAAATTCTTTGCTTGAATTGAATTATTTTCATAAATAATAAATTTATACAAGAATTCAATTATTTTTATAAATAATAAAATTTTTCTCAGGAATTTAATTTTTTTTATAACTGTTAACAAAATTCATTGCAAGATTTCAATTATTTTTATAAATAATAAAATAATGATGAAAATAATTGTGAAGAAATTACATTAACAATATTCTTACAAAATGATATAATAATACATAATAATGGATACTAATTTTGAATCGTATAAGGAAATTGAAATTATAATTTAATATTATTGAATTATTGAAATTATAATTTGTTAATTAATATTAATTGTCATGAATTAAATCTCTTTCAGAGGTATTCCACTTGGAAGTGAACACATCGCGAGAATCATGGCTTGAAGCAAGATTATTTGCCCTTCACAATCATCTTTTTGTGAATCCTTTCGATTCGTCCTGTTGGTTTGTCGACAACACTGGAATTGTTTGGCAATTTATCGATGGAAATCTAAAAAAAATTCACACCCTAAAATCAGTGGACAATTCACAGATTTGCACCAAATACAATCCCTCCATTGGTTTCACCAGCGAAAACATCACAGTCATTTCTAACGGTAGCAAGAATTTAGAAATTTTACTAGAAAACGCCAAATCCGAAAGGGAATTTTTCCTCTTCGAAGACATTGAATCGGGAATCATTCTCGACGTTCAGAAAGTGAAGGAAAGTCCTCACATAATTATCAGTATTTACAGCATTATCGAGGTGGAAGGAAAAGTAAATTCTCGCATAACTTTATTGACGTATTCCTATCAAAAAGGCGAACCATCCACATTATTACTTCACAGGACGCAAATTTTAAAAGTCAAGGGAACTGTCGATTATTTCTATATTGAGAATAATGGTAATTATTTTCATACAGCGAGTCAAGATCCAGTTGTTTTTGAACACGATTCATTGAAACCAATAAAAGAGACTGTTAATTCTGATGGTGTGGGTATTAAAATACCGAAATATTGCTGGTCCCAGAATGACGATTCGGTGACAGTTTGGTTGAAAGTGCCGGAAAAATGTAACAATTCTCCAGCTGAAATTGACGTTAAACCGATGCAAATTTCCGTTTCGATGAAGGACATTGTCTTGATTCAGGGCGAAACTCAGCATAAATTGGAATCGAGCTTGACAACGTGGAAAATTAAAGACGACACTTTAGAAATTGAATTTGTCAAGTCCGAGTCTGGATTAATGTGGAATGAATTGATAAAAGGAGATACCGGTGGAGAATTTTTGCCGAATGAAGGTTTGGCAGCTGAAATTCATTCCAGGTAGAGAAATAAATTTTTTCTTCAATTTTTAACGTGAATTTTGTGAATAACAGACTTTGCACTCGACAATTAATTTTAAAAAAGTAGTAAAAAAAGTTGCTATCGAAAAATTAAACTTGACGATAAAAAAAAATTCGTTTTAGACACTTCACAAAACTGACAAAAATTCCATTCCATATTTTTTAATTTTTTGCCTTTTTTCTAATTTTCATCTAAAATATTTACTTCTTTCTTATCCTGCTAATAAATTGAATTCCTGCAACGAATTTTATAAATCATGAAAGAATTTAAATATTTATAAAATTAATTAAGTTATTGCGAAAATTTTTTAAATAATTGATTTCTTTCGACTAATTTTATGCAAATTCTAATTCAAATAATTCAATTCCTGAGAAATTTGTATTATTCATGAAAAGAATTTAATTCTTCCAAAGATTTTTACAAAAAAATTTTTAAATAAAATAAAATTCAATAAATTGAATTCTGTTTGGAAATTTTGTGAGAATAGTAGATATTGAAAATCATTGAATTGCGAAAAGTTTTTAAAAATAATTAAATTTTACAAAAAATTCTATTAGAATTTTTCAGAATAATTAAATGTCTGTGGTTTTTTATATTACATTTTTTTTGAAAATAATAGAATTCCTAAAAAACATTTTACTATTTATGAAAATAATTGAATTCTTGCAAACGATTTTATTAGAATTTTTTAAAATAATTGAATTTCCAAGAAGAAATTTATTACTTTTAAAAATAATTGAATTTCGCAAAGAATTTTATAAAAATGCCTCAATGTAATTGAATTTTCGGGAATAATTTTGTTAATTATTGACATAATTGAATTCTTTCGAAGAATTATTTATATGTAAATAAATAATAATGTTCTTTTGAACAATTTTATTAAAACATTTTGTAATAATTGAATTCATGTGAAAAATTCTTATATTTTTGTAAATAATTATAATTTAACAATTTTTCTAAGAATTAAAAAAAATTTTTTTTTTAAATAATTGTTTTTTTCGAGGAACTGAAATTAAATTTTTAAGAATCATTACATTTTTCGAGCAATTCCTGTAAAATTGTATTAAAAATAATTGAAAACCTGCCAGGAATTTTATTATTTATGAAAACAATTTAATTCTTGCAAAAATTTTTAAATAATTGATTTCTTTCGACTAATTTTATGCAAATTTTTATTTAAATAATTGAATTCCTGAGAAATTTTTATTATTTATGAAAAGAATTGAATTGCTTACAAAGTTTTTTTACCAAAAAATTTCTAAACAAAGTTTTCAAAAAAAATTGAATTCCTAAAAAGCTTTTTCTTATTTATGAAATTAATTGAATTCTCGGGAACGATTTTATTAGAATTTTTAAAAGTAATTGAATTCCCAAGAAGAAATTTATTATTCTATTATTTTTGTAAATAATTGAATTCTTCCTAAGAATTAAAAAAAATATATTTTTTAAATAATTGTTTGTTTCGAGGAATTGAAATTAAATTTTTTAAAATAATTACATTTTTCGATCAATTCCTGTAAAATTGTATTAAAAATAATTGAAAACCTGCGATGAATTTTATTATTTATGAAATTGAATGAATTCTTCATAAGAATTTTATAAAAATTGTTTTAAATAATTCATTTTTTCTTAAAATATAATAAATATTATGAAAATTTTATTTTAAATAATTTAATTCTTGTGGAAAATTTTATTCGTGAAAATAATTCAATTTTTCGATTAGTTAATTTAAAATAGTATTAAAAAGTAATTGAAATTCTTCGATGAGTTTTATTATTTATGAAAATAATTGAATTTTTTTGAAAACGCTATTCTAAATTAATTGAATTCCTGTGGAAATTTTATTATTTCTGAAAATAATTGAAGTTTGGATAAATTATATCAATTTTTCTTAAATAATTGAATTCTTTTGCAAAATTTTATGAAAATACTAGATATTGAAAATAATTGAATTTAGAATATTTTTTGAAAATAATTGAATCGTTTTAAAAAATGTGATTATAATTTTTGAGAATAATTTTTTTATTTCTAGTATTAGCGAATTTAAAGTAGTGGAAATTCTCAAAAAAAAGACAAAAATAGTAGCTTTTAGTGGCTAAAATCTAAAAAAATTGCCCAAATAGTAGCATAACGTAAAAAAAGTAGTAAATAGTATAGGTGAGTGCGAAGCCTGGAATAAATTACTGGATTACTCAATAAATTACTAAATTACCAAATAAATTGCTAATCTACTAAATAAATTACTTAGTTTTTGAAATAAATTGCTATTTATAAATTTTAATTGTAGATTAGCTCATTTGTGTTCCGAACAACCGGAGAGAGTAGAACAGCCGGCTTTGGGTTTCAATTCGGAGCAATTGGAGGAATGCGATTTGGAAGGTCGGGAAAATATTCTCCAACGTGTAAATATGAACAGTCACAGTACAACGAATTTGTCAATGCTTGGAAGCAGCAATTGCATTCTTTACACACAGAAAATAAAATCCGGTCAGATGCTTTGTTTTAGGCACGATCACGACGGTTGTATTTGGACCACGAAAGAAAGCGACGATGAAAATTGGAATTTAGAACACATTTGGACATTTCCCGCACTCGGTTATGTCGAGGCGAGCAAAACGAATAAAAAATTCTGCATATCTCCATCTGGTAGGTATTTTCTCAAAGAATCTCTATACCTTAAACTTTAAATTCAATTACTTGATCCTATTTTTTCATAATTTCTAAATTAAATTACATTCAAAAATAGAAGAATTTTTTAAAAATAAATATTTAAATTCCTATTTAATATTGAACATAATTAATTTATTTTGTATTTGTTTTCAGAACTATCGGACACTTCTTTCGTAGCGATCGTCGAACACACAAGGCACGTGTTCATTTACCAAAAACCAGAAAACAATGACGTTGTCGGAAAACAATTTATCGTCGATTTTGGAAATAAAACTATTTTAGGCGCCGCTTGGATAAATAAATATTTGATAGTATTAACAAAAGATGTATTATACTGTCTTCGAATTTATTCAGAATAATAGTAATAAGTACATATAAAGATATGATTTATTTCTATGTACAGAAAACTTGAAATTATTTTCTATTCTTAATATGTATATATATAATCAATAGAGAATACTATTAAAATTAAATAAACTTTTTTTTCTTAAAGAAATCATTCTCTCTCAAAAGCAAAATTGATTGAAATATAATAATTTCGCAAAAAAAAAAAAAAAACGATTGAGAAATTTATCTTTACAATACAAAAATAATCTATCTCTCTCTCTCACTCTTTTATGTAGAATCTATTTTTTTTTATCTCAAACAACAAAAATTATATTTTTCTTGTATATACTTTCAAAGGAAATACGACGTTTTAGTTTAAAAACTAAACTAAAGAAAAAAAGATCTAAGTGCTAAAATTCGTTTTAACAAGTGCTTTTCTAATGTATTTCATAATGAAATCCATTGTGATGGTATTACATTGAGGCCAATCCCAAACCATCATGCTATTAAATGTCTTTACACAAGTAGCATTTGCACTTGCCGGACGATCAAATTCGTAGAAGGATTTTCTATTTTTAATATCGTAAATGTAGATTGAATCATTTTTTGTACTCTTGTGACGTGCCCAATGATCTGCAGTCACTTTCATAAATAACAAACTTTGTGGTTTAAAATACGAACGTTCATTGTCATCCTCCTCGGAATTGTAGTCCTGTGAATTTCTCAATGGATAATAAACGTCAGCCTGCGGTCCAGTTTTCATCTGACAGGTGATCAATTTCAATTTATCCTCTAAATGCTCATCGACCAAATGTAAATCTTTCATGAATATTCGACATTCTTGTCCGTGTGGTTTCCAGAGTGCTTCGCAAAATGTTGCCAACATTCTGTGCCTAAAAATCGATATAAACATCTATTAATAATAATCGTTATAAATCGCAGTGTCTGTTGATAATTTCAAGGCTCGAACCAGTGAAAGTATTTAAAAAAACGGACTTTACGGACCAAAAATGAAAAATTACGGACCATTTATGGATCAATTACTGACAAAAATATAACCAGTCCGAGTCAAATAAAAAACATTTTACATAAAACTATAAATTAAATTTTTTCATAACTATAAAACATGAAGATATTGATAACTCCGAGTCTTCGACTCGGAGTGATCGATTTCTTCATGTTTTATAATAATTAAAAGATAACGAAGTGATAAAATCATTTACAATTCAATTATTATTTACAAGAATTTTTAACTAAAATTCTTCTTCAAATCGATTATTATTTTTAATAATTTTCGAAACAGTTCTTTCACAATTATCAAATACATTTGTTTACAATATTTAATTTTACGAAATTTCAATTATTCGTAAATTCTTCAATTAAATAAATATTAGAAAATAAAAACATAAAATAATATATTAAAAAAATTCAATTAAATTTTCAAAAAAATTAATTTCAAAATTCAATTATTTTTACAAATTCACGTTATATTGCTTTTAATATTCAATTATTATCTAAAATTTTAAATGAAACTCAATTTTAAATCAATTTTTATTAGAAAATTCTACTAGAATTCAATTATTTAAATCCAAAAATAAATTGTTTATTGAATAATTCATTGTTTCTTAAAATTCAATTATCAAAAAGAATTTTATCAATAAAATTTTTAAATAATTACATTTTCCGAGAAATTCGATTAAAATTGTTATAAAAATAATTGAAATTCTACAATGAGTTTTATTATTTATAAAAATAATTGAGTTCCTAAAAAGAATTTTATTATGTACGAAAATAATTGAATTATTGCGAAGAAATTTATAAAAAATTTGTAAAAAATGAATTACTGTGAAATTTTTATTATTTTATGAAAATAATTAAGTATTTGCGTAGAATTTTTTTTAATAATTGAATTGTTTTGGAAAATTTTATTAAAATAGTAGATATTGAAAAAACAATTGTTTCAAATTAAAAATCTTAATTTTTAAAGTATTTTATTAAAAACTTTTGAAAATAATTACATTCTTTCGAGAAATTAAATTCAAATTGTATTGAAATTAATTGGATTTTTCTAAAAATATTTATCACAATTTTTGAAAATTTAATTAAATTTAATTTAATTCTCTCAAGGAATTTCATTGAAATTTTTGTTAACAATTACAATCTTTCGAGGATTTCTACGTTATTTAAATCGTATTGAAAATAATTGAATTCTTATAAAAGAATTTTATAAAAATTTTTGAAAATAATTGAATTTCACTGAAAAATTGTATTGTTTATGAAAATAATTGAATTTCTGTGCAGAATATTTTATTAAAATTATATTGAAAACATTTCAATTCATTTAAAGAATTTTATTATTTATAAACATAATTGAATTTCTTTAAAAAATTTAATGTTATTTATTTATTTATTTAAGTAGTGAATTTCATTAAAACTTTTGAAAATAATAAAATTCTTTCGAAAAATTCAATTAAAAATGTATTTGAAATAATTTTAATATGAACATATTTTATTAACATTTTTGATAATAATAAAATAATAGTATTTCATCAAGAAAAATTGAAATTGTATTGAAAATAATTGATTTTCTCCAAAGAATTTAATTATTTATGAAATCAATTGAATTCTTTCGAATTTTATAAAAATTTTCAACAATATTGGATTTTTTTTCTAGAAATATCATTTAAATTGTATTGAAAATAATTAAATTCTTACCAAAAATTATATTATTTTTTAAAAGAATTGAATTTTTGAAAGAATTTTATTATTTACTAAAATAATTGAATTCTTGCCAAAAATTTTATGAAAATTTTTCAAAATAATTGAATTATTTCGAAGAAATTCATTAAAATTTTTAAAAATAACAAAATTCTTTCACGACAAATGTTTTGAAAATAATTTAATATTATAATAAATAAATTTTACGAAATTTGTATATTTCATAAAATATTTATTATTATAAATAATACAAATTTCACAGAAATTCAATTATTTTCATAAATAACAAAATTCTTCACATGAATTCAATTATTTCTATAAATAATAAAGTTCTTTAAATGAATTCAATTATTTTGATTATAATTTCAATAAAATTCTTTGCAGGAATTCAATTATTTTAATAAATAATAAAATTCTTCGTAGAAATTCAATTGTTTTTAAAAATTTTATTAAAATTCTTCGCAATAATTTCATTATTTTTATAAATAAAAAAATTCTTTGTAGAAATTCAATTATTTTTAAGAATGTTATTAAAATTCTTCGCAGAAATTCAATTATTTTTTAAAAATTTTATTAAAATTTGTCAGAAGAATTCAATTATGTAAATATTTGTTTGTAAAATTCTTTGTTAGAATTAAATTTGAAGAAACATTTAATTTTGTATTTAAATAATTGAATTCCCGTACAATTTTCTAATAAAAATTGGTTTAAAAATGAATTTCAGTTAAAATTTTAGAAAATAATTGAATTTTTTCTAGGAGTCAAGTTAAAATTATGTTGAAAATAACAGAATTTCTATAAAGAATTGTAAAAAAAAAATTTTTTAATTTAATTGAATTCTTTCGAGAAATTTTATTAAAATTGTATTGAAAAGAATTGAATTTCTAGAAACAATTTTATTACTGAAAATAATTGAATTCTTACCAAGAATTTTATTTAAATTTTTGAAAATAATTAGATTGTTTCAAAGAATTTTATTAACTATTTATCAAAACGGAATGGAAATTTTTTAAAATTTACCTGTCTAATAAGTATTCTTTACTGATGTTTTCGCCACCAAGCATGTAGCCGTCGATAATATGCAGTCTCTCCGCTTTTCTTTGGTGTCTTCCCGTTTTTCGATACTCCATAACAGCCTCGGCATAGACGAGCGTATCGGCTGGCAAATAAACATTATCCACACGTTCCCAAACATTTTGAACAAAACGAAATACTTGCGCTCGTCCCAAACCCAAATAAAATGTTGCCTTCTTCTCGTCAGTCGCATTAATTGTCGAGGCACATGGCATACAATACCAATCGAGTGGAGAATTCAAAACCGTATTCTGAATATTCTCCTGAATGAATTTCTTCGCCGAATTAAAATCCTTCTTCAACAAATCCAAATAACCATCCAATAATTTACTTATTTTCTCATGTGGTTTCATTTTTCTCGGCACACTTCGCATTTTATCCTCCAATTCCCAATGAGTAAGACAAAGTTTCCTCATATCCCCCTGTCTCTCCTCAATCAATGTCTTCTCCTGCGCGTAATGCGCAATTTTCAACAATCCAACAATTTGCCGCCTTCCAATCTCATCATTCGACGCTTTTAAATAATCAAAAAATTTATTATCCGTCTTCAATATTTCCAATGGTACTAAATGTGTAACATCTTTGGATTTATCACGTTTCTGAAGAATTGTATTTACAGTGAAAAGATAATCCAACACTCTCTGCGTATTGGGACGTTTTCCTTTACAAATCAAATAGCGCTCCGAATTTGCGGGTCTCGATGTATTTGGCTTGAATATTGACACCTCGTCGAAACAACGATACATGAGAAACACGAGGCCAGCGCTAAATGGCGTAAAAATGTCAAAAAGTTTTGTCACAAAATGCCCACCATCGCGGACAATCATCAATGCCACCAAACACTGACAAAGATACAATTGCTTCGACAATATCTCCTGTATATTCTCTTGACCCTCCACTGAAAAACCACCATCCGACATCATAAAATGCACCCCCTTCCCCTTAGTCTGCCTCATTATTAATTTTTTCAACGCAATTTGATTCTCCGGCCAGAAAACATCGCCATCCTCCCTTGGTCCATAGTACGGATGAAAAGTCTCACAAGGACCGGCGGTAAAATCATCAATTTTAAAATCATTCTCCCTTCTCAATGTAAAACCAAAACCCTTTGCCTTCCATTTCTTTCGATAGAGAACGTATTCACTGAAACCACCGGGTCCAGCGCAAACATCCGCAAAATAGAGTAATTCATCTGACTTTAAATTCTCCGGTCTTGTGAACATAAAATTACAGGCTTTATCCATATTTGCCATTTTAACAGCCGCTCGATTTATGAAGAATGCACTGCGAATTGTCTCGTATGGATTCGAACGTGTACGAGCGTCACGCATTTCAAGTTTATCGAGTCTATCAAAAACACTCTTTGAATTAATGACATTACTCACAGTGAAGGGATCGCAAAATTCTGTCTCGTCGTCTATTGTTAATTTACTCGGACCCAGTGTCATCCAATCGTCGTCAATATACGGTTCCTCGTATAAATCATTTATTAACCAGTCAATGTCTTCCTCAACTTTGACAGTTTCATCGTCGGGATTGAATTTTTCGTGTGCCTTCTCCAATTCTTCAATGCGAAATCCAAGACCACGGAAGCCACGTTGCTTTGAAGCTTGTACTGGCTCTATTCTTCCCTTACCATCCTTACCTAAACCTTTTCCATCCCATCCCATTTGTCTCATCAATTTTGATCCGATTGAATCTGAAATTTATTATTAAATATTGTAGAATTATATTAAATCTAAAATTTATTATTAAATATTGTCGAATTATATTGAATCTAAAATTTATTATTAAATATTGCAAAATTATATTGAATCTAAAATTTATTATTAAATATTGTTGAATTATATTAAATCTACAATTTATTATTAAATATTGCAGAATTATATTGACAGGGTTGCCACAAAAATTTAATTTTAATTTTCCCTGATTTTCAGAAAAAAATTTCACTTTTTCCCTGACTCTACAGAAAATTCTGATTCACTCTCAAAAAACTGTTCTCTTAGGTTCATTAAATTTAATTGTAAAATTATTAGAAAACCTCAATAACTTCATTTTAAAATAAGTATTTAATTATTATTTTTCCATAGGATTGAAGATTTTCAAAAATGTCAAATTCAAGCCATTTAAAATTAACAACTTATAATAATTTCGATTTCCAGAAACTTTTCCAAAAAAAAATTAAATTATTTACAAAAATTCTAATAAAATCCTTCGCAAGAATTCAATTATTTTTACAAGTAATAAAATTTTCCACACGAATTCAACTATTTAAAAAAATGTAATAAAATTATTTTTACAAGTAAAAAAATTTTTCACAGGATTTCAATTATTTAAAAAATATGTAATAAAATTCATTGCAAGAATTCAATTATTTTCATAAGTAATAAAATTCTTCACAGGATTTCAATTATTTTTTAAAAATGTAATAAAATTCCTTGTATAAATTCAATTATTTTTCTAAATAATAACATTTTTCACACAATTTAAATTATTTTAAATAAATTTCTTGAAACATGTAATTACTTTCAAAAAGATTTGTAAAATTTTTTGCAAGAATTCAATTATATTTCATAAATAATGAAGTTCTTCGTTGAAATTCAAACATTTTCAAAATCTAATATTTTTATAAAATTTCTCAAAAGAATTCAATTATTTAAAAAAAATATAAAATAAAATATGTTGTAAGAATTCAATTACCTTTCATAAATAATAAATCGATTATTCGGAAATTCTTCAATTAAATATATTATAAGAAAATGAAAACTTCCAATAATTTCAAAAAAAAGTCAAATAAACTTTTTCAAAAAAATTAATTCTACATTAGTTAAAAGTATGAAAATTAGCAAATTTCCCTTTTCAAAATTCAATTTTTTCTAAAAAGTCATGCTATAATGCTTTTAATATTCAATTATTATCTAAAATTTTAATTGAAATTCATTTTTAATCAATTTTTATTAGAAAATTTTACTAGAATTCAATTACTTAAATACAAAAATAAATAATTTATTAAATAATTGAATGTTTTATAAATGATTGCGAAGAAGTTTAATAAAATTGTTAAAAATAATTGAATTTCTATGAAATTTACATTATTTTTTGTGAAAATAATTAAATTTTTAGGTAGAATTTTATTAAAACTTTTTTTTAAATAATTGAATTTATTTGGAAAATTCTATTAAAATAATAAACATTGAAAATAATTGAATTGAGGATAATTTTTTAAAATAATTGAATTTCGAAGAAGAATTTGATTATTGATAAAGATAATTGAAATTTTTACGGGACTTTTCGTAAACTTCAACTATTGTTATAGAAATAGAAAGAATTAAATAGAAGATTAAATTAAATCTATTCAATATTTTTAAAAGCTGCTGGAGAACAAAATTCAGTATTTTCTTATGAATCCTAGAAATTGAATATTATGCCAGTACTTTTGATGAAATTAACCTGGCTTTTTCCTGATCTGTGGCAAACCTGTAAATTATATTAAATCTAAAGTTTATAATTTTAAAGGAAACATTTCGGAAATATTACATTTAATAGACTTCGCACTGGATAATTAATTTTAAAAAAAGTAGCTGTAAGATTGAAGAAAATAGTAAATAAAAAGTAGCTATCGATAAATTAAAATTGTCAACTATAAAAAAAACTCATTTTACCTGATTCACAAAAATGATAAAAATTTGATTCTACATTTCACTGTTTTCCTAATTTCCATAAAAAATATTTGCTTTTTTTCTTATCCTGGTAACAACTTTAATTCTAATGTTCCTAATGTTCTAAATGTTTAAAAGAACGATTCTTTTTTATTTTTTAGTTCAAAATAAATGTTTATTACAATTATTTTGCGTCAGTATAAAAAAAATTACTTTTGTAATTTTTGTAAGTTTCTAAACGTAAAATTTAAGTTTTTAACTTTTATTGCAATCAGTAAGTTCTCCAAATACTTTTAATAAGTAATATTTCGTTCATTTGAACGTTCAAAACTTGTAATTAAAATAAATATTTAAATTATTATCACAGTTTAACAACAATTAAATTATTTAAATACAAAAATAACTAATTGACAGAATAGTTAATTATTTCTTAAACTTGAATTCTTTTAAAAAATTGTATCAAAACTTTTGAAGATAATTGAATTCTTTTCAAGAATTTTAATAAAATTTTTAATTACATTTTTCGAGGAATTCATATTAAAAAGAATTGAAATCCTTAGAAGAATTTTATTATTTATCAAAAAATAATTGAATTCTCACAATGAATTTCTTTTGAATTGTCAAAATATCTATTAAAATAATTCAAATAGTAGAAAATCGTAAAAAAAAGTAGTAAATAATAGGTATTATTAGACGAATGCAAAGCCTGATCTATAATAGAATTATAATGGCTAATAGAAAGAATGATTCTCATTAAAAATTTACCACTAGGTTTACACTGCAATCGCATATGGTTATTGCCGGTAAAATGTATCATTTCGTCTTCTCCATCGTCAGCAGAATGTCCAGAAACAAATTTACGAGAGGAAAACACACCATTGCGATGCATTTTCTTCGGCTCACTCTCAGAATCTTCAGTGTCAATATAACTGAAAGATCTTTTATTGCTCATTTTAAAGTGAACTCGCTCCTCCTGCGATTCATCCTCCGAGGATGATGGGTCAGATTTAAAAACACTCATTTTTCTCAAGTGTTTCTTTTGAAGTTTCCTCGAAATTCGATGGTTAATTCCACTTATGGCATTACTGGCTGTGAGAACAAAACATAAACATCAACTATTTTCTAATTGCGCGCAAATACTTATATACATATATATATTTATTCACACAGAAATCTTTTTCTCAAGAAACTCTTTTCGTTCAGTTGAAAGAAACATCAATGTATATGTTTCGATTTCGATTATTCGTGAAGGAGAATAGAACAGAATGTTTATTTTTAAATCGTCATTTTTAAATAAAAACTTCTCACCCGTTGCAAACACAGAGTTAACCTCAACAATCTCGCGAAGTCGCGACAAATAAGTTTTTCATGTAGAATTTTTAAACGCCCGTCTTTGTCGACATTCACTGCAATAGGTGTTGGGGAGTGTGGTATTTATGAATTTACAAATTCGTGGAGCATTTTAAATCACTATTATTAATAAACAATAAAATTATTGCACAACATAGAGACATTCCACCAATTCCATCGTCCATAAAAACTGATAAAAACATGGATTTTTGTTACCAAAATGGCGTCAAAATTTTGTTATACTCACGGAACTTACGGTTCCGCCGGTAAATAACGTAACTCCGTACGTAACAATTGGCGGTACTTTTAAATCACCAACGGGAAGAAGTATAACAATAATAATAATTAGACAGAAAAGTAACAAATTTAACAAACATTTTTCTATAATTTAATATAAAATACCTACAATTTAGTTTAAAAATATTTAAAAATTGTAAATTTTTATGGAAAAAAAGAATAAGGTAACTTTGTTATTGGCAGCCATGCTACTTGACTGTCAAACGGAAAAAATACAGTTGGCCTAACTGTAACAAGTTACCTGGTGCTAACTTCACTTTGCTTGTTTCTCTCTAACCTCCATGAGAGTGAGAGAAGCATTTTTGTCTTTTTTTATTTAAAAATATATAAAATTTAGTTATACTTTATACAAAAATGGCAAAATACGATTTAACAACGCTTGTGGGACAGAATTTGGATCGCCATTTGGTATTTCCTCTATTGGAATTCTTGACTGCAAGGGAGGTATGTTGAAGATTGACTGATGTTTTACTCCATGTGGCATATAACATATATTTTTACAGATTTATGAAGAAAATGAGTTGCTCCTTGTTAAATTGGATATTCTCAGTAAAACAAACATGATTGATTATGTTATTGATATCAGGAAACAATTGTATCCAGATATTGAGGTTCCTGCTGTAAGTCGTACACCTTAACCTATAAACTTTATTATGCGGCCGCAATGCGGATCAGAAAGCCGCATTTTTTGCATATAGTGAGAAATTTAATTGACACTTATAATTTTTTTTTCCCATACAGGAACTAAAATCACGACGTGCTAATGTCTTACAAGAACTGGCACTTTATCAAAATAATGTTTCGGTGGTTGCACAAATATTGCAAAATGAAGATATTATGAAAAAAATGGAGGGTATACGTGATTCGAAAACACTCATTAATTTCCTGACTCAAGAGCATAATGTAAGAATTAAGAATTTTTTTCTATGTCTTCTCAATTAGGAGTCAAATAATTAATTTTAAATTTGTTTCTCTTTCTCTTAGTTTAAAATGGAAATGATGGACGACTTTTTTAAGCTAGCGAAATTTTGTTACGAGTGTGGAAATTATTCGATGTCATCGACATACTTGTATTTCTACGTCTTGATTATGCCACCCTCGGACAAGGTAAAGAATTTTTAATTTAATATTTAAACAATTAAAAAGAAAAAAAAATGAATTTTAATAAAAACTTTCGATTCAATTCAATTATTTTCAAAAATTTTAATAAAATTCTTTCAAAGCATTTAATTATTTTCAAAAATTCTTTAAAACAATTTAATTATTCTCATGAATAATAACATTCTTGGGAAGAATTAATTTATTTTTATGAAACAAACAAAAAATAACTTCAAACTGTGCTAAATAATCACTGGAATATAACGATTTATATTTTATAGAACTACTTGAAAGCACTTTGGGGTAAATTGGCGTCTGAAATTCTCATACAAAATTGGAACCATGCGTTGGATGATATAAACAAAATACGAGAGTACATTGACAGCAATGTCATTGGAAATTCACTGGAAATTCTTCAACAACGCACGTGGTTGATTCATTGGAGTCTTTTTGTATTTTTCAATCATGAAAAAGGCAGGGATTTCATTATTGAAATGTTCCTCTATCGACCACAGTAAGTTTTTTTTTATTCTTGAAAAGGAAATATTTCCCTTAAAAACACGAAATAATAGAATATAAAACAATCACTATTTTCCAAATATAATATTTCTTCAATTACTTTTAGTTACTTGAACGCTATTCAAACCACTTGTCCTCATATATTACGTTATTTGGCGGCAGCAGTGATTGTAAATCGTTTGAGAAGAAACACATTGAAGGATCTCGTTAAAGTCATTCAACAGGTAAATTTAATTCTTATTTGGGTTTATTAATTATTAATTATTAATTAAGCCTGTAGATTTCGTACTTATCTACTAAAACCTACTATTTGCTACTATTTCTCTATTTAGATTTCTGACACTAAAAGTTATTTTTTTCCTTCCTATTCGAAATTTTCACTAATTTAATTCCGCTTAGGGTTGAAATAAAATTATTCTCAAATTTCAAATTAATTTTCCATTTAATTTTAGGAATCATACACGTATCGCGACCCAATTACAGAATTTTTGGAACATTTGTACGTCAACTTTGACTTTGATGGAGCCCGACAAAAATTACAGGAGTGTCAAACTGTTGTCTGTAACGATTTCTTCCTAATTGGACTGCCCAATGAATTTGTCGAAAATGCGAGATTGTTAATCTTCGAAACATTCTGTCGAATACATCAATGTATCAGTATTGAGTGCGTATACTTGCATTTATATCTCCAATTTTTTATATATATTATAAATATAAATATTTTTATATTTATATTATACAAATTAATTGTATAATTTGTGATGCAAATTAATTTTCAACAAACTCAATGAGAGGAAATAATTTATTTCTTCATTTGCAGAATGCTTGCCGAGAAGCTTAACATGAAGGCAGACATTGCAGAATGTTGGATTGTTAATTTAATTCGAAATGCAAGACTCGATGCTAAGATTGACAGTAAATTAGGACATGTTGTAATGGGTGCACAGCCAGCGTCACCCTATCAGCAATTGATCGAAAAAATTGAGACACTCAGTGTCAGAAGTGAAGCTTTGGAAAGTTTAATTGAACGAAAACTCAAAGCCAAGAATCCAGATACAGTAAGTATGATGTGGCACTAACAAAAGGTCAGTATTTGTCTTAAATTTTTAAACTCATCAGTTGCCTATTCAATTTTTATCAAATGAGACAAAAACAAAAGTAAATATTTACGTATCAAGTGTTTTCATTAGAAATTATTTCCATTTTTTAATGAATTTCCTATTCCAGTTGTAATCTAATTCAAGTGTGAATAAAAAATAATTTTAAAGTCATTACAGAAAATTATAATTATTAAATGGTAATGTAAAATAATTGTAGTATAACAGGGTTGCTACAGGTCAGGAAATTCAAGAAAAAGTCAGTGAAATTAGGGAAATGTCAGGAATTTTTATTAAAAGTACTGGTACAACTATCATTTAATTATTACTTAAATAAATTATGTAATGAATAATTATTTCACTTTAATATTTCAAAATTAATTCATTCATTTCTATTAAAATTTCAAAATTAATTAATTTTAAAAGAGTTGCGTTTACAATATTCAGAAATAGATGAACTTCAAATGGTTTTAATTGGAAATTTTATAAAATTTCAATTTTCAATGAATATAAATAAAAATTTTAAAGAAATTAGATTTTTTAAAAATTTTAATATTAAAATTCTTCTGAAATTAATTAAATTTTTTATTACATATTTAATTAATTTTTCAAAATAGTGGATTTTTACAAAAATTTTAGTCAAAAACACTGTAAAAAATGAATTTTGGAGAAGTTACAAATAATTGCAGAAATTCAATTACTTTCAAAAGTAATAAAAATTCTTCCCAGAAATTCAATTATGTGCAAAAATTTTTCAAATTTCAAAATTCAATTATTTTCAAAAAATTTAATTAAATTCTTTTTAAATAAATTCTTTCCAAAAGAATTCAATTATTTAAAAAGAAATTTTAATAAAATTTTTTGAAAATAATTGAATTTTAGAGAAGAATTTTATTATTTATAAAGAGAATTTTGAAAAATGTTATTATTGAATTCTTGCAAAGAACATTATTATATTTTTTTTTAATAACTGAATTCTTTTGAGAAATTTTATTAAAATAGTAGATTTTGAAAATATTCGAATTGCAGCCAAGAATTTTTTTATTTGTGAAAAGTAATTGAATTCTTGTAAAAATTTTCCTAAACTTTTTGAAAATTATTCCATTTTTCGAGAAATTTATTTAAAATTGTATAAAAAATAATTTAAATCCTGCGATGAATTTTATTATGTATGAAAATAATAATTGAATTTATTCTTAAGAAGGATTTTATTAGAAATTTTGTAAATAATTTAATTTTTTTTTGAAAAGTTTATAAACATTTAAATTATTATAAAACATCAGTTTTAATACAATTTTAATTAAATTCCTCGAAAAATACAATTATTCTTAAGAATTTATTAAAATTCGTGAAAAGAATTCAATTATTGAAATATTTGTTGATAAAAGTCTTTATGAGAATTCAATTTTGGAGTGAATCAAAATATTCTTTAGGGTCAGGGAAGAAGTAAAATTTTTGTCTGGAAATCAGGAAAAAACAAGATTTGTAAATTTTTGTGACAACCCTGTTAATGTTAACGTAAAATAATTGTGCAGTATAATACTAAATAGTAAAATATGTATACCGTTTTGGCAACTGGTGTCAAATTTTGCATGCTTTCTAACAACAATATGCTAATAAGCTTCCTAAAGTGTTTTTTCTTATTAAATTTTTTTTTTCATTTGTGACGCCTCGTTATAAAAGGTACCTTCTCGGAAAAATTGTATTTTATGTTTTTGTTAGTTTTTGACGTTTTTCCGCACTAAAGATTCGATTTTGATCTTCTAATATTATCTCGAAAATTTATTCAGTTTTCAAATATACGCCTCGTAATGAAAATTTAAATATTTGTCCAAATTGAGAAATGATTTTTATTTTCACCCCAAATTCAAAAACAGTCAAATAATTCCAAACTTTTGTTGCCTTTTTGTCGCGAGGCACCACTTACTTCTTTGTTCTAATGTTTTATTTTCTTAACAGTAGAGAGTTTTCCAAAAAAGTGTCTTTATCACTTTTCTTCTTGTTCTTCTCAACTTTTTGGGTATGTAAATACAAAAATTAGATTTTAATCTCCATTTTTTCATTTTTTTCAGGGTTATCCATCGTGGAATGATTTTTAATGAAAAAAAGCGCACAGCAATTTATATACGATGCGATCTTTTTTTAAAATAAAAGTGAAATGAATTATAAAAAGAAGACTATGATTGAGAATGCAGTAAAATTGAAAATCAATAATGAAAATAATATTTACTTGTGATGAGTCCTTTTTTTACACGATATTAAGAGAAAAAAAACACAGTTAAAATGTAATAAAAAACACCAAAAGTCTTGAAACAATCGTTTTATTTTTCAACGCCTGTTTGCTCAGTATAAATGTACAGTTGTCATTTTGAGTCAAAATTAATTTACAAAAAATGAAAAATTAACAATGACAAACGAATAAAAATAAAAATTTTCAATTTAAACAAAATAAAATAGATTGGGTTTCATTAAAAAAAAATACCTGTTCCTTTACTGTACAACGAGAGGCAAATGTTTGATTTTGCATTATTATTGCTACTGTATAATAGAAAATTCTTGTCTGAATATGATTTGTATTATTGTTAAAATTACTAATGTTTATGGATCAAAAGTTGGAACACTGCGGGAAATACTGCAACCAGTGTATGAGTCTCGTTCGAGGCAATAGTTTAAAACAGTCCTCCAGTATGGATCTTCGTTTAAAAGATATGGATTTCCGATTATAATTAATAGAGCTCGAGATCGAGTAATTGCGACATTTAATCGTCGAGGCGATGCAACGAATCCAAGTGCGTGTTTTATGTCATCATTGACATAATCAGAAGTTGATCGCACAGTTGACAGGATAATGACATTTCGTTCTTGTCCTTGAAATTCTTCGACACTTCCTACTTTCGGCAATTCCATTTCCATCTCAAGTAGCAAATCCTTAATTTGACGAATCTAAAATTTAAACATTTTTTCTTTATTCTAAGTCTAAGTTACAAAATTTTTTATTTTTGAATAATTTCATAATCCAAAATTTTTTAAATTCTTATTATGTACATAATTAATTATTATTGTTTAGATTTTCAAACATTTTAATATAATTCTTGGCAAGAATTCAATTATTTTCATATATAATAACATTCTTCGGAAGAATTCAATTATTTTTATAAATAGTAAAATTCTTCGCAGGACTTGAATTATTTTTAATACAATTTCAATAAAATTTCACGAGAGAATTCAATTATTTTCTAAAATTTGAATAAAACCATTGAAACAATTCAATTATTTCTTTTTAAATAGTAAAGTCTTTGCAAAAATTCTATTATTTTCAATAATTTAATTATTTCCTTCTGGTTATTTAAAATCTTTTTTTCTGGAAAATGCCTTAATTTTCAAAAGGTTTAATAAATTTCTTGTAAAATAGTCAAATATCTTCTTTAAAACTTAAAAAATTTCAATTGTAATTCCAAAATTCAATTATATAAAAAATAATTAAAATAATTCTAAAAGTGATTTAATCTCAACAATTCAATTATTTCTAAAATTATCTATAAAATGTATTTATAAATATATTTATTTATATTTATATATAAATAAATATTTATTTATATTTATTTATATTTATATTTATTTATTTTATTTTCAAAATTTAATTATTTTCAAAAATTTTAAGAAATTTCTTGTAAAATATTAAATTATATTTTACAAAAATTAGAAAATGATACAATTCTTTTATAAACATTTAATTATGTCAATTTTTAAATAAAATTCTTGAAAAATTAAATTTCTTTCTATAGAATTTAAAAACTAATTTTTCAAAATTTTAAAATACAATTTCTTTAAAGAAATCAACTATATTAAAAAATTTTGATAAAATTCTTCGTTAAATTTCAATTATTTTCATAAATAATAACATTCTTCGTAAGAATACAATTATTTTTATAAATTTATTCTTGAAAACAATTCAATTATTATTAAAAATTGTAAAATTTTTCGCTAGAATTAAGTTATTTCTATAAATAATAAAATTATTTACAGGAATTCAATTATTTTCAATACAATTTTAAGAAAATTCAATAAATAGATAAATGTTTATTTGCAATTACTAAGAAACGCGATTATTTTAAAAACTTGAAAGAAATTCTCTATAAAATTCAGTTACTTTCAAAATTGTCAACAGAAATTATTAAAAAAATTAGATTATTTTTAAAAAAATTCAAAGAAATTCTTCAAAAGAATTTAATTAGTATTTTTAAAAATTGTGATAAAATGCTTTGCAAGAATTAAATTATTTTCATAAATAATAAAATTCCTTGAAAGAATTAAATTATTTTCATAAATAATAAAATTCTTCAAAGGAATTCAATTATTTTCATTAATAATAAAATTCTTCGTAGGAATCCTATTATTTTTAATTCAATTTTACTAAAATTTCTTGATAGAATACAATTATTTTTTAAAATATTAATTAAATTCAATTATTTTCAAAAATTCTGATAAAATTCATCAAAAGAATTCAATTATTTTTATAAAATGTAAAACTCTTCCCAAGAATTCCATTATTTTCATAAATAATAAGATTCTTCGTAATAATTCAATTATTTTTATAATTAATAAAATTCTTCGCAAAAATTCAATTATTTTTAAACATAATTTTAATAAAATTTCACAAACGAAGAGAATTATTTTCTAAAATTTTCATAAATCCTTCGAACAAATCCAATTAATTTCTTTTAAATGGTAAAATCTTTGAAAAAATAAAATTATTTTCAAAAAAATTCCACGAAAGAATTAAATTTTTTTCTTAATTCGTTATAAAATATTCTAAGAGAATTCAATTATTTTCTAAATATTTAATAAATGCTTCAAAACAATTTAATTTTATTTTTAAACAGTAGAATTCTTTGCAAAAATTCAATTATTTTTAATACAATTTTAATGAAATTTCATGAAAGAATTCTTTTTTTTTTATTTTTAAATTTTTCGAAAAAATTGTAATAAATTTAAATAAATCCTTCGAAACAATTAAATTATATTTATAAATAGTAATTAATTTTCTAAAATTTGAAAAAAATTCAGTAATTAAATGTTCAATTTCAATTATTAACAAAAACGATTATTTTAAAAACTTGAAAGAAATTGTTCATAAAATTCAATTATTTTTAAGATTTTTAATTAAAATTTTTAAAGAAACTCCATTATTTGTAAAAAAAAGTTCAAAGAAATTCTTCAAAAAATGTTCAATTAGAATTATCAAAAATTTTTAAATATTTCTTCTCGAGAATTCAATTATTTTCCTAAATTATAAAATTCTTCATAGGAATTCTATTATAAAATTTTTTGATAAAATTTTTTGCAACATTTCGATGATTTTCATTAAATTAATTTTAAATTAAACATTTTTGTTATTAATTACCTGCGACTGGTAGGGAGTGATAATTCCAATGTCATCGGCGCAAAGACCCCTATCGAATAATTTCAAAAGATAAAAATACACCTGCGTTGCTTCTTCTGGATTGTACCAACTTGGACTGTCAGGAAACTGATAATTATTTCCATTCACACCATGAAACACAATTGCTGGCGGTAATCCAGATCTCTCTGGTAAATCAGCAGCCAATTTACTCAAAAGTTTTGCCTCATTACTCTTGTCACTCGATAACTGAAAATAATTTCCAAAAAAAAACATCAAAATAGAAAAATAATTCAACAAACATTTTAATGAAAATATCGTCTCTTACCTCGGGAATTAATTCCGAATCATAAAACAATGAATTCGGTAGTTTAAGAATTTCCGGTAAACTCCGATAATTAATCAATAATTTAGTAATCAGTCTTGGATCATAACCAGTCTCAAATCCCTGAGGATCTCTTTGGTATGGAAAACGTTGCAATAATCGCGAGAGAAATGATTCGCCTAATCCAAAGTGTGTGGCATATTTACATTGTACAACGGGACCAAGTTGCATCGGATCACCAGCAAGAATCACCTGGCCAGTGTCGGCGTGAACGAAAGTTAATGGTATCATGATTTCGGGTTCGGTCGCTTGACCCGCTTCATCGATAAGAACATGAGTGAAGTGTCCACGTGCCAGGCCCATATTGTAAATTATTCCCAGAGCCGAACAAGTTCCAATTGTTATTCGATGTCGACCCAAAACACTCGCCGTGCAATTTGTCTTGAAACCTGAGCTTTCAATTTTCATTTGATTGCCACTTCGTTCCTCCTGAAGTGTGCCGGTTGCACAATACGGAATTAGTCTCTCGGGTATTTTACCCTCTTCCAAATAGTGATGGGCCACCAATCGCACCTGTGGAAAAAGAATTTCTTTTATTTTTGTTCTTCTGTTTAATCAGGGTTATCAGAAAAATTTAATTCTGTTTATCCCTGACTTTTTCCTGATTTTGAGACAAAATTTTTACTTTTTTCCTATCATCCTAAAGAATTATTATTATTTAATTAATTTATTATTATTTAATTATTCTGATTTACTTTGTAAAATTATTCGAAAACATCAATAATTTCTTTTTTAAGTAAATATTTATGTAATCATTATTATTTTTCCATAGGAATTAAAATTCTTCAAAAGATTCAAATTCAAACCTTTCTGAAATTCAACAACTTGTAAGATTTCTTTCTTTCTTCACGTTTCATAATAAGTTTTATCATTTTAATTCAGTTATTTTTTCAGTTATTTTCTAGAATTTCTAACTAAAATTCTTCTTTAAATCAATTAGTTTTAATAATTTTTCAAAAAATTCAATGAGAATTTTCAAATCCATTTATTTACATTCAATTCAAGTATTCAGAAATTTCGATTATTAAGAAATTTTTCAATTAAATAGGTATAATCAAATAATTTCAAAACAAAATTCAATTAAACTTTTTTTAAAAAAATTAATTCTACAGAATTGTTAGTAAAAAGTTTGAAAGATTTTAATTGAAAACCTTTTCAAAATGCAATTTTTTCTAAAAATTCATGCTATAATGTTTTTAATATTCAATTATCTAATATTTAAACTAATAACTTTTTTTGAAATCAATTTTAACTATAAAATTCTACAAGAATTCTATTATTTAAATTCAAAAATAAATAATTTATTGAATAATTGAATATTTAAATAATTGAATTCTTTTCACAAATTTTAATAAAATTTTTAAAAATAATTCAATTTATATGTAGAACTTCTTAATTTCTGAAAATAATTATATTCCTCTAAAGAATTTTACTATTTTTACTAAAGTAATTGAATTCATGTAATTAAATTCTTTCCTGGAACATAATTAAAATACTGTATTGAAAATAATTGAATTCTTTATTAAAAATTTACTATTTTTAAAAACAATTGAATTCCTGCGAAGAATTTGATTTAAATTTTATTCAAAATAATTGAATTTCAACTAAGGATTTTTTATTTATAAAAATAATGGAATTATTGCTAAGAATTTTATAACAATTTTTGAAAATAATTAAATTCCTCTGAAGAATTTTATTATTTTTGAAAATAATTTAATTCCGGAGAAGAATTTTTTTATTTATAAAAATAATGAAATTATTGCAAAGAATTTTGTAACAATTTTTAAAAATAATTAAATTCCCCTGAAGATTTTTATTATTTATAAAAATAGTAGAATTCCTGTTAAGAATTGTATTATTTATTAAAGTAATTGAATTCTTCTCAAGAAATTTTATTAAAATTATATTCAAAATAATTGAATTCATGTAAAATATGTGTCGTTTTTATTAATAATTTCATTATTCTCGGACGTAAAAATTCTATAAAAATTCATGTAAAGAACTTTAGTAAAATTTAAAAAAAAATTATATTTTGCAAACAAAAATAAGAAAAATTCATCTGAAGGATTTTATTGTTTACGAAAATAATTACATTCCAGCGAAATATTTTATTAAAATTATAATCAAAATTATTAGATTCATGTGGAAAATTTTAGTATTTATGAAATTAATTGAATTTTTTCGAAGAATTTTAATAGAATTTTTAAAAATAATTGAATTTCTACTTAAGAATTTTTTTTATTTATGATGAAAATAATTGAATTCCTGCGAAGAATATTTTTTAAAATTATAATCAAATTAATTGAATTCATGTGAAGAATTTTAATACAATTTTAAAAATAATTGAATTTCTATTAAGAATTTTTTTATTTCTGAAAATAATTGAATTTCTTCGTAGAATTTTATTAAAACTACAATCAAAGTAATTGAATTCATGTGGTGAATTTTATTATTTTTGAAATGAATTGAATTTTTACGTAGAATTTTAATGGAATTTTTAATAATTGAATTTTTACAAAGAATTTTTTTGTTTATGAAAATTATTGAATTTCTGAAATGAATTTTAATAAAATTTTTAAAAATAATTGAATTTCTACCCAAAAATTTTTTTTATTTATGAAAATAATTGAATTTCTACCAAAGATTTTTTTATTTATGAAAATAATTGAATTCTTGCGAAGAATTTTTTTAAAATTATAACCAAAATAATTTAATTCATGTGAAGAATTTTATTACAATTCCTAAAAATAATTCAATTTCTATTAAGAATTTTTTCATTTTTGAAAATAATTGAATTTCTGCATAGAATTTTATTATTTTTGAAATTAATTGAGTTTTAATGGAATTATTAAAAATAATTGAATTTCTACTAAAGAATATTTTTATTTATGAAAAAAATTGAATTTCTGCGAAGAATTTTATTAAAATTATAATAAAAATAATTCAATTGGTGTAGGGAATTTTATTATTTTTAAAATTAATTGAACTTTAATAGAATTATTAAAAATAATTGAATTTCTACGAAGAATTTTTTCATTTATGAAAATAATTGAATTAATCCGAAGAATTTTATTATAATTTGAGAAAATCCTAATTTAATTGTGTTGAGGAATTATTTTAATTTCTTTGAGAACATAATAATTTATTAGGTAATTAGATACTCACTGAATTATTTTTCATTTTTAATTTGTAATTATCCAAAAATTGTAGTTGTTATTTGAAAATGAAAAAGTTAGTTTCGTTTTCTATAATAAATGAGTGTTATTTGTTATTAGTAGTCATTAGTATTTTAGTAATTGTTTTATTATTAGCAGTAAGCAGTAATTTATTTACCATATCGCCGGGTTTGAGAACTCCACTATCCAACAAACGTTCAGCAATAAGATTAGCCGAACTATTCGACGGCGTTGCAATCATGAGTCGACTATTGGAAATCGTCGTTAGAATCTGAAGAATAGCTTCGCAGAGAGTTATCGTTTTTCCAGTACCTGGTGGGCCGAATATAACATAAGGTAACGGACGTGCATAACCTTTGAGTATATTTAACACCGCTCTTCTTTGATAAATATTCAAACGTTTATTATACCACGTTAATTTTCGTTTTCTTAATTCCGATTCGACTTTTTCCAAACGCCTATCCATGTCACTAGTGCCATTCTTTTTGCAATCGTTCGTTAAATTTTTCCTCATCTTCTTATTATCATCGTCGTATTTATTCGATGATTGCACCTTTGAAACGATAAATTCAAGCTCATTCTTTTCAACAGGGGAACATGGCTTTGTGTTAAAAAGTCTCTCAACCACTGAGACTCTTGGAGGTGATCTGATTTCACTGTCAACAGATGAAGAAGTATCAACATTGGACACAGTTGAACAATTGGAGGAGATCGACTCATTTCTCTTGTGATTATTCTCAGTTTTTGTTAAATTTCTCTCCTCGATTTCAGTAATGTGAAATTGTGGCGCTTTCTCCGTCACTTTATTTGGAAAGAGAAATTCCTGTCCCAGATGATTAACGGCCAAATTAATAGCGTCGTGACAACGTCTTGTTGTACTATTTGATCCTTTGAAGCTAACTTGACAGTCCTCGCCACTATAGTCGTCGTGGAATTTTGGATTGAATTTTAATAGAACCTCGCAACTTCGTACTTTGTGAATGAAACCTTCGTATTTCATGTTACCTGTAAAAGAAAATAATTTTAAAGTCAAAAATTAGTCCGAGTTAAAAATAAGAAAATATTTTACTTAAAATTGTAAATAAAATTTTTTCATAACAATAAAACATGAAGATATCGATCACTCCGAGTCTTCGACTCGGAATGATCGGTTTCTTCATGTTTTATAATAATTAAAGATGACCGAGAGATAAAATCATTATTTTATATTATAAGAATATTGTACAATCATCATTTTTTAGAATAATTGAATTTCGAAAATGAATTTTATAATTTATAAAAATAATTGAAATAATTGGAGAATTTTAATAAAATTTTTAAAAATAATTAAATTTCTATGAAGAATTTTTTTATTTATTAAAAGAATTGAATTTCGACAAATAATTTTAATAAAATTAAAAAAAAATTTAGTTCTTGATAAAAATTTTATTATTTGTTAAAATAATTGAATTTCGATGATGAATTTTATAACAATTTTTAAAAATTATTGAGTTTCTACGAAGAATTTTTTTTTATTTATAAAAATAATTGAATTATGGTGAAGAAATGCATAAAAAAATTTTAAATAATTGTATTCCTGTGAAATTGTGCATTATTTATGAAAATAATTAAATGTTTACGTAGAATTTTATTAAAATTGTTTTTAAATAATTGGATTCTTTTGGAAATTTTTGTTAAATTATTTTAACAAAATGATTTAAATTATTCCTACGAAGAATTTTTTTATTTATGAAAAGAATTAAATTTCGACGAAGAATTTTATTACTAAACGAAAATAATTGAATTAGTTTGAAGAATTTGTTTATTTATGAAAATAATTGAATTTCGACGAAGAATTTTATTACTAAACGAAAATAATTTAATTAGTTGGAAGAATTTTAAAATTGTATTCAAAATAAGTGAATGTCTCTGAAAATTTTACTATTTTTAAAAATAATTGAATTCCTGCAAAGAATTTTATTATTTATTAAAATTATTTAATTTCTGCGAACAATTTTAACAAATTTTTTGAAAATAATTGAATTCCTTTGAAAATTTTTATTAAAATTGTGTTGAAAATAATTAAAGTCTGATAATTGAATTCTTTCGAGAAATTCTATTAAATTTATATTAAAAATAATTGAATTCCTTTGAAGAATTTCATTATATGTATAAAAATAATTGAATTCTTGTACATTTTTTCGACGAATTTAATTAAAATTGAATTGAAAATAATTCTATTCTTATATCGAATTATATTAACATTTTTTAAAAAATAGATTAATTTTTTCAGAGTAGTTTTATTAAAATTTTATTGTAAATAATTGAATTTTGTGCGAATAATTTTATTAAATTTTTTTTGAAAATAATTGAATTGTTTTAAAGAATTTTGTTAAATTTAAATTTTTTTAAAAATTTTATATCTGAAATTATTTAAAAATTGAAATTGATTTTTGAAAATAAAAACTTTTGGTATTTACATAAATATAATAAATTAAATAGCCAGTTTTTCTAGTTATTTAATTCTGCGATCATTCTGTAAGTGAAAAAATTTAATTTTCAGATCTCACCTTTTGACGAATCCCACTTGAAGGAGACAACAACCTTATCGCCACAAATCAGTGACGGTCGTTTTTCAGCCAGTCCAGGAACGGTTAAACTAAGATATTCACCGCAATGTGCAAGAATAGCACTATCCATATCGTATCGTTGCATCAAAATATTTTGAGAAATTTCCTCCAAGTACAAGAGATGATGAAACTTGTTTCTATAGTTATGCATTGTCAGTGAATCCACCAAGCAAGGCAAGCCATGTCCAATTAAATTCTCCTTCTCCGCCGCACTATGTCGATTGTTCTCAGCATCCAGTACCAAACTCCAACATATTTGTGGTATTTTGAAAATACCACTTCGAACGGCAATGAAATTTGGTGCCTTGCAAGGTCTTATTCCATGAATATAACCACTGTCATCATGAACATCTTGTCTGGCCACAATATCCTTTCTTCTGTCATTCACAAAATTTCCCTGATGAGCATTTTGTTGTTTCGGTTGAACTTTGATATGAAATGTTCGAATAACTTTAGCGCGCTCGAAAATAAAGAGAAATTTCTCCCTCGAAACACCGAGAAATTTACTTTTACACAGGAATTTGTAGGTTATTTCCTCACCCGGTCGCAGGATAATTCTATCATTAATATTTGGTGAAAGTAGAATTAATTGTGATTCCATTTTTTTCGACAAAAAACAACATTTCACCAGTTCTTGTTTCTGAAATCCTTTGTTTTCTATTTTTACCTCTATTTTCCTTTCCTGGTGCATTTCAAGTGTTAACTCCAAATTCTTCATCACTATCAATCCAAATTCCTCTTCCTTGCCCATTTCGTTTTTGTCCACCTCATCATTTCTCAATACATTCGACTCGTTGTTTACATTCTATTGAAAGAAAGTAGAATAGATGTAAGTAAAAATGGAAAAAATGGAAATGAAAATGGTAAAAAATTAATTTAATGACTTTAATTAATTTCACACTCGATAATTAATTTCAAAATTGTAGCAAAAAATAGCTTTTAAACTAAGAAAAAGTAGTAAAAAAAGTAGCTATCAAAAAATTAAACTTGATGACTAAAAAACCTCGAATTAGAAACTTCACAAAATTGACAAAAATTCCATTCTATTTAATTTTCCTAACTTTTTCTTAATTTTCATTTAAAAATATTTACTTCTTTCTTGTCCTGCTAATAAATTGAATTCCTGCAGCGAATTTTATTATTCATGAAAGAATTGAAATATTTATATAAACATAATTTAATTCTTACGAAGGATTTTTACAGAAATTTTTAAATAATTGATTTCTTTCGAGTAATTTTATGCAAATTCTAATTTAAATAATTGCATTCCTGAGAAATTTTTATTATTCACGAAAAAAATTGAATTCTTACGAAGATTTAAAAAAAAATTTTTTTAAATACCTAATTGAATTCTGTTTGGGAATTTTATGAAAATAATAGATATTGAAAATCATTGAATTGCGAAAAGTTTTTAAAAATAATTAATTAAATTTTACAAAAATTCTATTAAATTTTTTGAGAATAATTAAATGTCTGTGTGTCATTTTATTAATTTTTTTTTAAATAATTGAATTCCTAAAAAGCATTTTTTTATTTAAGAAAATAATCGAATTCTTGCGAACGATTTTGTTAGAATTTTTAAAAATAATTGAATTCTTGCGATGAATATTGTTATTTATGAAATTAATTGAATTTTGCAAGAATTTTATTAAAATTTAAAATATTTGAAAATAATTGAATTCCTGTGAAAAATTCTAATACTTTTATAAATAATTAAATTGTTCCAAAGAATTAAAAAAAAAAACCTTTTTTAAATAACTGATTTTTTTGAGAAATTTAAATTAAATTTTTAAGAATAATTATATTTTTGGAGCAATTTCTGTAGAATTATATTAAAAATAATTGAAATCCTGCGATGAATTTTATTATTTTTGAAAATAATTGAATAGTTGAAAATAAATTTATTAAAATTTTCAAAAATAATTGACTTCATGAGAAGAATTTTATTATTTATGAAAATAATTGAAAATTTTATTTTTAAATGATTGAATTGTTGCAGAAAACTTTATTTGTAAAAATAATTGAATTTTTCGATTAATTAATTTAAAATAGTATTAAAAATAATTGAAATTCTTCAATGAGTTTTATTATTTATGAAAATAATGCAATTCTTGCACTTAGAATTTTATTAAAAAATTGAATTTTTATGAAAAATGTTATTATTAGTGAAAGTATTTGAATTATTGTGAAGAATTGTATAAAAATTTTGTGAAATAATTGATTTTTTCGAAAATGCTCTTCTAAATTAATTGAACTCCTGTGGAAATTTGATTATTTATGAAAATAATTGAATTTTGGATGATTTTTATCATTTTTACATTCTTATAAAAAAATGAGAAGGTCTTGGATTTGCGCGATTTATTTTTAAATAATTGAATTCTTCTGCGAAATTTTATGAAATAAATAGATATTGAAAATAATTGAATTTCGAATATTTTTTGAAAATAATTGAATCGTTTTAAAGAATTTGATTATAATTTTTGAGAATAGTTTTTGATTTCTAGTATTAGCGAATTTCAAGTAGTGGAAACTCTCAAAAAAAAAAAAAAAATCAGAAATAGTATTTTTTTAGTGTCTGAAATATAGAAAAAGTACCCAAATAGTATCAAAACTTAAAAAAATTAGAAGTGCGAAGACTGTCTAAATCAGAATTGACCAAAAAATTAAATTTATTGCAACTCTGCAAATGAAAAATAATATTTACCTTATTATTTGACAGGGGAACAATCGTCAATGAACGCCAAGCAAAAGGTCCCTGATCACTTTCAATACTGTCGGTGACAATTTTATCCCCCTCACATGGAACGTAACCTGGTTCGCAAACCGTTTTCGTAAAAATCGTTGTTCTATCGATATTTCCAACTCCAGTGTTCACATCATATCTGGTAATAGTTCCCGTGTGTAAATTTGATCTCAAAGGCGAAATACTATCGACCTCTAAAACCTCACCATTCAAATCGGCAGCGTCGGCACTAACTTCCACGAGAGAACTAATATTCACCCAATCGCCAGCTATGGGAATAAATTCAGAGCGAACATTATCCAAATTAAAGGTAATATTGTGCGGTTCAATAAAAACAATTCTGCCCTCTCGTCTCATTACTTTGCCAACTAGTGTTCTATTCATCATTTGTCCCTTGACAATAGGATCGGGAGCTTTCAAATTTTCAACAACTTGTTCATCATTATCATCATCGTCCCAGGTTGAATCGGCTAAATCGGTTATTTTATGTATTTTTAATTCCTTATTTTTATCTAATTGATAGGCTAAATATCGAACTTTATTGCCAATTTTAACTTCAGTGGCAACTCGATGTATATCACATAGGTACTTGTTATCTATTAGGACGTATTCTTCACGGAGTGCGGTAACAATTCCAGTTGCGTAGAAGCAACATTCTCCAATTTGTTGGGGTAAATCTTCGGTCACCTCCGCGGATGTTTCTATACTTTCTCTTTCGGCATCTTTTAATATTTTATCGACATCCGCCATATTCATGGGTGAATAATTTTTGTACATTAGATTAGTGAAAAACGATGTCACTGCCGAAAACATGTTTTTCTTTTTTTGATTTTCTTCTCCTTTTAACAATAATAGAAATTTATTTCCAAGTTAAACAGAGTGTTTGTTTACTATTCGTAGACTGAAAAAAAGAATATTATTAATAAAAAGATATAAAATCCAGTAAAAAGTATTGTTAAGTATTGTAAAGACAGTAAACAGCGTTGCCACAAAAATTTAATTTTGTTTTTCTCTGACTATTCCCTGATTTATAGATAAAATTTTGAATTTTTTCCTGAACCTGAAGAATATTCTGCGATTCACTCTAAAAATTGTTAGATACTCAAAAAAAAATGTTCTATTACATTTATTTACGACTTTCTTTAATTGTATTCTTCTTTTTATTAATTTTATTAATTGTAATAACTTCTTTTTTAAATAAACATTTAATCATTATTATTTTTCCTTAGAAACTAAAATTTTCAAAACATTCAAAGTTTCATGATTTCAATTCAATTAATATTTTCCAGAATTTTTAACTAAAATTTTTCTTTAAATAAATTATTTTTAATAATTTTTGAAAAAGTTCTTTGAGAATTTTCAAATTTATTTGTTTACAATTCATTTTTTCAGAAATTTCTTTCATTTCATCAATTTCAAAAAAAAATAATTAATTTTAATTTTATAAAGAAAATTCTACGAGAATTCAATTATTTAAATACAATAGTAAATAATATTGCTTCCTCATGAGGAAGCTTTGCATTGGTGACGATTTTCAATTTTTCAAAACAAGGTTATATGGACTCATTTTCATCTAGAACATATGTATATTCAATTATGAGCAAATGTCCAGATGTATGTGTGTGTGTATGTATGTGTGTGTGTATGTGTGTGTGTGTGTATGTCACAGAAATTGTGTACAAATTATCTCAGACAAATTTTGATGGATTGTCCTGAAATTTTGCAGGTTTATTGCAGTCATTAATACCTGAAATCTGACACAAGGATTTTCAAAAATATGTACAAAATTTTTTTTTATACAATTTTTTTAAAATTCAGAAAATTTTTTTTTTTGTATTTTCTGAAATAATTTTTTTATTTGTTAATATTTTTATTAATTATTCTCAAAATTACATTCCTGGCAAGAAAACGAATCGATTGATGTATACAAAGTATATATTTTATCAAAATTTATAAAATTAATAAATATTTTTCTTTTTCACAAAAAATTCAAATTTGGTATTTTTTTCATAATTAATTTAATATTAATATTAATATTTTGAAATGATTATTCTATCATAAAATAGAAGCAATTGGCAAATGAAAGTGTAAATTTCACCAAATATTTATACAACAACTTATAAATGATTTATATAATTTTATTTTTAACCAATCTTCTGGACATAAAATTTTGTACATAATTTTTCAAAAGTTTGCAAAACCGCAATTTTTATATATTGAGGAAGCTTAATGGTCATAAAATGAACAACTTGTTTTATTAAATATATGTATAATAATTGAATGTTTCTTCAAATTGACTTCTCATAAAGAATTTTATCAACAAATTTTTAAATCATCGAAATTTTTTCACAAACTTTAATAAAATTTTTAAGAATAATTGAATTTCTACGAAGAAATTTTTATTTATGAAAATAACGAAATTACTGGGAAAAATTATTTTATAACAATTTTTGAAAATATAATAAATTCCTCTAAAGAATTTTATAGTATTTATAAAAAAAATTAAATTCATTGCATTTTTTTATGAAAATAATTAAATTCTTGCGAAGAATTTTATTGAAATTATAATCAAAATAATTGAATTCAACTGAAAAACTTTTTTATTTATTAAAATAATTGAATTTCGACGAAGAATTTTATTATTTATAAAAATAATTAATTTCTGTAAAAAATTTTAATCAAATTTTTAACAACAATTGAATTTCTACGAATAATTTTTTTATTTATAAAAATAATTGAATTATTGAGAAGAAATGTATAAAAAAATTTGTAAAATTTGTATTATTTATGAAAATAATTAAATGTTTACTTAGAATTTTATTAAAATTGTTTTTAAATAATTGAATTATTTGAGAAAATTGTATTATATTAGTAGATATTGAAAATCATTGAATTGAGGGAAAATATTGGAATATTATAATTGAAATTTTACTAAGAATTTTATTCAAATTTCTGAGAATAACTGAATTTTGAGGATGAATTTTATTATTTATGAAAATAATTGAATTTCTCAGAAGCATTTTTTATTAATAAAAATAATGGAATTATTGTGAAGAATTTTATAACAATTTTGGAAAATAATTTAATTCTTCTGAAGAATTTCATTATTTAGTAAAATAATTGAAATCATGTGAAGAATTTTATTATTTATGAGAATAATTCAATTTTTGTGAAGAATTTTACTAGAAATTTTTAAAATAATTGAATTTCGACGAAAAAGTTTTTATTTATGAAAATATTGCCGAAGAATTTTTTTATTTATGAATATAATTGAATTTTGACAAAGAATTCAATTATTTATTAAAATAATTAAATTTCTACGAAGAATTTTATTATTTACAAATTTTATCTATAAAAATAATTAAATTTCTGAGAATAATTTTAACAGATTTGTTTTAAAATAATTCAATTTGTTTGAAAATTTTGAAAATAATTGAATTTCTACGAAGAATTTTGTTATTTATGAAAATAATGAAATTAATGCGAAGAATTTTAAAACAATTTTTGAAAACAATTAATTTTCTCTGAAGAATTTTATTATTTATGATGATAATTGAAATTATGCGATGAATTTTATAACAATTTTTGAAAATAATTAAATTCCTGTGAAGAATTTTATTATTTATGAAAATAATTGAATCTCTGCGAAGAATTTTATTATTTATAAAAATAATTGAATTATTGTGAAAAAGTGTATAAAAAATTTGTAAAATTGAATTTCTGTGAAGAATGAACTATTTATGAAAATAATTAAATGTTTACGTAGAATTTTACTAAATTAATAATTCATTAAAAATTGAAATTTTACAAAACCTCAATTAAAAACTTCTCGAAATTCATCTAATTATTGAAAATTTTGTATTAGAATTCGTGGTAATTTCATAGTTTATGGGGCAAACTGCAAAAAGACACAAAAATTCAGAATTTTCTTATGAATTCTAAAAATTAAATTTTTTCCCGCACTTTTCATAAAAATCCCTGACTTTTCCCTGATTTCCCTGATCTGTGGCAACCCTGGCTAAAGTTTTGCAGTAAAAATTAGAAGCGTTTTGTTTAAAATTATTTACATCATCGATCAATTGGCTGGTACTTCCATTCGGTTGCTTTTAAATAATCTAACTCCTTTCGTAATGATTGCACTCGTTTAATGTGTAATTCACGACTCGCTCGTTTCTGATGTTTTTGAACTTGTAATTCCGAATTTACGTGATTGAGAATTTTATTACTTTGCGAATTAGATGAATTTAATTCGGAATCCTCTGGTTCTGGTGTTCGTTGACCTGATGAGGAGCCCAAAGTATTTGGCGAAAGTGCAGATGAGTTCATAATTTCATTTGTTCTAGAAAAAGGAAACAATATTTAACGTTACTTCACTGTTTTTTTACTCTTTCTTTTTTTTCCTACTGTCTTTTTAACAACAAAGTTGACAAAGTTCTTAGAGCGCAATTAAATTTCTATACAATCATTCCGGTACCTAACCTCAAAATTTTACCTGGGTAACTGTCTCGACGATTCTCGTCGCTACTATTTGGAACAACTCGAGATTTTGCAGCACACAATTTCACTCACGAGGTATAGATCTTTTAACTTAAAAAAAAACTAATTAGAATCTGTAATTATTCTATGTATTTTAAGTACACTAAAGTATATACATACAACATCACAAAAAACAAAGAATTATTTTGACAAGCGTAGTCGCAGCTGAAACTGTCAAAACGGAAGTCAAACGTAAGAGATTGTCAAAAATTTCCGTAGTGCCAAGAAAGGAAATATCGAGATTTTCGAAACAAACTCGAAAAACTGAGAAACTTCAAAAACCATTTGGATTTTGTTGTGATGAAAAATTGCAGGATTTTAATACAAAATATGATGAACGGAAACCGCCATTCACATCGTCCTTGACTAACGTAGTATTAAATGGTGGCGGGCCTGATTTGAAATTTCGAATAAAGGATATTTTTTTCCTTCAAGCGTCTGCATCATCGTCGTCGCCTAGAATTGCTAGTGCAAAATCTGCGACCCACAAGGTTCATTTAAAGACAACAACTGCTAATGTCGGAGCTTGTAAATGGAGTCACGGACCAATTAATTGGTATTTAGAGGACGAAATCGCTCGCGCCCAAGAGATAATCATCAAAAATAAGCAAAAACATCGGGGGGATAAAATTAAAGTTCTCTTCACGAGGAAAAGTAATAATAATGAAAATTATATACAAAATTAGAAGTTAATATATTAAATATTTTTTTACTCTTCAAATAAAACGTAATTAATTTGACATTCTTTTCTAAAATTCGAAGTACTAACTTCTGTCAAACAAATTTTTCCTATTAATTTCGTTTTCAATTTCAGAGAGAAAAATAACGAAAAAAGATGTTTCCGAAATAAAAATTACTGACGACAAAGATGAAAATACAAGTAACAGTATTGAAACTACAATCGATGAGAACGAATGAAAAAACAAAAAATTAATAAACATATAATTATGTCTAAAATTTGATATTTAAACTAAAGTGACAAATAAACTCAATATCCTTTATATCAGATTGTTTATTTAAAAAAATTAACTCTCAACAGTTTACAAATTTTACAATAAACATATAATTACAAACGAGGCCTAAATACTATTTTTTGTTAGCCATTTTTCACTCTTGTCTCTAACAGTCAAAAGTGTAAGTGAAAATCATGGCACTTAATTACTTTTTTTTCTAACGAATTTTTTCAAGTACTGTAATTAGAAAATATAGTCTTTCTTTTTGACATTTTCGCATATTAATTTTTCTTATATTTAAGTTCACCGTTTCCAATATTTCAATTAAATTCCTAAACTTTATTTACATTTTTCTACTGAGAATTGTTTAGGTTTTTATTGACGATCGAAAAAATAAAAAAAAAAATCACTGTTTTTTCATCGATCTATATTTGGAAAAATGGACTATAAAAAAAATTCCAACTCTAGTGAACAATATAAATATAAATATAACTAAAAAAAATAAAATATTTCTCACTTTTTTCCAAGTCTTATGTTTTTTGCGTTCTCGCCAACTAATTTTTTTTCCTAAATAGTATATAAACTTGATTTTTTTTTTGAATAAATAATGAAAATGCGCCAGGCATTTAATTATTAAATTAACAATATTAATAATAAGAATAATTCTATGGCATATGTGTTAATGAAACAAAAAAGTAAGAAAAGCATTTTGAGTAAAAAAAATTACGTCGATCGCTAATATAGAGTCGAATTTCTTTGGTAAGACAATAAATGTCCGCACAAGTGTAAAAAAAAAATTTCTTTGAAAAATAAAAAAAAAGGGATTTTAAAATTCGAAAATAACTAGCGAGGAATGTTTTCTTTCTTTTTCAGAAAACTTGTTTGTCTACACTTCGGAGACAAGTTCGTCGTCGGTGGTTGTTTCGTTCAATGGCACAGATTCATTAACGCTGTGAGATTGATTTTTTTCCTCGAGGGTTGATGATTGTTCTCCAGAGACGGTGCCTGGTAAAATTTTTTCTTCGCGTGGTAGAGACAGACGTCTATCGTTTAACACTACGGAGCATTCGGTGATTAGATGCCCGTATTCGTGAGCTAGATTTTTCGATTCATCGGTTGATTGATTTTCTAATTCTGTGCCAATTTTAGCCTCGTTAGATTTGCAGTTATCGATGATCTCGACTTCGGGAAGTGCTTCCTTGATATTTTCTGAGTTTATGACTGTTACGGTAGTTTCGTTACTTTCCTTAGATTCGCCGATTGTTTTTTCTGACGCGGTGCTTGCGGATGTTACTGACGACGTTTCGATGTTGTCTTCAGCTTCGCAAATACTTTTCTGCTCGGCGTTGTCAACACTCACTTGAGTTTCGGAAAGTGTATTATCATCAATCGCACTGTCGTTGAGTACCGGAGTCATTTTGCCAATTATATCATCGGGTGTTAATTCAGGCGAAAGTGGTGCATCAGACTCTTTTACATTTAAAGAATCAATATCCACACTCTCATTTATTGTGGGAGTCATTTGGGCGATTATATCCTCAGGTGTCAATTCCGGACAGAGTGGTTTTTCAGAACCCTCTCTTTTTAATGACTCATCATTCTGCTGTGACTCATCAAAGGTGGAGGAGAATTCCTGACTCTTTTTCTCAATCTCTATATTCTCCATATCGTGTGATGAATCAACATTTTCCGAATGAAAAGCACTGTCCGATGATATGGTGACATTCTTCTCGTCCACATTCTCCTTCAAAGAAGTATTCTCCTCGGTTAGGTCAATAACTTCCGGGGTTGATGCGACTTTCTCCGAATCTGGTACAATGTCCGAAGATGAAGTGACATTTTTTTCGTCTACATCTTTTTCCGTTTCTCTCTTTTCTTCCACTGTTTCCCGACTGCAAAGAGGAGACAATAATTCAACGACATCCGTTCCTTGATAAATTAACCCAACTTCCTTCTTCTCAAGATCGAGTATTTTAAATTCGAAACTAGTAGCACCATCGTCGTTCACATCGAAAAATTTATCACAAGCTTCTTTGGACCATTCGACGATATCCGATGGTTTGCGAAGAGAATACTGAGTTGACAAATAATCCATTTCAATTAAATCTTGAGGAAGAGCTCGTAATTCGGTTACTTTCGATCTATTTCCAAAATCAACGTAAATAACTTCGGTCGCATCATCAGAGTGAGAGAGAATCTTTGCTCGATACCAATTGCCATCGTCTGGGAATTTTGCGGCGCACATTCTTCCGACATCGAAATTCTTCAATTGATGGAAACTCTCAACGTTTGCTAAATGTTCGTACACTTCGTCGAGTTTGGCTAAATCACTTTCCGTCTGTCCTGAGAACATTGATGGTGAGATTATGTTAGTTATTGCCATTGTTGAATTCTCTTCAGAGATACCTTCTGAGAGAGCATGGGAACTATCGTCGCGTATCGAGGCGAGAATTTCAGCGACATCCTCATCGTTAAGTGATAATTTGATAATTGGAACTTCGCCAGTTTCGAGAATTTCCATCGAGAGAGATGATTTGCTGTATTTCGAGAAAGCGGTTGTAGCGGCTTGTGACCATTTCTTCAGGTTCTTGGGTAATTGTAGGGAGAACTTCTTCGAGAGTGGTGGATCGTTAACCAAGCTTGATGGTAATTGATGAAATTGGGTGCAAATACGAGTGTAACCTTGATCGATGAGGAAAACTTCGGCTTCCTTTTCTTTGAGCGATTCAATGCGAACTCGATGCCATTCGTCGTCTACTTTTCCAGCGCACACCAGAGCTGTTGAATAAATTTTGATAAGTAAATAAAAAAATAGAAAATAAATATGAAACAGAAAGGAAATTAGAAATACAGGCCACGGATCGACTTTAATAACATTTTCACTATTTTCAACGTCTATAGGGGCAAAAACAACTCGTTAAACCTGTGGATCATTTGACTGCAACAGGGTTACCACAAAAAATTAATTTTGTTTTTCCCTGACTTTTCCCTGATTTCCAGACAAAATTTTAACTTTTTTCCTGGCCCTAAAGAATATTCTGATTCACTCTAAAAATTATTAGATACCAAAAAAAATGAAATAACTTCGAAAAATAAATTTAAAACTATGAAAAAATGAATGAAAATTGTTTCGTTGAAAAATTCTGTGAACATTCAAAATCAATAACTTTATACCTATTTAAATAAATATTTAATCACTATTATTTTCTCATAGAAATTAAAATTCTTCAAAACATTCAAATTCAAAAACTTATAATAATTTAAACTTCCATAACATTATTCAGAAAAATTAAATTATTTACAAAAATTTTAATAAAATTCTTCGCAAGAATTCAATTTTATTTATACAATTAATAAAATTTTTCACATGAATTCAATTATTTTTACTATTAATAAAATTCTTCATCGGATTTCAATTATTTTTAATACAATTATTTTAAACAAATTCATCGAAAAATGTAATTATTTTCAAAAATTTTTTTCAAGAATTCAATTACATTTCATATGTAAATAATGAAATTCATCTCTGAAATTCAAATATTTTCAAAATCTACAATTTTAATAAAATTTCTTAAAAGAATTCAATTATTTTAAAAACATGCAATAAAATTCGTTGCAAGAATTCAATTATTTTCATAAATAATAAAATTTTTCAAAGGATTTTAATTATTAAAAAAAATGTAATAAAAATTCATTGCAAGAATTCAATTATTCTCCTAAATATGTAATAAAATTCCTCACAGGATTTCAATTATTTTTAATGCAATTTTAAGAAAATTCTTCGAAAAATGTAATTATTTTCAAAAATTGTAATTATTCTCAAAAATTGTATTAAAATTCTTCAAAATAATTCAATTATCAACTATCAATGATTTTTAATATTTTTTGCAAAAGTTCCTTAAGAATTTTCAAATCTATTTGCTTACAATTTACTTTGACGAAAATTCAATTAATCAAAAATTCTTCAATTAAATATTTAGAAATTAACAAAAACTTGAAATAATTCAATTAAACTTTTTTAAAAAAATTAATTATTATCTAAAATTTTAACTGAAATTCAATTTTAAATCAATTTTTATTAGAAAATTCTACATTCAATTATTTAAATACAAAAATATATAATTTATTGAATAATTGAATATTTCTTAAAATTGAATTCTTATAAAGAACTTTATCAAAAGTTTTTTAAATAATTGAATTATTTCAAATAATTTTAATAAAATTTTCAAAAATAATTACATTTTTTGAAGAAATCATTTAAAATTGTATTAAAAATAATTGAAATTAAAAATTTAATTAATTAAATAATTTACTTCTTGTGAAAATTTTATTATTTATGAAAATAATAAAGATAAAAAATAAAATTTGTAAAAATACAAATTCAATGGTTTTGAAGAAAATTCAAGTTAGTAGGAGAAATTTAATTAAAATTGTACTGAAAATAATTAAATTCTTCTAAGAAGTTTATTACAATTTCTAAAAAAAAGTGAATTCTATCGACAAAATATTGTTAAATTTAAAAAAACTTAATTAAATTCCATCAAGAAATTTTATTAAAATTGTATTGAAAATAATTTAATTTCTCTGAAGAATTCTATAACAAGTTTTAAAAATAATTGAATTGCTGCAGAGAATTTTATTAAAATTATATTCAAAATAATTAAATTCTTTCGAGGGATTTTATTAAAATTGTATTGAAAATAATTGAATTCCAACGAATAATTTTCTTATTTATAGAAATAATTGAAATAGTGGAAAGAAGTTTATTCACATTTTTGAAAATAATTAAATTCCTCTGAAGAATTTGATTATTTATTGAAATAGGTAATTGAATTTTTGCAAAGAATTTTAACAAAAATTTTTAAAATAATGGAATTTCTACGAAGATTTCTATTATGTATAAAAATAATTGAATTGTTTCGGAAAAATTTATTACATTTTTTAAAATAAATAAATTCTTTTGGGAAATTTTATTAAAATAGTAGATAAGTACTGAAAATAATTAAATGTCGACAAATTTTTAAAATTAATTATGTTTCTACGAAGAATTTTATTAAAATATTTTGTAAGCAATTTGATTTGTTATGAATAATTTTATTTTAATTTTTGAAAATAATTACATTCTTTCAAGAAATTTAAGTAAAAATGTATTGAAAATAATTATGAAATTCTAATGCACGAATTATATCAATTTTTTTAAAAATATAATAATTGATTTCTTTTGAAGAATAATTATAATAAAATTTTTTAAGAATAATTCCTTTTTTCAAGGAATTTATTTAAAATTGTTTTAAAAATAATTGAAATCCTGCGTTGACTTTAATTAGTTATGAAAATAATTGAATTTTTGCTATTAAATTTTATTAAAATTTTTAGAAATATGTAATTGAATTCCTGAGAATAAGTAATTGAATCGTCCAAAAGAATTTTAGTTAAATTTTTGAGAATAATTTTTTTTTTCGAATTTAAGCTAGTGCAAATACTTGAGAAACAATTAAAAAACTAACATTTAGTGTCATAAATCCAAAAAAAGTTTCCAAATAGTAACAAATCGTAAAAAAAGAAGTAAATAGCTTAGTAGATGAGTACGAAGCCTGCAATTTTCCTAAATTCTTTTAAACAAAGGGGAAAAAGGAAATATTTATTCTAATAAACATGATTTTAGGTATTTTACGGAGATAAAAAAGGAAAAAAAAAAGAAATTTTAGTAACAAATTGTCCAACAGTAATCCGTAAGATAGAAATATACTTGAAAGAATGAAAGATAAAATAATTACTCACCGAGTGTCAAATCATCAAGCGACCTCCACTCACAGGCTTTTGAAAGTTGACGTTGAACATTGTCCAAATTGCCACCAACTTGTCCCCAGAATTCAGAGGGTGAAATTATATTCCCCAGCAAAATGGTACCATCGTCTTGAGCGGTTTCTTCGACACTAGCAGGAACATCATCGATTTTTGGAGTGACTTCCTCGTTCTTCTCGTCAGCATTCTTCTCCTCCTCCTCCTCTACTTCTTTCTCTTCCGTCATTTTTCCACTTGCTCGGATCGATTCCAGTAATTTTTCCGTCACGCTTTCGTCATTTAGTTTCAGGTCAACGACAGCTGGATCACCTTCCTCGAGAACTTGCACAGTGAAAGCACAAGTACCATCGGCAGAAAATTCGCATAATTGACTCTGAGCTTCTTTAGGCCACTCGGATAAATTTTCTGGTAATTTTAGAGAACACTTTCTCGCGAATGGTGTCAATTTTTTAAGTTCTTCTGACAATTCCCGCAGCTCTTTCACTAATGACGTATTTCCGTAGTCGATGAAAAGCACTTCCGTTTCGGTTCCATTTTTAGAAATCACTTTTCCTCTGTACCACGCCTCATCTTCGGGAAATAGAGCAGCGTAGACTGAACTTTCTTTTGGATCCGTGATCTTAGGATCTTTCTCAAGGACTTCGAGGTCAGAACCAAGATTGTAGAGGTCGTCTGACAGATCTTCGCGTTGGACCCAAAATTCCTGGAGGGAATTGAGTTGACTGATGAAAGCGACTTTATTTTGTATTTCGAGTTTTTTTTGCTGGGGAGCAGCTTCCGGAACTGACTCTTCAGAAACTGTTTTTTCGGAAACAGTCTCTTTCGAAACAATTTCTTCAGGAACAGTTTCTTTCGAAACAATTGCTTCGGGAACAGTTTCTTTCGAAACAGTCTCTTTCGGAACAATTTCTTCAGGAACAGTCTCTTTAGGAGTCTCTTTAGGAGCAGTTTCTTTTTCCGGAGCAGATTCGACTTCCGGTACAGCCTCCTGTTCCTTAACATCTTCCTCAATCGTCGTCAACTTCTCCGCAGTTTTTTCCTTCTTGGAAATCAATTTTTTCGCAATATTTTCCCTTTCGAAGAATAGATTAACCACCGCCGTGTCATTCTCCTCGATAACGTCGAGAAGAAGTGCAACAGCTCCGTCGCCGGAAATATTACAAAAATCATTGAAAGCAGTCTGCGACCATTCATCGCTCGTCGACGGCAATTTCAAAGAGCACTTCTTAGCGAAAGCTCCAATCTCCGCAATTTCTTTCGGCAACTCCCGAATTTCCGTACATGTCGACGAATTACCATAATCAATAAACAACACCACCGTCTCATTTCCACTGTGCTTGACAATTCTTCCCCGATACCACTGCTCATCATCCGGATACTTCGCCGCACACAGCAATCCCTCCTTGATCTCATCAATTTTTCCATAATTTCCCGCCTCCAACAACTTCTCCTGCAATCCCTCAATTTCATCAATCTCCTTCTCCTTCTGCACCCAAAACTCCTCCGTTGAATTGATATTAGAAACGCAAATTGACACCGCAGGTGCCAACTTCTCGGCAATGTCTTCATTCTCCAGCGTCAGCTTAACAATCGCCGTCTCTGCTTCGACAAGCACGTCGAGTAAAAAGATAGTCGCCCCATCAGCCGAGAGTTCGCAGAAAGTATCAAAAGCCCCTTGCGGCCATTTTGTCGCATAATACGGTTTCAAAAGAGAACACCACCTCGCCAGTGGAGGAATAGAAGCGACGTCTTCGGGAATAGCCCGAATTTCCGTGACTTCCGCATTATTTCCATAGTCGATGAAAAGCACCTTCGTTCCCGTTTCACCAGGCGCCAAAACTCGTGCTCGGTACCAATCGCCATCGGTAAATTTAGCCACACAAAGCGTCCCCTCCTTGACATCCGTAACTTTCGGCAACATATCAGCGACTAGGAATCGATCCTGAATTTTCTCGAGATTAGAAACTGATTTCTCCTCCTGTATGTAGAAATCACTGAGCGAATTGATGTGACTTATGAAAGCGGATCGTGGATCAAGTTCAACGTCAACGAGTTCTTCCACTAGTTCATCATCCTGATGCATTTTCACAGCCTTGCCTTCCTCGACCAGCCTATCGATGACACTCTTTCCGTCAATGTACAAATCGATCCGCTTCGGAACTCCATCGACAATCAAACCAGCCTCTAAATTCAGGGTTTTTAAACTCTGCATCCATTTGCAAATCGCGTCACTCCATTCTTCTGAATCAATAGGCAGAACGTCCAACCTACACTTTATTCCAAACACCTTTTTCCCTTTCATCGAATCCGAAAGTTGTTTCAAATTCTCCGGTTTAGTTGAAATAATATCCGTTTTTCCGTAGTCGATAAACCGGGCGGTGGTAATTTCCTCATCAGCGTCGATAATTTCCGCTCGGTACCAAACATTATCGGAACAAACAGCACAGAGGGAACCTTCTTCCAAAACTTTATCCACCGCTTGATAAGAGGCCACCGATCTTTGTAATTCGCTCTGCAGCTCCTTCAGTTGACTAATCTCGTCGTCTCGTTGTATCCAAAATTGCGCCGGCGAATCCGCATGAGAAACGTGACATTTAAATCTTTCCCCTCCGGGAATCTTCACTCCACTATCAACTTCCGTGACTTCCTTAACCAAATTAAGTTCCTTCAAAGTCTCACTCAATTTAACACCATTTTCAATCAACTCGACAACCCATTTCTTTCGAACATTATAGAAAATCGCTGTAAATTCCTTGCCAATAAGATGTGGTTTCAAAGCATTTACTTGTTCGGAAGGAGAACCGTCCAGGGTGACATTTAGAGAAACATGGATTGCCAGTTGATGTGGAACGTGAAAACTAGGTTCGAGTACTTTTAATTTATCACAGGCGATATTTTCGTTCATTCCATAATCTATTAAGTTGACAAAAACTTGTCTATCGTCAGTCTTTTTGATAATTTTGGCACGAGAGAAGGTTCCACTGCTTTCGATGACGCACAATTTGTTTTCTACAGCGTCAGCTATTTCGCCCTTCTTCGCATAAAATTCACTCAATTCGCGATTGAGCTTCTCGTCTTTCTTGGCATCGGACGCCATTTGTAGCCATAAACTGTTTGAATGATTTGCGCATGAAACGCTTACTTTATGTGTTGAACTTAAAATTGGCATTGGACAGACTGGAGGAATTTTTACATCTGGATTGTTGTCGTTGAATTGAATTTTACATCCTATTGAGTCGTACAATTCGACGATAAGTCTGAAATAGAGGAAAAGAAATAAATTAATACAAATAAAAATAAAAAAATTAATAAATAGAAATTATTTATCTTAACAAAATTTAGATTTTCAAAAATTTTGAAGTTCAAACTTTTTTTAAATTCAACAACTTGTAAGAATATTTTATTTATTATTATGAAACATCTAGAAATCGATCATTTCGAGTCGAAGATTCATGTTTAATTTTCATCCTTTTAATTTAATTATTATTTTCTAGAATTTTTAATTAAAATTCTTCTTTAAATCAATTATTTTTAATCATTTTTAAAAAAGTTCTTTGAGAATTTTAAAGTCCATTTGTTTAAATCTTCTGAAACTTAAAAATTTATAAAAATTGATGATGTAATTTCTGAAAAATAAATTTCATGATTTCAATTAAATTATTTTCTGAAATTTTATTTTTCAATAATTTTGAAATAAAATTTTTGTGTAAATCAATTATTTTTAAGGCTGCGTCTACAACAGAAAAAATAATGTGTAGAAAATTGTGTAAAATATAGTGTAATTGCCCCTGACAGTTGTCAATGCCAAAAACAATACACATTACACTACAAATTACACATTATTTTTTTCTATTGTAGACGCAGCCTAATGATTAGCAAATGTTACGCAAACAGAACGTGATATTCTATTATTATGCACAATACAAAATTTTTTAATTTCAATTATGAATTTTTGAATAATTTCAGGTTCAAACTTAAAAAAAATTCAATTATTAACTAATTTACTAATTAATTATTCTTGTTTATTAATTTCAAAAAATCCAATTAATATAATTCTTTGCAAAAATTAAATTATTTTCATAGACAATAACATTTTTCGTAAGAATTCAATTATTTTTACAAATAGTAAAATTTTTTGTAAACTTTCAATTATTTTTAAAACAAAATTCTAATAAAAATTATTAATTTCACGAATAAATACAATTATTTTCCAAAATTTTAATAAGCCCTTTGAAACAATTCAATTATATTTATAAATAGTAAAATTCATTGCAAAAATTCATTTTTATTTTGAAAAAAATTTCACGAAAGAATTTAATTTTTTTTCTCAATTCTTTTAAAATTTTTCAAAAGAATTCAATTATTTTCTAAAATTTTAATAAAATTCAATAATTAAATTTTAAATTTCAATTATTAACAAACACGATTATTTTTAAAACTTGAGAGAAATTGTTTATAAAATTCAATTATTTTCAAAATTTTAAATTAAAATTATTAAAGGAAACTTCATTCTTTTAAAAAAAAATTCCAAGAAATTCTTAAAAAAGAATTTAATTGGAATTTTTGTAAATTTTAACAAAATTCTATTGGATAATTCAATTTTTTTTCTAAATAATAAAATTCTTTGAAGGAATTCTTTCAAATTCTGTCAAATTTTTTGATAAAATTCTTTGCAACAATTAGATGATTTTCAAAACATTAATTTTCAAATTGAAAATATTTAAAAAGAAAAATTATTTAAAAAGTTAAGAAATAAAGGAGCAATCAACAACTAACTTCATTCTGCGAACAGATTACCGTAATACAACGATTATTAATATAGATTTTTAATAATTTTTAAAAGGATCTTTAAGAATTTTCAAATCCATTTGTTTACAATTCAAAAATTTAGAAGAATTGTTGCTGAAATTTCTTGATTTCAATTCAATTATTATCTAGAATTTTATTTTTCAATTATTTTTAAGTACAATTTTTTTGTAAATCAATTATTTTTAATAATTTTTAAGAAAATACTTCGAGAATTTCAATTCTCAAATTATTAAAAATTCAAATTTTCGAAAATTTCAATTGGAACTTTTTTTGGATTATTTCTAGAAATTTCTACTATAATGATTCTTATATTCAATCATTTTCTCGACTTTTTAACTTAAATTCTTCTCTAAACCAATTATTTTTGTATTTTTAATAATAATTCAATTTGAAATTTTTCGAAATTCAATTACTTAGAAAAATTGCAAAACGCAAAGCTTAGAAAATTCAATTATTTTTCAAATTTTTTGAAAACTTATACATTAAATAATTTTACAATATTTAGTTCTTTAAGAATTAAATTATTTTAAAGAACTTCAATTTCATATTCTATAAAGTTCAATCATTATTGAATTAAAAAAATTTCAGGTATTGTATTAAAAAAAATTTGGGGTGATTTTAAAGTTTTTAAGGCAAACAAAAAGAAATTCAAGAAGAATTAAGACTTTTTAATCATTTCAAAGGCCTTGAATTTAATATTTTTAATATTAAAAATGTAATAGATTTAAATTCAAAATCAGATAATTTATTAATTTTAATATTTAGTAAATTTAAAAAATATTCGTTTTCAGTTTTATTTGCATTGAAAATATTCAGAAAAATTCTCAAAAGAAAAATAAATATAAATACAAACCTGTTCTTGTCGACACTTTCAACGTAAATAATTACTTCTTGGTTTAGCACCAATTTCTTCAGTCTTTCGTCTAGAGTTGGGGATGGATTGACATTATGAAGAGCACACTCGATTGCTTGATTCTGCATTACAGCCAATTGACTAGGAAGAGCGAGTACCTTAAAAAATGCAAAAAGAAATTAGTCTCATTCTTTAATATTTTACATTCAAAAATATTACATATAATGAGGACTACAAATAGTTAGTAGTGGCATGTTCATAAATTTAGAACGATCTAATAATAAACTAACTTTCGCTATAGAATCTAATTACTTTTGAATTAAGTTTTCTATTACTTTTGTAACTATTGTAACTATTTATCGTTCATGCACATTTTAGGAGATACAGGAAATAAATCAAATAAATTAATGATTAAAAGAGTTCATTTTGATTGATTTACGAATAAGGGGGGTGGGAGAAACAAAGGAAGATGAAAGTTTCAACTAGAAATTAAAGATAAAAAAAATAATGAAATTATAAAAAAATATTGTTATTTCGATGAAATGAAGTAGTATTAAGAAGTTCAGTGAGCATTTCAATGTGGATTTATTTCCACAGGAAACAAAACTCACTCGATCCAGCGATATCTTGTCATACGCTCCAGTATCAATAAGTTTGACATCGAAACTTTGTTTTTCACGACAGTTTACGATAACAGCACGCCTCCAAAATCCATCCTTAAATATAAGACAACCCGCGCCAAGGCACATCTCATGGCTTGATAATTGTGGCATCACCTAACATTGGCACACTACTTTTTACTAATTACGACCATTTTTCAATGTTTTGGTCTTTTAGAAATTTGCAGAGAAATTTTCTGGTTTTATTATGTCACATGCTTCTTGCTCTATTATTTTATTTTGTTAATAAACAAATTGTTTTAATATTTAGAGATCAGAAGGTACTAATTTTTTTTATTTCAAAGCAGTGAACCGCGAAAGAGAATTACGAGGAAAAAATTGTTAACGTATCGTATACAGGAAGTATAGGATTTTATTTGAAAGAGTCTTTGAGTGATTATAATGATTAAATATTAGTTTGCCAATGTTTTTTTTTACAAATTGCGTAGGTGAGTCAAATTATTAATTTTTGATTTTAATTTATGTAATTAACCCTTTGCTGCACAGTTTGACTAGTTTTTTTTGCGTAAAGAAATTATGCTTCAAAGGGTTAAACTCTAATGAACTAATGTAATTGATTAATTGCCAAACATTTAAAGTATTGAATTTGTTTAATTTCATTGTTAATTTAGGTATTATTAAATTTCACTGTTAACATATTATTTAGTTATTAATGTTAATTTATTATGAAATTTCGCTGTTAATTTATTGTTTAGATTTAATGTGAACAGACTTCGCACTCGATAATTAATTTTTAAAAAGTACCTTTAAAACTAAAAAAAAGTTATAAAAATGTAGCTATCAAAAATTAAATTTGACAACTAAAAATAACACAAAAATCACAAGAATTTGATTCTGCATTTTATTTCCCTGACATTTTCCTAATTTTCATCAAGAATATCAACTTTTTTCTTATCCTGCTAATAACTTCAAATCAAAATTTTTCCAAAATTCAATTATTTTATAAAATTTGTTAAATAAAATTATTCAAAACTTGAATATTTTTTATAGAAAAATAACTAATTTAATAATTTTTTTTAAAAAAAATATTTAAATATAATAACAATTTGACAGGAATTGTAATTTCCAACGATTTCAATTGAGAAACCTTTTGATATTTAATTATTTCTTAAAATTCATAAAATAACACTTCTAATATTCAATTATTAGCTAAAATTTCAACAGAAATTAATTTTTAAAATAAATTCTTCTTTGAAATGTCCACAAAAATTCAATTATTTGAATACAAAAATAAATAATTTGAAGAATAATTAATTGATTCTTAAAAATTAAATTCTTGCGAAGAATTTTATAAAAATTGTATTTTAAATAATTTAAGGAAGAATTTATCAAATGTGGAAGAAGTTAGCAATCTCTTTTCAAGGATTTCAATTGGAAAAACCTTTATAAATTTAATTATTTATAAATTAAAATTATTCTAAAAATTTTAAAAATGAGATTTCTAATTTCTTTCACTTTTCTATTTTAAATAATTGAATTCCTGTAAAAATGTTATCATTTATAAAAATAATTGAATGTTTGCGAACAATTATATCAAAATTTATTAAAAATAAGTAAATGGAATTTTGAAAATTTTTTTAAAACAATTAAACAGTTTCAAAAGATATTTTACTTAAAATTTTTCGAATTGTTTCTATCAAAATCTAAGAAATGTATTGAAATAGTAACAAATCGTAAAAAATGTAGTAAATAATAGGTGTTAGTAGATGAGTGCGAAGCCTGCGTGAATTTATTATGAATTTTCACTGTTAATTAATTATAAAATTTCACTTTTAATTTACTATTAAATTTCCCTTATAATTTGTTATTAAATTTCACTTATAGTTTATTTTTAAACATCACTTCTAATTCATTATTAAACTTCACTTTTAATTTATTATTAAATTTCACTATTATTTCGAAAATAAATAAATGGATTAAATAAAGGAAACAATAAATAGAAGAAATAATAAATAAAATAAATAACAATTAATTAGATTACTTAAATTGTAGATTTCAATTCCGGAAAAGTGCATAAGGTTTAGAATGTTGCAATATACATATTTATATAAAATGGAATCAGATTTGAAAAAAAAACATGCTTTTAAATTTAAAAATTCACATACCTTTGGGTCATTATTTTCCATGTAGGATGAAATGGCCTCATCGCAATAATTTGCCGAAGAGAATTGAATATGAAATTTAGAAACGCTTTCCACGCTGGAAACTTTAACGCGTAAAGTTTGCCCTGGAAGTAGTTCTATATCCAGTCTCGAAATATCACAGCTGGGTTCTTCTGTCGTTACTTTTTCTGGCTCTGTAAAATAAACAGAATAATTAAAAATTACGTAATAAAAATTACGATCTAATAAAATAAATGATCCATAAATTTTGAACCTTTAACTGAACTATAGTCAAAAAAATCTTGTAAGAAAAAAAATATTACCAATAGATTTTGGAGCGGAAGCTGGTGTACTAAACATGGCGTGGTTCTTTTCAACTAAAGCTTTGACGACGTCGATTTTATTGTGACTCAATGAAATCAAATATTTGTTATCCTTTTCTTCGTGATAGGTGCACTCGAATTCACCTTCATCATACAAATATTGCTCCACGCCCTGAGAATTACGATTCGTCCAAGAGCCACCGTCTACAGGAAAAATGTCCTTCAACGAACATCGAATGCCCTGCTTGGGAATAATCATAAATCTCTTCTCCACTGGATACAACTGACGCTGTTCTACAGTTGCCTTGTTTCCAAAATCAACATATTGAACCAGATAACTTCGATTGCCCTTAATCTCAATGATTTCTGCTCGATAGAGAGCATCATCTTGAGCGAAAATTGCCATCACTGGACAACCGGGCTGCAAATGACATAAATTCATAATTAAAACAATTTGAATTTAATTAGAAAAATTAATTTGAAATAAGATAAATTAAAATTACAAAGATTAAAAATTTTAACAAATTCAATTCAGAGTTGAAACTAAAATTTTAATTGATAAAAGTTTTATAAATTTAAAATTAAATTCTATCAAAATATAAATTAACAAAGAAATTTTAGAAACTAAACTATTTTAGGATTAACTAATTTTTACTAATTCAAATTTATTATTTACTTATTCAGAAAGTAGATTTTGTAGAAATATTTTCGTAAGAAAAATTTAGAAATTATATTATTTTTAATAATTTTGCGCTAATAAGTTGATTATTTTTTATTTTACAAATGATACTTTTTTTTAAAAAACAGAAATGTTATTTCAATTTTTTTTACTTTTATAATTCAAATCTGAAATTTCTTAATTAATTACATAAAGTTTTATCCAAATTTTTGAAAACTATTCACTTTTTTGGAAGCAGTTTATTATAATTTTTTAAAAATAATTGAATTCTTTTTAAGAATTTTAATATTTTTCAAAAATAATTGAATTCTTTTCAAGAATTTTAATATTTTTCAAAAATAATTCAAGACTTTTTAAGAATTTTAATATTTTTCAAAAATAATTGAATTCTTTTCAAGAATTTTAATATTTTTCAAAAATAATTTAAGACTTTTTAAGAATTTCAATATTTTCCAAAAATAACGAAATTCTTTTCAAAAATTTTTAAATTTTTCAAAAATAATTAAATTCTTTTTAAGAATTTCTTCATTATCTTTTAAAAATAATGTAGTTTTTTCCTATAATGTTGATTAAAATTTTTTAAATTAATTGATTTTTACTTAAAATTTCTCTCAATTATTACAAAATCGTGTTTGTTATTAATTGTAATTAAAAATTTGTTTATTAACATTTTTTAAATTTTTTGTAAATAATTCAATTCTTCTCAGAATTTTATTACAATTTTTGAAAATATTTTAATTCTGTTAAGAAATTTTATCAAAATTGTATTAAAAATAATTGAATTCATTCGAAAAATTTTTTAAAAATTTTAAAATAAGATTGAATTTCTATAAAAAATATGATTTTTGAAAATAATTGAATCCCTACCAAGAATTTGATTAAAATTGAATTGGAAATAATTTAATTCTTGAAAAAGAATTTTATAATTTATAAAAATAGAAGTGAATTCTTGGGAAGAAAATTATATTACAATTTTTGAAAAGAATTGAACTGTTTCAAAGAATTTTATTAAAAACTTTTGAAGATTGAATTTCTTCGAAAATATTTAGAACTTATGAAAATAATTTAATTTTGTTGATAAATTTTATAAAAATCTTTAAAAATAATTTAATTTTTCGAGAAATTTCATTTAAATTGTATTCAAAAGAATTAAATTTCTTCGAAGAATTATATTATTTCTAAAAATAATTGAATTTTTGCGAAGAATTATATTATTTATGAAAATAATTGAATCCTTGCAAAGAAATTGTTGAAAATTATAATTAGTTAGTTAATAAGTGAATTAATTATTATTTTAATCTTGAAATCATTGAAAAGTCGAAATTGAATAATCAGTAAATTTTTAGAAAAATTAAAGAAAAATAGAATAAAAACGTACCTTAAGTGTCTCGTTAATAGTTTTTCGTCCTGAGTAAACTTTCTGGATTTCCTCCATCATTGGTCTAAATTCTTTCTGCTTTGTTACGGACTGGCAGTAGAAACTATCGGTATTATCAAACCATGTGACAATAACAGTGTCCTTTGTTCCAGGCTTGACTCGCTCATCAACCCATTTGCTGTCAAATGAGGCAAAATCAATCTTTTGTTGACTCACATTCGTAATTTTAGTCACACTCGTATTTTCCTTTGACTTCGTCAAATCAACTCCAGGACAAAAAGTCGAATTGATAATTTCCTTCTTCGCCGTCTCATCAATAACCTCGCGTAGAAGAACTTTGAAAGTATCTTGATCTTTCCCAATAAATTCAATTTCCAACAATTTCCCATTCACTATATCGCTGAAATCGTTAATTTCCTCCTCTGTCCATTCGGTTTTCTCCGGTCCAAACAATTTACAAGGAACTGCTTGAATTGGCAATGATGTAAATTCATCGCGAATTTCTTTCAATTTATTGAAACAAACAACCTCGACATTTCCATAGTCGACAAATAGAACCGTTGCATTGGTGCCGTCGATTTTTTGAATTACCGCTCGATACCATCTCTCATCGTCGGCGTATTGAGCTATGCAGGGAATGTTTAATTTCACTTTTGATTTGTCCAAAACAACACCTCCACTTTCGTAGATAACGGCAATTTTCTCCATGAGTTCTTCGAGTTTTTCATTGTCGGGTATGAGATGAACGAAGAAATTTGAGAGATTACTGAGATAGATTATTTCACCTCTTTGTTTATTTCCAGGAATAATCGACGGTAAGGCAAATTCTAATGTTTTCGATTTGGAAAAATCGATGGGTTCGTCGAAATTGATTTCCTTAGGCTAAAAACAAAAAAAAGGGAAAATTCTAAAATTAAAAATGACAATTTGAAGCCTGATGGCTTCGCACTCGATAATTAATTAAAAAATTTAGAATCAAAAAGTAGCTTTAAGATTGAAAAGAAGTAGCTAAAGAATTAATTTAAAGATTTAAAAAATTGATTTTAGTTGATTCATAAAAATCACAAAAATTTGATTTTGTATTTCCACTGACTTTATCATAATTTACATAAAAAATATTAACTTTTTTTTACTCTGCTAATAATTTCAATCCAAAATTTTTCTGAAATTGAATTATTTTACAAACGTTTTGTTAGAATTCTTAACAAATAAAATTTAACAAAATTTTCTATTTTTTAGAATTATTTTTCCCAGAATTCAATTATAGATATACTTAAAATATTTTAATTAGAATTTTTTAAGACTAATTTCTTTTCATAATTTCTAAATTAAATTATTCAAAACTTGAACAATTTTTTAAAGGAAAATAACTAATTAATCATTTTTAAAAATAAATATTTAAATATAATTGCAATTTGACAGGGAATATAATTTTTTTTTACAGATTTTAATTTAAAAACCTTTTAAAATAATTATAATCAAGCGAATAATTGCTTTGTTTATATAAAAATAATTGAATTTTTCCAGGAATACAATTTTGTTAAAATTTTTGAAAATAATTGGATTTTTTTAAAAAAATTTTTCATTAAAAATTTTTAAAAAATAATTGAATTTTTTCGACGAATTTAATTACAATTGTATTGAAAATAATTGAATTCTTAATATAAACAAGTTTTATAAAACTTTAGAAAAATAATTGATTTCTTTTGGAAAGTTTTGTTAAAATTTTTCTAAATAATTCAATTATTTTGAGAAATTTTCTTAAAATAATTGAATTTCTGCGATGAATTTTATTATTTGAAAATATAATTTAATTCTTGCGAAAAATGGTATGAAAATTTTTAAAAATATGTAATTCAATTATTTCGAAGAATTTTATTAAAAAAAAATTATTAAAATTAATTTCATTATTTCGTAAAGAAATTTAATTAAAATTGTATTAAAAATAATCGATCTGCAATTTTAACTTAAAATTATTTTTAAATCAATTCTTATTAGAAAGTTCTAAAAGAATTCAATTATTTCAAAAGAAAAAAAAAATTTATTGGATAATTGAATATTTCTTAAAATTGAATTCTTTAGAAGAATTTTCAGAAGATTTTAAAAAAATAATTGAATTTTTTCGAAGAATGCAATTAAAATTGAATTGAAAATAATTATAATCAAGCGAATAATTGTATTATTTATATAAAAATAATTGAATTTTTCTAGGAATACAATTAAAATTGAATTGTTACTAATTGTAATTGTGTTGAAAATAATTGAATTCTTAATATAAACAAATTTTTTAAAACTTTAGAAAAATAATTGATTTCTTTTGGAAAGTTTTGTTAAAATTTTTCTAAATAATTCAATTATTTCGAGAAATTTTATCAAAATAATTGAATTCCAGCGATGAATTTTATTATTTGCAAAAATAATTGAATTCTTGCGAAAAATGGCATTAAAATTTAAAAAAATATGTAATTCAATTTTTTTGAAGAATTTTATTAAAATTAAAAAAATTAATTCCATTATCTCGTAAAGAATTTTAATTAAAATTGTATTAAAAATAATGGAACTCTTACTATATATTGAATTTTTTATTTATGGAAATAATTAAATTCTTTCCAGGAATTCAAAATAATAGAATTTTTGTAAACAAATTTTATCAAAATTTTTGAAAAGTTTTTGATTTTGAAGAATTTTATTAAAATATTTTAAATAATTGATTTATTTCGACAAATTTTATGAAAATTATATTCAATATATTTGAATACCTGGGAAAATTTTATTGTTTACGAAAATAATAATAATAATAATAATAATAATAATAATAATAATAATAATTGAATTTTGCGAAAAATTTGATTAAATTTGATTGTAAATATTTAAAGTAATGCAAATTTTTGAAAAAAGAAGAAAAAAGTATCTTTTAGTGGCACAAACTAAAGAGTTTCTAAATAGTAACAACATAAAAAAAAATCTTACCTCATTAGAAGAATTATCACGACCGTACTTTGGCTTAGAATTAAATCTGTTGTTGTCATCTGAAAAGAAAATAATTTTTTTTTAATAATTTTCTAAATTTTATTATTTTTAATCGTACTTTTCGAGAAAATAGAATTTTAGTTTGAATGTATTAATATTATTTAAATTAAATATACCATGATTCCTGGGTTTGAATCCATCATTGTCGTTTCCAAATTTATTGAACTGATTAGATTTGAAGTCCCTGTCATTTTTCCTCTGGAAGCCGCCGCCTTTCTCTCCACGTTTGCCGCTTCCTTTAGAAGACGTAGATTCATTATCGCTTGCATAACTCTTAGAGAATTTATTTCCTCCAGTTCTGTCGTCGTGCTGAGAATATTGATTAAATCTGCCTCCATCTCGGAAATTTCTGTCCGGTTTTGCTCCATCTTTATTAAAACGATCATTTCCTGCACTTCGATTAAAACGATCGTTTCCTCCATCTCGATTAAATCGATCGTTTCCGTCCTTGTTGAAGCGATCATTTCCATCCTTGTTGAACCGATCGTTTCCATCTTTATTAAAACGATCGTTTCCTCCGTCTCTGTTAAAGCGATCGTTTCCCCTGTCTCGATTGAATCGATCGTTTCCATCTTTGTTGAAGCGATCGTTCCCACCAGTTCGATTGAAGCGATCATTTCCCCCATCTCGATTGTAACGATCATTTCCTCCGTCACGATTAAACCGATCATTTCCCCCGTCTCGATTGAAACGATCATTTCCTCCATCTCGCTCAAAGGAATTATTGGCTGAATCGCGATTATTAAATCTCTCGTTTCTAGCATCGCGATTGAAATGACTACTCTCTCCGTCCTTTTTATTTCCATCATCATCGCCACTGCGACCAAATGGATTATTACCACCTCCATCTCGATTAAACGATCTATTGGGTCCATCGCGATTGAAATTGCCACTTTTTCCATTGCGATCACTATCGTCGCGCTGCTGATAACGATTGTCATGCCTTTGTTCATTGTGATCGTCCTTCCACGATTTTGTTCTGTTTCTCGAATTATCATCACTATTCGCTCGGAATGGATTCGTAGTATTGCTTTGCGTTGATACATTCGCCTCGTCTCTGTAAAAATTAAATTATTTCAATTATAGTCAAGTGCATTTTTTCAATATATTAAAAATGCTGGTGCAAAATATTAAATATATTCTAAAAAGAAATTTTCTAACAGTTGTATGAGAAAAAATTGTGCAAAAATGGTGTATTAAAAATGATAAACACCAAATGTTTGTGAAAGAACTTTTGCAGGGTTGCCACAAAAATTGAATTTTGTTTTTCCCTCACTTTTCCCTGATTTCCAGATAAAATTTTGACTTTTTTCCTGATTCTAAAGAATATTCTGATTTACTCTAAAAATTATTAGATGCTCAAAAAAATGTTCAATTATTTATAAGAATATTATAATAAAACATGAAGATAACGACTTTTCCCTCAATGCCCTGATTTCCCTGACCTGTGGCAACCCTGTTTTGTGCAAAATTGTTATTTAGAAAATTATTTGCTTTTAAAAAATATAAATAAATGTCTTTTTAAATTAGATGCGAGGCTTTGCAAAAAATTATAGAGAACAATATAAACATTGCAAAGTAAAAATAAAATTGTACAGTGCGAGAAAGCATTCTTATTTTACTAAAATTGTGCGATTGTGCAAAATGTTAAACTTCTAGTTTTATAAAATAAATTTTCTTCCATTTAGAAAAAATTTCCATTTAATATTCTAATTTCAATTTAATATTATATAATAAATAAATAAAATTAAAAATAATAAAATATTTTATTATTTATAAAAATAATTGTTAATGAGATTGCTATTTAAAAATAAAACTAAGTATTAATTCTTTATTGCTTTAGTCAATGGCAGTTTTTTTTAACATTTAAAAAAAAGCATTAAAATGTTGAATATTAAAAAAATTACAAAAGCGCAATTTTTATAATAACATGTTAACTACCACCAATTCACGATAAATTTTACATAAATTATGCAAATAAGTGATGAAGGTAAATAAACAATGAGTTTGAAGCAAACTATACAATTTTATCACACAATAGAATTACCGATTTTTTGGAACTTTGGATTTTAATTTTTGACGCTGTGCCATGATTGGTTGTTTTTTACTGTCAAACCTGCGTGTGATTACAGTAAATTAACCAATAATATATCCAGAACTCTCTAAATATTTAATAACAATTTTTCAAAATTAAGTACAAAATTAAAAATTAAATTGATAAACTAAATATCGAAATTGATAAATTTAATATTGACATTAATTAATTTTGATATACTAAATATTAAAATGACAAATTCGATAAATTTAATATTGAAACTATTAATTTGATAAACTAAATATTAAAATTACAAAATCGACAAACTAAATATAAAATTTATTAAATAGGACATTTGAATTAATGAATTAATGAATTAATGAAAATTTTGAGAAAAGAAAGAAAATCTTACCTCTGATGATTTTGAGGTGGTGTTTTTTCGACTTCATTCGATTTTTTACCTGCGACATTATCGACAGGTTTTGATTCGATTTGCATTTGATTAATTTCCATTAGGATGTTCTTCATTGGTGTTGTCGACAGGTCGAATAAATCGACAACTAAACATGTCTTTTGGGCATTTTTCACTGTCATTTGTAGACGTTTGTCATTAGTTAGTGTCTCGAATGCAGAATCAAATTCTGGTTTAGAATTTCGACTTTGAAAACCATTCAATACGCATAACATTGCTTGAGAGGGCATTTGTGTCACTAAATCCTTACTGATTGTTCGAAGTTGATTCACATTTACGGTTTCCTCATTGCCATAATCAACGTAGAGTACATTCACTTTGTCTCCAACTGACTTCAGAATTTTTACTCTGTACCTAAAGCAGAAAATGAAATGCAAATCAGAATTCTCTTCTAAAATAATAATTAATTATAAATAATAAACTATTAATACAATATAAATAATTGGTAACTATTAATCAATTCAGTATAAAATTTCAGGTCTCGGATCGATTTAAAAATTTAAAAAAAAATCGTATTCATTTATTGAAAGTACGAAGAAAGTCAAAAAGGTCGTTTATTTTATTCCGGGTTGTTACAACAATTTTATTTTGTATTTCCCTGACTTTTCCCTTATTTCCAGAAAAGTTTTCACCTTTTTCTCTCATTCTGATAATAACTTTAATTCTAAGTTTTTGTAAAATTCAATTAAAATTTTCAAATCTTTTTTTACATATTTCTTTAAAAACACGATTATTTTCAAAAAATTGTGATAAAATTCTTAAAAATATTAAATTTGACGAAATTTACAATTATTTGACAATTTTACAATTTATTACTTCTGGGAATTTTCAAAAACTTAAATTTTTATAAAATTTAAAGTTAAATTTTTTTAAAATTTCAATTTTAAATCTTCTGAAATTTTATTACTTTTAAAAATTGCAACTGTACAAAATTTTTTAAAAATTACTAATAAATAACTAATTTAAAAAAAATTTTAATCAAAATTATTCAAACATCAAATATTTAAAAATTTTAATTTGAAACCTTTTGAAATTTAATAATTTCTAAAAATTTCTACTATTTATCGTCCAATATTAAATTATTTTCTGTAATTTTTATCACAAATTCTTTTCTAAATCAATCAATTTTAATAATTTTATGAAACTTTTTTGACAATTCAATTATTCAAAATAAAAAGAAAGTTCACTTAAAATACGTTTAAAATTAAAAAATTTTTGGTTCAAATAAAAAAAAAATAAATAAATTGACATATTTTCAATTTAATTTTACCAAATCTTAATTATTTGGAAATTTTTTAATTGAATAGATGTTCAAAAATTCCAAAAAATTTCTAATCAATAACTAATTTTAAAAATATTTAAATCCAAATTTTTTAAAGAAAAACCAAGTTGTTCAGAAATTATTCAAAATTGAAAAACTTATTCAATAATTTTAATTTAAAACCTATTATAATTTAATTATTTTCTAAAATTTTTTCCAATATTCAATTATTTTCTAGAATTTTTTACTCCAATTAAATTTATTTTGAATAATTTTCAGAAATTTTCTTGAGAATTGAATTTAGTTTTTATTTGAAACTTTTCAAAGAAACTGAATTGTTCAGAAAATAAAAAATTTGTTTTCAAAAATCTCTACTAAAATTCATCAAAAATTTAATTTTCCGAATATTTAATTAAAATTTTTCTCTAAATCAATTATTTTCAATCATTTTTAGAAAGTTTTTCGAAAATTCAATTGTTAAAATAGAAAAATTCAAATTTTTTATACAAAAATTTGAATTATATTATGAGAATGATTTTTCCAAAATTTGAATAAGTTTAGAAAAAATAAATTTTTAAAAATTTTAATTTTACCTTGTTTGAAAATAATTGAATCTTAAAAAATTATGATAAAACAATCTAAGAATTTTTTTTTTTAAATATATTATAATTTTTAGAAGCTAATTTTCCTTCATTTTCATTTTCAAAAATTACATGTGAAGATTTTTCATTAAAAGTTTTGAGAATTCAATTATTTTCATGATTTGCAATTAAAGTTTTTCAAAAGTTGATTTTTAAAAATTGTAATAAAATAGTTTTAAAAAAAATATTTCCAATTAAATTTGACAAAATTTCAATTATTCAAAATCTGTTTAATTGTATATTTCGAAAATTTAATTAGAAAAATTATTCTAAAACAATTTTTGAAAGAATTGTCTGTAGTTATTTTTCATAGTACATATAAAAATCAAAATAAGTTGCATTTTATACTAAAAATGTGGTTTTTTGTTGCAATATTTGTAAGGAAAGTCGAAAAAGTCGCAATTTTTGAAAATAAATCGAAAAAAGTCTCACACTTTTTGAAAATAGTTGGAAAAAGTAGAAAAAATCATAATATCCAAGGCTTGAAAATTGAAAAATAGTATGAAAAAATTGATTTTTATTCTAAAATAAAAACAAAAAAAATACGTACCATCTTTCATCAACTTCATAGGGAGCAATGCAAAGTGAATTGATGTCAATTTTCTTCAATTGTGGAGCAGTTATTGCATATTCGTTAATATTATCCATCATTTTCTCCAAATCAGAAGCATTCTTCTCGAGTTGAATGAAAAATTTCGAGCAAGAAACAGTGTGCGAGACGAAGACAATTTCTTTCGTTCCATCGGTTAACGCCGGTATATGTCCATAAGTGACTGACGAAATATCCGGAAATCTGTTTTTCAAATAATCTTTAACATTTTGCCCACAGAGGAAAATATCGCCGTATTGTATCAAAAATGGCCCGTCTGGTTCACAAACGTGTAATTCAACTTTCTTGCCATAAACTAAATTAACAAAATAATTCTTCACCTCTTCGGTGATGTTCATTTCCCTGAGACCAGGTAGACAAATTCGTATTGACAGTACCTTTGGTTTAATGAATCTCGGTGGTAATCTATAGATATCAGTGTATTGCACATAATCGGTATTACCAAAATCGACAAAATAAATTTTCACACGTGTATCAAAAGTTGACATGACAACGGCACGACAAAGACTTCGTTCTTCTTTGAGACGAGCTAAACACACTGATCCAGGGAGGAGAGGTCCTTTCAATGGCGATGGTGTATGTGCTTGAAGTTCTGTCATGAGTGACACCAATTGTTCTCTATTCTCCTCGAGTTGAACTGAAAATTTAATAGGTCCATCTTCGACGCAGGACACGTGAGCTGGATATTTCATTCCAACTTGTACCAGACGAGTTCTAAATTCAAAAATATCAGATCGTGAGTCTTCATCGTCGTCTTCGTGGACTTTTGGTTTTCGGGGGGAAATTTTCGTTTGATGAATAGGCGCTGATTGATGAACATGAGGAGGTGGTTGTTGTTGATGCTGCTGCTGCTGTTGATAAGCATAACCAGGTTGTTGACGAGCGTAATGCAAATTGACCGTGTTCATGTTTTGTTGCACTGGCATCATATTCGCGTGTTGTGGATGCATTACTCGTTGCTCGCAGGGATAGCCGCTTATTGGCATTTGCGTCACAGGCATCTGCTGTTGGTGTGGAACCATTGGCATCTTATAGGTCTGTTGTTGCGGATACATTTGTGGCCTGTAAGAAGAAAAAAGAAAACTTATTAAAATTTAAACATTACATTCATTTCATTCACTAAATGAATCAATCAAAATCAAAAACAATCAAAACTGTAATAATTACATTAAATTCTTTTATTTTTTCATGAATGAGCCTAAAAGTCCGCAACTTCTTCAAAAACGAAAACGAAAAATCTATATTAATAATCGTTGTATTCCGGTAATCTATTCGAAGTTTAAAAATTCCTTTTTTGTTTCCTAACTTTAAAAAAAAAATTTCTTTTTAAATATTTTCAATTTTAAAATTAATATATTGAACATCATTGAATTCTCGCAAAGAATCTTATCAACAAATTTAGAGAGAATAATTGAATTCCTTCGAAGAATTTTTTTTATTTATGAAAATAATTAAATTCTCGGGAAGAATTTCTTTTAATTTTTTTAAAATAAGAGTTTTTTTTAATAATTTTAATTTCGAAAATTTTGAAAGCAATTGAATTTGATAAAGAAGAATTTTATTATAAATTGTATTGAAAATAATTTAAATCCTGAGAAGAATTTTATTATTCATAACAATAATTGAATTGTTCCGAAGAATTTATTAAAATTTTAGGAAATAAATAAATTTTATGTATGTATAAATATTTGAAAATAATTAAATTCTTTCGAGGAATTCTAATTAAAATTGTTTTGAAAATAATTGAATTTCTGCAGAGAATTTTATGAAAATTTATTAAAAATAATTGAATTCTTTCGAGAAATTTTATTATTTATGAAAATAATTTAATTCTTGCGGAGAATTTTTTTTTAATTTTCAAACTGAAATTATTCAAAAACTAAAGTCTATTTTTAAGCAATAATTGCCTTTTAAGTAACAATTACTAAGTAAAAATTTCTTAAAAATTTACGCACATGAAAATTAGAAATAAATTTAACTTGAAAAAAATATGTCTTTCTTTATTTTTCGTTTTTAAAAACGTTGCGCACTTTAGCCTCATCTTTATGATTGAATTTTTATTGAGTGTAAAAATTATTCGCATTTTTATTATCAGAAACTATTTTCAATTACAGAGAATACTTTTTTTCAACTCCATAATCTAATTGAAAAATCTATTTCTTAAAAACAAAAATTCGATTAGTACCTATTTTGTTTTATTGTGGAAAATAAATGCAAATTTTTGTTTTTTGTTCCTGTAAGTAAATTCATTCTTTACAATTCTCATTTAAAAAATTTTTTTTTTAGAAAGAAAAAAAGAAGAAAATTTTAAAAAGATAATCAATTTTCTAGTTTTTTCGTTTTTTTTAACATAAAAAATATTAAGAATATAAAAAAGAGTAGAAAAAGTTTTCTAAATTCCAAAAAGCATGCTATTAATAATATTAGAACGACTCTAAAACGGGATTCACTAATTCTAAAGCAACTGAAGATACGAAGCAAAGAAAAAAATTATGTACACAAAGAAAAAACCCTCATCAAAACTCTCATGGAAGATAAAAAAAAAATGATTCACAAGTTCTGATCGTTCACATGAACGAAAATTTTTTCCATTATGAATATTTTCAAAGAAAATTTCCAACTGCAAAAAAGCAAGAAGAAAAATAGAAAAAAATTAAATAGTTACACAATATTTTTTGTTACTTGATGCAATGTTTTTGTAATAAAATTTGTTTTTTAAGAAGAAATAAAAAAATTTCTTTCATTTGCACATTTGGAACTTTAGAAACAAGATGAATTCTTTTTTGATATTTCAGTGACTGATAATAATTTTTGAAAATTCAATAATTTGAATTTATTTCAAATTTCTCAGTGTTCGATAAAGAACTAAATAAAATAAATAAATACTTCTTTTTTACAAATTAAATTACTATAAACAATTATAATTTATTTACCCAGTACAATGAATAAGATTTCCGAAAGAGCAGGTTGAGAACATTTTTGTTGTTTTTTCCAAATGGCTTTTACCAGAAAAACGAATTATTTTTACGTAGGGAAAAAAAAGTAATGGATATAACTAGAGAATAAGAACCGCACTGAACTGTTCAAAACTAAGCAAAACAGAGATAAATCTCTGACTTTTATAACCTTCGAGATCCCTCCCAAGGTATTCAAGAGGGAGTATTCTCAAAAGAAGATTGGTTGAATTTTAAAGAAAGGGTTTGTCTCAAAACGCCCTCAGAATAATTTTCACTTTATAAAAAAAAACCCCCCTCAAGTTCTGAATGTTTCAATATTTCCCGTTCCGAAAGTTTCGAAAACAAAAAAATAGTCGAATTTTGAAAATTAAAGAAATTAAATAATTATTTTTATCTTATTTTAATTATTTTCTACTCATTGCAATTTTATATATAGTTAGTGCAAATTTTTAAATAAATATAAAATTTGAAAAAGTTGAATTTTTAATTGTTAATAAATATCAGTAACAATTTATTGTAAATTAATTATTAATTCTAAATTTATAGTTAATGCAATAATAATTTTAGTAATAATAATAATAATAATAATAATAATAAAAATATAACAATAATAATATTAAATAATAATAATGAAAGTAATAATATATTAAATAATTAAATTTAAAATGAAACAAAAGATATGACAAAATTCGAAATTAAGAAAATAAAATACAAAAAGAAATATTCTTTCATCGCAACGAAACTTGAGAGACAACGAAATTTGCAAAAATATTTACAAACATTGACAAATGCCATTCAAGCATTAAAGCATTACACCTTTCGAGTATAAAAGTAAACACTATCTCAAAATTCTATCAACAAACACAAAACATGCAAAATACACAAATCGCCAAAATAGAAAGAAAAAGTCACACACTTTGATTGAATAGTAGAGATAAACTCAGTTTCCAGTTATTAGAAGCAATTACCAGTAAAAGAAATTACCAGTCGAATGATAATTTTTTTAGCTTTAAGAAAAGTTCTAATTTCCTTTTCAAACAAAATAAAATAAAAAAAACTACATTATTAATAAAATAAAAAGTAAATAAATATGGAATATAAACACTCTGAAAACATTTTTTTTTTTGTTAATTTTGTTAGTAATTTAATAAAATTCCTTTTTTTCTTTAATAAAAGAATGCAACTGTCTCTTGATGGAAAAAAATGACTATAAAATAGTAAATAATTCACGACCTATGCCTTTCACAATTCAAACAGATCGTTGGAAAACATTCTTCATAAATACCGTAAACACAACTTTTTATTACTTATGTATTATTTATTCAGGAAGTTATTTATTTTCGATTCTCTTATTTTCTTTAAAGTAATAATTTTCGTACACTTATTGTTTTAATTATTATTGAAGACGCGAAATTTTAGTTAATAGATTGTAAATCAAAAAAGTATTTCGGATAATATTTTCCACAAAAATTCTAAATTTAGTTTATATTTTTAATTGTTAATTTTTTTTGTTATTTTCTTCAATTTTGGTAGCTTTTGAACGTGATTAATATCGACAATTTAATCTATTTGACAAACTAGACTAACATTCTCTAACATCTGCGATTACTTTTTAATATTCAATATATTACCTTACATTAATGGCACAGTTGAATAAATTTTCAAGATTGTACAAGAAATATAGTTCTGAATGTGGAACAATTTATAAACAGATTGAAAAATATGTTTAGAAATAAAAAAAACTTTGTAAAATTGTCACGTAATTTAATGAGTTTATTAAACAATTTAATAAAAGTAATAAAATGTCTTTGCGAAAAGTGTCAAAAAGATTTAAGAATCAATAATACTTTTGAATAAGTGTGTACCATCACAATTGTTTCTCTATTATAAAGATAAAAATGATGAAGCAAAATAGTAATAAAAAGAAGATTATTATCGATATGAAAATATTTTTGTTTTGTATACCTCCGATAATTTGATGTATTTTAATTATCTTTGCTTTCAGAGAATTTGTAACACAACTTAGTACACACACTTCAATTCCAGGTATGAAACTGAAGAGAAACCGTATAATAACTAAGTAGACAATACGTTCCCCGCAGTTATTTACTGTCAAGAGAGGAAGAGAAAGGCAAAACAAATGCGGTCATACCGGAGCCCTCTAGTTTTATTACACTCTATATAAAATCTTTCGGAAATTCAAATAAATCGGGAATCCCTATTATCGACCGTAATTTTCAATTTTTTTTTTTTTTTTTTTTGACAGTAAACAGAAAAAATACTTGTGAAAAGAATTCAAACTAACCCGAAAAATGCACATTTCCCCACAATATTTCATTCACTACTATATTAAATTTCAAAAATAAAATTGATACATTCCTCATTCCAAATAATTTTTTTTACAAAATAATCAGAATGTGTTTTAATCTTGAGTTTAAATTAAAATACAAGAGGTTAATTGTAAACTCAAGATGAAAATAATCTGAAAGAAAAATTCTAATTAACAAAAAATTAAAAAAGAAAGAAAGAGGAATTTGGATTTAAAAAGAATTGGAAAGAGATTTGGAGTAGAAAAAAAATTGAATAAAAGAAAAAATAGTGAATATTTTGTTGTAAAGAACTTACTTGAACATATCGTCTAACGTTGTCATTTTTGCCATTCCTTTGTTGACAAGTAAATTACCAATATCATGTTCTCCAAGCACCAGCTTCACAAGATAACACGAATTGAACTTTTCAAATTTCGATACTGACAATTCTTTGTCCTTAACCAAAATTCGAATAGTTTCAACAGTTCTGACATCCCATTTTTCATTCACCGACAAAACATTCGCCAATGTAAATTCATTAGCCAAAGGAGGACACTTAATTAAATAATCTTCCTCTTTCGAATTTGGATACAATAATTTAACTACCTCTACTGGTACAATGTCAGTAACTCCACTGTCAATTAAAAGTACAATAACCCCATTTCGATGGATGTTAGTGATTTTTGCACGAACGAATTTTCCACGATATTTCACGCAACACGTCGTCTCCGACGATAAAGCATTTTGCGGTCCAAGACCTTGACGTTGCATAAATTCATTGCCTAACTCTGCAATTAATGTCTCGATATATGAATATTTCTCTTTTTCACAAACACCCCATATTTTCAAACGTGGCCCATCACTCGTCACATTTGTTACTATAATAGAATGCGCGAATGTTTGCGCCATTTTTGTGACCTCTTTTGTTCTAAAGGTTCTAAAGTAGCAAAAAAAAAAAAATTTTTTTTTAGTCTGTTATTGCGCACTATTTTAACACAATTTTCAGAAAAAAATTTAACATTATTTCTCGCTTACCGATAATTATATCGTACCTTTAAATTGATGGCCTTCAATGACGTTTAACAGCAACAATTAAATTAAATTAATGTCAATTTTCCCCGGATGAGAACATCCAAAAAAAGTTGTGCCGACGAGCCGCTTTAAAATCTTCTCCCCACGAGGCACGCGAGAAAAAAAAGTCTCTCTCTCTCTCAGGAGTTGATATTATCAGAGAAACAAACTCTTTTAATTCCAATTGTGCACGGTTCTTTAATTTTACAATTATCACTGTATTTCTTACACACAAGATACGAATTTCGTGGTCTCAAATTTACATTTTGATTAGATTTTATCTCACAACACTTTTTTTCTACGTCCTCGCAACTTGCCTTCCTCAATAAAATTGTGTGTGAGAGATGCGTGAACTTGTACGCAATAGCTTGCAGCGACTAACTTCAGGTTGTAAAAGGACGCTAATTTGAATATTTGATCACGTGCTTCCGCTAAATTAATGGCGGTAATATTTGATTTAAACTTACATTCTGTAAAAACAAAAAAAGAAAAAATACCAAAAAACAAATTCATGTTTGTCACAAAAATTGAATTTTCTTTTTCCCTGATTTCCAGACAAAATTATAAGAAATAACTTTGTCAGTTCTTCATTGAAATTAAGTTATTTAAAATATTGTCAAAAATAGAAGAAAATTAAGGTTTTTTCAGAAATTCAGAATTTTCTTATAAATTCTATACACGGAGAGAGAAATTGTACAAAATTAGTTACAATTATTAAAAATGAGAATATTATGAATAAAAACACAATAACAAGACTAGAAAAATAAATTATTTTCGTAATTAGAAATTTTTTATTATTACCATTAATTTTGCGTCTTAATAATACTGCAGTGTAATTTAAAAAAATATTTCTGTCCTATCGGATTTCGATTTATTGATCCAATATTTTTTTTCTGACAATTTTTCATTATAGAAACGAGAAATTTTGTTATTTCGACAATTTTTTTAAATCTTTAAACATCAATATAATAGCAAAAAAATTCCTTTCTTATTGCTAGTAAAAATATTTGTGACACACATCAGATAAAGCGTCACATTTCCATTTTTTTATAATTACAATTCAAAAAATAAAATTATTAAACATAAATATATATATATATCGATTTATTGCATTTCCTGGTAAATATAGGAAATTGTGTAAAAATCTATTTTTAACATTATAAAAGCAATTCATTAATTTATCGTAATCAAAACGACGTTTACATTCTTTTTTTTTTTTTTTGATTTTGTAAAATGCATTCAAAAATAATTTTTAATTCTTCGCATACTAGTAAATTTTCAAAGCTGAAAGTAACTTTGAAACAAGTTCTATTCAACGAAAAGAAAAAATTAACTTAACTACAAAATTTAATACTGAAAACTATAAATAAAATCAAAACGAAAAAAAATCGTTTTCAAACAGAATAATTGCAATAAATGCAAAAAATACAAAATTTTTAATAAAAATAGTCAAGAATAAAAAATGAGTAAAATAAAAATATTTGTTTCTAATTTTCAGTATTAAATTCAAAAATAATATTTCGATTTTTTTCGAGTATCGTACGATTTTCCTACAGATACTAAATTTCATTTTTTTGATAAAAAACGTATCTATTTACATAATTGAATTATTTCTTTTTTTGTTTTCTCTTCAACATTAATTGCACAATGAGCACGAAGCAAATATAAAATATTATAAGTGATAATTTGTTTCACACGAGAATAATTCGATACTCTCTATAATATAATTTTTTTAATCTTAAGTACTAGAATGTTCAACAAGAACTTTGCAATTATTTATAATTCTATATATATAACTTTTTTTGTACGTTTATAATAAATTATTCACGTTCGGCATCATCCTCTTCGTCGGATTGTAGCCAATCAATGGAACGTTGATCAGATTGTGAATTATTTTCTACTGCATCATCAATTTCATTATCACTATTGAGCGACATGTGTTCCCTTAATACTAACGATCTCATTTGCTCCAATATTTGATGTAGAGATTCAGATCTTTGATCAGAACGATCGGTTAATGGTGTCGCATCGCCTGACGCTGAACCACCAGCTGGAGTTTGTGGTGTATTACTCGGTGGAATTGGAGTATTCGTTCCATCCGCAATTCCTGGAAAAAATCACAACAAAGTTTATTAAAATTATTTATCAATAAATTATTACATAAGTTTTAAATTACTTTTTGAGAAAAAATTAATTTATTCAATTATTAGAAAGACAAAAGAATAAAATTATTTTTTTTTCTACAATGTTTCAATATAATTAACACGGACGTTAAAGATTTATTTATTTGAAACAAAATATTATTTTAGAAAATTAAATTTTAATTTTCGGGGAAAAAATAAAAAAAATTGTTAATTACTAAAAAATAAAATAATAATTATTATTATTTGTTTTATTATTTGAAAATAATTAAAGCCAACGTGAAGAAATTGATTTATTAAAATAAAATTTGCAGAAATCAAAAGTTTACTGTCCGAATAGTTTAATAATAAGGAAAATAAAATCTGCAGTTTATTGCAGACAAAAAAAAAACCGCAGAAAAAATTGTTTTTATTGTGGGAAAAATCATGAATGTCAAAAAAAAAAAAGAATTATCCTCTGTCAAACAGATGTTTGGAAATTGGAATTTACTCAAAAAGACTAAACCATATGCTGTAAATTGAGGTACAGGCAAAATAAAAGCCTTCAGGTACCATAAAGTTACCTTTTCAAAATCGGCTATCATTTAAAAAATCCAAAAACGTATTTCTCTAGAATTAACCAGTAATATATCTTACTTTTCAGTCTAACCGGGATTAAGTCTCAGTTAACTTTATAATCCCAAGTGAACGAAATTTTTTTCAAAAATATTTTCAAAAATTACTGACTGTTATTAGAAAGAAAAAAAAATATAGTTAGAATCTTTATAATTTATTTTTTTATAAATGACGTAATATTATTGAAATTAAATTTGAATTTGAAGAACATTTAAATTTCATTTATTTGAACGTTCATAAATTTAGGAATTTCAAATTTATTATTCAATAATGACTATAAAATGTAATTTACAAAATAAATTATAATTTTCAAATTAAATTAAAAAATTAAAATTAAATGAACAAGTATAAAATGTAATTAGAGATTAAAATTGATTCAAAAATTGAAATTAAATTAAAAATATCGTTTATTTGAACATTCAGAACTTTTCAGGATCATCAAATTTATTTTTCAATAATGAGGATAATGAGTAAAAAATGTAATGTACAAAATAAATTATAATTTTGCAATCAATGAAATTAAAAAATTAAAATTAGATTGCCAAGTAAAATTTCACTTAAAAATTGAATGAAAAATTAGAATTATTGAATTAAAAAATGAAATTGAACTTTTTAATTTATTTTAATTTAAAATTAATTTAATTAAAATTCAATTTATTCAATCTATTTACACTTTTTTATATAATTTTAATGTTTCATTTAATTTCTTATCTAATTTCACTTTATAAGATTTTTCATTCGATTTTTAATTCAATTTCACGTGAAAATAAATTGACTTTAAATTAAATAAATTAATTAAAAATTCAATGAAAAATTGAAATTGAATTGAAAAGTGAAATTTAATAAAAAATCGGAATTTAATTAAAAATTCAATGAAAAATTGAAATTGAATTTAAAAGTGAAATTGAATTAAAATTCATTTAGTTTACATTCAATTTATTCAATTGATTTTCACTTTTTAGTGAAATTGAATTAAAAATTGAATGAAAAGTTAAAATTGAATTATTTTAAACTCAATTTAATTACACTCCATAATTAAAATTTGATTTTTCATTCGATTTTTAATTGAATTTCACTAAAAAAAAGTGAAAATGAATTGACTTTAAATTAAATAAATTAATTAAAAACTGAACGAAAAAGTAAAATTGAATTAAAAAGTGAAATTTAATAAAAAATTGAAATTAAATTACAAATTCAATGGAAAATTTTAAATTAAATTAAAAAGTGAAATTGAATTAAAAATTCATTTAATTTGCATTTAATTTATTTAATTAAATTTCACTTTTTAGTGAAATTAAATTAAAAATTGAATAGAAATTTATTTAAAATTGATTTAATTAAAATTCAATTTATTTTTACTTTTTAGTGAAATTTAATTAGAAATCGAATGAAAAATCAAATTTTAATTACAAAGTCAAAATAAATTAAAAATTGAATGAAAAATTAAATGAAAAATTAAAATTGAATAAAAAAGTGAAAATGAACAAAAAATTAGAATTGAATTAAAAAATGAAACAAAATAAAAAACTAAATTTAAATCAAGTCAATTTCTAAATTGAATAATAAAATGTAAAGAAAGGAAAAGCAAAAATTGTACGAAAAATTAAAATCGTTTTAAAAAGTGAAATTTAATAAAAAAATTGAAATTTAATTAAAAATTCAATGAAAATTTAAAATTGAATATTGAATAGTGGAATTGAATTAAAATTTATTCAATTTATATTCAATTCAATTTTACTTTGTACTAAAATTAAATTAAAAACTTAATGAGAAATTAATATTGAATTGAAACTGGTTTAAAATTTATATTTAATTTATATTCAACAATTTATTTTCAGTTTTTAGTGAAATTAAATGATAAATCGAATTTTAATTATAGATTAAAAATAAATAAGAAATCGAATGTAAAATTAAAATTAAATTAAAAAATAGAATTGAATGAAAAATTAAAATTGAATAAAAAATTAGATTGGAATAAAAAAATGAAATGAAATAAAAAAGTAAATTTAAATCAAATCAATTTTTAAATTAGAATAAAATATGTGAAAAAGAAAGGAAAGCAAAAAAAAAATGTCGAATTATCGTATATTCACCTATGTTATCACTGACTGGACTAACGGGTCTTTCAGCTCCTCTAATTTCCCTAACAATTTGGTCTTCCTCTTGTGTATTAAGTCGTAGTCCCGCTACTCCTTTTTTTGGTACATTGTGAAGATCGCGTTTGATTCTTCTACGTCTCGATGGATCATTCCTTCTTAATTGAAGCATCGATCCAAAATCGGCAATATACAAAAATCCCGCAATAAGTAGCTCGCAAGTCCGTTTACCTTGCTTGTAAGCCGTCTCAAGTTCCAGGCTCGTTCTCATGTCATATTGCCACCAACCTGGAAATAATAATCACCACTAGTTCACTCTTAATCAAACATTTCTTTTTTCAGTATTTAATAAAAAAAAATCTATACCTTTGCAATCAATTGTAAAAAGTATTTCTACTCTCACAAAAAAAATATAATTTTTCGACTCAATTTCAATATTGTGAAATTGTATAATATTATAATTAAAATTGTAATTGCGATTGGGATTATAATTGTAATTTTAATTGTAATTATAATTCTAATTTTAATTCTAATTTCAATTCTAATTTCAATTATAATTGAAATTGTAATTTGAATTCTAATTACAATTTGAATTGTAGTTATATAATTGTAAATGCAATTCTAATTGTAATTATTAATTTTCTGGACAGGTAAAAGGTAAAATAATACTTTTTCTTAGAAAATTCTTTTATTTATCTATTATATAGTAAAGTATAACACTTTTAATAATATAAAAAATGAATAATTAATATTAACGCATGCGTTAAGAGTGTCAAACAAAAATATTTCTTCTCTTTTTTTAAATAAAAAAAAAAAAAACGTTTCAAAACTGAATGATTAATTTGAATAGAATAATTAATAATTATATATAAAAGAAAATATATATTCTTTTTTTTCGGAATCTATTATCTAACGCCGGCTGTTCCTTTACAAGGAGTGTCTTTTTTATCACGTTTAATTTTACGTTTACACCGTGGATTAAACTTTTTATATTGAACATTGTTTTGAAAATCAATCACGTAAAGTGTACCGCAAATCAAAATCTCGCAATCGGAAGTTCCCAGATCGTAAATCTCTTCCAAATCTTGATTGGTCCTTGTGTCATACTTCCACCAACCTATGGGTATTCATATCATATTGTCAGGATGCTAATTTTGTTTTTCGAATTCAGATTGAAAAATTAAATTTTAGAATTTAATATCTATTAAATTTAGTAATAATTTTAATAACTTTCAATTTTTTTCTTTAAATCTAAATCAATCTAAAACAATTGTTTAAAAGAATTCAATTTTCTATGAATAATTTTAATATAATTTAATAGAAAAATTATTAATTGCAATTAATAATAAACACGATTTTTTGAAAAACTTAAAAGAAATTCTTCATAAAATTCACTTACTTTCAAAATTTTCAGTAATAATTATTTTAAAATACTCCATTATTTAGGAATATTGAAATAAATTCGTCAAAACAATTTAATTATTTTAAAGAATTTGAATAAAAATCTTGCCAGGAATTAAATTTTATTCAATAAAATTTTAATTACATTTTCTCGAAATATTTCAATTATTGAAGAAAATGTTGATAAAATTCTTGAAATGAATTTTATTTTCAAATTTTTTTGATAAATACTTTGCAAGAATTCAATGATTTTTAGTAAATTAATTTTAAAATTGTACTTTTGTTTTTTCTTAACTTTAGATAGATTGTATGTTATATATTCTTATGTAATAATTATTTTTATTTTATAATTAATTCAAAATTGTAATGACAAATAGAAATAATCAGAACTTTTTCACTTCTTTTCATTAAAAGACTAAAATTTTGTTAAATTGAAATTATGCAGATTTTTGTTCTTTACTTCTAAACAAAATTAGAAAATTGTTAAACAACTGTGATTAATAATTATTTTCATCATTTTAATTCAATTATAATTTTCTAGAATTTTAAATTATTTTTTATGAAAATAATTGAATTCCTTAAATTAAAATAGTAAATATTGAAAATAATTGAAATTAGGACAAGAATTTTTTGAACATTTATGAAAATAATTGAACTTTAGAGAAGAATTTTGTTATTTATAAAGATAATTGAAATTTTTTTCAAATGTTGAACATTGTTGGATTTTTTTTAAATAATTGAATTTCAGCAATTATTTGTAATTTCTCCAAAATTGAATTTTTTTTTAGTGTTTTCAACAAAAATTTAAATTAGAAAATTTTTAAATTCTATTATTTTTATAATTTGCTAATTTTATTTTAAAAAGGCAGTAAAATGTTAGCAGCGCGCGAATTGTTGATAGTAATATTATTATTTTATCATTTATTTATTATTAATTAATTAATTCTTTCGTACTTTCGTTTTTTGACAAACAGCCATCGTTTTTTATTTCAATTTTTTCTTTGTTTCACGCGCCGTTTGAATATGAAGAATTTTAAAGTAATCGCTCTTGGTAAGTTTTGTGTGGTTTCGAAGAAAAAAAAATAGTTTTGAATAAAATTGAAATATTACCATTGCGACCTTCGTAAAACCAGTGGTACTCATCCTCGACTTCTGCCGTCTCCTTTTGTGGTTCATCGACTTCTACAAGTTGTGGCCTTTCTAAAAAATCGGCTGGAATTTCTTGTCGACACATTGGACATCGTTTGCTTTGATTAGCTACTCCTTTTACGCATAAGTAGCAAAATATGTGACTACAGGGCAAACGTGCCGGATGTATGCACGGCTGTAAACATACTGCGCATTCAGGTACCGTCGACGAACCTAGAACAAAGGGAAAGTTTTTTAAAGTGTTCACATGAATATTTTCCGCAAAATTTAATTCATTTATTTCATACATTTCATATATTTCATAATAATAAAAATGACGATATAATTTTCCATAATTTTTAAACTCCCGAGAGTAAATTAACTATTTTAACTTTATTTTATAAAAGGAATAAAAAAAGAAGAGGTTGGAAATTCTTTTGTTTCTCTGGCAACGGAAAAAGGAATTCGCATTTTTGGATTTTTCGAATAAATAATAAAAAGAATACACGTTTTTTCCATACCTTCTTTATCCTCAACATCTTTCTCAGTTTCCTTGACTCCTGCCGATTTTGCGGGCACTGATACTTTTGCCTGTGCCATATTTTTTCTCAAAAATAAACTCTGACTGAAAATACTATGCCACAGAAGATTTTGGCAAATTCCAAACATTAGATTAGATTGTAGATATACTTTAATCACTTATTATCATGAGACATGTTCCTCTTTTATATTTATATATTTACGTCTCGTGAGTCTATATACACCAAAAGTGTGCGCACTTGAAAAATTATTTCACAAACAAATAAAATGTCCTTGATATGATTTCGAGGAATATTTCGTGGCCATGTTTTTATTATTTTTCGACAGTAATTGTTTTTCAAATTTGTAACAGTTTCAACATGCAAAACTATAAACAATATAATTTTATTTGTTCATCTCGAATGTACACAAAGGAATGCGCGTCGATATGAAGTCACCTTCAGTTTTAAATCCCTATTCAGGGTTGGGTTACTTTAACTTTCGACCAATAAAAATTCCGGACAAGTTGAAACGACCAATTGGATTTCGAAGTTTGGTTCTTCCATTGGCCAATCGGAAACATTTCTTGAAAACCCATAATGGCGCCATTATTTTCTGAAACAGTTTGGCTTTATGGTTTTTGAACGGAACTCTCTCCTCAAGAAGACATTCGATAAAATAACAACTCCGATTAAATAATAAAATAAAAGGTAAGTAACATTATTGATAGATATTGAATTTGAAGAGTTGTGTATAGAATTTTTGAAAGAAAGAGGTGAAAATATTCGGATCATTCCGAGAATTCTTGAAAAATAGGTTATGTTTTTAATTTTAATACATTTTATAAATACTCGGGGTAATTAATATTTCTTTTATTAACATTGTGCTTATATTGTAGTCTTTCTAATTCAGTTTACGACTTGTAATGTTATACTATCAAAAATTAATGATTTCTAAAAATTGCAAGTTACCTTTGTTCTTCTCACTTACACAAACACAACAATGATATCATTAGGTCAATTTGTCAGTTTCCTAAAAAAAGGAAATTTCTATTCTTTAAAAGAGACAAAAAAAGATACAATTAAAAAGGTCAAATTATCTATTAACTTTTTTTTTTTTATTTTAACGTTCAATTTCCATTAATTTATCAAAAAAATTAAAAGTGGGGGATATTTTTATTCGACAGTGAAATTGCGTCATTATTGCAATTTATATCCTGTTTCTCAAAATGTTTAAACTTTTATTTACAGAAAATGTCTAAGGCTTTTAGCTCAGCACGTTTTAATGGAGAGGCTGATAATTTTTTCGATTCTAACTTCACTCGTGACATCAATAACCGAATGCGAGTGCCAAAAAATATTCAAGTAAATGGCGAATTTGCTGATGAGGAAAATAATAGCACAAATGGATCAACTTGGAGTCAAATATTAGCGAACGATAAATACGAAATGCACGTTCCGGATAGAATTCTTGTCGTTGGTTAGTAAAATAGTAAATCTGACGAAAAAAAAAATTCTATTGACAGAAAATTTGTTTATCATCTATTTGTACTTTTTAAAATTTTATCTTTATTATTAAAATTTTCACTAAAATGTTTATTTTACAGGACAAGAACAACATATAGGAACTAAATCGATTCCAAGGGAAATAACTTTGGAAAATGCTGTTCTAAAACCAGCAGATACAGGTTTAGTGCGAATGCAGGTTAGTTTGTTTACTTTTTCTCTTTTTTTTAATTTACTTTTTTTCTAGATTTTACAATTTTTGTTTATTAGATTATATAGTTTATATTATTAGTAGATTTAAATTAAATTATTAAGGTGTAAGAAAGTGAAGATGTAAATGCTAAAGGTGTACATTTTTTTTAGACTCCACCTAGAGTTTTGACATTAGACAATCATTACTTTCCGATGCTAGATGATGATGATGAGGATATGCCAGTGAATGAACCTTTGGAAATGGTAACTGCAACTCCCAAGACTAATCGACAATATAATGACAATCAAATTACAAGACACGTGAGGTATGAGAAATATAAATAAAAATATTTAAATTAAAAATTAAAATTTAGTGTTGAAAGTTTTTAAATGAAAACAATTCAATTATTTTCAACAGATTTTGTAAAAATTCTTGCATGATTTCGATTATGTTTATAAATAAGAAAATTCTCTTCTCAGAAATTAAATTATTTTATATACAATTTTTATAAAATTTCTCGAAAAAATTCATTTATAATATTAATTTTTAATAAATTTAATTAAAATTATATATGAGAATTTAAGTATTATTAATACAATTTTAATTTTTGTCGAAAAAATTTTCAAAAGGCAATTATTCTTTTTAATATTAATATAAAAGCCTTCGCAGGAATTCAATTATAATAAAATTTCTCCAAAGAATCGAATTTTCTTTTTAATTTTAATAAATTCTTCGCAAAAATTTAATTAGTTCCATAAATAATAAAATTGTTTAGATGAATTCAATTATTTTCAATGAAATTTTAATAAAATTGTTTAGAGGAATTTTCAATTATTTTCAAAAATTTTTTAAAAACCTTTTATAAGAATTCAATTATTATCAAAAATTTTTATAAAAATTCAGTAATATTTTTAATACAATTTTAATCGAATTACTCGGAAGAATTTAATTATTTTCAAAAATTTCCATAAAATTCTTCGCAGAAATTCAATTATTTTCAAAAAATTTTATAAAATTTTCCCCTCGAATTCGATTATTTTTATAAATAATAAAATTCTTCAGATGAATTCAATTATTATTAATAAAATTTTAATAAAATTCTCCGCAAGAATTCAATTATTTTGATAATAATAATAAAATTTTTAGAATTCAATTATTTTTCAACAATTTTCATAAAAATTCTCTGCAGAAATTCAATTATTTTTCAAAAATTTTCATAAAATTCTCTGCAGAAATTCAATTATTTACAAAAACTGTAATAAAATGCTTATAAAAGAATTTGAATTATTTTCAACAAAATTTTAATTAAATTTGTTGAAAAAATTTACAGAAAGTCCATGTTTTTAAAAATAATAAAATTCTTTACAAAAATTCTACTATTTTCAATAAAATTTGAAAAAAATTTCTCGAAAGAAATCAATAATTATTTTAAAAAATTATTCTTCAGAAAAATTCGATTTTATGCAAAAAATTTAGAAACTTCTTTACAAAAATTCAATTATATTTTTAATACAATTTTAATCGAATTCCTGGACAGAATTAAATTATTTTTAAAAATTTCGCAGAAATTTAATTATTTTTAAAAATTTTTTATAAAATTCTTCCCACTAATTCGATTATTTTCATAAATATAAAAATTCTTCGCAGAAATTCAATTATTTTAAAAAAATTAAGTAAAATTCTATATATAAAAATTGAATTATTTACATTGAAATTTTAATTAAATTCTTTGAAAAGCTTTGCAGGAATTTAATTATTTTAATGAAATCGAAACAATTCAATTGTTTTAAAACTTTTAATAAAATTCTTTGCCGAAATTAAATTATTTTCTAAAATTTTTATTAAAATTTTTTCCACGAATTCGATTATTTTCATAATTATAATAAAATTCTTTGTAGAAATTCAATTATTTTCAATACAATTTTAAAAAAATTCTTCAGATAAATTCAGTTATTAATATAATTTTATAAAATTCTTGGCAGGTATTCAACTACTTTTATAGTAATAATAAAATTTTCAGAGAAATTCAATTATTTTCACAAATTTTTGTAAAATTCTATGTATAAATTAAATTTTTTTCCACGAATTCGATTATTTTTATAAATAAATAATAAAATTCTTCGTAGAAATTCAATTATTTTCAATACAATTTTAATAAAATTTTTTAGATGAATTCAGTTATTAATATAATTTTATAAAATTCTTGACAGGTATTCAATTACTTTTATAGTAGTAATAAAATTTTCAGAGAAATTCAATTATTTTCAAAAATTTTTGTAAAATTCTATGCAAAAATTAAAGAATTCCGGATTAAAAATTATAGAAAAAGTTACAAGAATTTCAAGAGTGATAAAAAAATTTAAAAGGTTTAAAATCAATGTTCTAAAAGATTAAAATTCTGAAGAAGTTAATTTTTTCAAAAAATTTTATTAACATTTTTTTGAAATAAGTTTAATTTTTTTATCTAATTTAAAAATTTTCCATTTTTTGAAATATCATGAAATTGAATGTGAATTTCAGAAAAAAATTTAGGTAAACTCTTTTTCATTGAATAAATAATTGAATTCTGAAGGAATTTTTCTCAAAAATTATTAAAAATTAATATTATAGATAATTGATTTAGAGACGAATTTTAGTTAAAAATTCTTAGAAAACAATTGAATTGAAATAATGAAAATAATTATAGAGAATTTAGAGTGAAAGAAACTATATGATGTTTTGAATAAGTTTTCAATTAAAGATATTCGAAAATAAATGTATTGCATACATTTTTTTGTGTTTACAATTAGTTTTAGAGTAAAATAAAATATTCTTTAGACTCATGGAAAAAGTCAAAATTCTGTCTGGATATCAGGGAAAAATAAAATCAAATATTTCCTTCAACCCTGATAAACAAATAAATAAATATTGATTTTAACAAAAAGACTAAATTTCCAATTCGTTTATTTAGAGAACAAACGCCGTTCAATACGACATTGGACGTGACTCTTACACCAAGCGAGGAAGTGCAACATTTACGACGTCAAGTTGGAAAATTACATCGACGAATAATTGCAGTGGAATCCCAAATAATGCAACGTCAACAAAGAGATAAGATTCTTTATGCAATATCCTTAACTTACTTCTTTCTAAAGGCTCTCTCGTGGTTGACTAGAAATTAAAATTCCATCCAAATGTCAAAAAGAGAAAAAGAATACCATCAGTAAAACGAAACACGCAGTGTAATCGGATAAATTATCACACAAAAAAAACTGTTCACTACTGCTCGATGATAAATCTTGATTTCGAAAATCATTACGGAGAGACTTTCCGGGAAATGACCTTCAACAGGAGCTTCAACAAAAACATTAAAAGCATTTGCACTTGTGCTCCATACACTTGACAAAAATACTGTTCTGATTTTCGAGGAAAATTTGAGTTTTGACAGTTTTTTCGAAGTTCACATTTCTGTAAATGAGGATTCATTTTTCCCTTTCTAATTAGTTTTTTAAAAAAAAACAAAAATTAGTTTATTATTATTTGGACTTGATATGTTCAAGATTGGATTTTTAATGGTAAACGCGCAGTGAGTAAAAAAAAAATGAATTAATACATTGCGTGAAAGGCTAATTTTTATTATTTAAATTTTTTCAAATTACGGCCAGACGAAGAAATATTCCAATAAAAGTAGTAATAAAATGCAATTAGGAAGTATTTTTTAATTTTAACACTACTTCGAAAAATTGAATATAATTTGAATTACATAAACTTAATTTGACTTTGAATTTAAAATGAAAAAAGAATGCAAAATTTTTCGTTAATTTAATTTAATAATTCTATTTTTAATAGAAAATTGTAAAAATAAGTTTATACTACTTTTTTGTAATATTTTTTCTCCATTTTTTTTTCTTTTTTTTCTATTTTCCCTCAATTTTGTATAATTATTCGAACTTATTTAATATTTGTTTTTTAAGAGTAATATAAAAAAGAAATTCGATTGTGCGAAGAGAAGTTATACAATAATTCAGCATTTTACGTCTTCTACGATTGATTTATTTTTATTAAGAGTTGTAGAGTCTTTAAAAAAAAATACGATTTTAACCAATCGCCTCTGTACCTAATATACAATATGCCATAAATATTTTAAAATTTATTCATTTTAGTGTTTAGATACGAGTCGAAATTAGATCGATGATTAATTGTAAATCTCAATTTCATTTTTGTTTATAAAAAAAAAAAAGAAAACAATCTTTAACACTAGTCTATTGAGTAAATAAGAGAATTTTTTTTTTACTTTTGGGAGAAAAAAGTATATTGCATTTTTTTTTGCAAATTATGTGTAGTGTCTTAATTTTTTCCTAATATTAATTTTTATGTTTCTGTAAAAATTAACTGTTATTCGTATACTTGTTATTTCCCATTTAATTTTTAAGTGTATAAAGGTTGTAAAGAAAAAGAGAAAATTAGTAAAAGGAAAAAGTATTATAAATAAATAATAGTCGATGACAGTAAAGAAATTGAGTAAAATATATTAAAGCAGTAACAAAAAAAAAGATAGTTTAGTGTATTTAAAAATTACATTATTCATTGATCATTCCTGTACTAATAAAAATGTATTTCATCGAAAGAAGAAGAAAAATCATTTTTCTCTTGAATAATATTTGTCAAAAGAAAAAAATGATTATTTCAAAAACTTTTTCTTCAGTGGAAGTGTTATAAAAGCCCGGAGTTGGAATGTTTGTTGTACTTGCCTAAGAGGCCATTAAAAATATATACTTGTACATTTATAATATATTCTTTTGTGATTATAGGCGAAAAAATAAATATAATTAGACAAACGAAATTTTTGTTTCTTATTTAATTTTTAATATAATTCACGTAATAATAACGATAATCGTGGAAGTTTTAAAGGAAAACAAAATACAACGATCTGTTGATATTCCTACATTAATTATTACAGATTAGACATATTTGTTTATAACAAATTGAATTTTACAACAAATATAATTTAATTAAATTACAAAATTGCGCGGGTTTTATAATCACGCTCATTGGCTGCTGAATACTTATTACAATTAACTTCCCATCCCTGCTCAGTTTTAAAAAACTATTAAAAAAACCGTTAATTAAGTATTTACATAAAAAATTCAGAGAAAAGTTTGTTTTGTTTATACTTAAAAAAAGATTTAATTGTAATTAATAGTGAAACTTGTAATTGAATTACGACGGAAGATCAATTAAGAAATTAATTCGAAACAATGGGAATAAAAATTATACAAATAAAACCACATCAGTTTCTTCAGACAGGAGTATTCAGAGAACACTGGACCTGGATTTGGATAATTGCATGAAAAATTAAATAACGGTAATATGAAAACTATAAATAAATAAGTAGATGCAAAAATTGTATCTTTTTAAAGGGATATATTTTATTTCTTTAATTCAAATATAATATATTTACTAAAGAATTCCAAGCTATATATTCTTTCTTCACAACATAACCTCTAATTTTATAGAATAGTATTTTAATCATTTTTTAGTATTTTATTCTTTTTCATACTGATTTTTAGCATTTTTAATTTATTCCATTTATTCCATCGAAATGTAAATTTATTTTCTCTTAGAATGTGGAGAATACTTTTCTTGTTTATTCAAAGTTTCAATTTTGTCTTCCATGTTATTATTTTCGTCCATTGCTTTTTGAAAAGCCAGTAATTTTGAATATCGAACAACCTTAAATTCAATATTATAAATTTTGTAGTATTTAATTTAAATAGTTCTAATTTTAATAGTTTCTCTCTATTTCAATATTTATAACAAAAAAGAAAAATTATATCCCTAAAGTTCTGAATGTTCAAATGAACGAAATTTATTTATTTCTTTTTCAAATTCAAATTTTTATTGTAATATTACGTCTTGTATTAAAAATCATAATGATTCTAATTGTTTAATTTTGTTTTTTCTTTTTAAGTCAGTAATTTTTGGAAATATTTGTATTTGGCAAAAAAATTCGTTTCTATTGAAAGAAAGAAATAAATTCTTTTTTAGATTTCTCTGCGGATAAAAAATTATTTTCTATTAATTTACCTCATTGTAAAAATGTGAATAACCAGTGAAAAGATTCCAGGCAATAGTTCCAATCATTATTAGAACTATTGACTTCTTGAGAAGTAATTTTTGTCCCTCAGTCACTTTTCGTCCAAAATTAAACATGACAATCTTAAATAAAATATGAAATAAAATATTTATTTATTCAAATATCAATTCTGAAACATTTATTCGAAAATGATTTTATAAAGAAAATTTTGATCTTTTTTTACCTATTTTTACTGGGAAAGAAAACCATTTTGCCAAATAGAAGTGAATTTAAGAGATATTGACATTTTCCTCCTTTCTATGAACATTTTTTATGTCACTAAATATTGCACCTTGTTTTCTAACCGAAATTATATTTTTTGAAATTTTGCTTTAATTTTGAATTTTAATGACAAGAAATCGAAACTGCAAATCAACTAAAAATGGACAAAAATAATAATTTCGATAAATGAAGATCAAATTTTTCGATTTTCATTTGTTATTAAGAATTTTTTATTTTTTTACGATAGCAATAATTGTTTTAGCAGTAATTGTTTAAAAAAACTAAAATCTAGGTATTTATTATATTTTTTTTAAACAAGAAAATAGAAAAATGAATATAATTCTATTTAATGGTAAAAGTAGACGCATTTTTATCTCAAAATTTTTTTTTGTTTATTTTCCAGTTTGGCGGCGTGGAGAACCAATAAAAGTTTCTCAATATTCTCTATAGATATAGCGCCGAAGATGTTGCTGGGGTCACTTCGGGCTCATTCTGACTCATCGTGGAATAATTTTTTTCTCTTACGATCACAATCTTTAAGTGGTTCATTTTAATACAAAAGCTTTAAGAGATTCTTGTACAATCTTTTCAAATTGTTACAAATTAACTGCAATATATCACTCTGAAGTGAATGTTTCAACTACTGAAGGCTAAAATTCACTGAAAAAAAAATATTATGTTTACTAACAATAATAGTAAGTATATAAGAGTGAAATAAATTTTCGCATTTTAAAGTAAGTATTTGTTTTGCGAAAAATAAGGAAAAATGTTTTCCTTTTTATTTTTTTTTTGTTATATTTTATTGTATTTATTTTGTTTTATTTTCTTTACTTTATTACCTATATCTATATAAATAAATGTAAATAAATAAATAAATTTTTTTTCTTTATTTTGTTACCTACAATATTTACTTTATTCTCCTTATTTTATTACCAATATTTTTTGTTACCTTCTCTATTTTGTCGTATTTTTTTATTTATTCAAATTATTTACTTTAAACAATCTCATTATTTAAATTATATTCTATAACTACTTTTATAGGTATTCTAAATAAAAATTGCAATTTTTCAGAAAAAATCGTGTGTTACTTTGGCAGTTGGTCAGTCTATCGTCCTGGAAATGGTCACTTCGATATTTCCTACATTGACCCTTCACTTTGTACACATTTAATTTACGCCTTTGCTGGACTCAATGAGGATGGTACCGTTAAAGTTTTGGATCCTTGGCAGGATTTGCCGGACAATGGAGGAAAAGACGGATACGGCAGATTTAATGCACTTCGTGAAAAAAGTCCATCGACAAAAATAATGATTAGCATGGGCGGTTGGAACGAAGGATCCAGCAAGTATTCCAGGTCCGTAAAATCCTCACTATACGAATTTATTCCCTAATTGTTTATTAATTCGAATTCTAATTTGAATTTTATATAAAAATTATAAATAATTTTATATAGAAATTATACATAATTTTATATGCACTGAAAAAAAATTTATTTGATTCAAATAACTGATTAATTGACTATTATCAATTAAATATTTATTTGAATCAAATAATATATATTGGACTCAATTAAATGGTATTTGAACCAATGATTTCAGTATTTGAAGCAAATACCATTTAATTGACTCTAATAAATATTATTTGATTCAATTAAATATTTAATTGATAATAGTCAATTAATCGGTTATTTGAATCAAATACTTTTTTTCAGTGTAGAGATTATAAATAATTTTATATAAAAATCTATATTAATAATCGTTGTATTCCGGTAATCTGTTCGCAGTTTGAAATTAGTTGCTGTTTGCTTTTTTTCCCTAACTTTTTAGTTATAATTTTTCTTTTTAAATGTTTACAATTCTTGTTAAGTATTTATAAAAAAAAATGTAAACATAATTGAATTCATTTCAAGAATTTTATCAAAATTTTTTCCATAATTGAATTCTTTCAGAAAAAAATATATTTAAAATTGTATTGAAAATAATTTAATTCTTGGCAAGATTTTTATAAAAATTCTTTAAAATAATTGAATTGTTTCTATTTTTTAAGAATTTATTTCAATATTCTTGAAAATAGTGGAGTTTTTTTTAATAATTTTTACTGAAAATTTTTCAAGTAATTGAATTTTATGAAGAATTAAATTATTTTCAATATAATTGTAATAAAATTCTTTGCAAAAAGTCAATTTATAAATAATAAAAATCTTCGTAAAAAAATTCAGTTATTTTTATATATAAATAATAAAATTCTTATCAGAAATAATTTTGTTTTGGCATGGATTCAATTATTTTAAAAAGTTTTAATAAAATTCTATTCAAGAATTCAATTATTTTCATAAATAATGAAATTTTCGATGTACTGAAAATAATTGAATTCATGTAAAGTATTTTTAAAAAAAATTGAATATAATTGAATTAATTTCAAGAATTTTTTTAACATTTTTGCAAATAATTGATTTCATTTGAGAAACTGTAATTAAAATTGTATTGAAAATAATTTATTTTCTTGGGAAGATTTATATTAAAATTCTTTGAAATAATTAACTTTTTTTTAATAATTTTAACTGAAAATTTTGAAAATAATTGAATTTTATAAAGAATTCCTTTCAAGTTTTTAAAATAATCGTGTTTATTATTAATTTTAATTAACAATTTTCCTATTAAATTATATTAAAATTATTCATAGAAAATTGAATTCTTTTAAACAATTTTATCATCGTTTTTGTAAATAATTACATTTTTTTTACATTTAATTGAATTTCGTAAAAATATTGTAATTTTTTTAAATAATTTTAATTGAAAATTTTGAAAATAATTGAAATTTACAAAAAAAAAATTTATTAAAAACCTTTGAGAACAATTGAATTGTTTAGAAAAATTATATCACAATTTTTTAAAATAATTGAACCTGTTAGAGAAATTTTATTAAAATTATCTTGAAATTAAATTTTTTCCTAGAAATGTTATTAAAATTGTATTGAAAATAATTAAATTCCTTTGAAGGATTTTATTATTTATAAAAATATTTTAATTCTTTAGAAGAATTTTCTTATTTATAAAAATAATTGAATAGTTTCGAAGAATTTTTTAATTTATAAAAATAATTGAATTGTTTCGCAGAAATTTTTTGCAATTAATTGATTTCTTTTTAGAAATTGTAATTAAAATTGTATTGAAAATAATTTATTTTCTTGGCAAGATTTTTATTAAAATTCTTTAAAATAATGGACTTTTTTAAAATAATTTTTACTGAAAATTTTTGAAATAATTGAAATTGACAAAGAATTTTATTAAAATCTTTTGAGAACAATTGAATTGTTTAGAAGAATTTTATCATAATTTTTAAAAATAATTGAACCTGTTAGAGAAATTTTATTAAAATTGTTTTGATAATAATTGAAATCCTCCGAAAAATTTAATTATTTATGAAAATAATTAAATTCCTTTGAAGGATTTTATTATTTATTAGAATATTTTAATTCTTGCGAAGAATTTCATCAAAATTGTTTAAAATAATTCAAATTATATAAAAGTTCTTGAAAATATAACATTTTTTAGTTTACAAACTAATAATAAATGGAATACAGCGTTCCGCGCGTATCATTTGCTATTATAAATAATTTTATATAAAAATTTACATTTTACAATTATAATTTTGTAATTACCTTTAGTTTATAATATTCAAAAACTAGAGTAATGAGCGATCCGGCAATTCGATCGAAATTCGTCGAGAATGTCGTGCAGTTTGTCAAGAAATACAAATTCGATGGATTCGATCTCGATTGGGAGTATCCGGCAAAACGAGGAGGTCATCCGGAGGATGTGGCAAATTTAGTTTTAGTTTTAAAGGAGATGAAGAAGAGATTCGATCAGGAGAATTTAATTCTGAGTATTGCTGTCGGTGCGGCCGAGATGACAGCAAGTATTTCATACGATATTCAAAATTTGTCGAAATACGTCGATTTTATCAATCTAATGACTTACGATTTTCATGGATCATTCGATTCCGATCATAAAATTGGACATCACGCGCCACTTTATGCTTCTTCCAGTGAAACTGGAGAGAAGAGAAAAATGAATATTGTGAGTAGGAAATTATTTACGATTCGTCGTGAAGAAAGCGAAGAAAATTACGAAAATACTAAATTATTAAATATTAAATTTATAAATTTATTTTTCTTCAAAATTTAGATAAATTATTTTTGATATTTACAGGATTCAGCGGTTAAATACTGGTTGTCTCAAGGGGCACCTGCCGAAAAATTAATTCTAGGAACAGGTTTCTACGGGAGATCGTTCACATTGGAAAATCCAGCGAATCATGAAATTGGCGATTCATTTACTGGACCGGGAACAGCTGGTCCTTATACGAGAGAAGCTGGAATTTTGGGATTCAATGAAATTGGAGAGATGCAAAAGCAAAAAACATGGAAACTTGGATTTAGCCAGGAGCAAAAAGTCCCTTACGCTTATCTCGATAATCAATGGATTGGATACGATAATTGCAAGTAAGAAATTGTATAATTATAAATCAATAGTTCATTTTTTTATTCATTTAAATTATTTTTACAAAGCAATACAGGGTTGCCACAAAAATTTAATTTTGTTCTTCCCAAAATTTCCCCTTATAAGAATATTATTTAATAATATCCGAGTCTTCGACTCGGAATGATCGATTTCTTCATGTTTTATAATAATTAAAAAGAACCGAGTGATAAAATCATTATTTTCTATTAAGAATATTGTTACTGAAACTTCTTCAAAGTTATTTTCATCATTTCCGATTCAATTCTTATTTTCTAGAATTTTTAACAAAAATTCTTCTTTAAATCAATTATTTTTAGTAATTTTTGAAAAAGTTCTTTAAGAATTTTCAAATCTATTTGTTTTCAATTCATTTTTACGAAATTTCATCAATTATTCGAAAATTCTTGAATTTTATATTTTAGAAAATAAAAATTTGAAATAATTTTAAAAAAAATTCAAATAAACTTTTTCAAAAAAATTAATTCCTACACAATTATTAATTCAAAATATGAAAAATTCAAATTTGCAAAGATTTTGATTTGAAACCTTTTCAAAATTCAATTATTTCTAAAAATTTACGTTATAATGGTTTTAATAGTCAATTATCTGAAATTTTAAGTAAAATTAATTTTTAAATCAATTTTCATTAGAAAATTCTAGGAGAATTCAATTATTTAAATACAAAAATAAATAATTGAATTTTCACAAAGAACTTTATCAACAAATTTTTGAATAATTGAATTTTTTCGACGAATTTTAATAAAATTTTTAAGAATATTTACATTTTTCGAGGACTTTGATTAAAATGAAAATAATTGAATTCCTGTGCAATTGTTATTATTTTTGAAAATAATTAATCCAGTTATTATCCTGAATACATTTGAAATAATTGAATGTTTAAAGAAATTTAAACAAAAAATTTTTGATGTAATTGAATTCTTTAGAGCAATTTAATTATTTATGAAAATAATCGAATCCATTCGAGTTATTTTATTATTCTTGAGAATAATTGAATTATTGCAAATAAATTTATGAAAAAAATTCGTAAATAATTGAATTCTTGTGTAATTTTTATTATTTATGAAAGTAATTAAATGTTTGCTATAAAATTTCCTATTTTTTAAAATAATTGAAATTACGACAAGAATTTTATTAAAATTTTTTGAAATAATTGAATTTCGAAGAAGAATTTTATTATTTATAAAGATAATTGAAATTTTGACGAGAATTTTTTTTTCCATTTTTGAACATAATTGAATTTTTGCTAAGAATTTTACTAATTTTTAAAATAATTGACATTTTACCCAGAATTTTATTAAAATGTTTGAAAATATTTTAATTTCGAAGAATTTTATTTTTTTTAAAGATAATTGAAATTTTGACCAGAATTTTTTTCAATTTTTGAACATATAATTGAATTTCTGCGAAGAATTTTATTAAAATTTTTGAAAATAATTGAATTTTGAAGAAGAATTCTATTATTTTTATAAAGAAAATTAAAATTTTGAAGAGAATTTTTAAAAATTTTTTTAACATAATTGAATTTTTGACAAGAATTTTATTATTTTTCAAAATAATTGAAATCTTGCCCAAACTTTTATTATGTAAAATGTTTGAAAATATTTGAATTTCGAAGAATTTTATTTTTTTTAAAGATAATTGAAATTTTGACTAGAATTTTTTCCAATTTTTGCAAAGAATTTTACTATTTTTGAAAATAATTGAAATTTTGACGATAATTTAAAAAAATTTTTGAACATTGTAATTGAATTTTTGAGAAGAATTTTATTATTTTTGAAAATAATTGAAATTTTGCCAAGAATTTTATTAAAATTTTTGAAGATAATTGAATTTTTGCGAAGAATTTTACTAATTTTTAAAATAATTGACATTTTACCTAAAATTTTATGAAAATGTTTGAAAATAATTTAATTTCGAAGAATTTTATTTTTTTTATAGATAATTGAAATTTTGACAAGAATTTTTAAATATTTCTGAACATAGTTGAATTTTTTCGAAGAATTTTATTACTTTTGAAAATAATTAAATTTCGGCAATAATTTGTAACTTAACTCCAAAAAACAATTCTTTTTTTAGTATTTTTAACTAATAAGCAATAATTTTTTGATTTTCCTTTAAGAATTAAGTTATTTAAATAGAAATTATTGTCAGAAATAGAAAAAATTGAAAGTTTTGTATTAAAATTCGTGGTAATTTCCTGGTTTATGATTCAAACCAAAAAGACACAAAAATTCAGAATTTTCTTATATGAATTCTAAATATTTAATTTTTTTCACTACTTTTAATAAAAATCCCTGACTTTTCCCTGATTTCCTCAATTTGTGGCAACCAAAATTTGCTTATAGACATTTCTTCAGTCCTCGTTACAAATAAACAAAAAGTAAAGTTTCTTTCCAAGTTAGTGGTAAATTACAATACGATAATTAGTAAATTAAAACCAATTTTTAATACGAAAAAAAAAATTTATACTTAAGTCGCAATAATAATTGTTTCATAATTTTAAAAAATGTATATTTTTTGAAGTTCTCTAACAGAAAAGGCTGAGTATGCAAAAAAAATGGGTTTAGGAGGAACAATGATCTGGAGCATTGAGACTGATGACTTCAAAGGAATTTGTGGAGATAAATATCCTCTTCTTAATTCTTTAAATAAATCATTACGCAATTAATTCTGCAATATTAGGAGAAGAAAACTACTTAATTTTCGTAATTTACTTATTTTTCTCATTTCCATTATCTATTTTCTAATGAATAGAATTTAGTCAATAATATTTTTGCATCTAGGGCAAGAAATAAAAAAAAATTATACTAAACTTATCAAATACTATATTTTTCCTTTAAAAATTAAATATTTTTACCCATTATTATTTATTAACAAAATGTTGAAAATTCAAAATTGCCGCAAAGAAAAGCGGAAATGGAAAATCCGTTTCGTTCTAATTGAAATAAAACGATAAAAGTATTGTTTTTTAATTCGAATTTATTTTCAAATTTGTTCTTTTTCGTATTTTCTGTTTTTCTTTTGATAAAAGAATTATTATTCTATATTTAAAAATAAAACCACCCACGCATACCGGAAGTGCATGTAACTGTAATTCTATTTTCAAATTTGTCCAACAGATGTCAGATCAACTTTTTGACAATATGGCGTCCGGTCAATAGACGGGGGGAGTTCTCGTCTCTCTCGTTTTCTGCGCCCAGGAATTAGGGGCCGAAGACGAAGCTTGACATATTTTGAAGTTCGCGAGTGTAAAAGAAAATGTACGAGGAATTCAGGTGGCACATCGATGGGGCACACTGAAACCTCATTAATTAGAAAAAAATCATGCGAATCTCTTGGACGAGAAATGCGAACATCGTAAACGACCGGGGGATTATTGTCGTTTAAAAGTGCGAGAGTTCAAGTTTCGCTTTATCGATGCAAAATGGCTTCGGGCGACAATGTAGACGTGATCGAAGTGGTCGAGACAAGTTTCACAGGCCCAGCCCAGGGTGGTGAAGACCATCTACGACCGCAAGATTCCGTGGAGGAAGACAGTGAGTTAAATTGTTTTTTTTTCATTTAATGTTTAAAATCTACTTAACATAACCTTCATTTTGGTTATTAATTGTTTAAAGGGTTTAAAAGGATTTAAACTGTTATCCGTGTAATCATATCACACAAGTTACATTGTCCTATAAAATTAATTAATTCAATTGTCAAGGCTACCTCTTGATTAATATTAAGGAATTCCAATAGTGACGTAGTCATTCGTAACAGCTGATTGACATCATCTGTCATTATCATATTGACCGTCTTTTACACAATTTTTTTTCTCTCTTTTTTTTGAAGAAGAAACCCCTAGACTTTGATCCGGATGATTAATCCTTCATCTCTACCGCATTCAAGCATTAATGATTCATGTTTTTTTCACGAAAATTACTGTCTTTGGAAAATAAAAAAAGAAGAAAATTACTGTTAAGAATTATAATACTTTATTTTAATTTCGTTTTTTTCAAAGTTAAATAGTGTCTGACTACATTTTTTTTGCAAATTGAATAATTTAAAAAATAATATATTGTCGACAATTTAACCTTTTGAAAAAGTTTTTCCCTGTTTTCTATATATACAAAACTATTCGGACAAAAGATGAATTGTTTCTATTTTAAGTCCCCACGTGTAAAGTTAACATTTTATAGAAGTTAAAATAGATTAGATCAATAATTTTACGCCAAGTAAACTGTGGCCGTTCTCTAAACAAAAACAAAGTTTGTTTTCACACTTTTAAAAGTCGAGAGAAAATACTTAATTTTTAAATGTCAAAAATCTCTATTTATACATAAAGTTGTTATTTTAATTTCCAATAGATATTATCTCTATAAGTGACAGAATTCAATTGAGTTTTTATTTTTTTTTTTTTTTAACAAAAAATAAATCTGCTCATAAAAATGAATATTGAAATTTTGTTTCCTTTGATGAATAATTTAATTGTTATTAGTTACGTTTCAGTTATTTATTGTTTTCAATTATTCGGAGTCATTAGTTTTCAAGAATGGTGTAGTACAATTATAGTGAACAATGACTAAGTCTATTCAATTGTAATATTTAATAGAGTAGAGTGCATCATTTTTTAAATCGTCTTGTTTAAATTTACTGCTTTATGAAAACATTAGAATCTCTTATTTTTTGTTTTCAAAATTATTCACACGTATTAAATTATTTTTTCAACTTTTTGAAATGTAGTCTATTGAGTGTGTAGTGTTTGATTAAATTTTTAATTAAATTGTAAAATTGTGTTGCCAGTTCAAAAAAAATGTGTTTTTATTTTTTTTTTTTAGTGAATATAAATTAATAATTTTTTTTATTAAATTATGTATTAAATTCTTATTAAATTAATAAATTTAATAAGAATTATATTTTTAAATAATATTATTGCGACAAATATTTATTAAAAAATGTTTATTTAGGTTTTAAATATTTGTTAAAAAATATTCATTAGTTTCCAAATATTTATTAGTTTTTAAATATTTATCAAAATACTTACTAGTTTTTAAATACTTGTCAAAAAAATTTATTTATTTTTAAATATTTATCAAAATATTTACCTACTGGTTTTTAAAATCTTGGCAAAAATATTTATTAGTTTCTAAATATTTATTCGTTTTTAAATATTTATTAGTTTCTGCATTTTTACTAGTTTTTAATAATCTTTATCAAAATATTTACTAGTTTTTAAATATTTGTCAAAATATTCATTAGTTTTGAAATAATTACTAAAATATAATTATTAGTCTCTAAGTATTTACTAGTCAGATTCGGAAATTGAAATATAAAACAAAAAGTGGCCCGAATCTGACAGAATTTTTCGAATATTCCAGAAATTGTTACTAAAATTTTTCTCTTTTTGCAGATAAATCAGTGGGTGAAAAAGTTTCAGCCTTTGACGTGAGTATAAATTATAATTTAAAGCTTCAAGTACATAATTGCAATAAAATCGCCGAACTTTGCTGCAATTGATAGAAATTCTCCTTCATTTCGATTTTTTTCGACAAAAACCAATTTTTTTTCTTCGATAAATTTTTCATTATTGAAATAATTGATAAAATCAGCGATACAGTTAATTTTTTTTAATCATATGGAAATCCGTTAGTTTCCGTTTCACTGACTCTGGTAGATTCGAGAAAAAAAAATAGTCGCATATAAATTTTATATTAGAAGGAAAAAAAATCGATGTCCCTAAATTTTTTGGGGAATTGGTCTACATTAGACTTTAAAGGTCCATGAATAGATATTAGAAGTACACACAGTCTTAGGCCATTGTCACTTTTCAAGGCTCCTTGTGCTACTTTCTATACTATATTCTCATATATATACATATATCTTGTTCAATGCACATTCTCTGACTCACGATAGGAAAAAAATTTCCTTCCTGTTTTTCAAAGATATTGTCTCCTTTTAAATTTTTTTTCCTCTTCTCTTCTTCATTTTATAGTCAATTTCTATTTTATAGAGACACAAAATTTACATGTTGGATTAGAGTTCTTTTAATAAAACACCAAAATCTATTCGTCCGTGTTTATGTAATGAAAATCGATAATTAATTAAAGTAGGGAAAATTCAAACTTGTTTTATGTAGCCCAGGGGAATTGATGTAAACCAATTTTTTTTTATTTCGTTTCAAATAATATTGTTTCTCATTATTGTAAAATTATTTCTTTTCTAGAATAAATTTTAGTGGAAAATAAATATAATTGAAATTGTTATTCGGGGCAGAATAATGAAAAGGAGAGGAAAATGAAATCGAATTAAAAAGGGAAAAAGGAAAATAAAATCGAAAAGGGGAAATAAAATTTAAAAAGGGAAAATAAAATTAATAAACCGAAAATAATAAATTAATGAAATAAAAATAAAAAGAGAAAAACAACATAAAAACTCAAATTTCTATTATAATTTAATTTAATTTAATTCAATTTAAATTAATAATTTATTTTCGAGTAAATTATTAATATTTCAAGAAAATTCGAATTCAGTCTTCGACGTTTAAGTCTCTGAAGTGTAATATCGTAATTCCCGTTATAAGAATGCATAATCTTTAAAGTACTTGTTCAAACAATTGTTCTCGAATTTGCAGAGATTTTAAACATAAATTTTCGTAAATTATTTTTATTTACTGTATTTATAATTAATTTTCTCGATTAATATTTAGAAAATTAAAAAGATAAAAACAAAAAAAGTGACAATATTTATAAATTTCTTTTGTTATTATTTTTTTGGTCACAATATTAGATTCGAGAAAATTTTGTTGTTCCATTAAATCGATTTATAAAAGGAATGTTATTTACTTACTACGCGTTTTCTTTACTTTATTAACTTATCAATTTGTTTGATGAAGAAGATAGTATTTTAATAGATGAAAGTACTTTTTGTCATTAAAAAGATTTTGAAATCTAATTTTAATTAAATTATTCTTTAAGCACGTGGATTTGTTGAGCAATGAGGAAATCTGTCCTTTTTTTCTAAAAAAAGGAATTTTATTGCTTCGGGAGTAAATTAAATTTTTTTTTATCAAACAAATAAATAAGGAAAAAATAATAAATAGAAATTAATTATTATTTTTACGTTGATTTTGTCGTACGGAAATTAAAAACGAAATGAAGGAGAAGTTAATTAAGCGATCAAGGTAGTAAATAGAGAGAAGGCAAATTAAATTAATTCATACGATAAGTAAACCAAGTGAACGAATAAAAAGTAGAATATAAAAAATGATTAATAAATTTCGATGATTAAAATAATAAATTAGTAGTAAATTAAGATGTAAGCAATTATGAATAGTAGAAAAAATAGAAAATAGAAATAGCAGCAGAAGAAGTAGTAGAATAATAATAAATAGTAATAGTCACAAAACTCTTTAGATTTTCATGAAAATTTCGATAAAGATTGAGAAAAAGTATTGACAGTATAATGTAAAATGAATCAGTTCTTTTTCAAACCCCATTAATAAAATCGTTGAAGGATTATTGACCCTTCTCGCGCAGTGAATATATTAAAGAAAGACATAAAATCGTATGAAATAGTTTGTCTGCTTTCTTTTCAATTTAACAATTCTATATTGCAGCAATTGTCCCTGCGATGCATCAATGAAAGCATAAAAAGAATGCATAATGGCACCATGATCTTTCATTATTATTATAGAGCTCAACAGTGCAACATGGCAGTGCAGGTCCGAAAACTCCAGTTGGAGTGTCAAGAAATAAATCGGAGCGAGAGAAAAAGATTGGCCACAGAAGGGTGGGAGTTGGGGGTGAAATTACATACAAAAAGGTAAGGAGATAAAAAAAAATGATACGAGAAAAAATTTCATTTACATTCTAATTGATAAGTTTTTCTAAATGAAGAGAAAAGTTTTTTTTACAAAATAGAAAAAAAAACAATTTTTTTTTTCTATTTTCTCCCCGGCAAGTACAAAAACTAAAACAGTTAATGATATTTGTAAAGTATAATGTTAACATTAACAGCAAATAATGAAGGTGCTATAAATAAAAGTTGATTTTACATTATATCAACTTGTTTTGTTAGTTTAAGTTTCTCTTACTGATAATCTAAGGTCATTCTTTACTGGACCTCTGTTCGATGAATCTGATTAAGTTTAATGAGCTTAGGAAACAAAATGCTGAAGAAATTCATTTAAAAATCTAAGTCAAATTTGTTTTTTTTCCCAATTGTAAATTGTTGGGGGAAAAAAATTTATGCGAAACAAATAATAATGATCTCATCGTGTAAATATAATTAACTATTTATTTACCGTATTGTAAAAAATAGTTTATTTGTTAATTCAATTCACAACTAAAATTGATCGATTTTGAAAATAAATGGAAAACTGTTTGCCAAATATTTACATTTTTATAAACTCTTTTCTTCTTTTTGATTAATTACTAATTACTAATTATTAATTTGCAATTTCTCAGATCCAAAGTACACAAATTATGGGATCTATTCAATTGGGTATACAACATGCAGTCGGTGGTCTCGCAAGTAAACCTGAACGCGATTTGCTCATGCAGGATTTTATGACTGTTGAAACTACAAATTTTCCTAGCGAAGGTTCAAATCACACTCCAGCTCATCACTTCTCGGAATTTAAATTCAAGAATTACGCACCTATTGCATTTCGTTATTTTAGAGATCTGTTTGGCATCCAACCAGATGATTTTTTGGTAAGTTTTCCAATTTTTGTGAAACTCACTGCAAGAAAATATTTTTATAAATTTTCTTTATGCGCTACTTCTAAAAAAATATTTAAATAAAGAAAAATTCAATAAATACAAAATTCAGGGAATTTTGATTAATAAGTAATTGTCATGATAATTGAAAAATAAAATTTACAGATGTCGATGTGCAGTGCACCACTGCGTGAATTATCGAATCCTGGAGCCAGTGGAAGTATTTTTTATTTGACAGAAGATGATGAATTTATCATCAAGACTGTTCAACACAAAGAAGGTGAATTTCTGCAAACTCTGTTACCTGGATATTACATGGTAAATAATTTTACTTAAATTTAAATTCAAGTGAAATATTATTTCATGATTTTACTTGAATTATTTTTTATGGCATTTTTTTGGGGGTTTATTTTTATATGGTTGAATTAATTTGTAAATTTACTTTCGCAGAATTTAAACCAAAATCCAAGGACGTTATTGCCAAAGTTTTTTGGATTGTATTGTTATCGTTGCAACAGTAAAAATATAAGACTCGTTGCTATGAACAATCTTCTGCCCTCAGCCGTTAAACTTCACCAAAAATATGACTTAAAAGGCTCAACTTACAAGAGAAAAGTAAATATTAAAATAGATTATTATTAAATTATTTATTGAATTTAGAATTAGTATTTATTACTTTGATTTTAAATGAAAATTAGTGGAAAAGTATATTTTAATGAATTTTTTTTCCCTCTAAAGGCCTCGCGATCTGAAAGAGCAAAGTCTTCGCCTACTTATAAGGATTTAGATTTTATGGAACATCATGCGGAGGGAATTTTTCTAGAGGCCGATACGTACAGTGCTCTAGTCAAAACAATTCAACGAGACTGTCGTGTACTTGAGAGTTTCAAAATCATGGACTATTCACTTCTAGTCGGAATTCATAATCTCGATCAAGCTGCAAGAGAAAAAGTCGTGAGTAATTTTTTTTTACGAGAATATTTTAGTAAATTTTTGAGAAATTACAAATAATTTCAATTTTTCAAAATATAATTGAATTTTTAAAAGGTTTCAAATTACAGGACGAATTTTTTGAAATAATTGAATTTTGAAAAAGTTTTACTTTTAAATTCAAATTTTTGAAAATTTCAATTTGTCATACTTTTTACTAACAATTGTGTAGAATTAATTTTGTTGAAAAAGTTTAATTGAATTTTTTTAAAAATGGTTTTAAGTTTTTATTTTTCAACATTAAATTTAAGAATTTCCAAATAATCGATGAAGTTTCGTAAAATTGAATTCTAAACAAATGGATTTAAAAATTCTTACAGAATTTTTTCGAAAATTATTAAAAAATAATCGATTTAGAGAAGAATTTTAGTTGCAAAGAATTGTTTAAAAAAATTTGATGATATTAGAATTCCTTCGAAGAATTTTATTATTTAGGAAAATAATGCGAAGAATTTTATTAAAATTTTTGAAAGTTCTAATTGATTTCTGTTTGAAGAATTTCTTTGAATTTTTTTTTAAACAATGAAGCCTCTTTAATAATTTTAATTAGAAATTTTGAAAATAAATGAATTTTATGAACTATTTTTTTCAAGTTTTTAAAATAATCGTGTTTGTTAATATTTGAAATTGTACGTATTTAATTATTGGATTTTATTAAAATTTTAGAAAATAATTGAATTTTTTCGAAAAATATTATTAAAAATTAAAAAAAATTAAATTCTTTTCTGAAATTTTTTTGAAAATAATTGAATTTTTGTAAAGATTTTATTATTTAGAAAAATAATTGAATTCTTACGAAGAATTTGATTAAAATTTTTGAAATTAATAAACAATAATAATTAATCAGTAAATTAGTTAATAATTGAAGTTTTTAAAGTTTGAATCTGAAATTATTGAAAAATTCATATTTGAAAATAAAAAATGTTGTTTAAATTTGCATAATAATAATAATAAATTGAAAATCACGTTCCGTAACATTTGCTAGTTTTAAATAATTTTTGATAGAGAGAAAAAAGTATTTCGAAAAAGAGAGTTTATTTTTTTAATAATGGCTTTTAATAATTTTTGATAGAGAAAGGTATTAGAAAATGAAATATAAAATATATTTAAATATGTTTATGCATTTTTTTTCCTTTGTCATTTCAAGGAGGAGCAACGATTATCAGCCAGCGCAGAAGAAGATGCGGGAGAGTATGTCTGTGATAGTGGTGGATTTTTACAAGCGGAGAGACGCGATAGGGATGACAGGACAGGAGCCGCTGCTCTCAATAGATCACGCAGTATAAATCGACAAAGACTCGTTGCTCACAGCACTGCAATGGAAAGTATTCAAGCTGAAAGCGAACCCATCGATGAAGAAGACGATGTTCCGTGAGTAGTTTCAATTTCACTGAATTAGAAATATTCCAACAACTTTTCTTTTAAAAAAGCACATTTTCTAATTTACCCGAAAAGTCCAAAAAAGCCAGTTATTAAATAAAAATTAAAATTGTAGTATTTTTCTACATTTGTGTTCATTTTGTTTATTTTTTACTTTTTACACTTATTTTGAATTCCGATTCTGAAGTGAAACTGAAAGTGAAATTTTAAAGGTTCAAAATCGAAATATTAATAGTGAAATAAATGAACTGGATTGGATTTCTCTTAATAAAAAAATCAGGATTCTGATAGTTCAGGTAAATTTTTTTTTTTGGTATTTAATATTTATTGTTGTTTGATATGTAGTTGTAATGATTTTTGAAATTTTTTTTTTGCAGTCCTGGTGGTATTCCTGCACGGAATGCGCGCGGAGAACGTCTTCTTCTCTTTGTGGGTATCATTGACATTCTTCAGAGTTACCGGCTCAAAAAGAAACTCGAACACACGTGGAAATCAATGATACACGATGGTGTAAGTAAATTTAAAAAATATTCAAGCTCGTATTCTTTTAAGCTCTTTAACCTTTTTGTTAATATTAAATTAACTGCTTCTTAATTTAATTATTGAGAATTGGGTTGATTAATTTATTCACGGTAATGTTCTTTTGTATTTTTAAAAAGTGCAAACAGTCTTCAAATGAAAGTTAAACTCGAGAGGGATAAACAAGATTTTTAAAAAAAGTGTTTAAAATACTGTAAAAAGTAACTTTAATTTATTTATTTAATTTTACAACTTTATTTATTTATTTCACAATAAATTCTTAGTTTTTGGCAAATTTTAATTAATAGTCAAAGTTTATTTTAATTAATTTATTATTTATTTACTACTTTATTTATATATTAGCAAATGATACTTGCGCCAGCGCGCGGAACGCGGTATTCCATTTATTATTATTTTGTAAATTAAAAAACATTATATTTTCAAGAATAAACATAATTTTTTCAATGATTACAGATTCAAAATTTTAAGAATTCACTTATTATGTACATAATATTAAATATTCTTGATTATTATTATTAAAAAAATTTAATAAAATTTGTCGCAAGAATTTCATTGTTCTTATAAATAATAAAATTCTTTAGAGCACAATTCAATTATTTTTCAATATAATTTTAATAAAATTTCTCGAAAGAATACAAATATTTTTAAAAATATTAATTAAAATCAATTATTTTAAAGAATTTTAATATAAATTTAATTATTTTTAACAATTTTGATGAAATTCTTTTACAAAAATCATTATTTTCAAAACTTTTAATAAAATTCCTTCAAAAATTTCAATTATTTTCAAAAATTCAGATAAAATTCTTCGAAACAATTCAATTATTTTTATAAATTGTAAAATTCTTGACAAGAATTCAATTATTTTTGTAAATAATTTCTAAAAAATTTCATTTAATACAATTCAATACAATTTTAATAAAATTTCTTTATCAGGTATAATTATTTTTAAAAATTGTAATAAAATTTTTCTAAACAATTCAATTATTCTCAAAAGTTTTTAATAAAATTCTTTGTAAATTTTAATTTTTTTCAAAATTTTCAATTAAAATTATTTTTAAAAATGTAAAAATTATTTTTACGAAATTTAATGAAATTTGTCAAAAAAAATGTAATTATTTACAAAAACTCTAAAAAAGTTGTTTAAACGAATTAAATTATTTGAAGAAATGTTGATAAAATTCTCGAAATGAATTCAATAATATTCCATTTTTTCTTTAAATACTTAACAAGAATAATTCAATGATTTTCAGTACATCGAAAATTTAATTATTTCTGAAAATAATTGAATTCTTGAATAGAATTTTATTGAAATAATTGAATCACTGAAAGAAAATGTATTATTTCTGCAAATAATTGAATTTTTGCAAAATTTTAAAAAATAAGTGAATTTTTGAGAAGAATTTTATGAAAATTGTATTTAAAATAATTGAATGCCTGAGAAAAATGTACTTTTTATTGATATAATTGAATTCTTACGAAGAATTTAAAAATAATATAATTTTCCCTGGAATTCAATAAAATTGTATTTAAAATAATTGAATTCCAGCGAAAATTTTATTATTCATGAAAATAATTGAATTCTTAAATTGAATTTTATTAAAAGTTTTTTTTAAATAATTGAACTCTTGAGAAAAATTCAATTATTTTTTAAAATAATTAAATTTTCTTGGAGAAATTTTACAAGATTTTTTAAAAATAATTGAATTTTGTTAGAGAAATTTTACATGATTTTTAAAAATAATTGAAATTTTCTAAGAAATTGTATTGAAAATAAGTGAAATCCTGATAAGAATTTTATTATTTATATACAAATAATTTAATTTTTTTACGAAGATTTTTATTATTTATAAATTGATTTTTTTGCAAAGAATTTTATAACAATTATTGAAAATAATTGAATTCTTGATAAAATTCAATTACTTTCAAAATTTTCAGTAAAAATTATTAAAAAAAAAGCTCCACTATTTTCAAAAAGATTGAAATAAATTCTTCAAAACAATTCAATTATTTTAAAGAATTTTAAGAAAAATCTTGCCAAGAATTAAATTATTATTTTCAATATACAATTTTAATTACATTTTCTCGAAATAATTCAATTTCTGAAAAATATGTTGATAAAATTCTCGAACTGAATTCAATTATTTTCAAATTTTTTTATAAATACTTTGCAAGAATTCAATAATTTTTAGTACATCAATTTTAAAATTTAAAACATTTAAAAAGAAAAATTATTTAAAAAATTAGGAAGCAAAATAGCAAAGAGCAACTAACTTCAAACTACGAACAGATTAACGAAATACAACGATTATTAATATAGAAAGATTTACTACTTTTTTTATTTATTTCACGATAAATTCATAGTTTTGGGCAAATTTTAATTAATAGTCAAAGTTTATTTTAATTGATTTTTTTCACACGATAAATTCTTAGTTTTTTTTTTTTTTTTGATAAATTAAAATTTTTCGTTTGTTTTCTAGTAAAATTGTTTTTTCTTTTAGGATACGGTTTCTGTGCATAGACCAGGCTTTTATGCTAAGCGCTTCCAGGACTTTATGGCAGAAACAGTCTTCAAGAAAATTCCCTCACGTAAGTACAATCCGAATCAGCCATTAGTGGCACACCTAACTTCCATGTTAGTGCTCAGTAAAGCTCACTCCTAAAATAAGAAACAAGAAAACACTCGAGAGTTTACAAGTTTTATGTACAAGACTTGAACTTCTCTTTTTTTATCACTCCTGGTTGGATCTACGATTATGACTCATAAATTGAAATTATTTTGCATTTCTCTATGACAAAATCCTTTAGAAAAGGATTTCTTGTACTTAATTATTTTTTAGTATTATATTCATAGATTTTTTTATTTTCTTTTATTATTTATTTTTTTTTTTATTATTATTTTTATTTTTTTAAATTATTTTTATTATTATTATTATTATTATTATTATTATTATATTATTATGACTATTTATTTTAATATTATAGTAGTCCAACCACAAAAGTGAATAATCAATTCCATAAAATTTAAATTATGGTATTTTACCCTCTAAAAGTAGAACTCAAAAAGAAAAAATTTCAAGGGTGATACCTAGACATTTTTTTCAAAAAATAAATTTACAAAATGATGACGCTTAAAAAGTAAAATTTTAGATAGTTATTATTAAAAAATTGTGCACCCTTTTTACGAAATAACTATTTTATTGTTGATTATTATGTCAGTTAACATAATTCTATAATATTTGGCTAATGTGCAGTACGCTATTAAGCTAGATCTATATTTTTTAGAACAAATTGTAATAACGTCTATTATAAGTTTTAACCTCTTATAATAATTAATCTACGATTTAAGCAACGTGTAACAAATTAGTAATGTAATTCAACGATTTTATCAAAATCGTTCAATCGTTTTCCAATATCCTCTCAGGTGTTCTCGAGTTAGAACTTTAGCCAAAATCGTGTGTGCTAAAAAAGAATATATTAGTTTTCAATATTTTTTCGAGATTCTAGATAAGTTTTTGAACAAAAAAAAATAATAATGTGAATATTCGCGTTAATTAAAACAAAGGCTCAAAATAGAAAATAATTTCGACTTGCCATAAATCAAAGGCTTCAAATGATAAATCAAGAATCTTTTTTTTTTAGATTATATTAGATTAGATGATTTTTAAAGCCAATGGTGATAAATTTTAAAAGTTTAATTCGATCAAAGACTATAATAGTGATAAATGAATAGAAAATTTATCAAAGACTTAAGAGTAAAATAATTAAAATAGCAAAAGAGGAAATTAAGAAATTAAGAAATTAAGAAAAAAGACAAATAATAAGTAGAAAATTTTAGAATTTTAGATTTTCTTTAGTTAGAAACTCAGATTCAAATAATGGCTAAAATTTTCATTTTATTTTTTGAGTAAATTTATTTTTTTTATCTTATCAACGACTAAATGCTCACAAATTACTAATACAAAACATATTTTTCGGTTTATTTTGTAAAGAGAGTAATTAACATTGTAAACACTAACAAAATTTTTACAAATTTTGTTTTTTTTTTTATTCGAGAAAGAAAACAATACATAATTACATATTTGGTGTCCACTGAAATAGCTGAGTATTTTTTTTTTGTCAATTTTACACTGTAATTAATGGAAATTTAACTATAATTATACTCCGTATATTAAAAATTGAAAATTTCTCTTTTGTTAATAATTTACATTAATAATTAATAATTCTTGAATATATTAGAAAATAGAGAAATTTTCAACATTTTAAAATTGGAGGGTAATTATAATAAATTAATATTATTGTAATAATGTGTAATAATATTACTGTAATAATTAGATTTTTGAAGGAGAAATAATGAATTAAAAAAGAATTTGGACACAATTCATTTAGTTTTGCGAATTTTGAATTAAAAATTGTAAATTTGAATTATTTTGATGAAAATTCGAAAAGAAATTATTTATTACCTAATATTATTAATTAATAATTAATAGTGAAAATAGAAATAAAAATTGATTTAGATTTTAAAAAGGAGACTTTGATTTTATTTTTAAAAATAAGATGATTGAAAAAATTAAGATTTCGTTTGTCTTGAGATTTTGTTTGAAAAGAAAAATTATTCTACGTACGGTTTAATTATTGTTTTTTTAATTTATAAGAAGTTTTTTTTTTGAAAAAAAATAAGAAATATTGTAAAGCCACTGCCTTATCGGTTTCCTGCGATTCTACGGTTATTATAATGTTACAATTACAATATTGAATTATAATAATAATAATTTCTATTTTTAAACTGCTAAATAATACGCAGGGGACTTAATCGTTTTGCGATTGTGCCTTAAATATTAGTAATACCGACTATTATACCTCAAGCGTTTTACGCAGTGTGGAAATATCGATATTGCGATGAGAATGATGAAAAAAGTAGTAGTGGTAGTAGTAGTAGTAGTAGACTTTTTTTTCTAAACTAAAATATTCAGCTATTTATAAAATGTGGGCACCCATGTACATATATATTTTGCAATAAACATTTGCCCTGTTATAACTTACATTTCATTTACTAGCCTCCCCATAACACGAATATACTCTATTTTCATATTTTCCTATTTTTTAATTTTAATCTATTTATACACTTTAAATTTATTCTCTCAAAATCTGACAAAATTTAAATCGAAAAATATTTTTTGAATTTTGGAAATTTGTCCTAATGATTCGAACGTTTAAATGAACGAAGATAATTTTATTATTTATGGTAATTTTTAGTTTTAAGAAACAAAAAATGAATTAATTTTGTGTAATGGAAATTTTCAAGTGAGAAAATGTTTAATTTTTATTTTTTACCGTTAAAGTTTAGCAGATTTGGAAAATTTCGTTCCATTTGAACGTTCAAAACTTTGGAGAATTAGAAAATTAATTTTATGCCCCTTAAAATATTTTTCGAAATTAAATTTTGGCGGGAAAACTGGCAGTGAATAATTTTATAATTTATACTAACAATATTTTATACTAACACTAGTCGTTGAAGTGTTTGCAATTTTTTGAGCTATTTGTTATTTTTTTTCAAGTTTTTTTTTTCGCCAAAAAAAAAGAATCTTTTTCTAAAGAATAGAAATAAAAATTAGTATTTTTGGAAATATTTCCAATTAAATTTAAATTCTTTTCTGTATTTTTTAATACTTTGAAATTTTTTTTAAAATTTATTTTCTTTCACTATTTTATTTTATTATATATATACGAAGATTATTTTTTATTATATAATTAGATTTTTCGCCTTTTCAACGAAAATTGATTTTGATGATATAAATTGAAAATTGAAAAATCGAATATGGAAATAATTTTTTTTTTTCTATTTATTATCGTCTCTAAGAATTGTGCTAATTTTTAGAGAATACAAATTAGTTAAATGTTAATATTTTTGTGTCCGTGCACTACTTTTTGTGTCAACTCCTTGAACTACTGACCTGCTACCGAACGAAACTCGAAAATGAAAACTAAAAGTGGACCTGCCTGAGATAAAGGGGAATCATCGCAAATTCCGTAACCTCGTCACCAGCTACATAGGTAACTCATGTCTGTCCATCTGTTTCGTCCCTTTTGTATACAAGTTGTCGATGTTGTTTTCATCATCCTAAGATGCTTGCTTGCCTGTCTCCATTGTCAATATCCGCTTCAAAAAACAAAAAAAAAAATTAATGTTTGTCATCGACGGTGTAACAATATTACAGAAATTTTGTAGTTCGTCTCCGTTAATTTATAAATAACTGACTATCTTTTTTTTTTGTTTTTTTATCTCCAAAGGATTAATTTTTTTTATTAATACTCTCTAATCTACACAGAACGATTTTTGCCAAATTATCCGTAATGTAGTGTTTTTTACTGTAAACTTGTTATTTTTGTGTTTTCTAACGTTTTGTATTGTGAATTGTTTGTTTTATCCAGTTTATTAATTAATACTGCTGTTTATTATTAAATAATACAATTAATTATTAATTATTATTAATTATTAATAATTAATAAATATTAATGATTACTATTTAATAATTATTAACATTCATTAATTATTCATGTTTATTAATTATTCATATTTAATAATTATTTATATTCATTAATTATTATTATTAATATTTATTAATAAATATATTATATAATTAACAAATGTTTGTCTAAAAAATGTTTTAATTTCAATAATAATAGATTTTGCTGTCCAGGCTTTTTAAAAGCTCTGCTTTTTGCCAAATTGCAGCTTTTATTTTCGTTTTGCTTTCAGTTATCACACATAGGGACATTTTTAGTTGAATGATTTTTAAGTTTCGAATTTTCTACAATTTGCTGATGCGAAGTTACCCTTTAAATAAAAACAATTGTAAATTAATGAAAAAAAAGATGAATATCGTTATTGATAAGTTGAAATAGATTTTTTTTTAATTTACCGAATGAATTGTTATAATTTTTTTTATATCGGAGAAAATATTGAATGTAAATATTGTACAGATGTTAGTTTAGATTAGGTAATAATTAATATGAAGTTTGGAAAAAATTTTCTACTGGTAGTCCTACGACGTTTTTTTTTTAAATAAATTTTTGAACAAATTTTGAATTATTTCAAATAATTTAAAAGTGAATTTAAAGGATTTTAAATAGTTTAAGTGAATTTGAATGATTTCAAATAATTGAAATGAATTTAATTGATTTCAAATAATTGAAATGAATTTAATTGATTTCAAATAGTAGAAATGAATTTAAATACATATTTGAAACGATTGCAAATAATTGAAATGAATTTAAATAATTTCAAAAAATTTTCAAATTTATTTCAAACATTTCAATGAATTTAAATAAATTTAAATTATCTCGAATAATTTTAATTTCCGCTTTATATTATTTCTGTCTTCCAATATTTGTTGTAGATGAACTACCAGTAAAAATTTTTTTTTAATTAAAAAAAAATTATTGTCATGTAAAATGTTATTTGTATTTAGGGTTAAATATGATTTTTTTTTCGTATTTTTGTTGTTTTCTTTAAGTGTGAAATATACGCATGATTGTGTACGAATGTATTGTTATGAAATATAAACAAGCTAAAATATTTGTAATTACACATTATCATCAAAAATTCATTCAAATTTTTTGTCTCAAAGAGTAATTTTGTAAATTTTTCAATTAATAAGTCCGAGAAATTTGAAATGGATCATTGATGATAATAATAAAATACGATTTTATTTTTATTTTGTTTTTAATCAATTTATTCAATTTTTTTTATTTAGACTTTTTTTGTTTTGAATTGCAAATATTTTCTATTTAGTTTATTATTTTTATTTTGAATTGTAAATATTTTCTAAATTTAATTTTGTATTTTGTTTCTATTTGCAAATATTTTTTTATTTAATTTGTATTTTGTTTCGATTTGCAACGATTTTCCATTTAATTTATAATTTTGGTTTCAAATTGCAAATATTTTCTATTTAATTTATAATTTTTGTTTCGAATTGCAAATATTTTTGTAAATTTAATTTGTATTTTGTTTCGATTTGCAAATATTTTCTAAATTTAATTTGTATTTTGTTCGAATTGCCAATATTTTCTAAATTTAAATTGTATTTAGTTCGAATTGCAAATATTTTCTAATTTTAATTTGTATTTTGTTTAGATTCGCAAATCTTTTGTATTCAATTTGTATTTTGTTTCGAATTGCAAATATTTTCTAAATTTAATTTTATTTTATTTCGAATTGAAAATATTTTCTAAATTTAATTTTTTTTTTATTTTCGATTTGCAAATATTTTGTGTTTAATTTATAATTTTTTTTTCAAAGTGCAAATATTTTCTATTTAATTTTCAATATTTTGTTTTACTTTTGTAAATAACGCTTAAAAATAATTTTCTATTTGATTTATTAATTTTTTGTTTTATTTCGTAAATAACAATTAAAAATATTGAATAATTGAAAATACATATAATGATTTTTTTTTATTTTGAGAACAATTTTGTTTAAATCATGCATTTCATAATTTATTTTTTTTTCAATAATACAATAAATAGGTATAAATAGTCATAAATGGTAAACAATATAATATTATCTTAAAATAGAATTATTAATTATTTAATGATTAAAATATTTTTTCAGTGCTTCAGATTCGTTTGAATTACACACTAAATTATTTATATTAATTAAAAACAAGCATTTTGTTAATATTAATATGTGAAAATTATTTTTGCAGAACACAATAATTTCTATGAAACTGCAAAAGAAAATTAATTTACCTTATAATATGTAAAACATTGATTAATTTTTTGTTACAGCATTGAAACATTCTCCATCAAAAAGGAAAAGCATTTCAAGACCTCTGAGGCCACTGGAAGTTGATTTCGACTCGACGGGTGAGTTGAAATTATTTTTATCAAAATCAAATTATTTATAATTAGGACTAAAATAATTAATTATTGAAAATCGTATAAACTTTCGTAAATTAGAGTAAATGAAAAAAATTGAAAAAATATTTAGATATTTTTTTATACGATAACGAAAACGAAAAATGAAAGATATAAAAATTAATTTGAATTAAAATTTCGATTAAAATTAATTTAAATTTAAACGTTTAATTTTAAAGTCTTTATTTATCATTTACGATGAAGATAAAGAAAATGAAAAATGCTGCAATGAAAAATTATCCAATGATGCAATTCCATTGTCAAACACCTTTATCGTCCTTCCTGATATCAATGATAATGTAAACACTGTCTGTGTGAATTTCCCTGTGACGTCCTCGCCACCATAAAGTCCACAATCATTACATAAATCCTTCAAGAAAAGAAAAAGGAAAAAATTCATTACTTATCCATTTTTTTGCATTAAAGAGCAATGAATTTACATTTTGCAACTAAATTGCACAAAACTTGTTAATTTTTTTTTTTTTTTTTTTTAATCACTTCGATTATTAAATTATTCATTTTCAACTATAATTAATATTGTAATTAACAATTATAATCAATAATATAATTTACAATTATAATTAATATTATAATTAACAATTATAATCAATATTATAATTAACAATTATAATTAATATCATACTCAAAAAATAATTAATAATTCCAAGTATTCAAATAAGAATTTAATAAGATTCGAATAAGACAAAATTAATATTGAATAAATATTAGAATTGAGTAAATTATTTTTTTCTATTCCTGAAAATAAGAAATTTCTCATATAATTCTCAGAAATTAGAAAATTTAGAATTTTGTGGAACTCTACAATTAATTTCTAAAGAAAAAAAAATATTTAGGATGTAATTTTTTTGCTTGATGTGTGGATATGAAAATTTCTTTTGTTCATAAAAAAATAAGAATGTCGGTAATGGTTTGATATTACATGGTGGTTTAGTGGTGGCGGCAACTGGAAATTCAACAATGCATGCTACATCACCCACAAAACCTGGTGAGTTTCCTGCTGAAAAATCATTTACATTTTTGTCATTTAAATTAACATTTAATAACATATTCATAAATTGTACGTTCACAATTTTTTTTTTTATCCAAAACTAATACGAATGTTGCACGAAAATATCTTATTTCTGAGTATTTTGAAACTAATGACTGAAGAACAATTAGTTACAGAAAATAAAATAAAGAAAAATATAAAAAAGAGAAATAGAAAAATACAAGTTAATAAAAACTGAAAAGAAGAAAATAAAAGTTAATAAAAAACGAAATAAAGAGGATAAAAAAGGAAAGAGAAATAAAAAAGTAAAAAAATAATATAACGATAAATGAAGGCCTCGGATATTAGTTGGACTTTTTGGACAATTTTCAGAAAATTTTATTTGATTATTTTTTACTATTTTCCAAAAGTGATTTTAATTTTGTAATTAAATTTTCAAAATTTTACGGAAATTAATTTTTTTTTCAAGTATTTCATTAAAATTTGACGAATTTTAATTGAAAATTTTAAAAATAATTGAATTTTCAAAAATTTGAATGAAAATTATTTTTAAAAATTAATTTTCAATAAAAATTTTTGAGAAAAAAATTACGAATTAAAAATTGAAAAATCTATTTAAAAATTATTTATAAAATGTTTTTAAAATATTAATTTTAACAATTTTTTTATTATAATAATTTCTTCCGGAAAAACTTTTGAAAAATTATTTAAAATAATTGACTCTGAGAAGAAGTTTAGTTAAAAGGTTTGGGAAATAATTAAATTTTTTAAGAATTGCAGTTTGAATTTAGAAATTGTTAACTAAAAGAATGTTTAAAGTTGAAAATTTTAATATTTAAATTCCCGTGGAAAAATAATTAACTAAATTTTTTATTGTTAACAAAATTATTTAATTTTTGAATATGTAATTAAATTTGGAAATTAGTGAAAGGTCAGAAAAATTCAAAGCTATTTTTTTATAATAATAATGAAATATAAGACTTTTTCGCCTCTTTTGCTTTAAAATAGATCTGAGGCCTGATTTTGTTTATTGGATTGAATGAAATTTCTTAATTTTTGAAGTAAATTAATGTAAATGATTAGAAGAATCAAATTTGTAGAAATTACAATTTTAGAAAATTACAATTAAATTTAATGATTTGACTTTAATAATTTGAATTAATTATTTCAATCTGAGTAATGAAAAGAAATTTTTACTCGTGCTGCATTCTTGAGACATTTGTTACGAGATTTTTCCTCTAATAATGAATATTGTTTTAAATTTTTCACTTTCGAAAAATTACTAGCTTTTGAAATTATATTTTTATCATTATTTTTTATGGTAAATTTATAATATTAAATTTTTTATATTAAATTTACTGTAGAAAATTACTGTAATTTATTTATTAGTAGTAAATTTACAATATTAAATTTGTTATATAGTAAATTCATTTTACTAATTTTATTATAGTAAAATAATAATACTTTTCTAAATTGTAAATGAATCTTGTAACGAATGAATTTCTCTTTTTTCTGCAATTTGGCGTTACCAAAAAAAAATTTTTTTTTGTCGTACATGACACATTAAAAATCTTCAATCAAATCGCAGAGTTTGATGAAAGAATAAAATAATAATTCGTTGGAACAAAAATATAAATCCAAAATTAAGTTTTCCTGGAATTATTTCACTTTTTCTTTTTTCTCTAAAAAGAATTCTATTTTCTCAAAATCGCTCCGACATTTTTGTATTTCAATTTTAAGAAACTTTTATACTTTCAAATTTTATTATTATAATTTTGTTTATTGATAAAATGTTAATTTTATCCAGGGAATGAATTAAATATTTTCGAAAATGTTAATTTTATCCAGAGAGTAAATTAAAGTTTTACAACTTTAATTTACTCTCTGGATAAAATTAACATCTTCGAAAATATTGAATTGAAAAGTTGTAGGAAATGTTAATTTTATCCAGAGAGTAAATTAAAGTTTTACAACTTTAATTCACTCTCTGGATAAAATGAACATTTTCGAAAATAAATTAAATTAAGATTTCACAAATTTAATTTCTTCTCTGGATAAAATCACCATTTTCGAAAATATTGAAAAAGTTGTAGGAGATGTAAAACAAAATTTGTAGCATCAAGAAATAAATCAGAAATTCTTAGAAATTAGAGAATAATAAAAATATAAATTCTATCAATTTTTGTTCCAAGGAATTAAAATTTTTGATAAAAATTCACTAACCGCATTCTCATTGCTTGTTTCTTTCTTTCTCTCTGTTTCTCTGCCCTCACGCCATGTAAAACCGAAAAAAACGAAAAAAACAACCAAAAAAAAACAGTAACAAGTCCCTCGGAGCCGATGATTTCTGGTAGTGGTGGTGGTTCTACGATATCAAACAACTCAGTCCCAATTGCCACCTCAACACCCGTGAACGTCTCCTCGGGTCCAATAAGTCCTCCGCCATTGACGTCCGCCACCGAATCAACAATAAAGGCCAGTTATCCGGCAGTATTGAAGGGCAGAACAGCCGCAAGTCCTCCGAATCCAAATATTGTGCCCTCCGGTAAAGTACCACCTCCAGTGCCTCCTCGAGGAAGTGCTCGTGCAAGGACCGATGCCTCATCATCATCAACAGCAGCAACAACAACAACAACAACGACGACGACGACTTCCGGCCGAGGTGAAGCAACAACTTCCATCATCTTGCATGCAACGACAATATCTCTCAATAATCCTCCCGACTCCAAGGGACCTTTGCATGATATCCATAAATCCCAAATAAATTCCCCACCAATATCAAAAGCCCAATGGGCCAACTATAATGATTCTCGTTTTTCCTTCTACGATAACGTTCACTTGTCGCAGTTCCAAATTGCATCATCATCATCAGCATTGTTCTCCCAAAAGAATCTCCGCAAATCAAATCCCTATATTGACGACGACGAATTCGTCAGCGTTGAGAAAATTGATAATTTCTATTATTTACGCAGTAGTCCTTGTCCTTTCAGACCAGCCAGACGACAGCCGAAAAATATTCCAGAGACGTCGATGAATCCACTGCATCAGGAATTGCAAAAATGGACCAAACCCGTCGAACTGCAGAAGGAACCAACAAAATTCCAGAAGTTACAAAAATTCACCAATTTCATCAATTCTGGTCAAAATTCCGATTTCAAATTATCACGAAAGGATAAAAAACTCTCCGAGACGTATTATGAGAAAATCCGCCGAAAGCAAGAAGAGGAGACGAAAGAATCGAAAATTATCGACGCGGAGAAAATCCGCCGAAAAAAAGAAGAGGAAAGGAAAAAAGAAACAAAAATTATCGAGGCACGAGAAAAATACGAGAAAATCCGCCGAAAAGAAGAGGAAAAGAAAGGAACAAACATCGAGACAGAAGAAAAATCTTACCACCAGGAAAAAAAATTTGGGAAAAATTCCAAGCGATTTGAAAGCAAAATCGAGGCAGGAGAAAAATCCCTCGATCAAGAAAGAAATTTTGGTAAAAATCCCAAGCGATTTGAAAGTAAAATCGAGGCAGGAGAAAAATCTTTCGATCAAGAAAAAAATTTTGGTAAAAATCCCAAGCGATTTGAAAGTAAAATCGAGGCAGGAGAAAAATCTCTCGATCAAGAAAAAAAATTTGGCAAAAATTCCAAAAAGTTTGAATCAAAAATCGAGACGCGAGAAAAATCTTTCGAGCAAGAAAAAAATTTTGGGAAAAATTCCAAAAGATTCGAAAGTAAAATCGAGGGAGAAGAAAAATATTTCGAGCAAGAGAAAAAAATTGGGAAAAATTCCAAAAAGTTTGAATCAAAAATCAAGGAGAAAACTACCGGCGAGGGACGGAAGAATACATTGAAAAGAAAATTGGAGAATTTTTCCCTCCACAAAAAAGATGAACAAATGAGAAAAAATTGGAACGTCTCATTGAGACGACAGAGTTTATTGAAGAATCGAATTCTCATGAAGCGGGGGAAAAAAAAGAAACTTGCACCAAATCCATTGAATGTGGAAAATTTGCCGGAGAATTTTCAGAAAGACATTGTCAATAAAGGAACTGCAACAAGTGAACGGGAAAAAATTCAAATACAATTTGGAAATCGTATTGGACGTCATCGACCTGTTTTTCAAATTTGTGACAATAATGCATTAAAATTTCGTAATAATAATAATAATGATGATGATGATGATAATGACGAGAATAGGGGAGATAGAAATGAGAATTATTCACGTGATTGTGAATTGAATGAAAAACATTCCTCTTCTAGGGGAAAATTGATGAATTTCAAAAGAGATGATATGATTCAACGTCGTGGAAGAAATTTTGATGTTGATAATAGTAATAGCATGCGACTGCCGAATTTTTCTTTTCTGCATGATCATTCTAATTCTAATACTCGTATTTATAAATTTTAGTAATTTTTTGTTCTTTTTTCTGTGTAGAGGTGAATATTTAATTCGTGATTTGTGTTTTTTTTTGGGTTAAAAATGTTTTTGAACTTTGGTCGAGATGATTAATTTAATTGTGATTGCTTAGAAATTTCTATTTTTAATTAATTTAATGAAAGTTAATTAATATAATAAAAGTTTAATTAATTTAATTAAAATTTAATTAATTAAGTTAATTAGAGTTTAATTTTTGTGAAATTAACTTTTCAGACTAGAATAATTAAATTGTTTTTAGCACTATTGTACCATTGGGACTTTATCTGTCCATATTTTATTCTTTGATAGTAAAAATATTTTCGTAGGTTTAAAGAAATCTAAATTACAATTTTTATTGTTAATAAATATCAAAAGATGCAATTTCACGTAAAAAGATCAAGTAAAAAATTTTTTTTTCCAAAAGTAAATTTTATTTTTTAGTATTTATTACCTACAACATTTACGTTCAAAACCGTTTAATAATTTTAGTAACTTTTATTATTTATAATTCTGAATCTGAAAAAATTTAATTCTTGCGAAGAATTTTATTAATATTTTTGGAAATAATCAAATTTTTTAAGAAAAATTGAATTTATGTTGTATTAAATTATTAAATAATTAAATTCTTTCTCGAAGTTTTTATTAAAATTTGAATATTGAAATAAAAATAATTGAATTTCTGACAAAAATTTTCATGAAATTTATGAAAATAATTAAATTTTCGAGAATTTTCATTACAATTGTATTTAAATTAATTGAATTTCTGGGAAAAATTTTCTTAAAATTCATATGAAAATAATTAAATTTTTTCGAAAAATATTATTAAAATTCATAAAAATAATTTAATTTCCTTGGGAGAATTTTATCAAAATTTTCAAAAATATTAAAATTCTCTCTAGTAGTTTTTATTAAAATTCAATTGAAAATAATTGAATTGTTTCGAAAAATATTATTAAAATTCATAAAAATAATTCAATTCCTTGAGAGAATTTTATCAAAATTTTCAAAGATAATAAAATTCTTTCTAGTAGTTTTTATTAAAATTGAATTCAAATGAAAATAATTGAATTTTTGCTAAAGATTTTTCCTGAAATTTATGAAAATAAGTGTTATGCTTTGAAAGAATTTTATCAAAATTAAAAAAAAAATAATCAAATTCTTTCGAGAATTTTCATTACAATTGCATTAAAAATAACTGAATATATGAGAAAAATTTTCCCAAAATTCATGAAAATAATTGAATTGTTTCGAAGAATATAATTAAAATTTTTGAAATAATTGAATTCTTTCAAAAGAGTTTATTAAATTTGTATTGAAAATAATTTATTGGAAAAAATTTTATCTTAAAAATGGAAATGTTATAAAAAAAATAGAAAAATTCCTTTAATCTCGACCAATGAACAAAATTCAAAACGTATATCCTTATTAATAAGTCGTTGACTGAAAAATTATAATTATTAGTTAATATTAATTCTGTATGACCTAGAAGAGAAATCAATCTATTTAGTTCTAGACAAGAAAATAAATAATCATTTTGATATAATATTTTTTAAAAAATCGTTAAAGATCAAAAGTAGAGAGAAAATGAATTTAAGAGAACAAAATATATACTTTTTAACGTTGTGATCAGTAAAAATAGCAATCATATTATAATAATAGTAAATTTAGTAATTGTAAATCGTTTCCAGTTAATTCTGCATAAAAAATGATATTTTAGTTAAAAATTAGTAAAAAGTTAAATTAGATAAAAATTTATTATTATTATTATCATCAATAATGTTAATAATAATTATTATTATTATTTACTGTAGAATAATTTGGAATTTGTCAATCCGAATGAATAATTTTTTTCAAAAAAAAATTTTTTATGTAGAATTAACTGAGATTGTTAATTTATTATTAATTAACCGAGTGAGAGTTGTAAACAAATTAATTTGTTTTCAATATTAATCGATAAACTTCCAATATTAAGACTCTTCATTATTATATTATCCAAATATATTTAGCTACTTAAAAGCTGCATTATTAAAAATAATTTATTCTTTATTATTAATAATTTATTGAATTTATTTAATATATTTAAATATATTGAAAAAAACAACAATTATTGTTCAATAGCTTATATCGTTTAATTTATACAATAGAATTTTAATTTACACTCAATAGAAGTTTAATTTACCTTATTAAGATTAAAATTACTAATAGAGTTGGAATTTAATTTAATTAATTAATTTAATTACTTAAAGTCTAATTAATTAATTTAATTAATTTAATTTAATTATCTTTAAACTTCTATACAATTATTTTAAAATTGTAAACGTGCCTATACTTTATTATTTGAACGATTTAATTGATCGTAATATAGATTATCAACCATGAAAATATAAAATATGTAAGATGTCTTAATTGAAAATTAATAAATATCTTTAATACATAGAAATTTTCTTTGATAAACAAAAAAAGTACATATATTATTAGTTAGTTTTTTCCTAATAGAATAGAATTGCAAGTTTAGTATATTATTTCTCTAGATTGTGTGACTCCACTGAAAGAGAAAAATTTATTTCATTGAAATAACCGATTACTTGTCTATTAGCAAATAAATATTTATTCTTATCAAATGTTTTTTTTTTAAATCAATTAAATTTCCTAAATCAATTTGCTTCAGATACTGAAATTATTGGTTAAAATATAAATTATTCGATTTAAGTGAATTAAATAATTTTTCTAAATCAATTTGCTTTAAATGCAGAAATTGTTTCAGTTAAATAAAAATTTTTTGATTCGAGTAAATATTTATTTGATAATAGACAAAGAATCGGTTTATTTGAATAAAATAAATTATTTTTTCAGTGTCTGTATACTTATTTCTTGTTTGTTTTGTAATTGCACTTCATTGTTTCTCCAATTGCACTATTCGTTCGTTCCTTTTATTATACGCAAATATGTATATTCAGAGACAAAAAAATATTCTCTGAAAAGCAAATCTAAATTGCAAATCTAAATCGTTGATGTTAAATTTTTCTCTCTAATTTTTATTATTATTTTTAGATTTCTTTGTTTGAAATCCTTTTTTTCGAACAAAATCATTGGATTTTTGATTTTTTGAAAAAGGAAAAAAGTTTTACGATTGAAATCCTGTGCTTCTATAGGTCTAGATTGACCTGTTTTTTTTTTTTTTGTTTTTTTTCTATTGTTTTAGTTTTAATTGTTGTCTTTGTTTTTGAAATCCATTTGTACCTAGGGCTAATTGTAGCACGCTTTTTGTAGGTGGCACCCTTCCTTCCGCCTGTTCCACCCCGCCCCCGCCTTTTGACGACGCAGTACATTCGAACGACCAAACTTTGGCTTCCGGTGGTCACCATCATCATCATCATCATCTTCATCATGTTCAAGAAGGCACTCCTGGTGCTTCTATTCTCACGAGCAGTTCTCATTCCAAACAAAATAAAGTCGTCCATCATGTTACTCTTAGCAAACAATACCATGACACTGTTAGGTGAGTCAATTTTTATTTTTTTTTGTATACAAGAATTTCTTACTCTAGATTTAAATCTCAAATTTCTTTTTTTTGTTTTTTGATTATTTTGATCTGGGTCTTTTTAATTCTAATTCTAATTCTGATTTTAGGGTTGCCACAGTTCAGGGAAATCAGGGAAAATGAAATTTGTAAAGAGGGAAATGTTGGGGAATTTTATTAAAAAGTTCGAGAAGAAATATCAAATTTCTAAAATTTTACTAGAAAAATTCTGCTTTTTGTGTCGAAAAACATTTTCGAAAAATTTAGAAACGAATTCTTTTAGAATTCATCTTAAAAACTTTTAAAACTTTTGAATCACAGGGAATTTTAAAACAAGAACTTTGATTTTATTCTTATTTCTGGAAATAATTTTCTAATTTTCTAAATTTCTAGAATTTATTTCTAAAATAACTTTTCGAAATTTACCAATTTTAATTAACTTATAAAAGATTTTAATTAAAATCAATTGCAATTTTTTGCACGTAATTAAATTTAGTTTCAATAATTAAATTCTAGAGTAAATTTTCTAAATTTATCAATTAATTTAGAAAAGATTTTAGTTCATAAAAAGTTGCAATTTTCTTTAAAATAATTAAATTTATTCTAAATAATTAAATTTTTTAAAAACCTTTCTAAATTTATTAATTATCATTAACTGAAGATTTGAATTAAAAATAGTTGCAATTTTCTGTAAACATTGAAATTCTAGAATAACTTTCCTAAATTTTTTAATTATAATTAACTTGGAAAACATTTTAATGAAAATCAATTGCAATTTTCTGTAAATAATTAAATTGGAGAATAACTTTTCTAAATTTACTAATTATAATTAACTTAGAAAAGATTTTTAACTAAAGGCCATTGCAATATATTCAGAAATAAAATAATTGACTTTCAGAAGATTTTGAACTAAAATATTTAAATTTTTCAGTGAAAGTAATAATTAATTAAATATTTATTTAACAAATTATTAAAATTCTTTAGAAAGAAGTTAATAAAAAATTTTTAAAAATTAATATTTTTCAAGAAATTTTCTTCACTGAAAATAATTGCATTTCTGCGTAAAATTTTATTAAAATTCATTTAAAAAAATAGAATTCTTGGAAGGCATTTTATTAAAATTTTTGAAAATAATTGAATTGTTTCTAAAAATATTATTAAAATGTTTTAAAATAATTGAATTCTTTCGAGAAATTGTTTAAAGATACTAGAAGTTCAAAAAAAAATTTTATTAAAGAATTATCAAATTAAATGGAACTTTATGAAATTGAATTAAAAATAATTGAATTCTTGTAAAGAATTTCATTAAAATTTTTCAAAAATAATTCAATTTTTTGTAGGAATTTGTATTAAAATTGAAATGAAAACAATTCGATTTTTGCGAAGAATTTTATTAAAATTCAGGAAAATAAATTAATTGTTTCGTAGAAGTTTATTGAAATTTTTCACAAATAATTGTATCCTTTCGAGAAATTTAATTAAAATTGTAGCGAAACTAATTTTATTTCTTATGGAGAATTTGTTTTCAAATTTTTTCAAAAATAATTAAATTTTTCCGAGAAATTTTATTATAATTATATTGAAAACAATTGGATTTTTTTTAGAAAAATTGTCTTAAAATTTATGAAAATAATTTAATTGTTTTGAAGAATATTTTTTATATAATTGAATTATTTCAAAAAATTTTATTAAATTTGTATTAAAAATAATTCAATTTACGTAAAAAAATTTTCATAGAGAGACACAATTAATGACAATTGACTTTTTGTAAAAAAGTATTTCTAAATTTGTGAATTAATAGAAATTTCCTAAAATTCTATTAAAAATAATTGCAGTTTATAAGAATTTTTCATTTATGATCTTTTATTATTATTATTGAATCCCTCTAGAATTTTTTTATAGGGATCAGGGTAAAAGTCAAAATTCTATCTCGAAATCAGAAAATATTCAGGGAGAAACAAAATCAAATTTTCAGTGGCAACCTTTGATTTGAATTAAAAGCAAATTCAAAATATGGAAAAATAAGAGTAAAAATTAGAAATTAAATTTTGAAAAAAATTCACACTGATTTAAATTTAGAGGAAAGTGATTTTTTTTTTTTTTTGTGGGAGGAAATAAATAATGAAATGATAATGAAATTTTTCTTGTAGTATATCAGACGTTCATCTAGAAAATAGCGGTAGTGGAAGCGGAAGTGGCGGTAGGGAAACAAAATCGTCATTGAGCGTTGAAAGTGGAGGAAGTAGTCGTGGCGGTGGCGGTTTAACTTGGACCCCTCCGGCCGGAAGTGCTGAAGGATCGACGCCTACCTGGACGGAAGGCACGCCGTCTTTTACCGAAAGCTCCAGTAGTGGAGATATAGGTAAGTGTTTCCTAGCGCTCCACATCTACTACAATTCTTGAATTTGTAGTTGATCTATTTTAATAATCAAAAGAGAAAATATTGTGTCGCAATGCATTTTTGTCTATGAAGAAAAACAATAATCCATCTAGAGAAAAATACATCTAGAAAAAATATTCCGTTTAGAATAAAATACATACATCTAGAAAAAAGCCAATTAGAAAAAAATCCAACTAGGAAAAAATACATCTAGGAAAAAATCCAAATAGAAAAAATACATCCAGGAAAAAATACATCTGGAAAAAATACTCCATTTGAAAAAAATAATCCATAAAGAACAAAAAATATTCTTAATAAGAGAGAAAAATATATCTTATACAAAAATGATCCTCAAGAAGGGAAAAGAAATTTATTTACGAATTAAGAATTCGACTAAGTAAAAGAGAAAGAAAAAGGAAATTAACAAAAGAAATTTATTAATTTTATGTAAAAAAAGAAATTTATTCGTTAGAGAAAAGTTTTTCCGTTGGAAGAAAGAAAATGTGAAAACTGCTTTTAAAGCAATAAATAGAACAAATTTAAGAAATTTCCTCCTTTTATAATGAAAGGAACTTTTGTTATATGATTTTCTTGAAACTCGTGTAAAATGGTTTCGAAAAAGAACTCTTGATTATTATTACACTTCCGTTGCTAGCTTCTTGAAAGAATGTGCACTTAAAAATTCCCCATTTTTAATTGGTGCTACTTTTTTTTGAGTCTGGAAAGCTTAATTCAGTCTCTTAGATTTTTACTGTTTGGGAAGTAGGACTTTAGAATGTTTTAAATTTTGTTAAATTAATAGTAAAACAGTTATTAGATCTGATAAAAAAATTAAATCATAATTAATATAATTAATGTTTTTACGTTTCACAATAAATAATAAAGAGATACTAAAGAGGAAAAAATACATTAAACATCAGAAAAATAAATTGAAGAGAAAAAAATACGTTAAAGAAATAGTAATAAATAATAATAAAAATAACATGAAGAATAGTAAAAATTTTTAGTTTTTAAAACTAAAATAATAATAATACTAAGACTAAAAATATTTAGAGAGGAAAATATTTTATTTTGTTAATATACAAATGTCATCATGTTAAATTTACATTTCCAATTTGAAAATTATTAATTAGTAAAGAAAAAAGTCGATTTTAATTTTTTTAATGTATAATGTAGTGGTTAATTATAAGGGACCAAAAATTGTTCTGAATCTCATATTAAAAATTTAAGTTCTCAGTTTTTATTTAAATATAAAAATTTTTGAAATACAAAAAATTTGTCATTCATGAGAGATTCTTTGTATTTCAAAAATTTTTGTTAATTATTAATAATTTAAAATTTGTTTTTCAATTACTAATTTATTTATTAGTAGAAACTGTTTCTTTTAAAGTTCTAGTCAAATTGAAACAAAAATAGTTTCTATATTGTGAAGAAGAAAAAAATTTCCAACTTTATCTTTGAATGAGATTTTTTCTAAATAATATAATTATTATTTATTGTTCTAAATTTAAATTATTCTAAAAGTATTGATTATTTATTGTTCTACCTATTATTATTTAATAAAAGCGACTTCATTTCTGGAATTTACATATTAATTTTGAATTTCATAATAAAAAAAAAAAATATTTACTGACTGGCATCTAAAAATCATATCTCCAAAATAAGTTCAAATTTTAATTACAGAGCTATTAGAAATTATTAACTGTTATTAACAACGTAATTTGTAAGCATTTTTACATATCTAAAGGAATTACTAGAAAAAAATCTGCGTTAAATTAAAAAAACAATGGGTTTCGATTGTAAATCAAAAAGATAAAATTTTATCATTAATTACATTTCATAATAAGTATTTAATTTTGGTAATATTTGAAATTATTGTCAGAAAATTTAAAGTGTAATTCCGTCTTTAACTATAAGTGCCTGAATAATCGAATTATGAGTTGTAAAATTGCTGTTAATGTAAAGTTTGTCATCTATATAAATGTTACGAATCGATAATGTTTTTTATTACGAATGGAAAATATCTGCTTTATTCTTTGAATTCTCTTTGAAATCATTCAAATAATTTAATTAAATTTACATGAATAAATAAAAAAATTCGATATTTTTTTTGAGAAAGGAAAAAAATGTAGTTTAGTACAAAAAAGTTGAAAAACCAAAGAGAAAATGAATATTTAGTAAAAAAAAAGGTTTTTTAAAGAGAAGGGAATATTTAGAAATTTATAAACAATTTCAAAGAATAAATTTCTAAATTTCTATACATTTCGAAGGAATAAATTTAACATTAGGTATTTAGAGAATACTGAAGAAAAAATATATGTAAAATATTTAGAAAAGAAAGTGTTTCGGAAAAAAGACAAAAAAAAAATAAAGAAAAGGAAGAAAGGAAGAAAGTGAAAAAAGGGAAAAAAAGCGATTGGAAAAAAATATTTGTAATGAGAACAAAAAAAAAACTAGTTAGAATAAATATTTAATAAATATCTAGATAGAATTAAAAGGACCGATTCTTCCAGAAAATGTAATGCGAGATAAAAAAAATACAGTGTATAATTGATTGTATACTTGTATTTATAATTAAAAAAATTTTTAATTTAATTTACTTAAATTAGAAATTAACTATAGAATTAGTCGAGTTTAGTCCTGTTTAGAAAATTAAGAAAAGTGATGTGTCAAGCCGCTCTCCGTTTTGAAAATGACAATAAAGCAGAAGTTACATGAAATTTTTTACTCTATCGTCTCTCTCTCTCTCTCTCTCTTTCTCTCAGTTTTAGCTCAATTCCTCTTGTGTTCACACTTTTATTTTTTAAGCCTTGACAGTCACTTTTAGGAGCGACGTGGAGATAAGTTTCGATTTTCTTTTTTATCATTATGTACCATAATTTTCTCTCTCTCTCTCTCTTTTTCTCTCTATTTCTCACATTATTTGCTTTATTGCTTTTTTCACGTAGGCATGATTCCTGGGGTGCATTTTGACCCATCATTTATTATTATTAATCATTAGGAAAAATCGAGCCGCGATAAAGTCCTCTTCTTCCAATGCTTCGAAATCATGAGCTTTTATTTTTGATAAAAAAAAATCAGTAGAAACATTGAAATAATTTCGATGGAAACTTTTCTTTCCTTCATCACTGTATGTTGATTATCATCAATTTTTATTTTTTCGTTAGGTATAATTTTCTTCTTTGAAATTTTTATTTTTCTTCCAGAAATTTTCAATCTTCTTCATTGAAATTTCCATTTTTCTTCCTGTAATTTTGATTCTTTTTTTTGTTTAATTAAAAAATCATAAAAAACAGTATTTTCCAAAGGCTAGTTAGAATTTCGGGACTGACAAAAATTTTATTTCATCAAACATTATTAATATTATTATTTCTCTCTTTTTGTTTTGCATTTGAAATTATTTTTTATTATCACAATAAACGATACTTTTAGGTTGCCCGACGACGCCGATTAGAAGCAGTCAAAGAAGTGGAGATAAAAGTGGAAGAATTACCGCAACCATGGAAGAAGCTCTTGCCAGTCTCACTACTGAAATGGTAAGTTAGTTGAAATTCAAATAATCTCATTTATCAAATCATAGTAATAGTGAGAAAAAAATTACAAATTTAATCCACATTATCGAAATTTTTTTTTATAATTAAAGGAGAAGATTATTATTCCGTAAAGAAATTTTTTTATAATTTTTTTTTAATAGAATTTTTGATAGAATTTTACGTCAGAAGTTTTCTCTAATCGAAATTTCTTTTCTGCTAATTTTTATTTTCTATGATTTTCATTTATGCAAATTTTCAAAGTAGACAATAAAAATCATACTGAATAAAAATTTGCAGAAAAGAAATTTCTTTAGAGAAAATTTCGTTTAAACGAAAGAAAGAGAGAGACTAATAAAATTCTATCTTTAAAAAATGATAAAAAAAAATTGCTCTACGGAATAATAATTCGCCCCTAATTAAATATTATTTATCAACTAGTCGATTATATATTCGAGCCTGGGATTTTTTTTAAATCATGAAAATAACAAAAAAAAAATATATCAAAATTGCATTCAGTATCAATATTGCACATACCAAATTCATCCACAGCAAAATATTTGACACATATTTATTATACTAATAATTTTTGCATATTATCAGAATGTCACTGCGCTATTTTAACATTATTATTGTAGAGAGAAAAGAAATCTATTAATATAAGTATTGGCCAATCATTTTTAATATTGAAATAATTGCATCATTTCTGTAGAAATAACAAAAAAAGTAAAATAAAACAATTCATCTCTCATAGAAACTGAAAAAAATTATGAAGTCTGCGTTTATGTTGAGCAAAATTTTGTATCGTCTTTTTTGTATATTAAGAATTTTTTTTTTCTTCTCTTTTATTGAATTTAGTAACGAAATCGGCTAATGGTATCGAAAAGGTTCATTTTGTTTAAATATTAACAAAAATTGTGAAAGTTGCACTTCATTAAATATTTATTTATTTATTTTTATCATTTTTTTACGATCAATGTTTCTTATAATCAATTTTCTGCAGCATAGGTATATAATCATTATTTTCGTGTATAGATTGCTTTTTTCTGACCTTTTCCTCCTCTCGCCGCATTTGTTGCTAATATTGTGAAACAGTCTATAAAGCTAAAAGCACAGAAGTAATAGTGAAAAGTACGTCGAGCGTTTCGAAGTATTTGTTAATTTAAAGAAAATATTTATTTAATTCGACTGGAAAAAATTGTTCGGAAAAAAAATATTTTTCAAAAATTGTAACGAAATTGTATTTTTATTTATTTACATTTTGTTGTATGTAATTTAAAAAAATTGTCAATTGGCTATAAATGAGTGAAATTGTAATTAAGTTTTTCCCAATGAACAGGAAAAAAATTGATGAATTTTGATTAAATTTTGTTTTAATTGTTGGTAGTTTTTTTTTGTTTTGTATTTCGAAACGCTCTGCAGCTGGCGTCAAGGTCTGAAAGCTTGTCTATTTGCCTAAATTAGGAAATACTACAACGAGAGTGAACATCTTGTCCTCTTCGACCATCGAGAAAATGGTGTGCTTCGTCGCAGCGACGAATCTTCGAAAGTGACGTAAGAGTGGGAAAGGATTCATTAGGATTCGAAATATCATTAATTATTATTCACGTATACGAAGAATCACTGAAAAAAGTGAAATTAAATCAAATTCCATCTGCAAGTTATTTTTTTAGAAATTAAACTTATTTATTTCAATTTTTTCTTTAATTTATTGTTGTAAAGTTTATTTTTCAAATATTTTGCTTTCAAATTTTTTATCGAATTTCTTTCAAATTCTTTTCAAATTCATTTCAAATTTTTTTCTAATTCTCATCAAATTTATTTCAAACTCTTTTCAAATTCTCTTCAAATTCATTTCAAGTTCTCTTCAAATTCATTTCAAACTCTTTTCAAATTCTTTTCAAATTCTTTTCAAGTTCTCTTTAAATTCTTTTCAAATTCTTTCACAAATTGAAATTTAATTATTAGCTTTTTGATTTTTGTTATTTAAATTAACAATTGAAATTTCAATACAAGACTTTTTTTTATTTAATTTTTGACGATATTTATTTCTCATTTTTTTTTTTAATTTTGATATTCAAAAATAAAATTTTAAATTCAAAAGTGAAATAATTGCAGTTTCAGTCTCGAAGTCCAAAGAAAGTATACAAAAAAAAATTGAAAAATAAGTTTTAATTTTTAGAAAATATCTAAAACTTTTTTTACTGTTATTTTCTGGATTATTCAACACCTTCATTACCTCAAAATACTGGTACTTAAAATCATTGAGAAAAAGATTGACTAGAACGAGGCGAGATTAGTAAGTTAGACAAAAGAAAAAAAAATATTGACAAATATCTTAGTCGATTTAAGTAATCACAGCTTGATGATGAGGCACGCTCTTGATTTCAAGAAAAAAAAACAAGATATAGAATAAGTATAAGTTTTTTTTTTATTTTATTATTAAAAATAATTGTAAAATAATTCAATTTGCATTTTTTTTCTATTGACTTGATAATAGTTTATAGTTTAAGTATAATTATGGCCTATGCCATTCAACGTAATTAAAAAAAAATAAATTATGAAATTTTTCAAGTTACGAACTTGATTTTTGTTTATTGTTCAATTCACCGAAAATCAATGTGAACTAAAGTTTTCAAAAATTATTCGTTAACAATATTCCAATTTTGAAGGAAATTTTTCTGAAAAATTGAATTTTGTTTATATAATTAATCGAACATTAATGTAAACTAAATTTTTGAAAAAATTATTCAACAAAAATATTTCAATTTTCACGAAAATTTTTTTGAAAAAATGGATTTTTGTTTTTTGAAAATTATTCAGGAAAAAAATTTCAATTGTCATGAAAATTTTTGTAAAGAATTGATTTTTGTTTATATAATTCATCCAAAATTAATGTAAACTAAATTTTTAAAAACTATTCATCAAAAATATTCGAATTTTCATGAAAATTTTTTGAAAAATAGATTTTTGTTTTTTGAAAATTATTCATGAAAATTATTTCAATTTTTGGGAAAAATTGATTTTGGTTTATTTATTCATCAAAAATTAATGTAAAATACATTTTTTCAAATTATTCAACAAAAATATTCTAATTTTCACGAAAATTTGTTGAAAAATTGATTTTTGGTTTTCTGTTTATTTATTCGTCCGAGAATCAATAACAAAATTTTTCAAAATTATTAGTCCAAAAAAATTTAAATTTTGACGGAAAATTGATTTTTGCTTGTTTATTCATCGAAAATTAATGTAAATGAAATTTTTAAAAATTATTCAACAAAAATATTTCAATTTTTGTCGAAAACTTTTCTGAAAAATTGATTTTTGTTTACTGTTTATTTATTCGTCGAAAATTAATATAAACAAATTTTTTGAATACTATTTATAAAAAATATTCCAATTTTCACAAAATTTTTTCTGGAAAAAAATTGTTAAAGATCGTAGAATTGAAAAAAAATTCAGAAAAGTGAAAAAAAATTCGAGACAAACTCAATTATTAAATTTAATTATTTTTCGAAAAATATTTCATCTATTTTTATTTACAGTGTATTTTGTAAATAATCTCTTCTCGAATCAAAGTAAAATTTCTCGAATAAAATTGAACTTGTAACTTGAAAATTTTTATGATAAAGACAAATTGTTTTCTTAAGAACAAATTCTAGTGGAGCATTTTTTTTTTTAAATTATAGTTATTATATTTTCCGAAAAGAGGAATAAAAATATATCGTGATTATATAATTCAGGAATACATAATTATAATATAATTATTAAAAGAAAAAAAGGAATTGTCTTAATGAATATTATCCGTTGGCAATATTATTTATTGTTAAGGCTCTCATTAGATGTTACGTATTATATATAAATGAAAAGAAAAAAAAATCTAATGGCATTGTAAATAATTTTAGTTAAAGAAAGAAATCGCAAGACTTAATCATATAAATATTATACATATATGCATATACGTGTAAAACAAAATATTTATCGCGTTCTTTATTGTCTGTCGTTGTGCAATTGTATAGAAACGTAATCACATGTATATTTTTAATCATATCCCTCTGTATATTACTTACCAAGTAATGTATTATATTATCAAAAATGAAAAAATACCAGTGAGAGAGTCAATCACTTAAAAAAATTGTTAGGTGCACAGAAAAAAATTGAAAATTTCCTCAAACATTTTCTAGTTATTTATCAAATATTAGATAACGAAAGAAAAAAAAATTTCATTCGAATAAGAGCGTGTGATATTTTGAAAAAAATATTGAAACAAATATTAAAATTCACTAATGACTGAATTTCGATGAATAAAATATCAAATTAGAAAATATTTAATAATAATAATTTCTATAATAATAAATAAATGTTTCGATTGAAATGAAAATATCTAATTTGCATCTTAGAGTTTATTAGAATTTTCTCTCTCAACGTCCAAAAAAAAAAATTATTTTTTCAACTTCTTTTCTGTGTACGAGAAGAATTATAAATTTTTGCGTGCGTCTGTGTATAGGAATCAGCTTAATTAATAGACGAGAGTTTGTCATTTGAGAAAAACAAAAGGGCAGGAAAAATTTAGAAAAATTTTTTGAGAAAAAAAAGGCCAAAATGTTGTTCAATTACAAATGTTATTTAATGTTTAAACGCTTGTGGATGTTATGCGAAATCAATCCAAGAGACGATGGCAGAAAATATGTGAGCAATATTTTTTGCTAATTGGGGTCATTCTATTTTTTATCAAATATTGTAATTAGAATTCATTTAAATTTTAATTAGAATTAAAATATTTTAATTTCGTATTTTAATTAATATTCTTTCATTTTTTTTTAATTTCTTTCATTTTTTACATTATTTTATTTTAAACTTTGTTAAAGAAAAAATGTAAATTAATGTTATTAAGATCTTTGGAATAATTATCTAGTCATTTTTATTTTGTTCCGTAATTTACAAGAATATTTATTTTTTTTAGAAAAAAATATTTATTGTTATATTATTTTTATTATTTTTATTGCTAAAATATAATTTCTCTTTCTATAAGATTTAAATTTAATTTCTAATTAAAAAAATTAGTTTTTAGATAAAATTAAATTAAGGCTGACATTTGCTCGCATGTTTTCTGAAAATCGTCAAATGCTAGACGCTACAAATTTCCATAATTGCATTCCTTTTAATTATATAAGTAAGCGCAATAATTTTATACCGATTTTTAAAAATAATTTTAACCTTGGTATAATTAGGAATTTGTTTTTTTTAATACATTATTTGTATTATTTATTATATTTTATATGTACAAAACAAATGTACAACGAAAGCTTTAAAAAAAAATTTTTCAAACAAGCAGGATATTATTTTGAACAAATAGATTTTTTATAAAAATTAGTTTTCGAAAAAGAAATTAGTAAAATTCGAAAAAAAAAATTTGGAAAAAAAATCAAAAAGTCCTTTTTTTATCGTTTAGTTTAGTAAAAAAAAAGTGGAAAAAATATATTTAATTTGAGATATAAGTGTGAAAAAAATTTGCAGGAAAATGTGAAAAATTTTTTTATTGAAATAAATTTCTTTTCCAAGGTGGAAGCGAATAGAAAATTTTTGTAGTGAACGATCGAGTATAGGAAAAATGTAAAGAGAATGAAATATGTTTTATATTTACAAAAAGAAAAGAAAATGCTTTTTAAAATGCTGTAGATAAATATTTTAAATTTTTAAATCAATACCAGTGCTCCCATTTTTAAAGAAAAGCGTCTACGCATAAAGTAATGAAACTTGTTATTGTTCTCCTCGAATTATTAAAAATATATATATTATATATATTTAACTTTATTCTTAACATTTTTCTGATAAATCGGTGTGCGTGTACCATAAAATAATATTTCGAATAAATTAATACTTACTTTACGAAAAACTTTAATTGTGTCCCACCAGAATCGTATTTTTTTTTGTCGGCGAACAAACTTTAATTACTAATTAGTAATTTTCTTTCAAGTAATTACTGATTAGTAATATTATTTTAATTGTAATTGCTGATTAGAAATTTTATACTGTAATTGCTAATTAGTAATTTGATCAATTCTGTAATTAATTATTATAATTAATAATTAAAAATAAGGCTAAATTTCGTAACGTTTTTAAAAACAAAAAAAATATTGCGACGATTTAATTTATTTTATTTTTTAGCAATTGTTTTTAGTTTCTCAAAAAAAATTCAGATTTTTTAAGTACATGAAAATTTAGAGATGAATTTAACTTGAAAAAAAAATTTCTTTTTTGATTTTTCCATTTTAAAAATCGTTCCGATGTTCAGCCTCACAATTTAATTGTAATTTTGTATTGAAATTGCTAATTGGTAATTTAATCAATTTATTCTGTAATTTATTATTAATTATTAATTATTAATTGTTAATTGTTAATTAATAATTTAAATATACGATTGGCCTGTAATTACTGAGTAATTGCACAAAATCCCAGAAAACTTTTCTTTTCACTCGAATACGATTTTGGTGATCACTGCGATTAATATTTAATTACTAATTTTAAACTGTGACTTAAGTACATATTTTTTTTTATAATAACTAGCGCTTGAAGGACAAATTAATCCAAAAATTGTAACTAAAAAGTTGAATTATAAAAACATTCATTTCTTTAAAATGGCGTTGAAACGACGAAAACGTTTTTGTACTCGAAAACGTTTTTTTTTTCAAGTTTACGAGAAATTAAAATTGTATTTGAAATAAATTTTGTAAATTAAGTAGAAATTTTATAAATTAAGTAAAAATTGTAAAAATTAAGTAAACATTAGACGAATTAACTAAAAATTGTACAAATTTTACAAATTTAGTAAGAATTTATCTTAAAATACGTTTTTGGTATTAAAACGTTTTCCAAAGTTATCAACTGTGAAAAATATTATTATTATTATTATTTTTATTAATAGTTATCTCCATCACATTAGTTGAAATTTTTTTTCTGTTTCATTATAATGTTTAAAATTTACTAGCACAGTGGTTCGTGTCTTTTTTTTTCTTTCACAAAATAATTTTAATGTCTGTAGAAATTTGTCTGTTTTTAACCATTTATTCTGTAAAAAAAAATGTAATCAAAGCTCGAAGATCCGTCGCTTGCGAGTTTACAGTCTTGAAAAACTGTCACTTCGCTTTTTCTCTTAGTTTATTAGGAGCATGCGAATTTTTTTTCCAAAGCTTTTATGCCTCGATATTGCTTTCCAATGAAATTCTCGATTTATTTCCTAAATTTTTAATTAATTTTAATTATATTAGAATTAAAATTATCATTAGGAATTTTTAATTAAATAATTATTTACCTGATTCGAAACATTATTTTAATAAAAATTCGAAAACTAAAATCAAAGAATAAAAGTTAAAAAAATAAATTTAAAGAATAAAAATTCAAAAAATGTATTTTTCCAACTTTTATTCTTTGAATTTGTTTTTTTGAATTTCTATTCCTTAAAATTATTATTTGAATTTATTTTTACTCTTTAAAATATTTTTATTGTTTACCAAAATTTGAAATTTATCAAAATCAAATTAACATCAAAATCGAATTTTTTGTCTTAATTTATTCGGAGATTTCGAAAAAAATCGAGAACCGAAAATGGAAATGAATATCAATACAAAATTCTATGTGTTTTTGGCTTTTGTAGTAGAATTAGAGCAAGAATCGAAAAATTCTAGATTAGAACTAAAATTTCAGTAATTTGAGTAAAAAAAAGAAACCAAGTAGTTAATTAAAATAGAAAAATTGTTACAAGATTTGATTTTTTTTAACAATTCATGTCGAATGATCTAGAGACGGGACACCTATAGTTTTGAACAGATAGATTATCAGTTGGATCGCACATCCAATCGAGTGTCACAACGTTTCATCAGAAGTGAATCGAAGCGATCAAGTTTGAAGCACGTTGCAATTGTGACTGCAGTACAACGTGCACTAAATCTACGGCATCGAAGACCATGACTACAAGAATCCTCTGATGATGATAAAGACTATAAATAATTATTTGAATCTCTCCAAGGACAAATTTTTTTTTTTAATAATTTATTTAGAAATGTCCTGTATTTATTCAAAAGGAAAAAAAGTGTTTTACAGAAAGGAAAAAAATTTTATCGAAAAAAAACTAATTTTATAATTTATAGTGAAGTCGTGAAGTAAAAAAAAATGATCACTTTGATAGGAGTTGATAGGAGAGGAAAATGAAAATAAGATAATTTTTAGGAATTAATTCAAAACTGATTGTTTTATATTTAGATTTTTATATTATATAGAAATTTGCGTTGTGTATAAAAAAATGAAAAATACTTGTTATATTAATTGTAATTATAAGTGTTGTACTTATTTTTTTAAACAGTAGTTTTTCGGTGTGAATTTATTTTCAATATTGAGAAAAAGTCTTCTTTGAATCGAATGAATTTTTTCCTCTACTATTGTTATTCAAGAAACTTTGATTTTTTATTTCTTCGTTGAATAAAACAAGTAAATTTTTTTATTTTCAAAGAAATTTAGGAAAATTACTTTAGAAAATAATTTTTTAAACAAAAGGAATATAAATAGTTAATTAAAGAAACCAGAAAAGTTGACATTGATTTTTAATTCTTCTCCTAAATGAAATAAATAAATAATTAAATTTTTGATTTTCAAAGGAATTTAGAAAAATTACTTTTTTTGAAACAAAAGGAATATTTAAAAAAAATAGTAATTTTTTTATTTCTTTATTGAATAATAGTAATTTTATAAAACAAAAGGAATATAGTTAATTAGAAATAGTAAGAAAGTCAACATTGATTTTTAATTTTTTTTCTGAATAAAATAAATAATTTTTTTTATTTTCAAAAAAATTTGGGAAAATTATTTTTTGAAACAAAAGGAATATACGTTAAAATTTAGAAAAGCAGGAAAGTCAAAATTGTTTTTTAATTTATTTCCTGAATGAAAATTAAATAAATTTTTTATTTTCAAAGGAATTTAGGAAAAAAAATTTAGAGAATTATTTTTTAGATCAAAAGAAATGCAAAAAATCAAGTTTCCAAAAATATAATTTTTTTTAATCAAAAAATAATTTTTAATACAGAAAATAAAAAAGTAAAGAAATAGTAGAAACCAAAGAAATACACGTGCAAAATTCAGTCCAAAGAAGTCTTTTTCCGGAAAATATAATAGAAAAATTGTTAAAAATTTTCCAAAACGAGAAAATCATTGTAAATATTTTTTAAAAATGTCATTGAATTATATAAAAAGCAGTTAGATATAAAAAAAATTAATTACAATAATAAGTAGAAAAAAATTGAGTATTTAACACTTGTATTATTGACGATATAATCTACAATAATCGAAAATTGTTGGCAATATATAAAATTATAAATACTATCTATAAATCTTTCCACTAAAAAAAAAAAAATTGCGAGTATTATTATTTTAACCACTAATAATCGACGATATTAGCTAAGATGCATGTGGGTGAACATTTTTTTTTTTAAAGATAATAAAATATAATTTTTTTAGACTTTAGATTTTTATAATAATTTACGTATAGATTAATAATTAGTAATTTATATTTAAAAAAATCGATTTCAGTTAATTATTCAGTTTTTTAATTCCACACTTTCAGACCCATCTCTAGGCAAGCAATTTGGAGGGTATCATTTTTTTAATTATTGAAAAATGATCTCGGAGCTCCAAAAACGATTTTGCCATTATAATCGCAGGAGCCGGTCCATTTAATAAAAAAATGATGCTGTAAGTACGTAAAAGGAAGAAAAATTGAAAAGGTAATCTCAACTTTAATTTGACCTCAATAATTCGTTTTTACGAAAAAAAATTTAGTTTAATTTCTAATTCAATGAATTTTAATTTGCAATATTAATTTAATCCTGTAAATTTAATTTAGACAAGATTAATTAAAGTTCATTTAGTCAACATTTAATTTAATTTAATTTAGTCAAAATTAATTTAAATTTAGTCAAAATTAATTTAAATTTAACCAAAATTAATTTAAATTTAATTTAGACAAAATGAATTTAAATTTAATATTGACTAAATTAATTAAAATTTAATTTAGTCAGAATTAATTCGAATTTAATTTAGTCAAAATTAATTTAAATTTAATTTAGTCATGATATTAATTAAATTTAATTTAGTCATGATATTAATTAAATTTAATATAGTCAAAATTAATTTAAATTTAATCTCCAAATTTAGTTGAATTATTTTTTTTCAAGTCAAATTTTGAGAATTTATTCTCAAGGACAAATAAGTTCCAAGATAATATAATTATTGGAATAAATAGTTTAATTTATATAGTAAAATTTTGAATGTAACAGATTTTTGTACCTAATTTTTATTTTTATTGAACAATTTAGTTTTTGTTTTTTTGTTTTTTTTAACCGAAAGAAGGAATAATTGTTTAGATATTATTTAATTTGACTGAGTATAAACGAGGCATCTAAGCAATTTGTTCAGTCTTAAGTGCAAATTGTAAAAAAAGCTATGTAAAAAATTAGCTTATATATATTATACTTTCAAGCTTCTTCTATGAAGATTGCTTGTTTGTTAGATAATAATTTTCATACAAGAATTAAATGTACAAAGCTTTTTTTCGAGCATTGTAAATTTTAAGTGTAATAATTGGCATTTATTTTTTTTCTCTCTGTGAAAAGTTTTATTCTAGAAGTTGGTTTTTTTTACCAAAAATTAAAAAATACTTTGTTTTCTGTATTTTAATTGTAATTTCTAATTAAAGTCCTTTTTGTTTTTTTATTATCTTTTTTACTTTCTATTTTATTTTTAAAAATTTATAAAGTGCTAGAGAATAAAATTTTGTTGATAAATAAATAAACTTCTGGAAAATATCTTTTCTAAGATGAATGCATTTATATAAATCAGAGTGTTAAAAATGTTTATTTAGAAAATAATTTATATATTTTTTTTACTTTAGATCTTTTCTATTTGTTTCTAATTTTTCGATTCGTTTTTAACAATTTTCTGTCAGTTTTGACTTTGGAACAAAAATATTTACATATTTCAAATATGGAAGGAACAAATTTAAAAAATATGTTTAAATATTAAAATAAAAAAAAATTACTGAAAAGATCTACTGTATACGGCAAATTTTTAAATTGTACAAAGTTTGTTTTCAAAAACACGAAAATACTCAAAATCTAGTAATCTACTAAAAATTGTTTTACAACTTAAAAAAATGTAAAATGGCGTTTTTATAATGCGATTAAAAATACCTCATTACAATTGTGTATAAAGTAACTAAAAAAATAGCGAAAATTGTGTTTATAAGTGGTTAAAAAAATAAATTATTAATCCTATTTATTAATGGTAAACGAAAATTCTCCATTTTATTCACCCAATCTGCGATTTATAATTTTAAAAAAATATATTCACCTATATTTTAAAAGTAAAAAAATTGTTTTTTTCTTTCAAGAAAATTAGAATTCGTTAAATTAACTATGTTTATTACTAACAATAACAAATAAAGAAAGTATTTTCTATAACTTTCTGTCTGTAAAAGTTTTCACTTACAGAACAAAGAAATAAAAATATTTTTCTCTTTACAACTATTATTATTATTAAATTTGTAATAATTTATATTTACACAATTGTTGTCATTGATTCCGTGATTTTCTCCTCTAAATTTGTTTTCGTGAATGTTGGATCGGCGAGACAACCAATTTGAAGTTTCATTGATGTTGTTATTTTCGATAACAATGATTTTATTCGAAGCAAATCCTCTTGATTGGCAGGTTGTGGAATTGCTTCCAGTGCCTCCTCCAGGAAAACTCTTGAATAATGAACGAAAGAGTTAATTAATTAATGTTAAATCAATTTTTAACAAAAGCTACAAAAGTAGAATAATTGAAAATTAAGCAAATAAAAAAATTAACCTGCGAATTTTACACACGAAATTAGGCATTTTGTTTGTTATTCTTATTCGCAAGAATTTAATTATTTTTAAGGATGCAATTATTTTTAAAAAAATTTAATAATATTTTTTGAAAGAATTCAATTATTTTGTAAAATTTTAATTTTTATTTATTTTTAAAAAATATAGAAAATTATTCTCAAAAGTTTTGATAAAATGTTTTATAAGAATTAATTTATTTTTACAAATAATAAATTTCTTCGTATGAATTCAATTATTTTCTATACAATTTTCATAAAATATTTTTAATATAATTCAGTTAGTTTAAAAAATTGTAATAAAATTCTGTGAAGAATTCAATTATTTTCAAAAATTTTCTATTATAATTATTAAAAAACTACAATATTTTTAAGAAACTTAAAGAAATGTTACAAAAGAAGTTAATAATTTACAAAAACTAACAAAAATTGTTCCAAAACATTTAATTTTCTATGAATAATTTTAAAAAAATGTAATAATAAAATTTTTAATTACAAATATTACAAAAATCGATTACAATAAAAAAAATAAAGAAATTCTTCAAAAGAATTCATTTATAATCAAAACAATTAATATTTTCTATTGTTCGAAAGAATCAAATTATTTTTAATATTTTAATAGAAATAATTTCTTGAAAGAATTCAATTATTTTAGAAAATTATAATAAAGTTTAGAGAAGAATTGAATTATTTTCAGTACAATTTTAATTAAATTCTTCAACATTTAAATTATTTTGAACAATTTTAATGAAGTTCTTTGCTAGATTTTAATTATTTTATAAATTTCTTCGCGAGGATTCGATTATTTTCAAAATAATAAAATTTCTCGAAATAATTCAATTAGATCTTTAATTAATTTAATATTGTGTAATTCTTACTTTGCCCTTTGAGTTATGTAGGGTTCAAAAGCCTTTGAAAGTACATAAATATCAGTGCGAGCTTGAATAATGCCCGATGGACTGAAACGAGTTACACAAGACATTAATCGATTCAATTCCTCGGCAATTGTCTCTACAATGTGCGACAAAACTCTTTTCAATAATCCCGGAGAGACGCGTCGAACCTGTTAAAAATAATTAAATTAGTAGATGAAGTAAAAAAAAATTAGAAGTAGTAAATAGGAAAAAAGAAATAGAAAAATTAGAAACAGTAAATGGAAAAATAGAAACAGAAAAATTAAAAAAACTAAATATAGAAATAGAAAAATTAGAAATAGTAAATGGAAAAATAGAAACAGAAAAATTAAAAATAGTAAATATAGTAATGGAAATAGAAAAATTAGAAATTGTATCAAGAATAAGAAAAAGAAGAAAATAGAATTGAAAGTACTAATAAACTAATCTTTCTAAAAGAACAAAGACAATTTTAATTAATTTAATACCTCTGCATGAACTGCAATTAAATTAGCGAGCGCTTCCTGTGCATACGGTCGAGCATGTGTTGGCTCCAAATAAGAATCCCATTCCAAATCGCCTAAATACATACTCGGCTCAATTGTGCCAACAAGTGGATCGCAACGTCGCTCCAAATACGCCTCCAAAACTGCAGTATCAAGAGTCTCCAATTGTGTCCAATCGGAATTCCAACCAGTGGCCGTCGACAAATCCGGATATCCTAGTGTCTTCAAATTTTCTTCAACCCTCGGCAGCACCGTATTCAGTGTATAACGAATATTACTCAGCGATATTAGCAAACACTGCTCCCAAGTCTAAAAGAAAATTTTCACTGATTACTGTTTTTCTTCAATTTCAATAATAAATAATTTTTTTTTCCTTTTAATAAACAATTTTTTTTCTTTTAATAAACAATTTTTTTCTTTTAACAAAAAGTTTTTTTCTTTTAATATACAATTATTTTTTCCTATCTGTATATAAATAGATTTTTTTCTATTCCATATAAAATTCTATGTATTTTTGGCTCTTACAGTAAAATTAGAGCAATAATTCAAAAAATCCTAGATTAGAATTTAAATTTCAGTAATTAACCAAAAGCAAGTAGTTTACTAAATTTCTAACAATTAATTAATTAAATAGAAAATATAATAAACATACCGGACCGTGCTGCTTACTGTCTCTGATTCTGTATCCAACAGGAGAGCTAACAAGCTGAGAAACCGATGAAATTTCTTCCTCCAATGCTTCTTCACTGCCACTGAATGCCAATTGTCGAAGACATCTTGTGAATGACGTGAAAAGAGATTTTACCAAATTGTGATATAAATCTTGCTGCGACAAATTCGCTAAGAGAGGCGCTTCTCTTGGACCGCAAGCAACTGCAGTTTCTCGTGCCAATTTTGAAACTTCCATTACCATTTTTTCGAACAGTGACGGCTAGTAAATTAAATGTCAAATCAATTATTTAATTTTATCAATAACCAATTATTTAATTTAATTAATCAATCAATTATTTAATTTAATCAATCAAATATTTAAAAAATACTATTAACTAATAATTATTAGTAAAATTATAATTTTACAGAAAAAATGGAATTACTTAAACGTTGGTGAAGTTCACAATGATTATAATCAACGATTTGGAAGAAAATATATTTTTTTAAATTTTTATATAGTTTTGTATAAAAAGTGTTTAGCCTAATTTTCTCAATGATAATTTTTATATATTTTCGTATAAAAAAACGTTTTTAATAATAATTTTTTTGTCATCAATTTAAATAATGAAAATTTGTAAAGAAAAAATTTTATTATATTTTCTTGTTTTGGATCTGAAAAATATTTCTTTCTCTTCAATCGTTGATCATAAACTTTGTGAACTTCTCTGACGAATTATTAAAATATTTTCATGAATTACTAAATAAATCATTTTCAAATAGAAAACATACCAATTTTGTAATTCCACCGTCTTCATTCAAATATTCAACTTGCCATATTTCTTTGCGCTGTAATGCTAGAATATTTTCCGCCGTTTGTTTAAATAATGCCGCTAAACACTGCATTCTAAAAAATCAAATTAATATTAGTCGAGACTTTTAAAGACTAAACAAACATTCTTTTAAATAAAAAAAAATAAACAAACAACAATAACAATAACAATTTTATCCAACAAGAAGAAAATAAAATGAAAAAAAAACATTCAAAGAACATTTTCAAATGTACTCCAATTTATTTTATAATAACAAAAATAAATTGTCACAACGTACCTCAAATCAAAGATGAAATTTCCGAAAATATCGAGAGCATCGCTCGGCAAATCAAGATGAATGAGAGAAGCGTACATTTGTCTAATACAACGAAGACTATGCAAAAGCCAAGGAGCATCAACTTTCGAACTATATGCACTTTTCATCGCATTTACAGCGTGTTGAATACTAGATAAAACTAAATTCTGCAAAAGAAATTCCAAGTTAGTAAACTAAATTTACAAAAATTAATTGTTGAAAAAGATTTTAATAACTTTTATAATTTTCTTTTTCTAAATGTTGAATTTTCTTTTCTTTATTTTTAAATTTTAAGTCTGCCTTTCTTTGAGAACAAACGTTCTGAATTAATAAAATTATTTCTTTTTTGTAAAATAAATAAAAAGCTATTCGCCTTTTCTTACTTTGAATGGTCCTTGTTTTTCGGCATTAACGCTAACATGAAGTTGACCGGTAAAATAACTTTGTCCCAATCGCCAAAGATCTGGCAATTGTTCCATAATAATGTCACAAATTTCTTCGATGCACTGGACCCTCAATGAGATGCTGTTCTTATCATTCTTACTCGATCTCAATTGCTTTATTGACATTGGTGTCGTTGCATTCGATTTCGATTGTTTCAATTCTTCACTTTCTGCCTCGAAACATTCTTGAACACACAATTTCACGCTCTTCTCCAAATAGGTGGCGTGCGACACTGTAAATTTTAATTTATTTATTTAAAAATTAATTTATTTATTTATAATTAAATTTATTTTTTAAAAACAAAAATCGAAATAATAATTTAGAATAGATTTTCCAATAGTAATATATTTTAGTCACCTATGGCATCCCAAGCGGGATCGCCCTCAGCCTCGAGACTCACAAGATTACGAATAATTTTCTTCTGCTCCTCTAGAGTAAATGGCACTTCATCGAGTTTTTTTCTTAAAATATCCCTCAGTGTGTCAATTCTACTTTCAATTTCAGCTAAAACTTTTTTGAAGACTTCAACTTCAGTGTTTTTAAAGAGATTCTTCACTCGGGCGTAATCGTTTATCACGAGATCATAATTTCCTTGCTTGATATTCTTTTCGATATTGACTGGCATGCAAAAGAGGAAACGATAACGTTGCATTAGTGCCAAAGCATTACGAGTGGCGTCCGCTCGATCTCTTCGTGCAAGAACATCGTCGAATAATTTATTAGCCTCCGCCATCGATTCTTTTATTGCATTTTCCAATTTTTCCATTGGATTTTCGCCGTATTTCTTCTCATCGATTTCAAATTGCTCCTTGAGAAACATTATCGTGTCGAGTTGCTCCATTACCGAACGAACGTTTGCCTGAAAGAAAATTAATACTATTTAATTAAATCCAGACAATTTCATTTCTATTTTTTAGAATTTATATTATTAGTAAATTTCTTTATTATTAGTAAGTAATCAGTAAATATATAAATTTACAGATTAAAAAAATTATAAAAACAGAAAATTATGTTTAGAATAAAATTATTTAATGAAGACAGAATATTTTGATTATTTTGAATAATTTTGCCAGTAATCAGTGAATAAATGAGTAAATTTAAACAATTTACGGAAAATTGTGTTTACCTTTAAAAAAGATAATTGACCTTCCTTTTGTGAATGCACTTTACGTCGTAAATAAGCCAAACCAGCTTTCAAATCATCCAAAGTCGTTGCATGATGATATTGCAAAAGAAACCAACCGGGATGAAATTTTTCACTGGTTAATTCACCGGTTCTATCTCCAAAGAGTTCTATAAGCTCGTCTTCGGGAAATTTTTTCCTGTTAACAAATATCATTTCATTAATTTAATTTAATTCTTCTGAGGAATTTAATTAAAATTGTTTTGAGAATAATTGAATTCCTGCAAAGAGGAAACTATAAAAATAATTAAATTCTTACAAAGGAACGTCCAAAACTTGTGGATCATAATTTTCGGAAATATTTTCAAATTATATATTTAAAATAATAATAAACAAATTGTTTGAATATTCATACTCATTTCCTTCGACACTTAATCCCAGTGGATCTTCCTGTTGATAATTTGTGGGAGAAAGAGCTCGTCTTCCCCAAACGAAACTTTGAACCGGCGCCTCTTCGACCCACACTGCGGACTCTTTCATCGGACCAATTGTTTCGTGATATCCCCGGAATTGCACTGTCGACGTTCCTTGACCTCCACTTCGAGTTGTTACTATTATATCGCCACGGCCTTTGCAGGGTCCCGATCTCGCTATTATTTTGTTCGGCGATTTCCATTCTGCCGAGAGGAGACAGTCGCAGCCGCAAATTGTCAAACCTTTCAAATTATTACACAAAATAGATTAAAATCATTAAAATGAATAAAAAATTCTTCAAAAAAAGAAAACTCTTTTCTTAAATCTCTGGAAAATATATAAAATTCAGAAATACAGAAAAGAAAAGATGATATAAAATTTACAAGAACTAAAATCAAAACAAAAAAGTTTATAAACATTATATAGAACAAGAGAAAAGTTATTATTTCAATTGTTGTATTATAGAAATTTTTATATTAGTAATAGATAGTAGTAGCAGTATATTTTATAGTAGTAATTATATTTTTTTCAAAAACAATTTCATTTTCAATAGATTTGAACGAAAGGAAAATAATCGTGATTTCTAACCTATAAGATCCTGACTTTTATTTCCTAGAAATTCTCCACGAACGGTAACACGAGTTCCTGGAGGACCTTCCTTAGGTGATATTCCTGTGACTACAGGCGGAGGAGCCATCCTTTTATTTATAGAAAATTTGATTCTTCTCAAGAGATTTTATTCATAAAGTTCATAAAAGTTGATGAAGTCATTTAAATGTCACGCAACACCTTTTAAACACACTCAACAAATATTTTCCCAAACTAATATTTTATATTCAATAAATAGAATATTGACATTATAACCTTAAATGTATTAACATTAATAATTTAGTAAATTTGCGAGTAAATTTAAAAGATTTAAACAATTCAAAACAATTGGAGTATTTATGAAATTTGACAGGTTTGACAGCTGACAAGTGTCACACATACATGAAAGATCATTCACATGTGTAAGTGTGAACTGCATCACTGAGCGGTGTGAACAGTCCTTAATACTATAGACAGTTGTGTTTATGTGTTTTCATCTCATTAATATCTCTAATTAATTATTAAAATTTGCTCTTTTAAATATGATTTTTTAATAAAAGTTTGTTATAAAATGAAAGTCTATATTGTTAGATGAACGTACTATTTTAAATTTGTGCTGTGTTTACAATTTCGGGTCATAATATTATTTCTAAGGTTATGTGACAAACGTAAGTTTACAACTTATTATTTATTATTTAGTTTATATAATAAATATGTTTAAAATTGAATGTAATTTAAATACTTTGTTTTCTTACATGTATATTCATTCAAAGTTGAAGTAAATTTAAAAGCATAAAGTTAACCTCAAAATAATAAGATTGTTATGACACATTTGTTTTCTTTTCGTTTTGTTTATTTAAAAGACATTCTGTTGTAGGGAATAAAAATATTATATTAACTTTTATTCTTTATTTCTAATTATATGAAAATGTTTGAAAATTGAAAATTTGGATAATTTGATAATTTGACAATATTTGGATTTATTAAACAAGTTCTTTCGTGTTCGACGTGATATGTATATTTATACTCTTTATGTGAAAACTATTTTTAACTTGTTTTATCTACGAAAAATTCTTGGGATTGAAAGAAGAAATGATAAATATGTTATTTTTGTGTTCAATTGAATAGATTGATAATTAAATAATTTTTTTAGAAGTGAAAGGAAATGGATGACATACCATCCCAACGTTCTTTATTTTCGGACGACCCTGAAACACTGGGATTCGATTTGTCCGCCGGAAATGTTTGGGTATATCCTGAAAACTATCCCACTAGAGAATATCAATTTGCGATTGTTAAAAAATCACTTTATCGTAATACTCTAGTATGTCTGCCAACAGGTACGAATTTTTTCTCAAACATAAAATTTCGTTAAAAATAAAAATTAAATAAAAATTGATAACAAAACGGTGAAATAAACGTTCACTCCTAATCGGGATCATCGTTTTATTATTTTGACAAGACCGTGTGATTACATAACTATTATATATATATATTAAAAAAAATTAAATCATTAAATTAAAAATTTAATTTACCATTTTTTGTTTTTTAGGTTTGGGAAAAACGTTTATAGCGGCAGTTTTGATGTACAATTTTTGGAGATGGTATCCAAAGGGAAAGGTCGTCTTTTTAGCTCCGACAAAACCACTTGTGGCACAACAAATAAACGCCTGTCACGAAATCATGGGAATCCCCAGTGAAGAGACTATTGAACTTACTGGTAATTTTTACGAATTTTTCAATTTTGTATTTTTGAAAACAAAAACTGCGAATAGAAAATGTTTAAATATTTTATTTATTTATTTATTTATTTAGAAACATGACTAAATTTCTAATTGAACTTTAATTTAAGGAACTACAAATCAGAAGCTTCGTGAAGTGGCGTGGATGAATAAAAGAGTAATATTCGCAACTCCTCAAACATTTCATAAGGATTTGGAGAAGAATATTTTTCCACTCAATATGGTCAAGTGTTTAGTTATCGATGAAGCTCATAAAGCTTTGGGAAAGCACTCTTACTGTGAGGTAAATACTTTCTCTGATTTATTTTGCATTTTTATTTTTATATTTTTTAAAAACTATTCATAGAAATGTAGAAATAAAAATCAATCAGACTTCGTACTCATACAGTAAAATCTACAATTACTAGTTTCCTTTTTACTATTTACAATACTATTCTTTGCAAACATTCAATTATTTAAAAAAAAAATTAATAAAAATCTTCAATTATTTTCAATATTTACTATTTTAAAAAAATTTACCGAAAGAGTTCAATTATTCAAAAAAAAAAAATTTTTAATGAATTTTGTTGCAAGAATCCAATTTTTTTCGTAAGTTATAAAATTTTTCCAAAAAATTCAATTTTTCAATCTATATTCAATGAAATTCAATTATATGTTTAAAAAGTTTGACAATATTTTTATCGGTAGATTAATTTATTTTTCAAAATTTTCAAACTTTTTAGAAGAATTCAATTATTTTCAGTACAATTTTAATTTAATTCCTAGAACGAACTTAAATTTTCTTCGAAACAATTGAATTTTTTTTTTATAAATTTTATTTTTCTGATTATTTTCATAAATAATATTTTCACATTCTCATAGAACTTTCTAATAAGAATTGATTTAGAATTGAATTTCAGTTAACATTTTAAGATAATAATTGAATATTAGAAGCGTTTTAGTGTAAACATTTTAGAAATAATTAAATTTGAAAAGATTTTTAAATTTAAATCTTTGAAAATAATAATAATTAAATTTGAAAAGATTTTTGAATTTAAATCTTTGAAAATTTTAACTGTATAATGTTTAAAAAGAATTATTTTATTATTATTATTTTCTTCTATTATTCTAATTTTTAAAAATTAATAATCGAGTATGAAGCCAGATAAATAAATTTAGATAAATAAATATCCAAAGAAACTCTTTTTTTCGTTTCGTCGATAGGTAAATTAGATAAAATTTCTTCTTTCCATGTTTTATAGAGTGTACGTTTATTAAGCGAGCAAAATAAATTTTTTCGAGTTTTGGCTCTTTCTGCAACACCTGGAGATAAAATAGCTAAAGTAGTGGAGGTAAGATTTTTTGTTAACTCAAATTTTTCGATTAACTGTTACAATTTAATTTTATTCAGTTTCAATTTTTTTTTTTTTGTTAATTATTTTATTCAAATCTCATATTTTGAATTAATTTCTATTACAGGTCATCACGAATCTTCACATTTCAAATTTAGAATTGAGAGACGATATGTCACCGGACATTACTCCTTACATTAATGAGCGGAAATTCGACATTATTTTAGTTCGTTTAAGTGATGAATTAGCAAGATTTAAGGAAAGATACATATCAGTAATGGATCCTCATGTCAGATTTTTGGTTCGATGTAATGTTCTTAGAGGAGACACTGGCAACATAACCAGAGGAAGGGTATGTTTTTTATTTATTCTATGTATTAAAAAATTAAAAACAGTAAAAAGATAAAAATAAAAATAATTTTATCCAGAATATTTTTTTTTGTTTAATATTGAACTAAACTAAAAAGTGAATTTATTTATTCATATTAAAATATAATTGTAATTTTCTATTTTTTATTTTTCTCTTAGATATTCCACTTGCTAAGGGACTTTCAAGCAAAGCCAAATAAAAGTGGAAACTATGGACAAATAATGAAAACATTAAATATATTGCAAACAATGTATCATGCTTATGAATTAATGATCAGACATGGACTGCGAGCATTTATGCACTTTTATGAAAGTAAGTTGAAAGTAAAAAATAATAAAAATTGGAAGATTACTTTAATTAATTACTTTAAAAATACTCTAATGTAGCAAAATAGAAAAAAGAATACAACATTTTTTTCCCATAGATCACAATGACAAACGTTGGTTGGCGCAGGAAATTAATTTACACGAAATGCTTAAGGACATAAAAAATTATCTCGGCCCGTTTCCTGTTATTGAACCATTATCGGACGGAACTATACCAGACGTAAGTTACTGATAACAATTTTTTCAATACTTTCTTTCTTCGTATCTTTTGCAACAACTGTTCTAATTCAATGACAGAATACAAGAAATAATTTTTCCTTTCTCTTTAAAAATAAATTTAAATTTTTAAATTTTAATGCCTAAAATATAATTTTTAAATTTTAATACCAAAAATAAAATTTTTAGGTTTCTAATGATATTCTCTTTGGTCACAATAAATTCTACAAACTGAAGGAACTTCTCGAAAAGCATTTCAAATCCTTTCAGGACAAAAATGAAGAAACGAGAGCAATCGTATTTGTAGAGGTAATATTTATTTTGGCAAATTTGACAATTCTCTTTTCTTATTTTTTTTGAAATCGAATTGAATTTTCTTTTAAATTTCTTAGTTTCGGGACATTGTGAATGAGGTTTACGTTCTGCTTTTACAAAGTAGACCACTAATACGTCCTCAAATGTTTGTTGGGCAAGCCGGTCAAAAGCGACGTCAACAAATAGAGGCCTTGGAAAATTTTCGAAGCAATATAGTGAATGTTTTAATATCCACGTCAGTAGGTACGTTGCTGGAAAAAATTATTTGTTAAATTTAATTAAAATCGATCTGTTCCACTTTTTTTTCTCTTTAATAATTCTGAACTTTAATTTACAGGAGAAGAAGGTTTGGATGTAGGAGAAGTAGATTTAATTATTTGCTTTGACATGTCTCAAAGTTCACCAATCAGATTAGTTCAAAGAATGGGACGAACTGGTCGTAAACGAGATGGACGTATTATTGCCTTAGTGACAGACGGAAAAGAGCTCGAGGTAAATTTTGCAAATTTAATTATTTATTGTTAAATTAAAAAATTTTAACCTTTTTTGTGATATTAAATTCAGAAATTGTAAAAACAAATTTCTTTTTTGCAGTCTTTAAAAAGTACAATGTCTAAGAAGGATAGTTTAAACAGCAAGGTCTTGCAGTCAAGTGCCATTAATTCTGCTCTTTATGAACAAAGTCCAAGAATGATTCCAAATCAATTCACGCCAGATTGTCGAAAGATGCACATGAAAGTATTAACGAAAACTCCAAAAGTAAAAGGTGCATCGAAGAGAAAGGAAATTCTAAACCCAAAAAGGAAAACCACAGAGACAAGACTAATTGAAAAGGAACCTGGTAAAAGAAATCCTCGATCTAATTATTGTTTTAATATTCAAATATTCAAATTTAATTTTTTTTTATTTTATTTAATTAATATTTAAATTGTTCTTTTTCTTTTGAATTGAATCTTTTTTTCCTTTTTTAATTCATTTGTTCACTATTAATTACAGGTGCAAAAAATACCGGTCAATCGTCAATACAGAATTTTTTCAAAACAACAAAACCAGGCGAAAGAATGTCCGAGTACAATAATTACGCGTGTTCACAAACACAACAAAATATAAGTATTAAAGACGTGAACCTTTATTTCTCGGATAAGGAGAGCGAGGAATTTTTAACACTATGTGCAATTCGAAAGACAAGAACCGATTCACATATTTTGAATTTTGAAACAAACGAAAAATACTTTCGAACAAAGCAAAAAAATCCATCGAAGGATTTAAGTTTTCTGCGAAATTTAGTAATACCAAATTTAAATGATAAGGATTACGTGAAAGCAATACCGGAAGTGAGAGAAAGTAGCGAGGAAACAATTCATGAACTGCCAAATTCTCAAATTCATTCACAAAATTTTCCATCAGTTTCTTATTATAATGAATATGATAATCATAATGATATTGATAATGATAATGAAAATTTGTATAGCACATATTTCACGGCTGGTGAAGTTACAATTGAACGAAGTTTCCTCGATTTGATCTATGATTCATCATCATCGGAAGAATTGGAAAATTTTCACGATGACAATTTACCGAATAAATTTGAAGTTACCTGTAATTTTGATGATTTACTGGAGACGACGGACGAGAGTGAACCCGAAGTAGAAATGGAAATGCAAATGGAGATGGGCGATTTAAAAACGGAAATAAAGGACGAATCGAATTCAATGGACATTGAGGAAGAAAATCAAAATCTGTGCGATAAAAATAATTTAGAAGAAGAAAGGAAAGTAATGTTTAATTTTACCGATATTTTGGAGGATTCGAGTCTTGATTCGATAAAAAGTCAAAATAGTGATAAAAATGCAGAAGTTATTGAGCGAAATGTGATTGAAAAAATTGTCGAACAACAAGAAAAGGAAACAATTTCGCTTAATTTGAGAAATGAGAATGAAATTCCTCCAAGAACAAAAAGTTTATCACCAGAGGGGAGGGAATATAATTTTAGTAATCTTCTCGGAGGTACAACTTTAGATTCCTTAAACACTCAGGATTTCGTAAGGACCCAGAGTTTGAAAAACTCCAAAGAAATTCCGTCAGTGCCAGTCAAAGAAAAAATATCCCCCGACGGGATTCAGTCAAGAAATTCCGCACAAGATAAAAAAGAAACAGTAATCAACGCTAGTCACCTCTTGGGGGGAATGTCATTAGATTGTATAAACACTCAAGATTTATTAAATCCAGTGATTTTAAGTAATAAAAATCCTTCGACTCAAGAGAATGTCTCTCGTAATAATAGTATCCTGACTTTATCGACAAACACCAGTGGAATCACAATTACGCAAGTAATTGAAGAAATTGGAAAAATCAATGGGAACAAATCTTTCAACAACAATAATTTAAAAGTAAGTTCTTCGCTATCGATAACTGAAAATCAAAGAATTGAAGATCAGAAAATTGAAAATCAGAGAATGGAAAATCAAAGAATTGAAAATCAAAGAATTGAAAACTATCAAACAACAAGGAACGAAGAAAAAAATATTTCAACTATAAAAGACGATAAACAAATGGTTTACGAAATTCTCGATTCAGACGAAGATCTTTTCAATACCGAATTCGATGATATCTCCATTATTGCCAGCAACGTTCCAGAGCCGGGAAAAACACCAAACAAATCAAATCAATTCGAAAATATTCCCAAAGGGAATACACTAACTATTGGAAATCTTGCGATTACGAAACTAAACCAGAAGGAAAATTCTGATAAACTTCCCATCAACGAGAAGAAAAATTCCGATATAGTAATATCCTTTACATCGAATGATAATTTGAGTAAAGAAAATGAAATATCGAAAACGAACATTTCCAGAAGGAAAAAACTAACTTTTGGAGATTTAGATATTTCGACAGTGAGTCCAGTTAAATCTACGCCCATCGAAAGGGAAAATTTGAAAAATTTCAACGAAAAAGCAAAAACTATTGAACAGAGGAAAAAATTAACAATTGGAAATTTGGAAATATCGACAGTGAAACCTAATAAATCGTCGCTTCCTGAAAAAAGGGGAACGAATAAATTTTCTCTCAACGAAAAGGGAAAAGAAATTTCGACACTGAATCCCGAAAAATCGATAAATAGCGAAAGGGGAAATTCGAGTAAAATTTCTCTCAACGAAAAGGGAAATTCCTGCAAATTATCTCTCAACAAAACGGGGAATTCGATTCAAGTTTCTCTCAACGAGAAGGGAAATTTAAGTGAAGTTTCATTCAACGAAAAGGATGTTTCGAGTACATTTTTTCTCAACGAGAAGGGAAATTCGAGATTTTCTCTCAACGAAACTGGAGCAACATCGGACAAGAAAAATAGTAAATCAAATAAAGAAAAAGAAAGTTTTGATAACAATTCAAATAGTAAAGGGGAAAATTCAAAAGCAAATGAGAAAGAAAATTCTCGTTTTTCTTTCGGTATTATCAACGACGTCGATTGGGATAGTGATTTTGAAGTGCTGGCTAGTGAAGTAAATACTACGAAATATTTTAAACAAAATGAACAACAAAAAACTTTACCACCAACAACAAATGTGACTAAAATACCCCCAGAAGTAACAAATCCAGAAAATAAAAATATTTCCAAACCGGAAAAAAAGTTTTCCCTCTTCAAGCGAAATAAACCTTTTTCACTTCTTCAAGATTCCAGCGAAGAGAATCAAGTAACGAATAATAGTTCAAGAAGCAATGAAGTAAATTTATTAAGTCGTAACAAACCCTTTTCACTTCGTCAAGATTCCACCGAGAAGAATCAAATACCAAACAATAGTTCGAAACAAAATGAAGAAAAAACCGCAGAAATATTATCCAAACGTAGCAAACCCTTTTCACTTCGTCAAGATTCCACAGAAAAAAATCAAACACCAAACCAAAGTTCGAAACAAACTGAAGTAAATAGTGAGGAAATATTTAAGAAACCGGATTTAAATTCATTTAAACGAGTGCACATTAATTCACCCTCAACATCAAGTGATAGAAAAAATAGACAGAGTAAATTAAGTTTGAAACTTACGGAGAAAAGGGAAATGAATCGGGAAGTTAGTTTTAATTCAACTTCAACGGAGAGTCCTGAGGTGAAACGAAAGAAAATTAAGAAGCGGAGACCTGATTGTCAATTTATCGACAATGAGGCAGATGTAAGTGATGATGATTATAACACTTCTGATGGTTCGTCTGGTGAAGATGATGATGATGATCTTCAAGATTTCGTCAGTTACACGCAAAATACTACACAACATGAGGATATGCGTGCTCATTATATGAAATCAGTTAGGAGTCCCATTCGACGACCGGGAGCATTTCTCATTAAAAAATCGTCTCACTTTCATGGAAATGTATTCTCTCAACCTCTTTCGCAATATGATGATACTTACGTACAGGTGAGTTTTTGTTTTCTTTCAATTAATATTTTTATACATAAATATCTGAAGATTATTCTCGCGCATAAAATTCTTCGCAAGAATTCAATTATTTTTAAAAATAATAAATTTCTTTTTGCGAATTCAAGTTAATAAAATTCTCCGCAAGAATTAAATTACTTCCTTTGTAAATAATGAAATTCTTTTCAGAGATTCAATTATATTCAATACAATTTTTTTTTAATTTTTTCGCAAAAAATTAAGTTATTTTCAAAAGTTATGAAACAAAATTTGTATATAAGAATTCAATTATTATTTTCAAAAATTTTGCTAAAATTCTTTGACATAATTCAATTATTTTACAAAATTGCGATTAAATTCTTTATGAGAATTGAAATATTTTCCAACATATAATAAATTTCTTCGTGTGAATTGAATTATTAATTTTAACAAAATTTATCAATTCAATTATGGTCGTAAATAATAAATTTCTTCGTAAGAATTCAATTACTTTTAGCACAACTTTAATAAAACTATTCACAACTATTCAATAATTTTTTATAAATAAATAAACTTCTTTTTATTGTAATTCAATTATTTTCTATATAATTTTAATAAATTCTCTAAAAAAAAATTAAATTTTTTTTATGTTTTAATAAAATTCATCACAATTCAATTATTTTCGTAAATAATAAATTTCTTTGTATGAATTCAATTATTCGCGTTAATAATATATTTTTCCTATGAATTAAATTAGTTTTAGAACAATTTTTATAAATTTTCTCGAAAGAGTTCAAATTTTTTGATTAATTTTAATAAAATTCTGGAAAGAATTCATTTATTTCCAAACAATTTTAATGAAATTTTATAATTACAGTTATTTATTAGCAAATACGATTATTTTAAAATCTTGAAAGAAATTCTTCGTAAAAATCAGTTGCATTCGAATTTTTCAAAAAATTCAATTTAAAAAGAACTACAATATTTTCAAAGGATTGAAGGAAATTCTTTGAAAGAATTAAATTTATTATTGGAATTTTGGAAATTAAATTAATTTTTTTGAAGAATTTTCATAATGTTGTATTAAAAATAATTGAATTATTATACAGAATTTTATCAAAATTTTTATAAAATAATTGACTTTTCACGAGAAGTTTTATTAAAATTGAATTGAAACGAATTTCATTTTTGCGATGTATTTGAATAAAAATTCATTAAAATAATTTAATTCTTTCTAGGAACGTTCTTACATTCACGCTATAAAATCGGAATTATTTTCAACATTTTTGATAAAATTCTTTACAAAAATTCAATTATTTTGAAAAATAAAAAAATTCTTCACAAAAATTCAATTATTTTCATAAATAAAAAAATTTCTAGAAGAATTTCAATTATTCTATAAAATTTTTAAAACAATTATTCCAAGAAATTCAATTATTTTCAACAATTTTGATGAAATTCTTTACAAAAATTCAATTATTTTCAAAAATAAAAAAATTCTTCACAAAATTTCAATTATTTTCATAAATAAAAAAATTTCTAGAAGAATTTCAATTATTTTATAAAATGTTTTAAAAAAAGGATAATTTTATTCAAGGCGGATTTAAATTTTTGTATCTCAATTTTTTTCATTGAATTTTTAATTTCTTTGTACTTTTTGACCAGGACAAAAAATCCAAAAAAATAAATCCAAAGTGAAACTATTTTTTTGTTACTTTTTTGGATTTCATTTACTTTGGATTTTTTAATTTGGAATTCTTGTCCGGATACCATTGGAAACAATTAAATTTCTGAGAATAATTTTTTTAAAATTCATGAAAATAATTGAATTTTTGAAACAAATTTCATTCAAATTTTTTTAAATTGTATTTAAATTTATAAAATTTATACAAAAAAATTTTCTTAAAATTCATTAAATTAATTGAATTCTTTAGAATTCTTTAGAAAAATTTTATAGATTTCAAAAGAATAGATTTTCAAAAGGAATTGAATTTTTTCCAGAAATTTTATTGCAATTATATTGATTATAATTGAATTCCTCCGAACAATTTTGTTATTTATGAAAATAATTGAATTTTTGCCAAGAATTTTATTAAAATATTTGTAAATTATTTAATTTGTTCGAAAAAAATCTAAAATTCTTTCGAGGAAATTAGTTAAAACTGAAATTGAAAATAATTAAATTCTTATAATGAATTGTATCAAAAAGAAATAAAAAATTTTGTACTTTGCATAGCAATAAATTGAACAGAGCGTTTCCCACGCTAGCGAGTAAAATTTACGAGTAAATAAAATAAAACTTGAAATTAATATAGCAAGAATAAAATTCGAGTTAATTAAAATAATTTTACATTGTTTTCGTTTTACAGGATTCATTTTGCGTTAACGAAGACGAAAGTGAATACAACGAAGAAAATAGTGATGTCGATGAGGATTTAGAAATAATCGCTGAAAATTTATCAGAAGTAACGCTAAATCGAGGAAAAAGAAAACGAAAGAGATCGCCAATTTTCAAATGTAATAAAAGAAAAAAACGAAAAGGTCGCATTCAAAATTTGTACAATAATAATAGTAGCAGCAGTGATGATGAAACTGAACAATTGCGAAAGCAAATTCAAAATGAATCTGTATTTTTAAAAAAATGAACTAATTAAATTTTTTCGCCCATTGTTTTGCGCACTAAAACACACATTCAAACATAATAAAGCTGCAAGACTGAAATGCAATTTGTATAAAAAAAGAAATGAAAATTGAAATAATATTGTATAAATCTAGAATTGAATTCTGTGATAAATTATAAAATCACTAAATTGCTGTGATATATCCTGTTAATTCGTGTCTAATACGCGTTGTACATTTTTTTTTTGATATTATAATTATGCAAAACTTATTCTTATTGACAATAAGATTTCGTGTAAAATAGTTACTAGCTAATAAACTCAGCCATATTTGTAATAAGAAAAGAGAACTAATTTTTTTTTTGTCGTACAACGTTTTATAAAATTGTTATTGTAAAATTATTTGAAAAGCATGTTTAAATTTAACATTGTAGTTAAATTTTAAATAATTTCAAAAAAATGAATATATATTTATAAACTTATTTATTTTATTAAAAGAAAAATAAATAATATGAATCAAAATATAGAAAAATATTTCGAATTGAGTTTTCTTTTTCCAGATCCGAATAATTTTGCATAAATGAAACTATACTTTTGTAAAACGAAATAAAATTTGCAAAGTTAAAAAAACTACTTTCAAAAAATTATAATTAACTAAAGTATAATAAATTAACTAAATTAACTATTCTTTTAAATTAAAATTTTCTGTTCCATTAAACTTTTCTATTCTTATTTTTGAATTAAAAATAATATGTTTTTTAATTAAAAAAGTTTCACATTCAAGGTAAATTGTTAATAATTTGGAGACTTGAAATAATAATAATTCTTATTATTTAGTAATCTTATTATGAATACTAAAATATTAATGATTTATCTAGGTTTGAAATTTAAAAATTAAAAACCTTTTTAAAGCGACTCAATTCATTCAGCAATCTATTAAACATTAGTTTCCGAAATGTGTAAATCCATTTCTGATGATATCTCCATTTTCACTGTATTGAGGTTTGACTGTTTCCAATAAATTAAATAGAAGCCATTAATCCTAATGGATAGACCATAAAAATCAATACAGAATTTTATGAATGAAGAGTTAGTATTTTGTTTTTTCTTTATCTTCCTTTTCATTATTTTTCTTCATTTTTTCTGTATCATCAATTTTCTCCTCTGGTGCTGATTATATATTTATTAAATTCTCCATTATTCTTTTGTGCATCACTGTAAATAACAATAAAAATAATATTATATTACTAGAAAATTTATAACAATAATAACAATAATAATAATAACTTATAATAATAATACTTATTATTATTATTATTTCTAAGAATTTTATTAACATTTTTAAGAAAAATTAAATTCACTCGAGAAATTTTATTATTTTTTATTTTAAAATATCAACTTTGATCTTTTAATAACTTTAAATCTGAAATTATTAAAAGGTCAAAGTTGATAATATAAAATAAAAAATTTTCTAATTTGAATAATAATAATAATATAAAATTGAATTCAGCGTTCTAGTTATAAATTATTTTTGAAAAAAAACAATACACACCTTTTTTTTTGAAAAAGGTCATTTTTGATGTGGATTTAATCTTTTAATTGAATCTCCAAAGTCACAATGCACTTCAATCATTCTGCAGCGATAAATTTCACACAAAATTCTTGATAATTCCTTGATAAAAATATTTTCTGCAAAAAAAGGAAAAACCTGAAAAAAATAGTAAAAATTAATTATTAGGTTTAATTATTATAAGTTTGAGCTTTGTAATTTCAGATAAAAAAATAAATCGTGATAAGAAAAATTTCCTTCAAATTTTCAAAGCGAAAATATAAAGATTATTTAGAAAAATATTTTTTCTTCTAAAAAATTTGAGATTATAATTTATAAATATTTGTGAACTTCACTTAAGTCTTTTGGCAAAGAGAAAAAGTAAATTGTAGATAATAAAAAATGTATTACTATCTCTTTGTATATTTTTTATAAAGAAAAAAAACACTGACCTTTATAAAACTTGCGGTTTCATTTTTAAATGATTGCACATGTATTTATAGTATATAATTAGTCCCACTGCTGGAGGATCTCATTAAAAATATGGCACGAGTACTTGCTGGTCTTTTCTATTGTGCCGCTCAGGTTGGAGCCCTTATTCGTGCGTCAGTTTCCGTGAGGGAAGTTGCTCCACTTACGTTACAAAGTTTCTCACATTTCTATTCATTCTTTCTTCACTTTCAATTTTTTCATTACATTTTGCGAATTTTATTTACAAACACTCCTCCGAATAACTGTTTTAAATAATGGTCCAGTATTCACTCTATAAGTACTAAATCACAGAAATATTAAATTATCACAAATAATTAATGCACAATAATTGAAGTAAAAATAATTCCAGTAAAATAGTCGAAAAAATATAATTCAAGTAATAAAATAGTCGAAGAAAAAAATTAAAGCAAAATAATAGAAAATAAATAATTAAAGCAAAATAATTGAAGTAAAAATAATTAATATAAATACTTTCCGATCGAAATAAAAATAAATAACAAATATAAATATTATTGTTAATGTAACATTAATAAAAATAAATCCGATTATAAACACAAATAGAAATTGAAATAGAAATATTAATATTGATACCAATATTAATATAATTAATATGAATAATATTTAAATAGTAAAAAAAATTACAAATAATCAACAATTACAAAATCGGATAAACGCAAAAATTGAAAATTTGATCGAAATTTAAATACCAAAAACAATAAACAATGTACAGTGTTCATGTAACGGAAACAAGTGTACCAGGTTCGTCGAGAGGTTCCACTACAGAAATTGTTTATAAAACAAGACGAAGAGAATCAATGGCAGTAAGAGTTTTAAATTACATACGATCACAATTTCAAAGTGACGAAATTCCCGGTAAGTATTTTTTTCCATTTTTCTTTTTTTTTTGAAAATAGTGTCAGATTAGCCAAAGAGCATGAATTTTCCTCAAATTTTTTCGAATGCACTTCATGGAGATGAAAAAATTCCAACACTTTTCTAAAATAGAAAAAATTCCGTTGCATGAAAAAAATAACGAAAAGCAAAATAATTAGTAAAACGAAATATTAGTATTTTTCGTCTACGAAATAATTTTCTGTTTTCGTTACTAAACAATTTCTAATATAAGAGATACCGAATAAAAAATAATTCTATAAATTCGGTTGCAAAAATTTTGCAAAGAATAAATATTTTCCTACTTTTCGTTTTCGTTACTAAATAATTTATTCCAATATGAGAATAAAAAAAAATAATTCAATAAATTCAGTGACAAAATTTTTGAAGAATAAATATTTTCCTACTTTTCGTTACTAAATAATTTATTTCAATATGAGAGCGAAAAAAATACTAATTCAATAAATTCGGTTACGAAAATTTAGGAGAATAAATATTTTCTAATTTTTTCGTTTTCGTTATTAAATAATTTCTAATACGAGACTTGAGAGCGAATAAAAAATATTTCAATAAATTCGGTGAAAAAAATTTCGCAGAATAAATATTTCCTTATTTTGAGAATTTATTATGAAATTGCCAAAATAATATAAAAACAAAAATGATAAAGGAAAATTTGAAATCTAATATTGAATACAATGTAGTATATTTATTGATAGTGTTGATACAAAACAAAGAATTTATTAACTATAATTAAATGATGAGAAGTTGCTTCGAAAACTTCATTTTCTGTGATCAAAATTCTCTAATTCTCTATAAATTTGTAATTGCGTTTCTATACACATTTTATTCCTTTTTCAAAATGTGTACATACATTTTAAAGGCGAAACAATTACAAAAAAAAAGATTAATGAAAAATCCAACAAATCTGTTTTCTTTCCTAATAATTGTTTAAATTTTGCTAAATATTTAGTATTATTATTAATACAATATTATTATTAACATAGTATTATTCTTCTATACACTTTCGTTGAAAAATTTATTCTTCACGTAATTATTCTATTGCTGTAAAAACTTTTGAAAAGTTCATTTTACAATAATTATTATTTTCTAAATCGAGTTTTGTCAAAAAATGCTTGTCTATAAATTAGCGATTTTTATAAATTCTATTTAAATCTGCTATTGGTAAATAATTAAATATCAGACATGTCACAAATTTTCTGAAAGTCTAGAATCATAATTTTCAAATTCACAAAAAAGTATAGAAAAATGTACTTATTTGCTACGATGATAAAACAAGCACTTTCTTTTGCAAACTAAACATATTTCAAAATTTTCTCTTTTTTAATTAAGATTTTCCCAAGTAAATATAAATTTTCATTCTCAAAATTGAAACTTTCCAAAATTGAAAATTTTCCCAAAAAAACTAAAATTGGCGCAAAATAAAATAAAAATTACGCAAAATAAAAGTAATTTTTGTTTATATTATTATGATTCTAAATTTCTTGATGTAAACATATTTTTTTTTTATTAATGATTCTTCAATCAATAAATCGATTTATAATTTCTATTTTTAAATTGGATTTCTCAGCGTGTAATTTTGAATTACTAAAATATCTCTAGGTTTTTTCTGCGAATATATATAAATAAATAAATAATAGATTCTAAATGAAGAATTATGAATTATTAATTAGTAATTATTAAGAAATGAAGAATTCGAGAATTGGCGAGAATTCGAGAATAATTATATAAATAAAAAAAGTCTATAAAAAAAAGTGTTTTTACTCTTAAAAATTCGAAAATTGTCGAATTATTATCTCGGATTATTTTTCTCGATTAAATTTAAATTAATTCTAAGTTAATTAGTCTAGATTCGTAATTTTAACGTAATAATAATGATAGAGATCTTTTGAATAAAATTTTCAAACAAAAATCATTATATGAAATTGAAAATATCAATTGTATTGAATTTTTAATCTAAATCGATAAGTTTTAAACTATTTTTCTAGTACTTACAATTAATAAGTGAATTTTTGTTTTGTAAAAAAGAACAAAATATACCGTAGTCGGTAAAATAGTTTTAAAAGAAAAAAACAGTGAAATTTCGATAAACTAATATTTTAGAGAATCCTGGAAAATTTAAGATAAATTTCAAAATTCTCTATTATTGAAATTTCAGGGTAAAAAAATATTTCTTTTTCACGCTGTTTACTCTTTTCAATCTGCTTTCAAAGCAGTGAATGATTTTTTCGCAAATTTTTCGATAAATTTTCTTCCCACATTCAAATGGGAATTTTAATTCCTTTTCCATAATTTCGTTCTCAAAACGTTAATTATGAAATTAAGGAAATTATTTTTCTTTCTTTTTCTTTTTCTCGTTATAAATTGACGTTTTCTAGGAAAATCGTTGGCTTTTTTATAGAAATAAAAAAAATAAATAAATAAAACTAATTATTCGGGAATCGTTTCACAAGATGTTGAGAGATAATCGTTAGATTCATTGTCATCTTGATTATTGAAATCTGCGATCCAAACCTCTTGAATTGGTTCAGGTTGAAAGCTGTCGTCAGATCTGTAACCTATTGTAATACTTGATTCTTCACTTTCTGTTTCTTCGCGATTATTAACAGGTAAGTTTGCCATTCTCATACCTGTTGTTGAATCGCTGTAGACCAAACTATTTGGAATGAATGTATGAAATCGACCTGCGGTCATAAATTCAGCTCGCTCAACGTGCTGTGAACTGGATAATCCTGACAATGGACACGACAATGGTGGAGCAAAACAATAGACACTCGAGGTTTGATTTAATTTTGTATAATCGGTTGGTCCGCCCGTACTGAGATTTAAAATATTCTCCAAACGTAAATCATTCGCATTATTTTCCGACCATTTCGGCCAATAAGTATCGGTTGTGTCTGAAAAATTTCAGTTCATATAGTTTTTTTGTTTATTTATAAGAGAAAAATGAGTGAAATTATTATTAAAAAATAAAGAGGTACTCAAGGTTGCCACGAAAATTCGATTTTATTTTTTCTGGACTTTTAGGGAGAATTTAGACCTTTTTTTCTAAACGTAAAGAATACTCTGATTCAAAGACGTCGGATCGACTTTAAGGCGTAGAAAAAGACCTTTTACTAGATTGAAAACACAAAACAAGTGAAAAAATTCGTTTTTTCATTGTTTTCTCACAAAAATTGAATGTTGTATTTTTCTGATATTTCACTAATTTTCAAATTGAAGTATTGAAAACAAATAATTTTATCAATTAAGTATTTAAAGGTCTGTTATTTATTTATTCACAGGAATTAACATTTTGAAAATATCAATTTTAAAACTACTGTGGAATTTAATTATTCCTGAAAATTAGATTTGTATAATTCTTCAAAAATTCAAATATTTTCTAGAATCTTTGAGATCTCGACTTTTTAAGACAAATTCTTTTCTAAATCAATAATAATAATAATACTTATTATTACTTATTTATTATTTAATACTTTTTAGAAAGTTCTTCGAAAATTCAATTACTTGAATACAAAAGTTCAATTTTTTGTAATCACTATAACTCTTTATATGGTTTTTTTTTCAAATTTTCTGAAATTTAATAATTTCTAAAAATTATAACTGCAATTCTTACAAAATTCAAATATTTTTCAGAATTTTTAACTAAAATTCTTTTCTAAAACAATTATTTTTAATAACATTCAGAAAATTTTTCATAAATTCAATTTTTTTAAATAATAACTGAAATTGCAACTTTTTATAATTTTTCTTAAAAATAGTTAAAAAAAAAACTTTTCAAAATTTTCTGAAATTTAAGTATTCCTAAAAATTTGAACTAATAATTATTCAATTTTTTTTGTAATAATTGTACATAACTATAAGTAATAATTGTAACTATTTTTGGTTTCTTTACAATGCTTTTAACGTAAATTTTGGCAAATATTCGAATTTTAAGAAATTATGATAAAAATTATAAGATCTAGTTTTTTCAGAATATTTTAAAATAATTTTTTGAAAATTATTAAATTGCAACAATTTGAAGAAATTATTAATTTTTCTTATTTATTTATTTCTTTTTTTTGAAGAATAGTAATAAAAAAATTTGAAAATGATTTCTCTAAAATTGGAATTCATATTCTACAAAATTATCTTTTTTAAAATATTTCTACGTAATTAATTTCAGTAGGTAAATATTCGAATTTTTGGAGAAATGTAATTGAAACTTTAAAAATAATTGTTTTTAGGATAATTTTCAATAATTTTCATTTGAAGTCTTTTCATTACAATTTTTTAGATTTCAATTATTTTACGAAGCTATTAAAATTCTTGAAAAGTTTTCTTTTAAACATTTCAGTTTTTAAATTAATATTTTACTTATTGAAAAAGTCAATTATTTTTAATAAAATTAGATTACATTAGAGAAGGACAATTTTTAATTAGATTTTAATTCAATTATTTTTTGGATATTTGAATTTTAGGATTTATAATAGAAAATAATTCGTTTCTGTCTTTTGAAGATTTTCCATTAAAATTAAAAAAAAAATTCTATTAATTTACAAAAATGACTATTAAAATTCTTAAAAATTTGTCTTTCAATAATTTTTGTGAAATACTATTTTTTAAAAATCAATCACTAAAATAAAATGAGATTAGAATTTAAAAAAAAATTAAATGTAATTATTTCTTTGTTATACATATTTTAACATTCGGAAATACGTAATTAAAAATATTGACAATTATTTATTTTAGAAGCTAATTTTCATTAATTTTCATTCTGAAATTATTTTGAAGATTTTTCATTAAAATTTTTGAAATTTCATTTATTTTACAAAATTTTCTATTAAAATTCTTTAAAATTTTACTTCAAACATTTTATTGAAATTCCTACTTATAAACAATTCTAAAATTTATTTATTTATAAAAATTGCAATCAAAATTCTTTCAAAATTCAATTATTTTTAGAATTTTTACGTGAAATTGAATTTTATTTGTAAATAATTTAAAAAAAATACTCGCCAAGAATTGAATTATTTTAAATAAATTCAATTGTTGCATTCGGAAATAAATAATTAAGAATATTGACAATTATTTATTTAAGAAGCTAATTTTCATTCTGAAAATATTTTGATTTTTCATTAAAATTTTTGAAATTTCACTTATTTTACAAAATTTGCTATTGTAATTCTTCAAAATTTTACTTTCAAACATTTTATTGAAATACCTACTCATAAAAAAGTGTTTTCAATAAAAAATTCTGAAATTTAATTATTTATAAAAATTGCATAGAAAATTCTTTCAAAATTTAATTATTTTTAGAATTGTTTTAAATAAATTCAATTTTTGCATATATTCTCTAAATTTCAAATTATTGTCAGAAATAGAAAAACAAATTCAAAATTCGTGATAATATAAAAATCTCTAAAGTGAACAGAATATCAATTCTAGATTTTTTATATTTTTCCAGCACTTTAGATAAAATTTCCTTTCAATTTTGATTCTTTTGACTTGTGGCAAACCTGTGGCAATAATTGCAAATTTTTCTCGTCTTTACGTAAAATTGTTATTTTACGTAAAGACGAGAAAAATTTTTCAATTATAAAAAAGAAATATAATTTTGTTCAAAAATACAAAAAAAGAAAAAGAAAATTTTCAATTACTTACTAGTTCTCTCCTTTTGGGAATTAACATCAGTCTTCATCTGAATATTATGCTCCTTATTCGCCTGCGTGAACGTCGAAGTTGATTGATTATTACACTGATTCTGATACATTGAATATTGAAAATTTTCCCCCACCGAATATGGCGGCACGGAAGTTGAACTCTCCTGAGAATAAATTCCATAAGACTCCTGTTGCGTTGGTATCGAATTAAATGAATGCGATACATTTCCATTAAACGACTGATTATTCCCACAAATTGCCGACGAATGATTATTATGGTCATAAAATTCAGGACGATACTGTTGAATATGACTCGCCGGTATTTGATAATAAGAATGCATATTTTGCATTTGCAAACTATTATTTTCAATTGATGAATTATTATTCCCAAAATTCGTCACATTAACATCGCTCTGAAATGGTGGATAATTCACTTGATCGTCGACCGAATAAGACGATGGATAAATTCTCGAAGCATCCGCAGTTTCTGTATAATCAATTGGTCCTCGATAATCCAAAGAATTATCAATCCACGCCTGGCAATTCTCCTGGACATTATTGGCGAGAGCGAAATTGGATTGATTTGGCATTTGATATCCATTTTGGCCATTATTCTGCAGGTAATTCATCATCATTTGATCGAGATTTATTTGGGGAATTTGAGTATTTTGATCGGTGAATACTTGTTGTTGGCGTCTTTGATCGAAAATGTTGTAGCATTCACGTTCGTTCCATTCTTCGTCGCCACTTTCTGAATCGGCGGTAATTGTGTCGGAATTATTGTCATCGATGTCACGTAATGATCGATAGTGTTCGACGGGCCACATTCGATTTGCCTCGAGACGTGCCATTGCTCCTAAATTTGTTCCAAGTGGTGCTTGCAGCATTTTTTGGAGAATCATCGGCTTGTAAGTGTCGTTGATAATGTTTCTTGACGAATGCGATTCACCGGCAACTGTGGCGACTGGTGTTTCGATAATTGGCGAGGGGAGGAATGTTTTTGTCTCCGTTGGATTTTGAAAGACATTTGACTGCGTCGAGAATTCCATTGCACCGGCTTTTAAATTTAAGACACTTGTGTCCATTTCGGCGTCATTGTTATTTGTATCGAAATTTTGATAGTTCTTCTGAATCCTTTGAATTAAGTATTGACGGAACATCTCGTAGTGGGGATCTTCTCGTTTCATCATCTCATCTTCCGGTGCCGTCTAAAATTGAAAATTAAAATGTTAGTCAACTTTCTCTTTTTAAATCTTTGATCACAATTTTTATATTTAACGATTTTTTAGATTTATTTTCATAATTAACTATTTTTAAAATTAATTTTTATAATTTACAATTAATAATCTATCTTCTATCTATCGTCTATCTTTTATATTAATAATCATTGTATTCCGGTAATCTATTCACATTTTGAAGTTAGTTGTTATTTGCTTTTTTGTTTCTTAACTTTTTTAAAAAATAATTTTTCTTTTTAAATATTTTCAACTAGCCAAACTATCCGCGCGCAAGCGCGCGGGAATGTTGTATGGGGCTGCTTATTTTAAACAATTTAAAAAATTTTAAAGAAATAATTATTATAACCTAACAAAGAGATTTAACTAACTAAAATTTAAATAATTTCACTCAATGGTCTCAATTTAAATAGAATTTACATTACTAGACTTAAACTATGGCTAGAACAATTACAATTAGTATCTGGGTCATCTTTTGCATTGCTTATTTTATAAAGCCATTTTAAATTAAATACTTTTTAAAGAAATAATAATTATTACACACTGAAAAAAGTTTTACTTGAAATAGCGATAAGTTTCTCTAGAATAACGAAAGTATTAATTGAAGCACTGAATAATTTCGCTACTAAAGTGAAATCTGTAGTTCATCCAGCTAAATATTTTTTGCCGTGCATAACGAAAAAAGAATTAAATTAACATCAGATTTTCTACATTCAAAACAAAGGAATTCAAATAGAAATTATTCATTTTACAACTTAACCAAATTCACCCCAGAAATCACTGAATTCGATAATTTAGAAGAAAGTCAGACAAAAGCAGGGTTCCTACATAATCTGGAAATCAGGGAAATGATGGAAAAGGCCTGGAATTTTTAAAAGTTTCTAAATTTTTTCAGTTTTCCATTTTTTTTCTTGAATAAAAATTCAAATAATAATAAAGCTAAATGGCATAAAAGACAAAAAAAATGTTGAATTTTAAGCAATTCGATTTTTCGGATTTTTGATAATTTTTAATAATTTTAGATTTTTTACCAAAGAGTCGAGACAATTTAATAAGTAAAGTATTTTCCAAAAGCACAAAAATAATGAAGCTAAATCCCATAAAAGAGAAGAAAAAATGTTGAATTTTAAGAAATTTGGATTTTTGAATTTTTTCGAATTTTTGATAATTTTAGATTTTTTACTAAAGACTCGAGACTATTAAATAAGTAAAGTATTTTCCAAAAGCACAAAAATAATGAAGCTAAATCCCATAAAAGAGAAGAAAAAATGTTGAATTTTAAGAAATTTGGATTTTTGAATTTTTTCGAATTTTTGATAATTTTAGATTTTTTACCAAAGAGTCGAGACTATTAAATAAGTAAAGTATTTTCCAAAAGCACAAAAATAATGAAGCTAAATCCCATAAAAGAAAAGAAAAAATGTTGAATTTTAAGAAATTCGGATTTTTGAATTTTTTCGAATTTTTGATAATTTTAGATTTTTTACCAATGATTCGGGACAATTTAATAAGTAAAGTATTTTCCAAAAGCACAAAAATAATGAAGCTAAATCCCATAAAAGGGAGGAAAAAATGTTGAATTTTAAGAAAAACGGATTTTTGAAATTTTTCGAATTTTTGGTAATGTTAGATTTTTTACCAAAGAGTCGAGACAATTTAATAAGTTAAGTATTTTCAACATTAAAAAGTTTGACATTAAAAAATATATATAAAATGCCAATACTTAACCCACAAAATTTAATTTTCAAAACAAACAAATGAATGCAGATAATTTGCTAACGGAAAGGAAACTTACGATTATTATAATGTATTTTAAAATTAATGTAGGTATTCAAAAACATCGAAATGTTGAAAAAAATTTATATCAAAAAATTTGTTAATAATTGAAATCCTTCGTAAAATTTTATTATTTAGGAAAATAATTGAATACTCGTAAAGAATTTTGTTAAAATAATCCTTTCTGTTAATAATTTAAATTAAACATTTTATTATTTAATTTTAATAAAATTTTAGAAAATAATTGAATTCTTTTGAAATATTTTATAACGAATTAACAAAAATTAAAATTAAAATTCGTTAAAGAAATTTTTTGATAATAATTGAATTTTTGCAAAGAATTTTACTATTTATAAATATATGTAATTGAATCGTTTCGAAGGATTTTATCAGAATTGTTGAAAATAATTGAATTTTTATTAAAACTTTTTTAAATAATTGAATTTAAAAAATAGTTTTAAAAATAATTGTATATTCTTTAGAGAAATGTTATTAAAATTGTATTGAAAATAATTGAATTCCTCCGAAATATTTTATTATATTTATGAAAATAATTGAGTTCTATAGAGAAATAATTATAATAAATAATTGAATTGTTTCGAAGGATTTATTATAATTTTATTCGTTCGTGAAATCTTATTAAAATTTTGTTTAAAAATAATTGAATTTTTGCAAAAAATGTTACAATTTATAAATATAATTGAATGTTTCGAAGAATCTTATCAGAATTGTTGTAAATAATTGAATTTTTATTCAATCTTTTAAAAATAATTGAATTTTTAAATAATATTTTTAAAAATAATAATATTTTTTCGAGAAATGTTATTAAAATTGTATTGAAAATAATTGAATTCCTCCAAAACATTTTATTATATTTATAAAAATAATTGAATTCTTTAGTGAAATAATTGTAATAAAATTCTTTTCAAATAGTCAATTTATAAATAATGAAAATCTTTGTAAAAAAATTCAATTATTTTTAAATTAATAATAAAAATCTTGTAAAAATTCTCCGAATAAATTCAATTATTTGAAAAAATAATTGACTATTTCACAGGAGTTCAATTATTTAAAAAAGTTTTAATAAAATTCTATTCAGAAATTCAATTCTTTTTAGAAATAATTAAATTTTTGTTGAACTGAAAATAATTGAATTTTTGTAAAGTATTTATAAAAAAAATTTGCATATAATTGAATTAATTTCAAGAATTTTATCAACATTTTTTCAAATAATTGAATTCTTTCGAGAAAATGTAGTTAAAATTGTATTAAAAATAATTTAATTCTTGGCATGATTTTTATTAAAATTTTTTTAAATAATTAAATTGTTTTGAAGAATTTATTTCAATTTTCTTGAAAATAATGAAGTTTTTTTTATAATTTTTACTGAAAAATTTAAAAATAATTGAATTTTTGCAAAGAATTTTACGATTTATAAATATAATTGATTTTTTTAAGTATTTATTCAAATTGTAAAAAATAATTGAATTCTTTCGTGTAATTTTATTAAAAATAATTTAATTTTTGCAAAGAATTTTACAATTTTGAATTGTTTGGAGGTTTTATTAAAAATTTATAAATTATTCGAATTTCTTCGAAAAATATTATTAAAATTGCTTTAAAAATAGATACCTAATTGAATTTTTGCAAAGAATTTTACTATTTAGAAATATAATTAAATTGTTTTGAAGGATTTATTAAAATTTTAGAAAATAATTGAATTCTATTGAAATTTTTTATAAATAACGAGTGAACAAAAATTTGAATTAAAATTCTTTCAATAAATTTTATTGATAATAAGTGAATTTTTGCAAATATTTTAATATTTAAAACAATAATTAAATTATTTCGAAGGATTTATTAAAATTTCAGAAAATAATTTAACTTTTTCGAAAAATATTATTAAAAATGTAAAAAAAAATTGAATTCTTTTACGAAATGTTAGGTATTAAAATTCTTTTAAAAATAATTCAATTTTTGCAAAGAATTTTAAATAAAAAAAATAAATTAAATAAATTAAATTAAATTAATTAATTTAATTAATTAATTTAATTAATTAATTTAATTAATTAATTTAATTAATTAATTTAATTAATTAATTAATTATTAATTAAATTAAATTAAATTTAATTAACTAAATTTATATATAAAATTGAATTGTTTCGAAGGATTTATTAAAATTTTAGAAAATAATTGTATTCGTTTGTGAAATTCATTAAAATTTGGTTTAAAAATAATTGAAATTTTGCAAAAAATTTTACTAATTTGTTAAAATAATTCAATTCTTACGAAGAATTTTATGAAAATTTTCGAAATTAATAAACAAGAATAACTAATCAGTAAATTAGTTAATAATTGATTTTTTAAAAAGTAATAATTGAAAACTTTCGATTTCCTGACAAAAGTCAGGACTGAATTTTGAATTTGACTCCCAAAAGAGCGAGGGTGTCAAAAATAATTTATCTGAAAAATCAAAATGGAGGTGTGATAATGAACTTGACATCGAGAGAAAAATGAAAATTTTCCAGCCAAAAAAAAATACAGAAAAATTCCTTTACAATTTTCTCGTAAAAAGAAAAAAAATCCTCTTCTCTTACCCAGCGGTACGGCGGAAGATGCTGCGGCGAATAGAAACGATCATCAATCGAAGAATAATTTGGACTGTGCATTGGCGTTGAGGTTACGGCAGTCATTTTTTCAAGCCTCTCCAACTTACGTTTCCTTACTTTTCGCTTGCGATTTTCCTTTAATTCAATTAACATTCGATTCACTTGAACTTCGTTGCCGCACTTTAAGGCCTCGAGAAAATCAACCAATAATTCTTTCTATTCACAAAAAAAATGAAAATTAATTTTTATTACGCATGTAAGACACGAGATAATAATTTTTATAATCTGAACTCGATTTGCACGCGCGAGCGCCAAATAATCATAAAAAATGTTGTTTCAAAAAGAAAAACTTATAAATTTACCTTAATATTACCAGGTATTTTATTTGCCGCAGCAAGTGCTTGAAGTTCCTTGTATGACAATTTTGAAAAATCTTCACTCATATTTCAACAAAGCTTTCTCTCACAATTTCACGACTATCTTTTGTCTATACTTTTATCCAATTAAATTCGGCTATTACCTTTGAAAGTGTGTAATTCTCGTATGTGTAACGATTTATTGCATGTGTGTGTCGAATTATACTCGCGCAAAAATTGTCGTCTGCTTAAAGCAAAAAAAAAAAAAAAAAATTTTCCCAATCGTTGGTTAAAAAGATTTTCGACAAGTATTTGCTATTTTGTTAATAATATTTGAAGAATTATATATATATATGACGAATTTTAATAGACAAATACAATTGCTACAATTACTTTATTTCGATGATAAATATACAACTCAATATTTCATCTCATGGATAAGATTTTTTTTTTGAGTTTTTTGAGGAACTACGCAGTTTGGAATTCAGCCAATAAATTAATTACCACGAGGATGGAATATAAAAATTTTTACGATAAATTGGATTTTTTGAATAATGGATGACTCATCTTGAGTTTGACAGGTAATTAACAGAGTTTTTGAAATTAAAATCGATAATTATTTTTATTTTCAAAGTTAACCTAATTTTGGATTTTCAAATCTACTGAAACGTTTTCTGTATAATTTTTTAATTTGACTGAATTTGCTATGAAAATTATACAAATTAATCAAGAATATAATAATAAAAATTGTTAAATTGATGAAAATTGTTAATATTTAATTTAGTTTCTTTCAGAAGTGCAAATATTTGCCTGAAGTGAGTATTCGTAAATTTTTCGTTTCTATTATTGAATTCACATTTTATTGTCTATTATTTTATTATCGCATTGTTCTGTTTGTTTCAATTAATGAAATATTTTTTTAGTATATTTAAAATAATTGAATTTATACAAATAATTTTTATTTTATTAAAAAATTGGATTTCTTCAATATTGTAATTTTTAATTTTAGTTTTAATGGTTTTTAACTTTTTAATAATTTTAATTGAGTTTTTGTTTGCTTCTTTGCTTTCTAACTTATTTAATAATTTTTCTTTCTAAAATGTTTTGAATTCTGAAATTAATTTATTGAAATAAATTATTGAATTCTTGCGAAGTATTATCAAAAACAATGAAAATAATTGAATTCCAGTGAAGGATTTTATGAAAATTTTTGAAAATAATTCCATTCTTTCCAGAATTTTTTTTACCTAATTGAATTTCTGCGAATAAATTTTCTTATTCATGAAAATAATTAAATTTTAAAAAGAATTTTAATCAAAAATAATTTTTCAAAAATAATAGAATTCTTTCGAGATATTTTGCTAAAATAGTTTTCAAATTTATAAAATTCTTGCGAAAATTTTTCTTAAAATTCGTAAAAATAATTGAATTCTTTACAGGAATTCAAAAAAAAGTTTTTCAAGGAAAAAATTTAATTTTTTAAGAAAAAGTTACAAAAAATAAATTGCAATTATTTAAAATAATTGAACTCCAGAAAATAATTTTATTATTTAATATTTATGAAAATAATTGAATTCTTGCCAAGAATTTTGTTTAAATTTTCGAAAATAATTTAATTCTTGCCAAGAATTTTATTCAAATTCTCGAAAATAATTTAATTAATTCGAAGAAAATTAAAATTCTTTTGATAATATAATAATAATTGAATTCCATTCAAGGTTTTTTTTTTGTAATTTTTAGATAATCCTAATTAAATTCTTTTGAAAAAATTTTTTGTATTTTTTGAAAGTAATGGAGTAATTTTAATAATTTTTATTGAAAATTTAATTTGAATTTCTTGAAAATAATGTAGTTTTTTTAAAATAATTTTTATTGAAATTTTTTTTAAATAATTTAAATTTACAAAGAATTTTATCAAAATTTTTGAGAATAATTGAATTTTTTAGAAAAAGTTTAACACAATTTTTAAAAATAATTGAAACCCTTCGAGAAATTTAATTAAAATTGTACTGAAAATAATTGAATTCCTGAAAAGAATTTAATTAATTTTTAAAAATAATTGAATCTTTTCGAGAAATTTAATTAAAATTGCACTAAAAATAATTGAATTTTTGTGAAGAATTTAATTACTTATAAAAATAATTGAATAGTTTTAAAGAATTTTATTGCTATTTTAGAAAATAATTGAATTTATTCGTGAAATTTTGATTAAAATTGTTTTGAAAATAATTGAATCTTTATAAGAATTTTAACAAAAATTTTAGGAAATAATTGAATTTCTGCAAAAAATTTACTATATAATTATAAAAATAATTGAATTTTTATAAAATTTATTATCACAATTTTTGAGAATAATTGAATTTTTGAGAAAAATCGTAATACAATCTTTAAATATAATTGAATCCTTTCGAGAAATTTAATTAAAATTGTACTGAAAATAATTGAATTTTTATTAATTTTTAAAAATAATTGAATCTTATCGAGAAATTTAATTAAAATTGCACTAAAAATAATTGAAAAAATAATTCCTGAAAAGAATTTTACTATCTATAAAAGTAATTGAATTCTCGCGAAATTTTTTGAAAATAATTAACAAGAATATTTCATTATTGTATATTATTAATTATAATTTATATATACTTGAAATTGCAGTGAATTTGGAAAATTTTGAATCTGAAATTACAAAAAAATTATTGTTTATATATTTAAAAATACAAAATTTTCTAATGAAGAATATTTTGTTTACAAATGTTTCTTTTTTTAAGAACAATTGATTGTCTTTTACATAAGATTTTTTTTTGTAGATATTTCCTAAATGAACTCCAGATTCATTGGCTCGACTATAAAAAAAATGTTATCGGCAATCTACTGATTAAATGTGCATTTGAAATGATGCGATTGACGTTAAGGGATTATATACACAGTTTGGAAAAGCAAAACCGTGTTGAGCTTGCGCGCAAGCACGGGATCCTGTGCTTTTGTATAACATTCAGTGGGACATCGTGAGAGGCAAGTGTCGGACGTTATCATCCCTCTTCAATCTTAAGTGTGCTCCCCGAGAAAAATTATTATCTCAAAAAAGAAATTCCTATACTTGATTCTTGAACAAAATTCCTTTTGTTGCGATAAATTCTCAAAGGCATAGAAAAAAGTAAAGAGCCATTTGGCTCTTTGTTTATTTATTCAAGATTGCTCTACCGTCAGATTCACCTCGAAAAATGAAGGCGCGGAAAAACCGTGAGAAAAGTAAGTCTAATCTCCCATACATGCTGCTCTGCTTACACACAAACATGTACACACAAATACTTGGAAATTTACTCTCTGCACATATAAAAAGCTCTTCATAAAGCTCAAGTCCAAAAATACAATGTCGATAAAATAAAAGTCAATCGATTTAATAAAAAAAAATAAAGAAGGATAAATTATATTGATAATATATTACATAGAGAGAAAATAAATGTTAAATTGTTTAAAAGTATTTTACAAATTGGGGAAAAAATGAGTCAAAGCGAAATTTTTGTATTAAAAAATAATGAAGATTGAAAGAAATTATATGAAATTTAGTATATTTGTATTAAAATTTAATAATTGAATTAAAATTATTAATAATTTATTAATAATTAAAGTAAAATTATTAATAATGAATTAATAATTAATTTAAAAATAATATTCTTGATATTTGATATGCTAAATTTCGCATAATCACAGTCATTCCCCTTTTTTACCTTAACCCCCTTTTTCCCCTTTTTTGTCTCCTTAAATTATTAAAATCCCCTAAAATGATAAATTTTCTCCCCTTTTCCCCTTATTTTTAAGAAAAACTTATCAAAATTATCATTTATTTTTAATTTAGAAAATTTTTCAGTTGTGATTGAAAAAAAATGTTACTTTTCGCAAACTTTGGAAAAATTTTACTTTTTTGAAAATTAAAAACTTTCTGTATTATTTCCCAGAGTTTATAAACTTGGAAATTTTTCCATAAAAGATAACAAATATAAAATAACTTTTATTTCTAAGAAAAATCCACAAAGTTTGGAATTTTTGACAAATTTCATTATTTCCAGAATAAATTTTACTAAATTCAAAATATATATTTTACTAATTTTCATTTTTCAATGAAATTTACGACGGATATTATAAAATTTACTCTGGAAATAACGATTTTTAATAGCAAAATTTACTATTTTCAAAGTTAATTTTTTTTCTATAATAATTATATAAATTTTACTCGAACATTACAATTAGCTATTAAAAATGATTTTTGAGTAAATTTTAGCTACTATTTTTAAAAGTAAGTTTTTCTAATTTTTATTTAAAAAAATTGTCTTTGAAAATAGTAAAAGAAATTCTGGAAATAACAATTTTTAATATTAAATTTTACTATTTTTGAAGGAAATGTTTCCAATACTCAAGTTAATTTTACTAATTAATTATTATTATTACACATCACTTTCAAAAACTTTAATAAAACTCTTCAAAACAATTCAATTATTTGCAAAAATTTTAATGAAAATCTTCACACGAAATTTAATTATTTTTATAAATAATAAAAAGCTTTGCAGGAATTCCATTATAATACATTTTCAGAAAAGAAAATTCAATTATTTAAAAATTTTAATTACTTCTTTGTAAAAATTCAATTCTTTTCTAAAATATTATAATTCTTTAGATAAATTCAGTTATTTTGAATATAATTTTAATCAAATTCATCGCAAGATTTCAATTATTTTAATAAATAATAAAATTACTCAGATAGATTTTCAATTATTATTAAAAATTTTTATTAAAATAAGAATTCAATTATTGTCAATAAAATTATATTTGAAATCCTCGAAAAAATTAAATAATTTTTAAGAATTTTCATAAAATTCTCCAAAACAATTCAATTTTATGAAAAATTTTTAAATAATTGATTTTTTTTTAGAAAAATAGTATATCAATTCTTTTTAATAAATAAATGAATTCGTCGGAAATGTTTAATTTTTTTTTTAAATTGAATCTTTTTGTAGAATTTTATCAAAATTTTTTTTTAATAATTGAATTCTTTTGGGAAATTTTATTAAAATATACAAATAAGAAAACTTTTTGAAAATAATTGAATTTCGGTGAAGAATTTTTGTATTTATAAAGAGAATTGAAATATTGACAATAATTTTTTTTTGAAAATTTTGAAAATAGATTGAATTTTGCAGAAAAAATAATTTCAAAGCTAATTTTTTTCTTGGAAAATTTTTCAAATTTTCCTCGCACATTACAATTAGCTATTAAAAATTATTTTTTAGTAAATTTTAGCTACTATTTTTTAAGTAAGTTTTTCTAATTTTTATAAAAAAAAATTGTCTTTGTAAATAGTAAAAGTAATTTTCGAAATAACAATTTTTAATATATTAAATTTCACTATTTTTGAAGGAAATTTTTCCAAGACCAAAGTTAATTTTACTAATTTTTTTCTAAAATTTACTTCGTAAATATTATAATTAATGGAATTTTAAAACAAAAGTAGCTTTGCAATAAAAATTTTAATTAAAAGTTTAAGGAAAGTTACAGACTATAGGGAAAAAGATAAAGAAAATATCAGTAATTAATAGAAAAACTTCAAGAAAAAAAATAATTTGATTTTATAAACCTGTAGTTAAGAGAAAAAGTAAAAGAAAATTTAAATAAATTTTACATTTTTTAATAAAATAATTTTTACTTATTGTGCAAATTCCTCTTTTTTTAAACTGAATCCTATTTTTGGAAAATAAAATCCCCTTTTACCTAATATTACATGAAAAAAATACTGTGATTCTTGGTATAAGTTTTTTGTTTAAATTTTAGTATTTTTAATATCAAAATTTCGCATTTTTTCCCAAATTGTAAAATTATTTTTTCAAAATTTAATTTTTTTTGAAAAAATTCTCTCTCCGTGTATACTACACAGAAAAGGTGGAAAAGCATTTAAAAAACTGGAAGGACTCAAAAAATTGAAATCAAAAAACTAAAAGATACGAAATTAAAAAAACTGCAGTGTTTTATATTCAATTGGTACTTTCTTTTGCAAAAGATTTATTTTTCGAATGAAAAATTTTATATTTCCAGGGGAGGAATATTATTTTTTTTCCATAATTCAATTTCACAATAATTGATGATTACGAAAACAATATTTATTTAGTTCTTTTGTTTGTCATGTTACAGTTGAGATGGAGAATAAAGGTTATTTATATATTATAAAAACATATTTATATTGAGAATTAGTAATAATAGAGGAAGCATGTATATTGCAGACATTATAAATTAAACACGATTTGCATTTTGGGTTTCATTGTATTATTCCAAGTAGGATATTTTAGACATTTCTCGTAAATACCTTTAATTATTCAATATTGTTGAAACCTAATTATACGAATAGAAATCAAATTCTATTTTCCCCCTTTTGAATAATTATATTCTCATCGTATTCGAGATCTATTTTTCCCTCATCTTAGAAATTTTTGTATTTTCTTTCGTCGTAATAATTCAAAATTATTTTGTATCTTCCATTTTTCTGGAAATTTTCTTTTTTTCCTTTTTCTGAATTCTCCATCGAATTTATTTTTCACTGTAATCCATGCCATTAAAATTTTTTTATCGTCGATTCTCTTTTTATTTTCAAAGTAATCCTTCAATATTAGATGAAAAGTCTTTATCATCGGCGATTTTCTCTTTATTTTAGAAAGTAATTTTCGTCCTGATAAATTTTTCATATCGTTTTATCCTCGAAGTACATTTTTATTATATAGGCAATTTTTCGAAATTCTGTATTTTAGTTGCGAATTTATTCTCTTTATGAAATTTTTTTTTTTATTTGGCAAATTTTAATAATTTCCTTTATTGGAAAATTTAGTTCTTGGGGGTATTTTTATTTTCTTTTCAAACTAATCGTCTGTTTTTGAAAATTTTAATTTTCTACTGTATTTTTTGTATCAAAAAATACAAATTCGGGTTTTTTTTTCTCTTTTCCTCTCAAAGTAGTTTTCAATAAGAAAATTCTTTCTTTTATCTACCAGTAAGTAATCTTTGTAATTGAATAGAAAAATTGTAATTAATTTCAATTTCTCTTTTAAAACTTAACAGTTTCTGCTTCCGATATTGTTGATACTGAAAATTAAGAAGCTTAAAGAAATCATTTCCAATCAAAAGTGAATATTTAGAGAATATTTTTTATGTAAACAAAATAGAATATTAAACCTTTTTTTTTTAATGTAAATTAAATACAATATTTTTCCAAAATATTGTTGGAAAGTATTTTTTTTTTTTTTTCTCGAGCAATCAAAAAATGTAATTTTTAATATTCTTCTAAAATATTATTGAAAATATTTTTTGCTTTTCTCCTCAAGCAAGAAGAAAATTTTTTTTATTATTTTTCTAAAATATTGTTGAAATATTTTTCCAAAATATTATTGAAAATATTTTTCTAAAATATTATTGACGTAAACATTTTTTGCTTTTTTCTTTGAGCTAACAGAAAATATTAAAAATACTTTTCGAAAATATTGTGAAAGAAGTAATTATTAATAATAAAATTCGAATATTTTGCAGTGAATAAAAAGCGAAAGAAAAATAAATTGGAAAAGTTTTCAGTAATTATTTATATGGTGCACAAAATATTGCTTATAATAACAATTACACACGCATGCTTTCGACTGTAATGCCGCTCGAGTTTCCTCTTTTGACAGCTATCACGTATAATAATGACCAGTCTATAAATTATCTGCGTATACAAGAAGAAAAAAATGTTAATGAATCACTTCTATCTTGATGATAATTCATTGCAATATTTCACAGCAATTCGTTTCGTTTATAGGAATTTGATGATTAAAAGAGATTCATTCTCGGCTTTTATTTTCTTCTTTCCTGTAAATAAAGTGAGTGAAAACTTTTTTTTCGTTTTACCATCAAATGTAGAGGAGAATTTTTCTTCTTTTTTTTCCCCTGACAAATGATGTGGTTTTTGAATGTTTCCTTTTTTTGTAAAGCAGAGATAACGTATTTCGGACATTTAGATGGACTTTATTTATTGGAGCTTTAGGATATATTGTAAATTACGAGAGAGTTATTTTATTTTCGACATAAAATAGAGAAGCGAACTCTTTAACTCTGAAAGTTGAAAAATACTTTTCTTTTCTTCTTATTTAAGGAAAATTAATTTTTTTCTTAATTATTGAGTGCGGGAAATATTTAAAATCTCAGAAATATTGTTTGTAAATTCTCAAGGTTCGTTAAATTTTCTTCTTTTTATATTCCAACAACAAAATTTTCCAGTGCGAGTTTTCTCTTCTTTTTTTTTTGTTTTATAAATTCTACGCCTCGAGCAATTGAAACGTACATATTTTAATAATTGAGTTGTCGCGGGGTTGAAAGAAATCTCTGATGAAATTTTCAAACAAAAGAACTCTCATGCCTCGGGATATATGCATTTTAACTCTTGTATGTTTTTTTGAATATTTTAAAAAAAGGAGAATGAACATTTTCCATTTATTCTTGCAGAATAATAATAATAACAAAATAACGAGAGGAATATAAATAAAAAATCATGAATTAATTTAAAAAGTAATTCTTGCGAAAAGAAATTTAAATAAAAATGTAGTAAAAAAAGGAGAAAATGGGAAAAATAAAGTAAAAAATACATAAAAAAGCAGTAATAACGGATTAGAGAAAAATAACAACAGAAAAAGAGAATGAAAGCAAAAATTTGAAAAAATAGAAAGAAAACAATTTTTTTTACTAGCATGACTAAAATTTTAACATAAAAAAATTTTTTTTTGAAGAAAATTTGATAGTGAAATATAATTTTATGCACTTTTTTTATTGGAAATTTTTTTAATTTTGTACGAACGCTTTGTGATTTTTGCAATTTAGAAACAGAATCAATATTTCATTAGAAGTAAATAAATTTTTTTTTTATTATTTTTTTTTTTAAGAAAAATATTTGCTTTATAAGAGAATGAAGTTTAAGTACAACAAGGACGAATAATATGTACTATTATTCTTAGCTGCTGTTGATTCTAATCAATATACGTTTCTATTTTTTCCATCGAATTTCTTATTCCGAAGTTATTGGAAAATGTACGAAATGAATTATTAAATATTTCGTTAATAATAAATACATTTTTTTTCGTAAATATTCTTATATAAAAGTCAAGAGAGAAGGAGAGTTTATAATAAGAAAAAATCGACAATTTACTGAAGGGAAAAGTAAATTTTGATCCTTTTGCTAAAGAAAATTTATTTCTTTTTTGAAAAATAAAAAATTGACACTTTTTTCTACTTTAAGTTTTTAAATATAATTAAATAAAAGAAAATAATTATTTTATTTGTTCTTTAATAATAAAACTAAATAATAATAAAAATATAATAAATAACAGATATACAAATTTTATTAAATAAAAAAATTACGTATGTTTTACATTTTGGTTTTTTTATTTAAGAATTATATTAAATATTTTATGACATTTACAGAATTTTTATTTTATGCTATTTTTACACAAATTCTCTTTTTAGGGAAATAACTTTCAACCGAATATTACAATTTTTTTCTTTTTTTTTTTTTTGATAATTCAGTGAATTTATTAAAATGTTTTTGACGAAGCGGATATTTAGGTCGAGTATCTCTTAAACTGATGTAACAGAAAAATTTAAATGGTACTCAAGAATTCTATTGAGTAATAAAATAATGTACAAGTCCTTTAAAAGTTTTGCTTTCATTCTCAAAGGGACACTTTAAAGCGACAACATCAGCAAATATGCATTTTAATCAAGATTTCATATTAACATTAATATTTTCGCGTAGAAAATTTTCTTTTTAAAAAGGGGAAAAATTTTTAATTAAATAAAAAAAAGTTGTTAATATTTTTGCTATTAAATATTTAACTATTTCGAAATTTTTTCTATAAATATTTAGGGGAACATAGTCTAGGTCGGCCACCTTTTTGACTTTTGTTTATAACTTTTTTTTAAAAATGAATTTGGACAATTGAAGTATATGGTTGGAAAGTCCTGTTTAATAGGAACATTTTTTCTGTACAAAGTAAATTGACAGGTTTAAAAATGAAAAAGTTATAAAGATTTAAAAAAAAAAAAATTTGTAGTCCAGGTTGGCCATTACAGTCAAGGTCGGCCATGTTTAAAATTCAAAGGGCATTAATCGTTAAAAAATAAAATAACATGTTTGGAGTTACGGAAAATTGATTCTTTATTGTTTACAGTTTGTAACTTAATGAAATAACAAAATAATAACAATAAACAATATAAAAAAATAAATATAAATAAAAAAAAGTTTTGCACTAAAATATTAATAAAATTAAATAAAAATATTAATAAGATGATCAATTATATTATGAGTTATACAGAATTGCAGTTTTTGCAAATGAAGTAGCTCGTCCTCAACTTTGCGCATTTTAAACACATAGTGGCCGACCTTGACAGTAAGTAACATTACCGAATTGTTGTAACCATAAAGAAATACGTTTCGGGATTCGATTTTTTACTTTGTTTTCCTTTCAACCATGAGTCCCACAAATTTTCTGCATACTTGCCTTGACGATTCAATTTGTTTTTTATCTTTTATTAATGGTTTTTCACATTATGCACAAAACTTTTTTTGAGCTTTTTTTGTACCGACGTCACAGAAAACACAATTTTCGATTTTCCGAAAATGTAATTGAACAAAAAGTTAGGTTTCACTAAGACAAGCTTCGACAAAAATGCGCGTAGGTGGCGCTAGTGAACTTGACAAAAAAACGCGAGTGGCCTACCTAGACAGTAGGCCAACCTTGACTACATTCCCCTACCTATTTAGAATTTTTTTTAAACAAATATTTAACAAATTCGGAAAATATTTTCTATAAATTTGTACCAATTTAAATATTTTTTCTCCAATTTTGTAACTATTTTTAAATTTTCTCTATAAATTTTGTAACTATTTAAATATTTTTTCTATAATTTTCTTACTATTTAAATATTTTCTCTATAAATTTTGTAACTGTTTAAATATTTTTTGTGTAAATTTGTAATTGTTTGATTTTTTTTAACAAATTGTTTAACTATTATTTACAAAATATTTTTCTGTAAATATTTATCTATTTACAAATTTTCTCTGTAGATTTTTAACTATTTCTATATTTTTTGCATAAATTTGTAACTATTTTAATATTTTAATATTTTAATATTTTTTC